GTATAAAGATTATAAGATTCAAGTACATATCTGTACCTGGATTCGTATAATATTAGTAAATTAAAATAAAACTAGATTTTTTATTTCTAATAATAATCTATTCTCTAGATCATCTTTAAGGTTATCTATATTCTTATTCTTACTAATATAAAAGATTATTATAGACTTATTATCCTCTTAATCCCTGGCTGTGAATATAATAAAATCTAGAGTAATATTATTAAAAATATTCTAATACTTCTTATTTATAGTAAAGTAATCAGTATATATCTGGAGTATAAGTATTTTAATAATCTTAGAGTATAGATAGCTCCGGTAATAATAATAGATATTTTAAGAATTATTAAAGAGATATTTAACACTGATACTATTAGTTACGACTATTAGAAAGTCTCTAGCTATATAATAGAAAATCAGAAACTAATCTTAATGGGATTTCTAATAAATAAGGATATTAGAATATCCTATAATTTCTAAAAGAAGATTAGTATTATTTTAAAAATCTAGATTACCTATATATCTTTAATATTAAGATAAGTTTTAAGTTCTTTAAAAGTTACTATAGAAAGTGAGATCTTTTAACACTTTAAAATATTATAAAAAGTTTTATTTAGATCTGAGAGTGTGCTGGAGACAGTAAATAATATATTAATAATAAGATTTTACTAATAGTAAAAATAGAATATTTTTTTAAAGATAATTTAATATTTAAAATACTAGTTAATATTATTATTAAACCAAGTATCTTTTTTAAATTTTTTAAACTTAGATATTAGGTTAAGAATAGTTGTAATTATATAAATATAGTCTTTAATTTAATAAATATAGTAATAATATTTTTAAAACTTTTAATATATATCCTCCAAATTCTAAAGAATCTTTTTTTTCTAGAATGCGCGCTTCCATACTAGTCAATTAATTAATTAATCAAGATAGTTAAAGAGTTTATTATAAATATTATAGACTTTATAAATAATAAGCCCACTATTTTCTAATAGATAGGAGGTGAAAAGAAAAAATAAATATAAAAATTTAAAAAGATATTCTAACTGCTTCTATTTAATTGAAGTAGAATAAAAATAATTAATATTATTATAATTCTAGTACTGGATAAAGCTTTTAATAGTTAGATATAATTTAATAATATAGTAAATTATGAGATAAGTTAAATTCTATCAAGTTTTATAGTCAAGAAGAAAGTAATATATAAAAATAAATTTTAATTATTAAGTAAGCTAGAACTTCTCCCAGTATTAAGAACTAGTATTTATAAATTATATAATTTTTTAAATTTATATTTAAAAATTAGAATAGGCTCTTATAAGATCCTGTAGAAGTCTTCTATAAAAATTTTTTAAAGAGAAGTCTTCTAGAAGTCTTATAGAAACTCTCCATAGAAGATTATTCTAATATATATCTTCTTAATTATCTGAGAGATGTTGGAAGAGGTTTCTAAATTTCTATTATTATTTTTTTATATATAGTCAACAGTATTATTTGCAGTCTTAATATAAAGTTTTAGAAAAAAAATATTTATAGAAAACTGAATGACATGAGCAAGGTAAGAGATATAATACTAATTTTAAATAATCTTTATAAGATTAGAGTCTATTAAAATATTATAAAAATAGATATTCTAGCTGAGCTAAGCCTGGAGTTATAATATAATAATACTAAATATTATATTATTATTACTTATATTATTAGTAGTCATACCCAGTAATTAATAGATAAGTCTATATTTTTATAGAATTTCTAAGATAATCTTAACTAGATTCTTACTAGTGTGGGATCCAGATACTAGTTAAAAATCTAGTAAAATCTTATAGTAATCTATCTCTTTTATAAGGAAATATCTAGTTAAAATAAGAAATACTTTCTAATCTAGATTAGTCTAGTAATTAACTGTAATTAATATTCATCCTATATCTAGAAACTTTAATAATAAATAAATATATATCTTTTCTAATAATTTTAGAAAATAATTTTTAATTTACACGCGATAGGAAATATTAGGCTTTTAAAAAGATACTAAAGTAGTAAAATTAATTATCTATTTAAATTAAATATACTTAATAGTTTAAAATAGTAAGTAATAGATAATAAGAAAATATAGAACTTGATCAAGGAACTCCTTTTTATTATAAATTATAAAAGTCTAGAGATATTTTTTAATATTAATAAAAATAGATTTATTATAAATCTTAGAATTCCAACCAGAGGTAAGATCTCAAGATAAATACTGTGGAAAATATAGTAGATATAAACTTATTTATAAAAATTTTTTAACTAGTATCTATCTAATTATTTACTTAGAGATATTTAAAAATATTTATTTCTTATAGCTCTTATAAAAATAGTAACTTATAGAACTAGTCTCCAAATTATTAATCTCTAGATATTATAAAATATATAAGTATATAGTGTAATAGATATAAAAAATTCTATCTAAAAATAATGTATATTTTTAAAAGCTAGTCTATACTATTACTATCTTTTTCTAACTGAAGTGAAATAGCAGTTTCTAGACTTGAATATAAACTTAATTAAAAAAAATTACCTACTATTATTTATAGAAGATGGGAATCTTTTCTTGAAAGGCTAGATATAAAATAATCTTTTAATACTTTATAATATACTTAAAATTGAGATTTAAAGAGGGAGAAAAGGTATAGACTAAAAAACTAATCTTTATTTATAAATTATTCTAATTTATAAAGATCTAGGATATAGAGAAAGAAGATTTAATAATATCTTTTAAAAATAAATTAAATAATTATATTTAATTTATAATACTAAGTCTACTTATACAAGTAGTATAGAGAGGAAAAAAATAGAGATAAAATTTTATAAAAATAGTGTTATTTTCTTCTAAGATATATTCTTAAAGAAATCTAATTTATTATATTTTTATATATAGCTGAAGGTGTCCATTGAATCTTACCTATAAATAAGATTTTGTAATAAATATTTAGTAAGTAGAATATTCTCTATAAAATAAATAACCAGGATTTATAAGATAGAATAAATATAAATTTTATAATAAATACTTAGTTTTTAAAAATATAGAGAAGTCTTGTAGAAATTTTCTATAAATTTTATCTATATTTTATATACTATCATAGTACAGAGTAGTTTTAATATTCTATAGTTCCCGGGAAGTACAGGTTTTTAAATAAATTAAATAAGTAAGGTAATATAAGTGGTCGTAATCTTATAATATAAGTAAATTAAAATGTTTTTAATGTAAAATAAATATTTAAAAAATAATTCAAATATTTAAAAGAAGTAAATAAACTATTATTAATATAAAGAATTATTTTTATAAGAGATTTATAGGTTTTAGTCTATTATTATTGCAATATAGACATCCTATAAAAAATATATAGCTAAAATAAAGTTATAAATATATATTTTTACCAATGTTTCTTTCTGTAAGACTAGCTTATATCTAAAAAATTAATTCTTATTAATATAAGTGATGATCTTGGATTAATTCCATAAAAATAAGATGAAAATAATCTTTCTCTTTTATCTAGTCAACTTTAAAAGTTAAAAATATTTACTTTGATATATTTATAGACGACGGTATAAATAGCTAGGATAGACAGGAATTAACCTAAGTATACCTTAACTATATTATAGCTAAAATAGGTATAGCGGGTGGGTCTTAGCGCCAAGAACAGTTAAAACAGTTAACCGTCCTTTTTTAAGCTATACCACGGCCAGATATAAAAATTTCCTTAACCTGACCGTTAACCTGACGGAAGGTATAAATTTTCCTATTAACCTGACCTGACCTGGCCGATTGCCACTCTACATACAAGATTATTTAAAGTACTTTAGTTTCTTTATTTATAAGACTTTTTTTATACTATATAACTCTAAGAATCCTTTATTAAAGTATAATAGAATAATAGATTTTAATAATATTAAAATATATTAGGAACGCAATAGTATATTTATTTAGATTATAATTAATATATATTCTAATATTACATATGTAATAAGTAAGCTATTATTCTTTATAAGTAATCCTGCTAAATTATATCTTTAAATAATAAATCTTATTTAATATTATCTTACTAATTCTTTTAACTGCTGTTTTTTTTACTATTAGAGTAAATCTAGCCTTGTTAGCTTTTATAATACTAATTAAGCTAGCTCTTACTTTTTTAATATAATATTAATTTTTAGTTACATATTCTAACTCGCTGGGGGGCCTATCTTATAAAATTTAAAAAAATAGATTATTATTATATTATTTTTAATTAAAAGTAAGTATATCACGCAAGTAGTAGTAATATAAGAGTTAATCTAGCTTTAATTACTGTTTACTAAACTAGATATTTAGCGCTTTAAAGCTATATCTATTTTAATAAGTTATTTTATAGTTATTTATATAGATAATTAATCTACTATTGCTCTGACTAAGAATCCTGAGTTCCACGTTCATATAAAATACATCTCTATCAAATAGTATTTTATATATTATAAATACGCGTAAAAAATATTAAATTTATTTATATTAATATAACTAAATAAGTAGCTGATAATCTTACTAAGTTATTTAAATATTTCATTTATTCCCGCTTTATCAAGTAACTCAGTATGGTGGATCATATCTAAAATTATATCTAATATTTTTATATTTACATATCTTTTACTTCCTATTTAAGAAACATGAATAATCTTATGTTTTCTTTTTTTTATACATAACATTGCTGACTACATCCTCGCTTATAAGGGGTGTGAAAGGAGATCACATGATCTCAGACTTAGCTACCTAGTCACCTCCTTCTCACGTAGTTAGCTAGGCAACACACACTCAATATTATCAATATTGCTGTCACACTACCATTCGCGGAAACATTTTAAGGATGACTTGTTTTTAATGTGTAGGTGATAGGTCTAAGATGTACAACTATGAAATTCTCCTCAGACCAACTTTGCGCTCCATTCACTAAATATACTTTGAGACATGCAAGTGCCTGGTCAAGCTACATGACACCGCCACCCATCTGCATCTTCTCTACCTCCTGAATCATCGGACTCGCTTTCCGAATCCGATGACCATAGAAATAGAACACCACTGGGATGGAGATACACGCCGCTTCCACCAACCCGAGAAGCGTATTAGCCCAGTTCAGCCCTAACTTGGCATACATCGAAGGCCCCGCCAATGGAAGACAGGCACCGAGAATACTGCGAAAGAACATATTGCCTGCCAATGCCGAGGCCGTATAGATCCCATACGAGCGGGCAAGATAGTTACTAGCATAGATAAAGACACAGGCGGTACCGGCTCCAAACGGGACACCCGCCAGGATGGGCAAGATCCAGTGCACGTTTGGCGTGCATGTCCAAGCAAACCACAATTGACCTATCGTCAGAAGCGTGGCGCCCAGAATCACCACGCTAGCCATTGCTTCCGGGGGTACAGCCCCGGTGGCTGGGTCCTTCCGGTGTCTGTTGATGAGCATGCGGAAGAACGGCTCGCATGCAATTGTGATCAATACTCCACAGCCGATGCCGATAAAGGAGAGGCCCCCTATGCCTGGGGACCAGCCTCGCTCGGTTTGGAAGGCGATGGGGTAGGCAACGAAGCATAGATAGAGACCGCCGTAGACAATCGCGACGTAGCTGTCCCAGAAGATGCTGTGGCGGGTTAGTCAGGATGTTCAGTCGAGAACTGTGAATCGCAACAGTAAATCCAGGAAGGCAATGGGGGATTCTTACCAAATGGGCTCGGTAAAGAGCATCACGAATGGCCGACTGAAACCGGTTTTCAAACGGTTGGAAAGGTTCTCGTCACCATCGTATCTCGTCCACCACTTGGGCTCAGCTGTTTCTTTCCGGATCTTGGCCGCTCGCCTGCGGAGGATGACCGGCGCGTAGGTCTCTGGGATCAGAAACACCAGGGCGAGCACTGCACCGCCAATGATCAGGACAAGCCAATTCGTCCACCGCCAGCCCAGATACTCATACACAAAGCCGCCGATGATCGGACCATACACCGGCCCATTGGTCGGTCCAATCGACCAGATCCCAAGGGCCAACGCGCGATGGTGATCCGAAACAAGATCGTTCACCGACGCGGGAGAGTTTCCCATGATCGCGCTACCAAACAGCCCTCCAAAGAACCTGGTAATCAGGATGGCCTCGATATTGCGGGACAATGCGCTCGGAAGAATGAGAAGCAGAAAGACGCTCAAGCAAACCAGGTACACCGGTCGCCGACCAACGATTTCGCTCAAGGGGGCGAATACAATAGTCCCGATGGCCATACCGAGAAGATACGTGAAGACCCCAAAGAGGCCGACAATCTTCGATATGTGAAACTCCTCTTCCAGGCCAGGGATTCCGGACGTGTATAAAGTGCTGAACAGACTGACTACTGTCGCGCCGAGACTCATTGTGACTACAGCGAGTCCTTTGTACCATAGCGGCCAAAGACGAGGATTTTCGGGGTCCTCCGGTTCCCAGTGGACCTCATAGTCTGGTGGATGGAATAAGCTGGGCAGCTTGGAGAGAGTGGGTTGAAGTGTCGGGGCAGTGGCGCCTTCTGCATCGGCCGTATAGCTCCGAGTCAGCTCGGGGTCGTGAATTGACATGTCGGCGAAGCTTTGGTAGGGCCAGGAACACAAATTGGCCGAGAGTCGACACAGCGAACAAAGTATGGGCCAGAACTAGCAAGAGCTGGACTGAGTAGTAAAGCCCTAACTGCACCCTAACCTCCTATATAGTTTAGCCAAGTGGGATGCCGGCAGACCGAGGTACGCGACGGGCTTACTAAGAGCAGAACTGATTGCCACCTCGGCCTCCCTCCTCCCTCCCACTGCAATCCATCTTCGTAACAGCCAGAAGGACCAACACCCGCCATGCCACCACGCTCGAAAGCCGGACCTTCTTACTCCTCTTTTTGTTGTAGATATCCCGGATGCAGGGCTACCTATCAACGTAAAGAACACCTGAACCGACACGCGGCACAGCACGGTCAGGCAAAACGCTTCTCTTGTCCTCACTGCGACAGTATCTTGGCCAGAAGGTACGGAGATGAGCATCTAACTTTTCGAACCTGCGAACACTGACTGTTGACCAGTGATCTCCTACGCCGCCATGTCTACAAATATCATCCCGAGAGGGAGCTCCCGTTATCCCGAGCGCAACAGGCTTGTCGGGCCTGCCATACACGAAAAGAACGCTGTGATGGGGGTTCCCCATGCAATCCATGCCAGAAGCGAAAGCTGGCCTGCTCGCGAACTCACCAGATAACGGATCAACACGACGAAAGGAAATCGCCAGATACCCAATCGCTTTTCAACAATGTGCCCGGCGCATCTCGATGGGTTGCCCAGGACTTTATCGATATATACTTTCGTGAATTCCATCCAAATTGGCCTTTTTTGCACCGAGGAACCTTCAAGCTCGAGAAAGAACCATGCATCCTTCTCCAATCCATGCTAATGATGGGGCTGTGGATCAGGGGTGATCAAGTGGCACGGGATACCGCGATGACATTTCACCGGAAACTTCTGTCTGCGATTCATGATCAGAGGGTACGTGCATACCGACTGTCTGACCAGACTCAATCAAATCCTTCTCTCTTCCTTCAGCTACGTTGCTAACGTTGATTGCCCTCCCCGCAGGATCAGTGGTATATCCCCGAACCAACACCAACACGGAATGATGACAGTAATGACAACCATACTTCCTGCCCCATGGCAACCTACCAAAGTATCATCATACAGCTTATCTTCGCTCTTCTGATCGCGAAGCATGAAATGACTCTCGATCTCAACCTCCGCTACCAACTCCCAGCCCCCCAATACGACCTCCTCACCGCACTGGTAGCTACCTGTCGACGACGCGGCATGTTCTCCTATCCCACAATGCTCGCGCAGCAAGACGCCGATGCCCCAATCGCCCTCATCTGGGTCAGTGTGGAAGAGGTAAAGCGTTTCGGCTTGGCGCTTTATAAAATTTGTCGTTTATGTTCGCGGGAAGAGAAAGATGGTCGTGTGTCGACGCACAGAGATGGGAGTAGTGTCTCTGAGCTTTTAACCCTAGCAGATCTGGACTTTTGTCTACCCGATAGCGATGCCGCGTGGGAGGCTTCTTCAGCTTCAGGGGCAGAAGATGGATCTCTTCGGAGGCTTGCTGCGGGGCAGCCGTGTAGAGATAATCGAGATCCAGAGGGTTGGATATCCCGGACGTCGGGGAGGTTGTGCGATGCGGGGCTTGGATTTGACTGGATTTAATAAACCTACCATGGCTCGTTGTGATATATTATCATTGAATACTCTAATTTATTCATGGGAGACAGCTACCCAACAACTGCTTTGATCCAGCCATGGTACCGTACCAAAACATTATGCTTATCATTGTATCTTCAAATCCTCTCCGATATCTTCTGCCACATACTCTTCCCTTTAGTCTATACAACAATTAGTCAATATGCCACCCTGTATTCAGCAAAAAGTATAAACTCACCTGCTCATCAACCTCCACAACCGCCGAACAGCCCGTCGCAAAATCCAGTTCAGCCAGCGGGATAATCCCAGCCTTATACTTGACTTTGTATCCGACGAACAGCACGGCGAATAACAGAATGGGAAAGTAGGTCGTTATAAATGACGAGACGTCGAAGGTGTGGACTATTCCTTGTATCAGTGGCGTTCGGATGTCGGTGATAAGGATAGCAAGACTTACTGAATGCAGTGAATCCACCAAAGATAATTACCATTAGGCAGATACATATTCCGTCTAGTGCATCTTGTTAGCTAGACTGACATTTGTCAAAGAGAGGAGAGGAGACATACAATAAGAAAGATAGGGCTGCAAGGGCGCCCGATACGGCAGCGTACTCCGATCAATGCCATGCACTTTGAGACCCTTGTGCCAGCGAATGCTCGTCCAGAGAATACCGGACCACGAGATCATTCCGCAGATGGCGGTCATATTGGAGACTATCATTCGTCAGACAAATGACCCTGCTGTACAAGATGGGACAAGACTTACAGTAACCAAAAACAGTCCCCGCCTTGCCCTGGCTAGCAGCCATAAAGGACAGCAAAGAGAATGAGCCACAGAACACAACGCAAACCCAGGGCAGTCCGTCTTTTCTTGTCTTGAGGAAGAGGCGTGGCGCATGCCCGCGCGCGGCAAGTCCGTACAATGCCCTTGAGGAAACGAAGAGATCGGCGCAGCCGGCGGACCAGGCGCTGGTCAGGAGGGCGGCGTTGATGATGGAGGGGAGGACGTTGATACCGGCGTTCTAGATGATTAGTGGGGATGATAAGGAAGTGAGGATGGGAAAGTACCTTGATGGCAATGACGAAGGGACTTTTGGCTGCGGTAGAGGAAAGGTTGAGGGATGGGTCTGATGGGGAGACGAGAATGCCGACCTAGTTACCAATCAGCAACATGTGGCAATTGAAGGTTGGGCTGGGCATACCAGAAAGGCACTGCAAATATAGACTACGAAAGTCAGCACTTGAAGGGTAAATGAAGGGACAGGATCCATACACAACACCAGTCTGATCCACACACTCTTAATAGCGCGAGGAACGTTCTTAGCAGGCTGCAAAGGTCAGTTTGAATCATAGATCACGGGCATGACTACATACAGACGCAGTCTCAGCAGCAGCAATGGCAGTGATTTCCGTTCCGATGAACGCAAAGGCGGCATCGATAAGCACTACCGACGTGAGCGGAGTTCAGAAATGGGAACGCCAGTTGGGACTTACCGGCAAAGAAACCGAGAAACCGCCCTTTGGCACCAGCTGTGGCTGTCAGCAAGCGGAATGCCCCCCCTTTGTCGGGGTTCATACCTATTCCAGCATATTGCACGAAACCTCCTGTTTCATTCCAGAACTTGAATCCGATGGCCTCGTGATTCGGACCTCCTCCGGCGGAGATAATGATGCCCGTGATGATCAGGCCGATAATTGTAATGACCTGGTCCGTCAGCCAGATTCAGTGAAAAATTGATTGAAGCATACCTTGATCGAACAAAACCAAAACTCCATCTCCCCGAAGATTTTGGTACCACCCGCATTGATCAACCACTAAGTATATATTAGCAGAAGACCAATCTATCAGAAGAGAGACACATACCACAACGAGAAGCATTAAACCAACCCACAATGCATTGTTACAGATACCAGTGGTACACGTTGAGTCCGTCTGTCCAGCAGGCGTCCAGTACGTGATAAGCACCGCAGCGGCTGAGATTTCCGCCGGAAGAACGACGATATAGTTGTACACGTACACCACACCCATAGCAAACCCTAATTCGGGTGAGACAAAGCGACCAGCCAGTGCAAATTGACCACCAGGTATGGGGAACTGCGAGACCATTTCTCCAAGAGCGACCTACGCTATCAGTATCTTACCTCCAACGGTAGTTAGAACATACCATCACGGCGTATAGTAATGACGCCATAAGGCAGTAAGCAATGAGCAGGCCGGCTGGACCTCCATTCTCGAGATCGCTAGCCGTACCTAGGAAGAGACCGGTTCCCTAGCAACGTTAGAATAATGGAAGCTCTGACGGGTACAATACTTACGATAACGCCACCAAGAGCAATCATCTGACTAGAGCGAGTTAGACCAGTCAGCCATCGGTTCATGCAACTTACATGTGACGTGGCTATATAGTCAGTAAGCATTTCTCGGCAATTGCAGTGACAGAACACACCTTGAGCTTGCGCTGCAGACCAACCTGCAAATCATCGTGGCATTCAATGGTGCCCGTGTCAACGGGGACCTCCTCGGTGTAAGGCGCCTTCTGATCCTGGGGCTGTCAGCGGGATCCCACATGACAATTGTGGCCATACCTTTTCGTCGTGCATGATGGTGTGCATGAACACTGGAAACTCCGGTCCTGGGGCATATTTAGATTATTTGGTCCATCCCGTGGCTGATAACAAACCCGCGGGTGATAATGTGGAGCTTATCTGATAGCAGGCCGCGTGGATGCAGATAAACATCGGCTCCGGCGGCATCTTGCCGATAAGCCGACGCGCCGAGATAGTGAAATACCCCAATCACATCCCTCAGGTGGCCAACTGTCAGTTCCAAGAGACACACCATGGCCCAAGGAAGAACACGCATACTGAAACCCGGGGTGTATGCCCCGCTGCCTACCTTTTTCGATGAGAATCAGGAACTCGACTATGGCAGCTACCAGAAGCATTTGCTGAGTATGACCATGCCATCATTAAGTGAATCTAGCTAATGGTTAGACCTTGCCATGAAGGGAATGGGTATGTGAGACCTGCATGTCACTGTCAGTACTAACGCGCAACAGTTCCCGTGTGTGCCGGCTCCTTGGGAGAAGCCGTTCACTTGGTACGCCAAGCGCCAAATTCCACATACACATCTAACCACAACAGAGCTTCGATGAACGAACCGACTTAATTCGTTTCATCCGCGCCACGCTGGACGAGGCCGGACTGAAAGAAACCCCCATTGTCGCGGGGGTAGGCGGGCTCAGCACACGCGAGACCATATCCCTAGCCCGCGCAGCCGCAGCAGCAGGAGCGTATGTATCATCCACTCTTCACTCCAATGTCCATTCACTTCTTCAGTACTGAGTACTCCAGTGACGCCGGCATGGTCATCCTGCCCGCATACTACGCCGCCAGCCTCAACACCGACGCTAACCAAATTATCCAATACTACGTCGATATCTGCGAAGCATCCCCTGTACCCTCCCCGCTCCTCTCCTCCACCTCTCACCCCGCTAACCAACCCTAGATCCCAATTCTCCTCTACAATTTCCCCTCCAACGCCGGCGGCCTCGACATGTCCTCCTCCACCATCCAATCCATCATGGAACGATCCCCGAATCTCTGCGGAGTAAAACTCACGTTAGCCCCCCCACCCCCTCCCTTCTTAATTACCGAATACTAACTCTCCCTAGATGCGGCGGCAGCATCTCCAAACTCATCCGCCTCACTTCCACCATCAAATCGAACGCAAGCATCAACTCCTCCCGCCCCTTCCCCTTCCTCCTCCTCGACGGCCTAATCGCCGACCTAACCCCCTGGATGCAATCCGGCGGACACGGAACGGTGAGCGGAATTCCGAATTTTGCACCTGTAGCATCGATGAGACTTTGGGAGTTATTGAACGTGGCGAATCCGAGTGAGGAGGAAGTGCTGGAACGGGAGAACTTGCAGGGTGTGTTGTCGAGGGCAGATGTCGCGGCGGTGCCGGCGGGGGTTAGGGGGATGAGTAAGTTATCCTTCCTAGTTAATTGGGGGATGTGAGTGGGGGTGAGAATGGTGATGTGGCTAACTGCTGGGTGGCAGAGTACGTGTTGAATAAGATGCATGGGTATGGGAAGGATCCGAGAAGGCCGTTGTTGCCGCTGGGAGAGAAGAAGGGGGAGGAGTTTATGGGGGCGTTGGGGGAGTTGTTGGCGTTGGAGAGGGAGATGACTATGAGTACATAGATTCTGTTCTGTTTGCGGATGTTTGAACGTTGCGACTGTCATTCATGTAGCCCGCTATCATGAGGGACAAGCATCAGTCTCCATTGATATCGAATAATAGATTCTGAATAATCATATATTCAACTCAAACATTCAACCCAAATGCCTCCGGCCTATCATCCACAACCGTCGACCTCCGCACATCCCTCGCCGTCATCTCATCCGTATACGGATTCGCCCGATGCATCGACTGCCTACACACCACCATTTAGCCTTTTCAACTCCCTCTCCCATAGTATCAGTATGATAAGGCAGTTAACTCACCGATTATCCCACCAAACCATATCCCCCCCTCCCAACCACTCCATACTAAACACATACTGCGGCTGCGTACAATGCTCAATGAGCTCCCAAATCAACCGCTGACTCTCCTCCACCTCCCACCCCACAATCCGTTTCGCATGGGCCGCCAAATACAGCGTCTTGCGTCCGTCCGGAGCAATCTGCACCAGTTTATGGAATGCGGGTGGTTTCGCGGCGAGTTCGTGCGGGAGTGGAGAGCCGTAGATTATGGGCGAGGCGAGTTTGCGGGAGTGCCAGAGACTATTAAGTATTCATTTATCTTAGTATTGGTTGCAAGGGGGGGGGGGGGAGGTCGTTACTCGTGTTCGACGACTAGGTCTTCCAGCTGGGATTTCTTTTCGGGGGACAGATCGGCGTAAGCGCGACGGGTGTCGGCGAAATGGGTCCAGGAGCCGCCGTGGACGGGGTTACCGTGGGAGAGGAGGAGGGAGTATTTGGAGCGTTGTTTGTGGTAGGAGGAGTCCTGGGTTTGTTAGGGCTATATTGAGCGATGCGAGGGAGTAGGGGAATGGGGATGTACGGTATGCCACAGGGCGTTGCCTAGGCTATGGTGCCAGCGACGGCTGTCGCGTTTGACGAGAGTGCCGTCGAGTTCGATGCTATTGGAATTTCATTAGTAGGCAATGCGGCGAGCAAGGGAGGGATACTCACTTCCCCACGTCAAATAGGAGCGGCTCTCTTAAGCGGTCATTTTCCCGACCATAGAAGAACGGGTTAATCTCCAGCTTATCCCCAAGCTGCTGCGAAAAGGCAATATGGCGCGCATTGTCGAGTCCGGTTTCGCGGAAGATGAGCACGCCGTACCGGTCTTGGAGAGATATCAACTGGGCCACTAACTCATCCGGAATCGGGTTCTCCCACTCCACACCAAACACCTCAGCCCCGAAAGACGAGTCAGACGACTGCAGCACCGGCCAAATAGTTAAGCTGCCCTCCTGGATGGATGGCAAAGGGTCCGTGCGCGGACAGGTGGTGTCGTAGGTCCGAATATTGATATGGGCAAGCGGATTCGCCATGGTGTCGTCTGCCGATGCTATAGCTATACTCTAATACATGACTGACAGGCCGTATCGCAATCCTCTTTTTATCTGTCTATCTCTCCCCGCGCGGGGTCCAGACCGTCGGCCCGCAGCCGACCATCCCGATCCGATATCACCCTGTGGCCGATAAGAGCGATAGATAAAGGATTACGCCCCCACGCATCAATAGCTACCCCTACCAGACACCCTCATCATGACCATCCTAATCACTGCCGGTCCGTACCAATTCCTAGCCGAGTTTGAGGCTGCCGCCCCGAAGACAGTGACTGTGTTCTGCAGCCTGCTACCCTATCGGAAACAGCTCATCCATGTCCGCTGGAGCGGCGAAGGCCTCTGGGTCCCTCTAGGAGAGACGGATTTCGGTCTACCCTGGGAGAATCACACGGCGCATCCGGGTGCGGGGCAGATTTTGTTGTATCCAGGGGGCATATCGGAGACGGAGATCTTGTTCTGCTACGGGGGTGTTGCGTTCGCCAGTAAAATGGGGTCGCTGGCAGCGAATCATTTCTTGACGATCACTGAGGGCCAGGAGAATCTACGAGCGTTGGGTGAATTGGTATTGTGGAAGGGTGCACAGGATGTGCTGTTTGAGGAGGCCACGGAAGACAAGTATGTGTATCGCTGGGGTGGTTGAATTTGAAAGAGGGGGTGATATTAATGTTGACATAGGATCCGCCAATACCGCATGACGCGCGCCAAACTCTGATCAATTGTGGAAGTTCATGTCTATACTCCAAAAGTTGTCCGGATCCAGAAGGGTACCCGGCCATTCAAAACCCACTTCGTTCATCTGGTCCAGTACGGACTGTAGGGCCAGCTCGTCTACGACGGGCCCTTCGTGTCCGGCGGGTGACAACACTAGTGCGGTAGCGTTGTGGACGATGGTGTGAAAGTCGCGCGCAGGGTGGTAACTAGATGACGAGCAGACAGCATCGAAGAGGTCGCGCGCCAGCTGTAGGGGGCGGGCAATGATCGATCCGGGGGGTGGAGGCAGCAAGGGGTCATGGATGGTGCGAATTCGCATTTCATCTACTGTCCATTAGCAATGCCCAATACAAGAAAATGAACCAAGTCATACCGTCAATGAGACCTCGAGTGTAACAAAGAACCAAGAATATAACGGCAAATGTATGCGAGATCCACGTCGAGTCCACCGCGTAGCGAAGCCGCTGGACAGCGGCTCGATCCACTTCAAGCTCACCTGGCCGGAAGCTGGCAGGATCGCGTGAATCCAATTGCCAGATATACTCCTCTGCACCGTTGGACAAGGACAGCAAGATTTGCACTGCAGCTGTCACGCTGGTTGCTAGTAAAGGAACCAACCGGGGGAGCAATACTGTCTGAGGTGGACGGGATGCCGACATAAGGGGAGCCAAAGCAGCGCTACTTAGAGCCAGTCGATACCACTAATCCGTTAGCAGATGTGGTTATCATACGGGGAAAGGATTGATACCCTCACAGAAGTGAAGGGCAGCTGGTTATGCTGCGATTCGGTATGTGCAAGGCGCGCAACCCACGTCCTACCGAACTGTCAGCAGTGATAGTGATGCTAGGATTTAAACATACTTCTCCCACTCGTCAAGTGACAGGTACAGTTGCCGCAATCCCTCCACATTCAATTGGCGCCCAGACACGTCACCACAGCGTCGCATGGTCCGGTATACCAGCGAGACCAGCTCAACAAGCCCGGCAACACGCAGGTCGGCTGGTTGCTGTGCCATCCGATGAGCGCCGAACCGACATGCAAGCTTCCCGGAGGCCGTCGGATCCAGGGACGCGGGTAATCCGGAGGTTAACATCAGGTTGAAGTCGCATGTCAGCAGGTTGTACCAGACGCGAAGACGAGCGAACTCATCAGCAGACAACGGGGCGGTCGGACTATGGGCCAATGGCCGGAGGGCTTTCTGGTCCAGTCCAAGGAAAAGAGCGTAGCGCACTGCGAGACCTAACACAGCCCATGCACTAATTTCGTTGTAGCGGCTCTTGGGCGACTGGTCGTCTTCGGCAGCATACGGCATCCACTGCGCATAGAGAAGGAGCACCCGGATGGAATCTAGGGTCACATCTGACAGTGCTGGGCGCAACAACAGCCGCGACACTGCTTGATCGAGCAGAGCGGGGAAGGATGAGTTTCTGCCCGCCGTTGTATATTAGCATTGACGATATATGTGGAATATTGAGCATGCGTACATTGCCGGATCGGGGTTGTGGAAGCGCATTCCCACAGCACAGATAGCCAGGAACAAGATTGGGGAAGTATGTCGCAGATCCTGCCACGAATAACGCATCTCATCTCCTAAGAATGGGGCCCACGGGTGGCAATGATTGAAGAATCTGCTAGTCAGCGCCATGTCGCTGAGCCTATTTGAAACACATACAGGGTTATTGCACTTTGCGCATCTTCAACTGATATAACACCACGTGCAACGGGATCAAAGCCAGCCTGGGAATCATTCATGGCCAGGGCTCCCAAAGAGCGCAGAGTAGCAATTGGAGGCCCGAGATCGATGCCATCCATGCTGAACCCCGGAGAATGCGATGGAGTGGCTACCAAGGGTTGGTGACGGTGGGGAGTCTCTGCGGGTACGTCGAGGTGTCTTTTGGCTGATGCATTTACCCTAGACGCTTGTCTCTCGAGTTTCGCGATCCGGGTCTCATGGTGATTGATCCTGAAGCTCGTCAGTTGGTGCACTGAAATGGAGTATTCGCGAAGCGACTTACTGCTGGTGCAGCTCCACCACCAACTGCGCCATGCGCGATGGACCCGGGACGTCATCTAGTGCCACTGCCCGCTCAGTCTGGAAGGAACAAACTGTAGCTTGCTGTCTGCACCGGCGACACGGTGCTTGCGGCCCCTCTGGGCTGGGAGAGCAGCGTTGCTTTCTGGCGCGACACTGCAGACACGCACGCGCAGTGCGGCGGGCTTTGACTGGGTGGGTGCCAGTCGTGCTGTGCTGACAGATTAGCTCTAAGGTCGCTGAAATGCAAGGTGACGTACTCCTCTAACGGTCTTTTCTCCATCGGGGTTGTGCTGGACGTGATGCCTGGTGGGTTGTCAGGGACAAGTATGGTGGAGCAGGGAGATAAGACATCCATTCGGAGCTCCACTGATAAGAAATGTGGTTCGGGTGACTGGTAGAAAAGGACAACGCGATACGGTGTGGTTCCATATTCCTGATTGTATGAGCTTCAACTAATCTGTTGCCTAAGTCCACGGCGCATTGTATTATTAGTACAGTGCAATGGATTGGAAGACAGGCAGGGAGGGACACAATGACGACCAGCGAAAAATAGTGCTATGCAGCCCTGCTGACTAACGTGTGCATTAATCTGCACATATTGGATACCTTACCCATGTCTCTAGATTGCCTGGTTGCGACTATCGTCGGTATTCATTCCATGTGCAGCTTTACTTTATTCATAAGGGACGCCTTACACCGCTTCTGAAGCCAAAACCTCATGGCAGATAATGACTTCGGCATACCTGTGACAGCAATATTGATGATATTGAGTGTGTGTGTTGCCTAGCTAACTACGCGAGGAGGAGGTGACTAGGTGGCTAGGTCCGAGATCACGTGATCTCCTTTCACAATACCATTCGCCGCTAGGATATCACCACTGCATGTGTCGCGGCCGGGTACATTGCCACAGTGTTGTATGCACTTCGCTGCAAATGATGAGCAACAGAGCCAACAGTTCTTTATCGGAAACATGGCTGCGAGTAGTGTAGTAAGGTGGAAGATTGCTCATCCTGTGCTTGAAATTGCCTAATTGGCCGGACCCCACATCACGTGGCAGCCCCTGTGCCGGGAAAGTAATAGTCCGGTGCCGGAGCAATCGGAATGATGCCTGGCAGAGCCTCGATTGGTGCCTAGGGCTCCACACTCGACCCTACAAAATGGATCCTGCTGCACGACGTCTCTGCCGACCGCTGTAACACAACATAACAATACCCGACACCATGCTGGACCGCCTCCCTGATACGGTCCTCTTGCAGGTCTGGGAATATCTTGTTCCTCACTCCAATAGCCCCTGCTCTAACCACCAGGTCCATCACCTAGCCCCCTTGCTACGGGTTTGCCGGCGGTTCTACACACTGTTTCTGCGGCAGCTCCACCGAGAAATTCGTCTCCATTCGGGAGCCATACCGATGGTTGGGAAGACCATCCGTCCGCCGTCCATCATTTCCGTCATTGAGAATAGCTGCCGTAATGCCGAAATTGCCGCTGCTACCCAGGTCCTCACCGTGGAGAACTGGTTCGTCGGACAACGCGGCGGAATGACCTTCACTGCTGACCCCGTGATCTTGGAAACCCTCCTGCAATCCGCCCAGTTGTCTCCAGACCAGGAATCCTGGTGGCGCGAAGCCCTGGAAGCCAGCTATCAGGATGCCTGGCTTGCACTGCTGCTGCTGCGACTGCTCAACCTGCGCAAGCTGGAGATCAAAAGCATGGAGTCCGGATCGCCATACCTGCAGTCCATCCTCACCCGTCTGGCTGACCCCAACGACCCCCTCACTGGTCTCTCCCGGCTGTCAGAGCTGGCCGTGGCCCCGGCCATGTTCAGAAAGGAATTCTTCCTATCCAGCTTCATCCCGTTTACTCAACTGCCTTCCCTGCGCAAGGTTCATATTATCGGAGCCCTCGACCACTACCCAACCCCACCCGCGGGTGTGTGGGAGGGCGACGATGCCCTTGAAGACAATCCATCCACCTCTGCCACCATTATCGACAGCTATACCTTCCACTCCCCCTCAAACATCACCCACCTTACCCTCCGCGCCAGCTCCACCCTCACCACCCTACCCACTCTCCTTCCACACCTCCCTCACCTCCAATCCCTCATCTACAACCACCACGATCCCGCCCTCCACACCGCCGCCATGGAATTCATTCGCGACGGCGCCAAATCCGCGGGCCTCAACCCGTCCATGGGCCTGGGAATATCCGCAGCACAAGCCCACTATCTCGAGAACATCTCCAACACCAGCACCCTCAATCCATCCGTCCTACTCCCGGCCCTTACTGCCGCTCGTTCCTCCCTCCAATCCCTCTGGATCTCAACTACCCACACTCTGCGAATGAACCCCCTGGACAGACGAACCCAGGACCTCCCTGGTATTCCCATCGGCGATCTACGTGACTTTACGTCCCTGCGAATCGTCCGCATGCGGGTTGAGAATCTCCTACTCGTGGAGCGTCGTGAAGACAGGACCGTGAAATACATCCAGGGAAAATTATGGGAAATCCTCCCACCCAGCCTGGAAGCTCTTTACCTAGAAGAATGTGATCGTGCGATACTCCCCGAAATCGTGGAGCAGTTACGGCAGATAGTGCAAAGCCACGAACAACAAGTTCAAACACACCAGCAGAGCATACTCTTCCTTAATTTGAAGACCGTGGTACTGCAACAGCCGATGGATGAACCAGATCGTGTACCGTTTCAGTTTCCGCCTAATATGACGTCGATATCGCGGGAGATGATGGAGGAGATTGGGAGGAGTCGGAAGGCGGAGAATGATGTCCAGCCGGGGGTGTGGAGCGAGTTGATGGGGTTGAGGGAGAGGTTTGCTGTGCTTGGGGGGACGTTGAGGGTCATGGATAAGATGAGGACAGATGGGGAGTTTCCGTTGAGGTTTGTGTGATGCATTAACGTTGGTTACGCTGTGTTGGGAGGGGGGGATGGTGGGGAGGACGTGATGTGTATTGTTGAATTGTTGGATGGATATATGCTCTTGTGAATACTTAATCATGGAAAGAAACATAGGCAGCTCTGGTTGATGTTTGCTACCCATCACCTGAAAACTACAATAACAATATTAAATATACCAAGAGGCAGCAATCTGGTAGACCCAAAGGGACCAAATGATCCCTTTATCTATTAATTTTCAAATTGTTTTTGGTTTTACGGCTATTCTGACCAGTTCGCTACAAGTACGGAGTAGCGACCCCCTAATAAGACTCCTCAACTACGGTTTCCTCATCCAAATTCAGCTCTTCTCCCACTGGTCTGCACACAACCCCCGACTCCAACTCTCCCTTATACTCATTGCGCGGGACTGCAGCACACCACTGCTCCATGATCTCCTCGTCGTCATCCTCGTCGAAGATCATTCTCCCATTGTACGCAAACTGCCCGACCGTAACTCGTTTATCTGCGGGGGGATTATCCATGGAAGCACCAGTGGGAGCACTGTCGGACGAGACCTTGTCCACAGGGGTAATTGCTGCGGATCCATCCGGCACCCCCGTCATGACCATCTCACAAAACAGCCTATAACCCTTACCCCGATCGCAGATCATCCCATAAATAGGCTCGAGATCCGGGAACGCGTTGCGGAGCTTCTTAAATGTACGAATCAAACTCCGCAGACACTCCTCCTCCCAATCTGGTTCTGGAAGCCAGGCCCACTGGACCCTGATAATGCGAGTATCAGGAGGTAGGGAAATGTCATCAGTCAGATACATAGCGAGATCGCACTCGCCGATATTTGTCACCACCTGCAGTCTCCGCTCGTCGGATGCAAGTGTCACGGGGTGCATCGTCCATCCGGCAGGGAGGTCGGTGGCAGTAGAGTTGGCGGAATCAACGGGAGGTGTTGTTGGCTGGTCGAACTCTTGCGCCACAGGGGAGGCTGGGACCTCGGGAGGCACAGAGGTAGAGTCGACCGGGAAGGTACCGGGCATGGTTGTCTTTTCGGTCTCTTCTGGCACAGGGGCGACGGTGGCCTCCTCGGAGAGCTCAGTGTCAGGGAGCTTGGGGGCATCGAAGGAGATAATTTTCTCGTTCTCGGTAGCCTCGGGGCGATGGTCGTGGTCGTCATCAGCGGGGATATGCAGATTATCCACCTCGCGGGTCATGAGGGTGACTCTGACCTCGGAGGGAGCTGCACCAGATTCATCGGGGGTCGTAGGGGAGATGGTTGGCTCCTCGGACTTGGTTAACACGGGGTTGTGGGTGAGTGCCTCAGGGGGCACGGCACTAGATTCGTTGGTAGACATGATTGTCTCGTTGGAGAATCTTGTCGTCGTTGTTTATGGACGTCGTGTCTTGAAGAGATGATTAAAGCCAAAGCTTTGAATTCGACTAGTTGTCTTATCCAAGACTGGTGACTTGCTGTCTGGAATGAAGAGAAGATGGAGAGATCGTGGGGTTTTATAGGCTTCGTAAATTCAGCTGCGCCTCGTTTGGTTGACAGAAGGACAATTCCCATGTCGGAAGCTGCCCTTGGTGAAGACATTTGTGGCTAAGCATCTATCCGTATACTACAACTGCCTTTTTGCTATTTGTTAATTCATATGAATGACAGTGCTTAAGGTGATGGATCACACTGTTCATTGGCCTTCCTGAAGAGATACAGACTCTTATCTGACCTTTGTTGTTAGGTACAGACTTTTGATTGCCTCACATGAATAAGCTTTACTCACTTTTGAGGGTTTGGGATTCACATAGGCTTAAATAATTTTTTCTTTGATTTTCTAGACAGATTCCGATAGCTTGACTCGTTGTGGAACGCCATTCTCACTAAGAGAATGGGAGATTCAGTATGTTTCAATGGTTCTCGTTGATCAAGCTTTCTTGCTTGTTACGTTGTGATGCCTCAAAGTAAAGGAAATTCCCATGTAGGCCCGGGATCTCTACTAAGAAGATGATGACAACGTGTCCATTTGCGCTTTTTGTACGAAACAAAGAATCCCCGCAGTACCAGGAACCTAGAGAGCTAAGCCAGTCTATCAACTCTAGCCGTCCATATACTCGTATCGCAGGCATATTCCGGATTACTCCCTCCCAGTATTTGGGCATATCAGATCTCACCACCAGACATCGCCACTATTGTCATAGCGTGGGTGCCAGTGATTAGCATTAGATAATAAATTAAAGAAGGACAATTCTAGCAGGGGCTCCCCTGTTTATTCGTTCTTTGTTCAGTTGCAAGTGCATTGTCTTGGCGAGGATGAATTAGGGCAACGCCCGAGGGGCCGTGCGCGACGCGGTCTCCATTCTCAGCTATGCGGTCTACTCCACTATGCCTGGGTTTGCAATAATGGAAAATTGTTGAACGGGGCCCGATGCTTAACCCCCGCAAAGGCAGGATCCAAGCAAGGGATGGTGGAGATGGGGTGAAGATTCGGGTTTTTTTTTTGATACTCGGAGATTATCAACTGGGTGATTGAACTGCCACGGTCTATGCATAGGAAGAGCTGATCATTGTGACGTGCTGTTGATTAGTACAATATGCCAAGGAACCACTTCTTTCACATCCCAAGGAAGAAACATCCTAACTTCCAAACCTTTGCCAGTTGTCAACACACTAACAATATTCAAGGCATCTAGCCTATTTCTTCCTCTTATGAATCTTCCTCAACAACTCCTCAAACACACTCCTCTTCAACCCCTCACTCTCATCCGCCCTCTCAATCATCCCCCTCAACTCCGCCACCCTCACCTCCTCAAACTCCCTGTACACCCCCTCCAACCCCAACTCGACATACAGCCCCTTCACCACCCGCTCACACTCATCCTCCCCCCTCCCATAATTCTCCTCCAACACCCTTCTCTGCCCCGCATCACACCTCCCCAACGCCTGAATCACCAACCACGAACACTTATTATCCCGAATATCCGTCCCAATTTTCCCCAACACCTTCGGATCCGCGAACGCATCCAGAAAATCATCCTGCACCTGAAAATACTCTCCCATCGGGATCAAAATCTCCTCCGCCTGCTGTAGATTCCACGGCGTCGCCTTCCCCGTATCCAACAACGCCAACGCAACAGGCAGATAGAAACTATAATATGCCGTCTTGTAGACTGCGATCTCGGTGTATTTCTCCATAGTGAAATTGGTGAAATCGATATGATCGGTCGGTCCGATGAGCATGTCGTAGGATTGGCCCAGCTCGATCTTGAGCGCGACTTCGTGGAAGAGCTCGGTTATTTCCATCTTCATCCCCAATTCATCCCATGATATCAGTTAACATCGCCTTGATAGAAATGGGACGGGAACGCACATATGCCGGCCTCCCCTTGAAATACTTCTTCAACAGCACATAAATCGCACTCTCGAGCATCGCCGCGTCATTCACGGCCGTCATACCCACCTTCGGCACGCGATACCAGCACGGCTTCCCGCGGCGAGTATGCGATGCATCCATGATATCATCCAGAACGAGCATCATCGCCTGAAGTAGCTCGATCATCCACCCTAGAAGGGCGGCGTGGAAGTATTCGTCGGGGGTGAGGTCTCTGTCTAGTAAAAGACGCGCGGAATCGACGACTGAGAGGCCGCGGTTGCATTTTCCGCCGACGGTGTTGTAGAGGAGGGACTTTTGGAGGAGGAGCTTTGTAGTTAGTGGGATGTACAGTGGATGGGGAGAGGCAGGGGGGGGGGAGGGTACCTTTTCGAACCATTCCCAGACCTGAGTAGGCAGTTTATAGTTTTCTTGACATTGTTGACGGAGATCAGATATGACTTGGTGGAAGACCGATTCGAATTGGGGCAGGGTAGTTGCCATTATGAATTACAGGAGTGAAATAAATACAGAGGGAGATTTGGTAGGCGGATATCGAGTGAGAGGTATACGAGGAGCTATATATCATCCGTGCGGGGTCGTAGCTGGGGATCAAATTAACTTTCGAGGAATCATCTAGACCAAAGGGATGTAAAAGGATACGATGTTCGATATTGTTCTTGGGAAGAATACGTGATTGGTTCCGTCTTGGCGGATCGTGGGATAGGGTTTGCGGACAAAGAGCTGCATCTGTTGCCAGGGTTCCTCGGGCCGCACAGGTCGCAGCTGTAACTTTATTTGCCACTGGCTGGGAGTGCGCAAATGAGAGATGGTGGGTCTTTGAGGAAGAGTGGAAAGTTGGCTGGACGTGGAGAGTTCCATTGCATCTTGATAAAGCCAAGACAAAGTTAGAATGTTGAATCAGGTACCTTCAATGCCTAGATGGCCTTTTTAATCGAGATCTAGCTTTAGGACAGCTAGCCAGACCGGGTAGAGGCACTATCCTTCATCAAGGTCGATTTGCCCATGGCCATGTCACCAGCAAACTACTGGCTACCATTGGGTATTTGGGTATTTGGCCGGTCTGTCGCTTTGTCCGAGATCAACTTTATTTTCTCAAACCAGTCTTCCAAAATCAATTTTCACATCGTGGGATAATAGATGGATTTATTGCCGTAGAGGCTTGCTAGCTTGTTTCACTGCTAGGTTAGATTCCAGCACACGCTAATGGTGTTGATTTGGTGACATCCTGCTGATAAATGCGAATAAAGGATGACTCGGATTCCTGGTGGGATAGTCATATCGCCGATTGCACCAAGCATGGGTCGGTGATCACTATAGAGACTCCACAATTGTCAGGGCCATTGTTATTTGAGATTCATGAGTTGCGCACATGAAGCAAGTATATTTGACATCTTACTGACATGACGTGAGGAGCAACCCTTATATTGGATTACCTGAAGAGACATGCCACACGCCGAAGCCCTATCATACATGAAACAACTCTATATACACATGTAGATCCCCAGAAACCCTACCATTCCCCACCCTGAAACTTCATCGGCAGATGTAGCATCCGATGCCCTGCCTCCGTTGGCTTCGGCAGCTGACCCGCTCGAATATTAATCTGCAGACTCTGATGGAGCAGCTTTGGCGCCTGCATCTGTGCATCGCGCGCCTCCCGCAGAGCAATATACTGCTCTTCTGTCGTACCATCCTTCAAATGCTTGTTCTGCTCCCTGTGCTCCTGTACACTCATCCAAGGTCTTGGTGTTTCCCGCTCTTGAGGAGGGTAGTCATGCCCAGTCCAGACCTTGAAGTGACCTGGCAGAGACAGGAGCTTTTTCCCAGATCGGAAAAGGTCGCGCGCGCTTCCACCGGGGAAGTCGCAGCGTGCGGTGCCGATGTCGGCGTGGAAGATTGAGTCACCGCAGAATATATTTTCTGGGATGGATTGTTAGCTGGGAAATGCGATTGAAGGATGTCAACGGAAGTATGTACCTCCAATACGATACCCAAGATGATCGGGAGTATGACCCGGCAGATGAACAGCAGTGGCAGTCAGATTGCCAATCTTGAACGTTTCATCATCATCAAACAACTTATCGAACACAGTCATATATTCAGCCAAGGGAACTCCATATCGCTGACCAAACAGATTCTGAACCTGCGTGATCCGCTTCCCAATCCCGATCGGTGGGTTAAGCCCTTGACTCTGAGCGAGATGACGTTGGAGATATGTAGCCGCAGTGAGATGATCAGCGTGGACATGTGTCTCGAGTATCATCTCAATCTTCAAACCGCATTCGGCCACCGTTTTGAGCAAGGATTCGGCACTCCTAGTGCTGACGGTCTGGGTAGTCCGGTCGAAATCCAGGACCGGGTCTATGATGACCGCAGAGGAAGTGGCGGGATCAGAGACTAGATATTGCCATGTTCCGGTGTTGGTCTCAAAGATGGCATGGATGGTAGGTTCAACAGGTGTTGTTGAGGCGACACGCCACATGTTCTGGTTCGGTGGTTCACCCGTGGTATTCCCGGACGACATTAGGCGGCATGAGATGCGTGGAGTGAACGCATTCCTCAGGGTAACTCCAGAACCCGGAGGCTTCCGATATCCGGTTACGCCCTTACGTAGGGCTTTATTTGAGAACGCTCGCTGATGACTCTGGAAGCTTTGAACCCGTCGCGGTTGAGATGACGTAGCAGCAGGAAGCTGGGCAACATAGGAGAAACTCGACCGAGGTAGTCTTCGACTTGTTCCTGAAAGCAAAAACATTTCGATATCGAAGTAGTTGATAAAAGTTGACTGGTGATATGGAGGAAATGCAGGAAGGGATAACCAGCGATGATTCATCGTTAAATGCGCGGCTTGGATCGCCGAAGGAATCCCGGGTCGGCGATAGGCCGGGCGCCAAGACCCCGATTCCCGTTGATGCCTCAGGCGTCAAATAGGGGCAATCCAGGTGGCACTCATATCTTCCGAGGAGCTTCTGTGAACAACGCTTGTGACATATCAGTGGGCTGCATCTTCAATAGATAGTGTTTCATATCAGATCGTCGTAAGTATACTATTCCACAGGGCAACCTCTTGTGTATCTCCAATGTGTGACTGACAGTCCCCTATCCGATCAGTCATAGCTGGCATAATTCTCACACCAACAGGTCCGGAGTTTGCTTATCTACATGCGCATAATTCAACTTCTCAAACCTCATGTAACTGTACAGCACGATATTTGATGGGCTGATCAACTGCACATCACCGTCACATCTATTTCAACTCCTGGAAGCACCCCTTCGCTTCAAGAGCGGCAGGAATATTCAACTCTGCCAATCTGTACCTCCCGGCGGACAGATGATAGAAAATATAGCCGTAAATAAACTGATTAATGCGCTCAGTTGTAGGAGCATCATCGGCTAATATGCTACGGATGTTCCGTACTTCTTTGATTGTTGCATGCCGAAGTTGGCGCAGTGCTTGAAGAGACGTTGACCCGTGGACCTTGGCATAGTTTTGAACGAAGCCCGGACAGTCATCTTCCTTGAGCTCTTCCTTGTAGAAAGACAGCAAGTCGTTCACGTAGCCTAGGAACAATCCGATATTTGGGATAGCTGAAATGTATTTTGTCAAGTCCCGCTCTTCAGGATTCATGTCCTCCGGGAAGCACATGAAGGCGAATGGGTCAGCAATCCCGGTCTTAGCTCTGAAGTAAACGAGAAATTCGGACGCATCAGGCGATAGATGAGCACCGTCCTGACTCTGCTCAATCACGGCGGATGATATGTACTCCAGGGTTCCTTTGATGATCATGTCGGCGCCAAATTTCCCAAATAATCGTGATTGGTCGCCCAGAAATTTTGTGAAGCTGCAAAGTAATTCATGTCCATGAAGTTGTCCAAGAACTAATCTCGCGCTGTAGTCTTCCAGGTCTGGTAGAATGTCACTGGTAATGTCATCAATGGCCACTATGTGTGTAGTGTAGACAGCGATCGCTTCTCGAACTGCGGGGGAGGCATAGGGATAGGTGCAACTAGCATATTTGATTGCTGTTTTGATGCACGGTCCAATATCAGTGATGAAGTTGCGTGAGAGGCCATAGGACTGAAGGAGATTCTCAACACGAGCTTTTAGTCCCACGTCAGAATGAAATTTGGGGCGTTGGAATGAGATGTCCCTTAGAAGACCATTGACGATGTCCTCGTAATCCTTCTTGGATACAGTACTCTGAGGGGTGATTCTCTCCGACGAACGGCCACGAGAGTGGGTAGCTGATTTGAAGAGAGAGGCGCAAACGGCCATGAAGAGAAAGGCAAGCACATTGAACAATAAGAAGAGTATCCCAACCCCACTGTTATCGCCGCTCTTTGCTAACGAAAGTTTTTCTCTAATAAAACCCTGTCTTCACATTAGTCATACATGTATGATGAAGTAGCCGAATTCTTCCGCCTACCATAGTCCTGGTCAAGATGTTATCCCTTGAGGAGTCTAATATTGGCAACGGGAAAGACCTGGCCAGAAGTGTTCAATCTGGTTTTATACTCGAGGCCGGGTCTATGGATATGAGTATCTCGATCACACAAACCTTGGATCGAATAAGCAAAGAAAAAACCAGGCTTAATCGATTTTGCCCCTCGTGATAGACCCCACTGAATCGGGCAAACAAAAAAATCCCATCGAAGGATTGGTGAACAAATCCCGCACCCCTCAGATTTTCAAGGTGTAAACTCCGTTCTCCGGGCCAAATGGCTGCCGATCTCAGAGTCCTGACGATGTTTATTCGCGTAACCATGAACTGTGATCTGCTCACTAACTATATCCTAATACGTAATAATTTCATCCCGTGCTGTTCTTGTGTTACCATATAGTTTCTTGTGTCACCCTATGATCTCTCTTGTGTTACCGTATGACATTTTCTCATGCCATAAAATCTCTGTGTGACCATGGATTGCTTTTTTGGCCAAAACTCTATCTGCTAAAGAAAAAATGTCGCATTTATTTTCCAGGAGAGGATTATAGGTGCCTAACCTGGACGGTCGAACTATTATATATTCTGACGCAACACAAGGAATGTTCCCAGTTACATTCCTTCCCAGCCGATGGAAAGTACCGATCAGAGCATGGCAATATTTTCTTCAAAATGACTTCCACTTCAAATTTACTGCATCAAGCAGCAGACATGTGGTCAGCATTGCCGGACGAGCTGGCGAATATTTACCTATTCATCTCCATCCTTGCCCTCTCCATCTTGATCACATACAAACTCATTGTGGCAAAAAGAAGTAATCTTCGTCTACCACCCGGCCCTAAACCCCTCCCAATTATTGGCAATATTCATCAACTGGTAAATCAGCAACCGATTGAGCTTATGAAGAAATGGCACCACGACTACGGCATAATGGTGGCTATCCGCTTCGGCCAGCAAATGGCAATTAGCATTGGCTCATTCGATGTCGCGCACGACTTAATGGCCAAGCGAGGTGCCATCTATAACAGCCGTCCTCGATACATCATCGGATTTGAACGCATGAGCAGCGGACTCAACTGGGCACTCATGCCATACGGCAAGGAATGGCAGAACAAGCACCGTATTATGAACCCCATGGTAGAGCCTGGTGCACTTCATCGCTACCGCGGTGTGGAAGACCTGGAAAGCAAACAGACCCTGGTTGAACTTTTGCACACGAATGACTTTGACGCCGTCATGGCTCGTTATGCTGGCAGTATCCTCATGACACTGGGATACGGGATGCGGTTGGAAGACACGAGCAATGACGCCCCTCAAACGCTTTTGCAACTCAATGCCTATCCATTCGAGGCCCTTTCGTACTTCTACTACCAGGTGGTGGAACTGCTTCCGTCTCTCGATAAACTGCCTGCCTTCTTGGCGCCGTGGAAGGAGTTCTCTGCTAATGTGGAACGACGAACGACTGAATTCCACATGAGAAACTTCGACATCGCCAAGTCCAAGTCTTCGTGGAACTGGGTTCAAAGTGCCTTGCAGTCCAAGACAGGGTCTGGGGCTTCGCCAAAGGAACTTGCCTATTTGATAGGAGTCCTGGAGCAAGGCGGTGTTGAGGCTACGTTCATTGTACTGCGGCTGCTGATCAAGGTCATTGTTCTACACCCGCACTGCTTGGAAAAGGCACAACAAGAGTTGGATCATGTCGTTGGTCCGGATCGACTTCCCTCCTTTGACGACCTTCCTCAATTGCCCTATATCAAGGCTATGATGCATGAGGCCATGCGGTGGCAGGCACCAGTCCCACTTGGAGTCCCCCATGCAACGACCCAAGACGACGAATACATGGGTTACCATATACCCAAGGGCACGATCATTCTTCCAAACATTTGGGTCATGTCTTCCGACGCAGAGATGTTTCCCGATCCGCATGAATTCAAACCGGAACGATGGATTGAAAATCCAAACCTCAAACATAGTCCGTTTGGGTTTGGTCGGAGGATTTGTCCCGGCAGACATTTGGCGTGGAACAGCATGTTTATTCTCATGGCTCGGCTGATGTGGGCATACAATATCATTTATGCACGTGAAGATGGAAAGCAAGTTGAGATCGACCCATGGGACATAGAATTTGGATTTACAGCATCTTCTAGGCCGTTTACGGCCTCATTTGAAGTGCGAAGCCAGAGGAAGCAGGAGATTATAGAAAGGGATTGGGAAGATGTATGTAAAAGTTCCGCTCAGATTATGGAGGGACTTCGGCCCTAGGAAAGGTCTGAATTGGGGGGTGTATTCAGCGACATATTCCGGCGGAGATGAATATTGCGGGCATATATCATGTAGTGGGAGTCAGTCCGATGAAACTGACTGGACGAAGTGTTCGATTGAGACCAGTAGCGGTCAGTGTGATGTCATAGCAAAATGATATTCGTGAGAATCCACAAACCCAGCGATGATGAGGAGGTGCCTAGCAAGGTTCCATTTGTTAATCGCATTGGTGTAAATGCTGGCTTATGATTGGTCAGGTTAGAGTGTTGATATGTCACGTGATACTGGTGTCCCCCCGGTCTGGTAGTGTACATTCCCTCGGCTGATAGTTTGTCACCATCTACGTAGACAGGTGGTACTATCAAAACCGACTCTCTGTCGAGTACCGAGATTATCTTTTGGCAACCATGAAAAGAGCTATTGTCCTGATACTTCAGGTTATGTGGGCTTGAAGTGAACTGCGATTAGATAATAATTTGACGGGCTATTGACCGTGGAAAGATGAGTCATGTATCCTGTGATACCATACATGTTCGTCCGTCGTCAATTAGTTGCAATATTGACCCATTCTGAAAATATACTCGGCCAGTCCCCCGAATCATCAAACAGGCTATGCACTCCCGGTACCCCGACGGTACACACACCCTCAGCATCTCCACCGGTCCCAAATTCTGCCAGATAGAGATCACTCTGCTCCATGGAATGCCAGAACTCCGACTTTCGAATACTCCCATTCATCATGGGACAACGCGTCGAAGGCGAGGGCAGTGCAGTCACCTCCTGATTATCATCCTGGGACACAGGCGATAGCCTCTCAATGCTGTATGATGACGAGGATGAGGAGGAACAAGTGGGCGGTGCATATGTAGGCAAAACGATATCTAAAACGGACTTGAACATGAAGAATACATCAGGGGTTTCACCGGGCTTTGACACCGATAGACTTGACATCCGGTGCGAAAGGCTCTCGAGGTAGATTAGGATGCTTGATCGTGTTTTGGTTTGAAAGTGCGTCCATTCCGGGCTAGAAACAGCCGGAGATAAGAAACAGATCTGTGAGGAGGCACTGATGGTGAGGATTAATAGACACCATTCTCGCTTGGAAAGTAAGATGTATTGATCTACTGGGATGGAGAGGAAATATTCGAAGAATGCGCGGATTTCTGATACGCAGGAGGTTGCGTCGTCGAGTAAAGATTCGGAATCGGGTGTGTGGCTTGGTTTCGCGTCGAGGGTTCGGAAAGGTAGGAGGGCGATGTTTACCTTCAAGTATAATGCGAATACATGCAGAGAAACTGGACATATCAGCATAGTGATTATGACGTATGGAGGTGGGCATACTGTTGCTAAGGCCATGCACTCGTTCAAAGATTTGCAGCTCCAGACGAATGGATTCGATCCGTTCTTGGACTCTCTGCTTCTTTGTGATGGGGCACCTTTCAGAGCCATATTCAGCCTGGCTGCGGACTGTCTCCTCAAACAGCAGCTGAAGCTTTGCGAATTGAAGTTTTCGATCATACGGCTGAGCGAGGGTCATACTAGCGTCAACCGCTGCTTTGAGATAGCTATACGCGGCATCATCACCGCGCCGGCGGAAGCCGAGAGATAATCTGTCGGCCGTATTAGACACAGGCCCCAAAGCAAGGGCGGAATACGTACAGAGAGGAAAGGATATAACATCCGAGACAGGCGTCTCGAGCGGCTCCATCATGCAAGTTTTCCGTCAGCTTCAGGTCAGATATCATGGTGATGAGTATCTGCATGAATTGCGAGAGTTGGCTGCTGAGTGGTCGGATATGCAATGGACACCTAGATGATAGTGGTCAGTAGTGTTCACTAAGTGATGATGTTTCCTGAGTTTACCATGCCATATAAACCAATAGACCTTGCACATAGTCCAGGCTCTTCTCGCCATAGAAGATGATCCTCTCACTCAACACACGACGGAATCTTTCATCGACTCTCCTCTGTAGGAGTGGCTTTCTCGTTAAGGAGACCGTTAGAATGGCTAGTAGCAAGAACGGTCGAGATGCCGCCATCGAGGCTGCTGAAGTCCCCTCGGGCAGCTCAATAAAGGGGAAGAATTCCTGTCGCTCTCTGAACTGGCATAGCAATTCTTCCGCGTCTTGCATATTCAGGTTAATTTTACCAGACCCAGACTCGCAAATGACAGAACCACCGACACTGGGTGTAGTATCTTTCAGTGCACAAGGCTTGCCCTCGCCTCCAATTTGCCCCTGGAACACAGTGCGATGCATTTCACACAGTCGCGCTGATTCGTCTTCCTCTTTGGGCTTTTCGTTGAAAAGGTTCGCGACAAAATCATTACCGTTGGAGGACCGGTCACTCTTAGCCCTCATCTCGTGACTCCTCGGGGCTTGTCCAGTCCTGTACGCTAGTTAGCAAAGTGTCCAAACACGCGACTGGCCATCACATACGTAGTCGACTGCAGACTTCCCGAAACTGTACATGTGTATCCTAGCTTTGCGCATCTACAGCTATAAGTAGGGTACCAAACATACCGACTCAGCGCTTGGTCCATACCTTCGACACGCGTCCGTTCCGCTTGTTTTCTCCGACGGTATACACCGGATTTTGCGAGACCTGCACGGATCGCAAGCTCTCGAGCTCCGAGGACGTGGACATACGAATTCCCAGTCTTCGGCCATTGCTGTTCTTTTAAAATCCACTGATGAATGGTTGAGAATCGTCGATGGAGGACGGCTGTCAGATAGGCACTTTAGTATGTGGAGGGGCGGAGGGAAACCCGAGACGACCCCACATGCGGATGGCAGGTTTAGCCGGGAGACTTCCCGACTGGGAATAGCGCCAATGCGCCCTTGATACTCTACTGAGAGCAGTAAGCAGACCACTGCAAGGATACATATCTCGGAATACTCAGGCATGAGAGGAATTTCGTACCATAACAGGTCGGCTGTTCAATATATATGAGGAAGATTGTCAGTACTCCGTACCTGCCAACTGCCTACACAAAACAGACGGCCTGACCCATCACGTGACCCATGTCAATGCCCTCATTCACATCCCACCTCACAACTCATCCTCATAATCCACATTCCTCGTCGGAAAGTACCCCGTCCGAATCATATGCTCAACCAAAGTCCCCTCTCCACCCCACATCTCCCTCCCAAACGCCGCCACCGCATCCAGCCCATTCAACAACGTCCCCGTAGTCCAGATCTTCTCATCACGCACCCATCTCTTCTCCACCCAGGTCGTCCCCGGCGCCATCTGTCGGAACAACGACAGGGAGAATCTCGGCCCCGTCGCCACCTTACCTTGCAGAATCCCAGTCGCTAGGAGGGAGTCAGATGCGCCGCAAATGGATAGGAACGCGGAGCATTCTGCATAACATTTGCGGAGGTAGTCGATCTCTGTGGCGGTAGCTTGGTAGCCGATTTGACCGGCGCCGATGATTACGATGTCGAGTGGGGGACAGGTGGTGAAGGAGTCCTAGGGGTGGTGGTTAGGTGGTGGTCGTGGTGTGGAGAGTGGTAGGATTGCGTACCGTTGGGATCACATTGAGGTTTCCGCTCAGGGCACCAGGAGTGGTGCCGTCTTCGGTTACCCAGTGGGTGGTGAAGTCTAGGGCTTGGGTTTTGAGATCTTCGGATATGACGGCGTCGGGGAGGTGTTTGACGAAGTCCCTGCTGATGTTGTGGAAGAAGCCGACGGGGGCTATGTCGAGGTGCTCGGTCACGCTTCATAGATGGTTTAGCTGTGTGCCAGTGTGATATTGTGGATAGTAACTTGCGTGTTCAACAAGACAACTCCGACGTGGATCGGGCGTCCGGGGTTGCGAAGATCAAAGGTGGTAGACATGCTGGAGATGATTGAGGCTTTCGGAGCTTAATGTGAAGAATGATCAGATTGGAGCTTCTGCTTGAATGATGTACTGAATGCGAGGGCAAACATGTCCTTTTATAGCCATGATCATGCTTTTTGGATATTTCGAGTCTGAGCATATGATTGGTTCATTGCATCTAGGCTGCGGGCCGGCTAGACCTGCCACCCACTGTTCCGCCCTCGCTTCGCCATGCCCTCCGCCCGGGCAGTACTGGGCTGAAGTAAGCCATTGTTGATTATGCAGTCAGGTCATTCTGATGGATTGGTTAGCCCCGGGTATTATAACTGAGACACCGAAGACTATTTAGGCTCTCGTGTTGCCTCAATTTCTGTTACTGTTGTACGGAGCATATCTGATAAGATTGACCCGATATGGCGAGATCTCTGTCCGCGATGATTGGTGGCGCTGGCCATCAGGGCGGATATAACCGCCGCATCTGCCCTATATTCAAGTTATTGGCAGAGACAGAGTGGAACAATACAGTTCCTTGCTCTTTGAGGGAAGTTTCATTAAATTGTATCATTGGTAACTTGGGGTGTTCAAAGATATATATTCAGTATGCAAGAAGTAGAGTTGAAAAAATAGAACTTTCAAATGTAATTAGACGCCATGTAGCATATTAGGTATTCATTCATATCATCTCCGCCGCTCCTTCTGCCCCTCCCTCGGATATCTTGAATGTCGTGGAGATATTAACCTGATTTTGGCCCTGCCATGGCCTTCTGTCCAGGTCCAACTCTTCCTGACTACTACCGGCAAAGCTCAACCTGGACGAAACAATTGTGACCAAGCGACTGTGCGTCTTATTTCCTGCAAAGTCCGGAGGCCAAATGTTTGGGTCATTCAATCGCCTCCGTTGACCATCTTTTGTCAGGCTCGAAAGGGGGTGTGCTTGTTCGCCACGGCTTTTGCCGCGTTTTGCGGCGGGGGAAGTGCCAGCATAGTAGGAACGGGTATCCAGAAACAAGAGGAGTAGTGGTCGGAGGGTGGCGAGACTTCCAGCGGTGATACCAATTCCGATCTCAATGATTGACCAGAAGTCGATTTGATAGGTAGCATCTGCTGGGGTTAGGACTATCATGAAGAAAGGGTGCACTAGGTTGACTGACAGAGAAGGTTGGGGTCGTCGTATGTGTGCAGGTACGGGATTCGGATGATTACGGCCACGCTCTCTCTGGAAGAAGGTTAACGCTTGGCTGTATCTATTGAAAATGGGTGCACATACAGGGCTCCCAAGCCGAGGACGACTCCTAGTGCAACCTTCGTCCAACGATTCATCTGAAGATCCCACAGCAGAACAGCAGGCATTATTCCGAGCGTTATATCGGAGAACACGATGAGAGAACTGTACACATAGCCAAGATCCAAAAGGACTTGTCGCGATATGCATCTTCCATGATGATTTGGGTTGACATAGAACCAGAAATGAGAGATCGGTTGGCAGCCGGCGAGGAAGACCAGCCAGATCATCAGCCCGGCCAGAATCACTAGACCAGTGACTGTCCAGAGAATAATGCGATGCATTTTGTGCACGGCTAGTCGGAGTAGCGCAACAGAAATGGATGTTTTGGCGATAGCGGCAGACCAGCTATAGAGCGTTTGACAGATCCACCACCACTAAACAGGTGTCATTAGATTGTGAACAATATTATAGGTTGAGCTCCCCGGTACTAGGAGGTATAAGGCATACTCGAAGTGCTTGCTCTAGTGTTTCAATATTGGTAAATTCCTCGTTCTTGTGGCCAACTCCTCGCTTGGAGGCAACCATCCAGCATGCGTCCAGAGCTATGAAGAATGCCTAGATGAGCATCAGCACACGTCCCACTTGATAGAGCGTTAGGACTTTTACCAATGCGATTACCATCAGGGCATCGTCCCACCCAAAGGCATGGACCGAGTAAAGACGAACAAACGTGCGCAAGGCGACCGCCATGATACTCACCCCCATCATTACTGCCGCGCAGATGAAGATGGCCAAGCTGTGCCCGACAAGAGGCATTGAGTAATTCATTTTAGTAGAGGATGGTCTGAGGACAAAGGCCTCGATGGCACGCCAATGGCTCAAGACGGCTGGCAGGTGAGCTTCACTGGCGCTTTATCTACATTTTCTTCATGCGGCGCCTCAGCTGAACCAATTAATGTGAAGTCACCTAAGTGGACAGTCTAGCAGTGTTTGCGCGACAAACGAAGAACATGATCGCCGACGGAAAAAAAGGTGATCGACCTGCAAGGCACAGGCAGACCCATAATTCCGGGAGGTGACAGGGGTTTAGCTAAACGGAGCAAATCCGGCCGACACTTGCTCAGCCTAGGTTGATCGATCTGACTCTATCGGACCGTGATGCATCTATCTGATTGCGGTCAGATGGCCTATACTGTGAACTCTGAAGTTGACTCGTCTGGGTACCCGTCTCCAGTACTTGTCCCACAACCTGGGGGGATTTCATATCTCTTCCACTACCCCTGATGAAAAAGGAGGATCGTAGATATGATTGTGAGCGCCAGCTGGGCTCTCTGAAACGTCCGCCTGAAGTCTCGGTTGAGACATCAATCCTGCCGTTAGTGGTTCCTGCTGCCAGCCAAAGATATGAACCAGTTGTTAAGCCGCACCCACTCAGGGGAAGAGCTCGGGGCCGACTAAAGTGAACGGTTTATGTTCGGCCGGCGGTTTGCGGTGGGTCAGCGGATTAACCCAGTGGAGGATCGCGGCACAAGCGCAGATCCTTATTTCAGGCACACTAGGTCGCCCTAGGCTAGGGCGGGAGCCATTTTTGGACCAAAGCCTCGTGTCTATGTCACGAGCCATTCTAAGTGCGCTTTGAGGTGAACCGTACCAGGTCAAAGAGCTACTACCAGCTAGGTTATCTGGCAAAACTTTATAATTCTAAGTCACTTAACTTGGAACACGCATCACTTTTAAACCTGACTCACGGAAGATGAGTAATGTGAGAGGCCTAATCCTCGTAGTTTTCACAAATGTATGGAGGTCGAGACCTATCTTCGATTCTTAAATCCATTAAACTATTATCGCCTATACTGATTTGGGCTCCTATTCACAATTTTCACCGCCACCACGCTCCCGCGGTAGAAAGAGTCCTCACCGGCTTATTGAAGACTTATTTATTACTCATTGAACAGTGATTATTCTTTTGTTATCTCTTCTCAGAAAACGAAAAGCTCACAGAATCTATTTAGTGATCAACTACCAATAAAATCCTCGAGGCTATTCTCAATGACCTTTACACTACAATTTGGGGTGATGTATTATGGTCCAAATATGGGCTGTCATCCAATGCATGCAGCGGACCTACTTCAAGACCCCTTGGATCTGCTCAGGGGTCCGTTAAAGCAACAAAAGCACATTGGAACGCAACTCTTAAACGGTATATATTTACGCTGCTCGGTGCGGACCGAATACGCCTGAAATCAACCAAGCTTTCCAACACCCGGTACGGACGAGGCCCCTTGGTACATGTGCTTAGCTTGCTGCTTGAATAGGCTCGTCTGGTGAGCTCTATTTTCATACCTCCACCTGGCCACGATGGTTCTGCACTATAGGTAGCCAGATAGGCCAGGTCTAGTTCATGATATCCGACCATCTTCAGCACACGGCAATGGCTGCGCCGGATGGACTGACTTTCACCGAGGCTTCAAGTGACGTCAATACCGCAAAGGCATGACTTACAGGGGATGAAACGTGGAGGGTCTGCATCGTGAACCCATAAACCTTAAAACCCCAGCCACATCAACGGTCTTCCCAGATACCGAGCACGGAGCTGCCCGTGCCATTAAGCTTCCAAGCTCCTCGGACCCTCCCAAGCTGGGGCACCTGCCCGAAATTCCCAGGGATGAGAGGGAAAGAACGGAATATCTACGGCCGAAAACACACAAGCGCGCGGGGGGCTGATCGTTAGTGAAAGGCACCGAGGTCCAGCCATTGACGACCCGAATGATTGTATATAGCCTGATTCTTCAGCTTTGTGCAATGGTTTACGATATCTCCGCTTACTAATTCAATTACCGAGGTACCTTCCTAATCAGGAAATTCATGCGGCGGCATCAATCTTGATCGCTGCGTATTCTACTTCGTATACGCTCTGCAATCAGAGTGAATCAATCCAATGACCCAAAATCAAGTCAGGAGTCAAAGGCGTCACTTTCCACATGCCGGTCGCCGTATTCTAAGACAGGTCTCCGATTGCCTTGCTCCTGAGCAACCTACTAGATGGCTGTAGCATGTGCATGTATGAGAACTGCATTTTGCCCAGGTTTATACGTTGTCGAGCTTGTACGGAGTAGATGGAAGGAAAGAAAGGAATAGAACAGAAGTGAAGGAAGCATGTTGGCAGACAAGATTCCCCCTTTTCGCACTCTAGACCGCCTACTTGTTCGGTATTCTGCCAATACAAACACACCGCTGCGAAAGCAAACGATCATGACGCACAATGCAGTGTTAGCTGCCAAGCAGACACTCGATGCATGTCTAATGTTGAGACATGCTATTTCTACCTTCTACGCCCGAGGCTAAGAAGGGATATATTCCTTTTGGCATATGTGGATCTTGATATCTAATGTCCCTGTGATATTCTTTTAATCATTACTTCATGATCATAAAGCAGGAAAAAACCCAACGATACCTGTATACCACACCATCGGCGGCCTATCTCTCAGCAAACGACAGGAACAATGGAGGTAGCCAATCCGGCCACTGCAGCACGGCGGAACATTTAGCCGGACGTCCCTGATGGTCCGGTCTTAATTCTCCGGTCCATTATTCCATAAAGCTGCTAGTCTGTGTCCGATTATTCGGTTTTGCGGCATAAGATCCAGAAAGATGATTGGACCAGAATTATGTGAAAGGACCCACAGGCACTATTTATGGCACACTCATCGATCGCAATTGGATCACTCCAATGCAGAATGCTTTGATAGATTGGTAAGCATCTTCATGAATGTTGCATAATTCCCCACATTAACCACCCAAATTGGCATGTCATGGTGGTTGTTCACACCTTTCTTTCTTTTATCTTTCTTCAATTCATAGTACTCTTGACTGATCTTAGAGAAAGGGGTAAAATTAGCGATCCTTTCATTTCACGCTGCATTATAAAACATGGTCAGATGTTAACATGCTTGGACGAATAAGGTAGTTTTACTTGCACAGAGGACTAGTGAGTGATTTGTGAAGCGCGCTAGCGCTGAGCAAGTCTAGGTTCAGTCCTGCTAGGCAAGTTTTCAGCCCTAACACTTCTTATTAGTCCGTGAATCTCACAGTTTCAACTCCCTGATTAATTCTCATTTTTTTATAGATAACGTAATCTATCTATATTATCCTGTATTGAACCTACGCCCACAATACACGCAAACAATGGAGGAGAGGTGCCTAGATTGTCAAATTTGACCGGGCTCCCTAAGCAATCTGGCTAGATAACAGATTTTGAATAAGACATCGACATCATTCTTCTCTGGCATTCTTGCTTTTCCGATGAAATGTGACCGGCTCACTTACGACCCATTTTATTGCTCATCCAGGAAAGTGCCCTTGTTGAACATGGATCCGCCTCCACTGAGATGATTAATCTGAGAGCCCAGTGCGTCTCACTGAGATTTCACCACAGAAGCATCGTGCCCAGATGCTGGGTTAGCCATGATGTAAAAAGTCTGTCAGAAACGACCGCCTGAGGCATCAAGAGTGGCTAGATCGACCAAGGAGGGAAGTAGTTGTTTCTTGCAGGACTAATCGTTCAAACTCTCGCGGTCAACTCTCAGGGTCCAGAATTGTAGGTTACATCTATCATGATAACTCCAATGTGCAAAGCGTCTAGTGGTGCATCATTGAAATAATGTACATCAGATACTCGATGATGTCCAATGGCAGTAGCCTGAGAACCGGTGGAGACGTGTGGCGCATATGCAGGTCTATATTTAGAAGGCAGAGCACAGATCATGGAGTAGTTGATGCATGATGAGATCTGACCAAGTAAAATAGGATTGTTGATTGGAGGATTAGAACCTCCATTTCGAACCTATGAAAGAAGGCCCTAGATCATTTTAACCATTGTCGACAGTCGGATATTAAAATGCATCCCTTGCTCCCAGGCACTTCAGCTGAAGATCCTTTCCGACCGACCCCCTACAGGTTGGGCAGCAATCGTTGGTGGGTCCCACAGCTATCAGGCCCCCATCAATAGGAGTATCAGAACTAGGTTTTGATCAAGATCACAAGATCCGAACGCTCAAGATGTGAATAACCCACTATCCTTCATCCAGACCCACCTTGTCAGGGACTTTGAGCTGTTTTATATCAGACCATATAACCAAGCTGTGGTGGAATGCCAGCATCCTATCCGGACTGTCCTTCTCTCACTATCCCTACCACATCTACATTATGGTAAGCATCCTCTACCCTGTGCTCTTCTTCCTGATATCCAAGCAAAGACCCTCCATCTAACATTCCAACCCACGCAGGCCTTCACAATCCAATTTGAATCCGCCGGGATCTACCACGTCGGCACCCCTTCCCAACAAATGCTCGTCTCCTTCGAAGAACTCCTCGGCTTCCACGCGGGAATTACCGGGCTCCTCGAATACGGACACGGGTGGCGAGTCACCAAAGCAGTCATCCGACGTTTCATGGCCCGTCTCCGCTGGCGACCGATGGAGAGTCCGTACGCGGTGTGCATTGACAGTTCCGGCCCGATCTACTATGTGATCACTCATGGAGAGCATGCAATCCGGATCACAGGGCAGGAGCTGGAATCTTCGCTCTTCGGACGCGTGATTAAGAGGCAATGGGATCGTGGATTGGAGGATCTGGGGTGGTCGGAGGTTACATTGTCGATCTTGCGGGCGTTTGTCTATGGGTTGTGGAAGAATTTGGCGTACTATATGCGGTGGAGGAAGGTTGGGTCTTCTTGATTACGGTGTTTTGATGGGGTGTTGGTGTTGGAGTCTGGGCGTGTGCATGTCATGGTGGTGGCATTTGTTACTTGGTGCCCTGTTTATTCGTTTTTCTTTATGTTTCTCTTTGTTGGGCTACGGAGCGATGCATTGCTATCGGGAGTTTGTTTTGGCGTTGATTGGGAACACCAGTTGAAGATGTGTAGATCTCAGGAAGAAATCGGTAGTTTGAGATCCCCTCGACCAGAAATGCGAGCGTATAATCGATTGAGCGTCCACCATGGAAGCTGTATCCAGAACTTTCGAGGCTCGTCAATGTGGACAAATCGGGTCAAAAGCCCAGTGACGTGCAGAAAAAAGTGGGACGGCAGTGCCTGACTGCGATAGTGCCCCTGGCTAACCGTTGGGCAGAAACTAACAATGCGGCAAGTGGGGATGCAACTGTGGCGTAGGCACTAGGAAGAGATTTCCGGCCCGTCCTGTCAGGGGCCGATGCATTGAGTGGATTCCCGGTCGGTCTCTGGCTGCAGATTCTCCTGGTGGTGGCATTCATCCTCATCTGCGATTAAGCCGATCCTTGACATAGGGTTGCCGTTCACCCTACCCAATGCGAACCCCTATTCATTTGACTGGCGTTAGTTTTCTTTCCTTGTTCGTTTCTTTTTGGCTTAGGCCTTCTTCTGGGAGGGTCCCAGTTGCAAGGGGGTCAGAGAATTCCTGACACCGGATGAGCTCAGTCACGTGGAAGGCTCATGCAGTGTCAGGAATTCTCTGAAGCTGTCCGAGCTGTTTTTCCAGCACCGGTCTGACCCTGTCGCACTAATTTCTGACCCCCTCGGAGCTGTATCCCCTCTTCTGGGCCCATATTTGTATGAGGTGGAGCTTAGTGATCAGGTACTCTCCCCTTCTGGATGGGCATCTTCAGCCATCCAACAGTGTTTATAACCAGCCACTTTGCATCGTCTATTCAAAAATTCTTTCCCGCTAACAGCTAGATTAATCCTAGAATAACTGCCTCTTTTTATATCGATCTTAAACCGCACAGGACTGGAGTGGAACCTGTATGTTCGCTTTATATCCGGGTTGCAATAACCTTTCATGATCGGTCTAACGCAATAGTAGCTCGATTTTTCTAGTCGGAGCGCTCATAATTATAGGAACAACCAAATAAACATTGGTCGAGCATTGCCAGTTTTTCTATTCCTAGTCTTCATATTCTTTCGCCGAAGAGATTCAATCATTGCTGACGTTGAAATGACCAAGTCTCCCATATTGATGTCTCTAGCAAATATATGCACGTCACCCCTTCGCGATTTCCTACACCGCAAAACTTGTCTTTCTTTTTCTTCAACCTTGTGGCCGAAGCACGGACTCAGGTGCCCTTTATCCTAATCCATCAAACTTCTTGGACTTCTGGATTCGACTGATCGCAATAGCGGGATATCGATCTATCAGCAATACATGCCGCTGCTCTTCCGTATCGCTATCATTCTGACAGTGTATAATGAACCTAGGTACTCTTGAAATCTATAATACTTCTAGGATGATTTTGTTACAGTAGAAGCAACTTGAATTAACATGCTACCGGCTCGCCCTACTGAAGAAGGAGTATTTGATGTATTATGTATCCTATATAGGAATGCTAGTTGGAGAGAGACATATAGAGTATTCCACCAACACGGCTCCCAGCTGTCTTATGCTTAGCTTAGAACCAGTCTGTACACTGTTTAATTACTGTCACACCCCTAGCTACTAGAAATAGGGCCATTTAACATCACAGAGAAAATAATCAGAGCACTGATAACTACTCCGATAGTGTTCGATGCATAATATGAAGAGCAATTGGCCCCTTCTGCGGAGAAAGGAAGTCGTACCAGGCTCAAAGTGCTAGACAGGTCAAAAAGGCCTTCATTTTTGGGTCTTTTATCAAGGAGAGGGGCCTGCTGGACAGGGATGCAAAGGCAAGAGGGCAACTTTGTTGTCCGCGTCCAAGATCGAGTGCGAGGAGAAGATTAAGCCGTCTCGATCATGAACATGGATTTATTCCGAATCTATAACGGACGGAACAAGTCGCGAAGAAATTGAATAACCATTTGCATTGGGGATACCCCGTGGAGCATCGCCCAACTCCTGTCTCTAGACGTATTGGTTGGATCCACGATCAGGCAGTGCTTTGTGCAACAAAGGGAAGTCCCAGTAGCCAACCGTCGACTTGGTAATCCGTTCCGCGGGAAAAAGCATGGGGTTTCGCAGCGCCGAGCCCCATTTATATAGCATGTAAAGTACCCTCGTTAATGCATATGCTGATTAGAATCTAAACATGACAGCTTGATGTGAGTCTCAAGCCGTCAAAAAATTAAATCTCAAGATGGCATCGAATCGTGTTGAAGTGAGACTTTCTAAGGTTCGGGGAATTCGAAATCAAGAAAGATAAATTGCGTAGGAGATGAAAGTATACATCGCGGGTCAAATACCCCACGAGGATCTCATGTAACACTGCCTAATGCAGTAGATCCATCATTACGATTAGATAGACCTTGTCATAGGGAACCTTACTTCGGGATGAAATTTGATTGGCCTTTTCTGGCAGGTGGCAATGCATAGCCGAAAGCCGTACGACCACGGCTCGTCGTCTGACATCGTCGGCCACCTATCATTCCTCAAACATGGGAACAAAGCGCTTGTTGGCAAGGGTCGTATGCATGGCATAGTTCAGATGTTCCATCACCGGTTATATTCGGCTCTTAGATGATTTCTCCAAGCAGCTTATTTGGCCCAGTCCTTGTCAGATGACAAGAACGATATTGGCAACCTTGCTAGGATAGTCCCCCGAATAGCCGTAGTGCCATGGCATCGATTCGGATATAGATCCTTTCCACTCGTGTCCGTATTCGTTTTGAAGGAAGGTTGGGAGGCCTGAGAATTCTCGCCAATCATAAAATAAAGTCTCAATGGAAGATTATACGAGGTATCATGAGTTATATCAACCATCCTAGCCATTGGTATCTGAGCCTTCTTTCCCGCCCTGGTAGGCAACATGTGAAACGTAGCATGCTGCGCTTCCCAATAACGATTTTTAGAGCATCAGTGTACGGCTATGAAGTAAATATCGCGTTCTGCTTCATCCATACAAGTGCTCCTTCATGATGAGAGTGGCAGTGCCTAGAGAAGACATAGGTCCCCTGACTGTCATTATCCCCCGATAGGCCTACTCAACGGCCTGGACAATTAGGGCAATCTAAGAGACGATTTGTATAATAAGGGTGGATCTCACCTCCATTTCGGTCAAGACAGCATATACTGCAGTGAGCATCAACTACTCTCAAAGCATCCGGTCACAACACTAACACCGAATATCAAGACAAACACCATCCCATCATGCATCTTATCTCTGTTGCCATCGCCGCCCTCCTGACGACCGTCAGCGCCATCCGAATCACCAAGCCAGCCGCCGGTGACACCGTTAGCTGCAGCCAACCCATCAGGTTTTGCTGGGAAGCTGTCGTGTAAGGAACCGATGAACCCATTCCTGAAGGAAGTCCAACCCCAGCTAACAATCCCATTCTCTAGAACGGACCCGCCGCAATTCTGCCTCTTCCTCACCAACTTTATTGAATTCCCTCCGCAGATCTTCGACCTCCGAACGCGCGTTATAACTGATGGTGGGGGTTGCATAACAATTAATCCCCCAAATTGTCCAGGCCCTCTTCGAACAACGTATGTGGTAGACCCCATTCGTAGGATACCGGTTGAGATTTATTGAAATGACGATTATGACCTATAGCCCCTATCGCATCCGGGCCACTGCGTGTGGCGATCCCAACACTATTTACGCCGAGTCTGGAGACTTCCGTCTCATCCCCTAGGGAGTTGACTTGCCTTATGCCGTTCAACAGTAACGCAGGCCTGATGCGACTCTTAACCCTCCACAGGCACGAGCGAGTCGCAACATCGCTCATTTCAGCTGACTTCAACAGTCGGCTAGTTATGCTTGGCCTTAGGGCATCAATTTTCGATGTCTTCTACTTCTTGAATTGACATATTATCCTTGATAAGCTTTGCCAGAAGCCCTATAATTTTGTAGAGCTTTTCAAAAGCGAGGTGCTCAAAAGCAACCCGGGATATCTCGTAGCCCAATGAGCAGTCTAACAACGGAAAGTCACCATTTCGTCAACACTTTATTCTTAGTTTCCTTCAACACAGATGATTGTAGATGGGAAGCAATAGTACCAACCCCTCGGCTGCGATAGGGCCAAGCTGTCCATCCAGAACTCTGCCCTGAATAGAAGCGCGGGTGAAGAATAAGTAACACAGGTTGGACCTGCCTGAACTTGTTTTTTTCTTTTTTCAATTGCTAAGGTCTCGCTTAGTGAAGGTCACATTTACTGAACACGCCCCGCAGTCTTTCACCCATTTCACTTCCATCCTGTTTACGTGCGATTTTGCACCTTTACTCCTCATCCCACCTGTCCACGCTGTCCCCAATGACGAGACCTCCCTCGCAGACCACGCCTCTCAGTGCTTATTTCACTTCAGCGGAGGCCCAGTCGTGGCGTCCCTGTTTCCCCAATCATCCCCGCCATGTCATCGTCGGAGATAAGCAACATGACGTCTAGGGTCGACAAAGGGCCCGGATCAGGCATCGGCGACAACTCATGAAGCATGTACGTACTCCAAATAGCACGTTTTCTCCTATTGTTTATCGAAGAGGTGATCCCATCCTGCATTTCATAGTACATTTTAGGATTAGTACATAGGCCATTGAGCAGACAAATTAACTTAATATCGTAATAAACTTCAAACTTGCAAGGTTTATTTATACTGTAAGAAGTCATCATCGGGCGCTACGTTAACTTTCAAGTCTATAGTGGCTAGTAGGGGGCCTAGGCAGAGACAAAATTGAGCGGATCAGGCCTCCTGCCGCGATGGATCCCACGGGTGAGAAGACCACGTACGGTTGCACGACGTAGCTAGCGCTGTCGACTCTCAGAGCGATGATGACCTGGAGGTGAAGGCTAAAGCAATTGTTCCAGGCACTAGGGGCCGATAGAGAACATGACTGATCCGATATAAGCTCTACTACTACCGTTAGAGTAAGGGGTTGCGTCGTTCAGCATAATACCATATTCGAAACCTGTGATACCATAAAGTCATAGGGTAGTTTGACATCTTCTGTAACTTAGCCATAAATGACTCTCCATGTGGACCTGCGAGGTGGACAGCGTTCTCCGTACATGGTCTACAATGTCTTCACGGGAATTGCATGTTACCCGGGACTAAAAACAGGAAACGTTGCTTTTTAACCGTACCTGAGAAAGATGAGGCTACAACATCTTAGTTCTAATATCCCATGGCCCGTCAGTAACTCTTCTCCATATATTTCTTCACTCCCTGTTTGATCTTCTCGACAAAACTATCCTCCACAACGCCCTCCTGCCAACTGAAACGAAGCGCTATAGTTCCGTCTTCGTCAGTGGCAACACTAACAGTGACAACGGCCCCGGTAACGGCACAACTCCGGCTCAGCAACACCCTCGAGACATGCCAGCGAGAAGCTTTTCCATCAGGAGGAGGCGAGAAAACCCCAATGTTGGTGACCTCCAAAGCAGCGTCTCGAGGCTTTCCAACCATCCCTTTGAAGGTGCCAGGAACATCTGTGACGGTCTTTAACATTGCAACCGACGTATAAGGTTCACCAGAAGGCGAGATGTTGCTGAGATACTCATTGATTGCCTTGTAAACTTCTGCAGCTCCAGACCATACAGTAGCCTGTTCATAGCCGGGTAGGCTTTCAGCAGGACGCCTGACGTGCACTCTAGCGACATCGAAATACGACCCAATCGCACCGTTGACTATTTTGCGGGCAAGCGTCAGCCACGGTCGTAAGTTTACCGGAATAATGCAAGTCATAGCCTCCACGTCCGACTACTTGTCCTCCACCAACTCCGACCCCTCGGTCTTCTTATTTTCCTCATTCTTCCTCCGATTCTTCGCCGCATTCCCCTCCAACCCATACAACACATCCTGGGACATATTCGGAATCACCATCTCAAACGTATCCCGCACCACCGTATACTGATAATACCCACACCTGGCAATCGGCTCCGTCTTGCGCACATCCAACAATCCATCCGTGAGCACCCCATCCGCAATATGCACCCCGATGACCTTCCCAATGACAATATCCACCGTCCCCATGGGCGGATTTCCCGGCAACCGCACCGTCGTATGATACTCGCATTCGAATTTCACCGGCGACTCCTTCACCGTCGGCACATCCATCAGCGTTGCCTGCTCCTTGGCTAAGCCGCAAAGCTCGAATTCATCCGTCCCGTAGGGCGTTTGTTCGGCGGAGATGTTGACCGCTTCGCGGAGATTCCAGGTCGCCAGGTTCCACACAAATGTCCCGGTTTCTTCGGCGTTGATGACGGTGTCTTTCCGGATGCCGTGGGCGGTTTGGTTCGAGGAGAACATTACGTAGGGCGGGTCGAAGGTTAGGTTGTTGAATTGGGAGTAGGGGGTGAGGTTGCTTTGGCCTTGTTTGTTTTTGGGTCGATATCCAGCCGATGGGGCGGGGGATGACGCAGGCCTGGGTGGTGTTAGTGGTGGGTGATGGTGAGGGAATGGATCAGGACCTTGAAGGGGTCATGGGGGAGGCCGTGGTCAGTGGTTCCGGGTTGATAGAACATTTTGCGGGCTGGGGTTTGTCAGTGTTCTTGCAATGGTTTGTCTGGATGTTGGCGGAAGGTGGAATTGATGAGGGTTATATATCATGCTGGGCCGGCACATTACCTGAAACCCTGGAGTCCCGGCAGTTCGGCAAGCAGATTGATGATTCATTTCCGGCTATCGGCACGCCTTGCATCCTGCTTTGCCCCTTTTAAGAAGCGGAGCTGAATATAGATGCGCCAGATGTGAACGATGATCGTGGTTAATGCACGAGTCAAGTTGCGTCCGAGGGTCCGAGACCCCGAGTCGGGGTTCTAATGTGGGAGTGAGCCATGACGTTGACTATTATTACTCCCAATCCGCAGGTAATACCCCCGCCTTGATTATCCGAGTGTCAGAGGCAGCGGAATCATTATATGGGATTGTAGGAGAAGAGAAAACTAAACCAAGAATACCAGATCATATTTCATGGCCAAACCAAGACTAGATTTGAAAAGGTCTACTGGATCCCTGTAACATCAATATCACCTATCTCCTTGCCTCTTCGACATCTGGTCCCGGTCCCCCCTTCTATAGAAAGCCGTCACTGGAAACTTAAATCGGAAATAAACGGGGCCAGTCGCGGAGCCATCTCCCTTCTCATTGCCCACGCTTTGATAGCAATAACCAGAATCTCCCACGCCATTAAAAATCCCGTGAACCCCATTCCCACGGTCATGGTGAACATGGAGTCGATTTCGTAGCAGATCATAGTTTCGACAATATCTCTCGTCTATCGTTACGATCAGTAAAATCCCACTCAATACTCATTCCACATCGACAACTTACACTCATCATAAAAATGACACCACCACCCACCAAACAGAACGAAGCAAGAACCTCAGTAGGTGGACGAGACGGTAGGTACGAAGTTGGGGGCTTCAAGAATAGAATGACATAGGTCAAAATTCTAGAGACGGCAAACCCGGTCAAGAGATTTCCCCATTGCTGATGGACCATGGACGAAGTCATCGAGTCTTGATGATGCGATGCCATCATAGTGCCTAGGAGGAGGATGACCAGGGCGGGCATCGGGTTGAGCGACACCGTTTGCGAAGTGGGAACGTGCCAGACCGATTCAGCATGTTTATGGGCTGCAAACTGAGGGTATTGCAGGACGGTGCTGTTGACCCACTTCTTGACGCGTTTGGATTCGAAAAGCATACCACACTATGCAGAGAAACATTTATTAGCAGCATATAGAGGAAAAGGCATTGGAGAGAAGACTGATCTTACCAATCCACCACCCAAGAATAAAATTGAAATAGACACATGCTCCAAATCCCGGGCCGTCCATGCACCACCCCAACCCGACAGATGTTCCAGGAACACATTTGTGATTCCATAGAGAAAGATCACCAAAGATTCGACAAATTCAGCCGAAGGGACTCTTGCCTTCGTCTTGCCCACAATCTTAGCAGCAGGCTTGACGTTCCAGGACCAGCCCAAGTCGGACCAGCAGCCCATCCATCGCCCTAGCGTCAACAGACCGTACCAGAAGAAGATCCCGCCTTTGATGAAGTGCGCCAGTCCGTTGAAGATTTTGATGCCTCTCTATAGAAGTGTCAGCACGTGAAGGGCTTGTGTGTCCTACATAAGGGACAGGCCGTGGGCAATATTGTTAAGAAGAAAACACCTACCATGATGCCGCCATACGTCGCACCGCCCGTTGCAATGGCAACGAATCCAAACGGCAAGATGATTCTGTCAACAACCATGTAAACCACGTTCAAAATCCCCAAGATACGACGTGACATCATTTCCGGTACGCGATTGGCCAAGAAGCAGTCAACGAACGTGATGCGAAACCAGCGGCCAGAGCCAGCAGGCTTTCCACCATGCAAGTCATCCTCTGGCTTGTCAAAGTCGACGGAGTCTGCGGACGGCGAATCGCAAGTAGCCGATGAAGGCCCACTGTGGATGGAGTCACGGTCCGTGTCCTGGCCAGTACAGCTGTGAAATGCACTTCTCGGATGGGAATCCCTGGACACGGGAATGAATGTTGCACGCTCAGATGCGGTGACATTGGCTTCACCTCGTCCGGTGTAGGTGAAAATCAAAGACATAATGACCTGAGCACAGGCGACGCTCGACGCGATCCAGCCGATATTATGATGAGCATTGTTGGGGTACAGGTCGGGAGTTTGGTGATTGTAGATGATTCCAAGCAGCATTCCGAACGCGTTGACGATGAGGAAGAGAAGTTGCGTTGGCAGTGCAAGACGCGAGTGGGCAACACTGAGCATGACACCTATTCATGGCCAGGTCAGTCGTGACTGCTACAATAGAAAAGAAGCAGTAAAGGCATACCTGCAGGAAGAACGAAGCACCATGCTAAAATCATGAGGGCGATATGAGCGACGATTGTGCCAGTGTGTTTCCCATAGCCAAAGTAGCTCATGGGTGAATTATCACTGCTAGCTTGTGCAGTTGCAGATAGTTGGGGACTAAGTGATGCTGTGGGATTCCCACCCCCCATGTGCATGTCATCGTCACCATGTGGGAGGGCACTTGCAAGTGATGCCAGTTCCAGAGTTGTCGCCAGTACGGCCGAAAGTGATGCGCGCCTCATGGCCAAGAAGATTGAGAAATTTTATCTCAGGAATATACCTCGAATAATGATCGCTTGAGGTTATACAGATCCAGTCAGCCAAAAGACACGGGCGACGTAGTACAAGAGTTGTAGACGAGAAGAAAAAAAAAAAGTAGAAAGTAGCACAAGCAGGTATATAAGAAGCCAATCAGGGTCGCATCGTGTCAGCAGATGGGCTAGGCATCTGCAAAAGCAGCCCTTTCATGGAACCATGTCATCATGTCTGATGTTGCTAAGCATCCCTCATAAGGTTCGATGAACCCGGACCCTGAATCACCGCCCCACTTTTTATCTACTTCCACCAATCGACGACATCAGTCGCAAAACATACACCCGATTCGGCTTAGCATGGCTCTCGGCTTATCCGGGGTATATCCTGGAGCCTGCAATTAATCCGCTGCAGGTCATAATCATACCGTCGCAAAACCAGCACTATATTCGGCTACTTGTCACGGGTCCAGTGGGCACTTTGGACGTAATATATACCAACGCACGCATAAATTGGAAGGTCATAATCTAATTTTGGAAGCAGGTGGAATAAAATCGTCGAGTTAGAAACAAGAGGTGCTATGGTCCACTCATGAAGATGGCACCTTTCCGAACTCCGGTTGCCAGGTTTTCAACCATTGCATCTGAAGGCTTCCGTTCAAGAAACTTCGATGGAGAACCGACCCCGTATTGAGCACTAGCCACCACCGGGGGGATGTGAAGCAACGTCGTAACCCGCAGGAACTGATCGCGGATCCACTCGTACTGCCCCGGTCGGAAGAAGGTTCTCATCGGCGGACCATCCGCCTCGAAGGCGAATGTCAACAGCCGGCTGAGTGGACTCATAATGTGCCATGGCCCTTGGGCGATGATGTGGCGCTGGTGCTCGTCCAGCGCCGCCTGGGGTTGGTATTCTCCGTTGCGATCCGGAAAGTGTGCGCTTGGAAGCAAAATGGTGGGATCGGCGAAGTCGGCAATGCTTAATGGCTTGCTAAGATTGCCGAGATAGAAGGGCACAGTATAACACACCCCGTCGACCATCTCCCGGAAAATGTGCAGAAGCTCGGCCACCTCAAGGGTCGACAACATGTCATTGCACTCGCTCTCACATTGAGCATGGAGCAAACTAATTTTCATCTTGACAATCAGGATACGTTGAATGCACCACAAGTTCCAGATCGTGGCGATTTGACAAGATGGGTAGATCTCGCACGTGGATTGATAAGCCGGAATGGATGGATCCATGTTTCCTCCATCGCTAAGTCTCCGTGGCCGCCAATACTCGGGCACGCAGTTTGCCCAAGTCAGCAATTTCTGCTCGACGTGTCTTGTCTTGGCAATGCATTCGCTCAGAGCCTCTGTTGACAACATAATATGACCGCTCTGTAATTCTTGCTTCAAATGCGCCTGTAGCCTAATAACGGACACTCCGATCCCATCAAGTGCAGCACTAGGGTTATCTGGGAGAGTGAGCAGGCCGTTGTCTATGCATGAAGATACAGTTGCTTGCAACTGCCTCCCTTGGCGTATTGCCGAGCAAATTTCTGTATGAAGAATAAATTGCCGAACATATGCACTTGCACTGTCATGATCATCGCCTGCATTGGTGAATGGAAGGAAAGACACTGCCCCGTTGTGGTGGACGTGCGTCGATGGGCGAAGGCTATAGATTGCGTCGATCGTCTCAAATAGCTGCAGGGATAAAACCGCTAGAATTGTTGCGGGGTTGCCCCATTCCCGGCGGTCCTGGATTGTCCGCCGAAGACACTTGACGGCCCGGGTGTAAGCCTCCTGCGGCTGAGAAGAGTGGTCATGTCGCCAAAGAGACAGGACTTGTGACGCAACCGCTGAGACAGCTAATGATAGTGCGGACTCTTGCCGCTGCGAGCAGTAGATTGGAATGAGCACCTCGTAGAACCCACGCGCGGAGCTCATGGTTCGGCCCATTCGGGCGTAATGGTGAAGGTAAAATGGCACGGCTGTGTCGGGTTCACTTAGCGGTCGCAGGTTACAGGCTCGGTTCGGCTGGGTGGCGCCTCGGACTATAACGCCCTTGGTGCCAAACTTATGATTCTGGTCTTTGAATTTGAGACTGGCATATTTCGTCTGGTAGCCTCCACATTGGAGCTGGAGCCGCTGACACGCCTGGCATTTCGGTCTTGTCTCGTCACATTTGACGCGTCGTTCTCTGCAAGTGACACAGCCTCCTGAGCGCCCACGATTCACCATATTGGCAGCAACCGTACTAAGAAAAGGGAGTTTTTAGCACTTGGGATGGCGGACCGTCAGCGTCGTCTCGCCCAGGCAGCGGTTGATGTGCCGGAGCTTCGGCAGGCCGAGTCCGGCCCATTCTTGGCGGGCCGCCTAACGCCCGGATCCAGACCCACTAGATTTGGTTCGATCTGCAGTCTTGTATATGAAGATTACTCTATATGCTAGAATAGCATGAGATATCAAATAAGGAAAGACTAGAGGCCTAGTGACTGTCGAATAATAATATCATCTTAACTATTCTAAGAAACCCTAAGGACCCCAAGAACCCTGAGAATCGTAAAGCGTTAGGTAGCGTAATAAAGCACAGACCTACTCAAGCTTTTGCGTTATATAGAGGGCTAAAAAGCGCTATTAATATCACTCTAAGATAGTCAATACAATACAAAACAGGTGGGGAGCACTACAATGATGTGGCGCTGGGCGGGCGCTGCGCTAATCACTCGCCCCACCCGGATCCACCTTGCGCCAGTAGACGGTATTTATCGCAAAACATGCACCCGATTAGGGTTAGTGTGGTCCTCGGCTAAGCCGGGGAAATCTCATCGAGTCATCCACGATCCGTAAGTATAACAGTGGGGTCCGCCAAGTCATCGAACTGCAAACTCTTTGGCACCGTCGCAAAAAGAGCACTTTCTTCGGCCTGCTTGGCATGGGTCTGGATGGTGTGAGGTCACTACATGGTTGCCTGGCCGGACTGATTCATCATGAGTACGGTTGTCCAGATATATAAACAGTCGAAAGTTGCTTGAAATCATGGCATGGATAAGTTCATTTATTACACTCAACTCACTCTATTCGGGACGTCAAATCAATCATCTGCTACATCTTAACCTCCAATATGAGGCTTTCAGTCACCATCTACGCCTTATTGGCAGCCTTCTCATCCTGCTCTTCAGCAGATCAGGTAAACCAAACCAGCAATACCCCAACTCTGGACCTGAGCACCGACTCCGCCTTCAACTTTCAATATCTCATTGCACTCGGGGATGCCCTAACCGGTGGATCGGACATCGCCCCAGTCCTCGGTGCCGCCAAAAACATCCAGGCTGGGGACATGGAATCCTTCAGTTCGCAATTCTACAAACTCGCCAATTATACCAAGGCAATGGCCGAAAACCCCGAAAATGCCTACGATCCAGTCAACGTGAGAGACATGTGGTTTTCGACTGCCCAGTACTTCCGTCGTGCGGATATCTACCTGCATGGTAACTGGAGCAACCCACTGATCGACTCCCTGTGGGCCGAGCAGACTGCCGCCTTTGATAAGGCGATGGCTGCTCTGCCGGTACCGGGCCAGTGGGTTCGCATTCCCGCCCAGAAGGGCAACTTCACCATTGAAGCAATCTGGTACGGTGCATCGGACAGCAATAGCCAACAGCTCCCGACCTTGGTTATCGGAAATGGATTCGATGCCGCTCAAGAAGACTCATACCATTACTTTGTGGCTGCCGCCCTAGCTCGAGGGTGGAACTGCATTACATACGAAGGACCCGGCCAACCGACTGTGCTCCGTAACCAGCACATCGGTTTCATTCCGGACTGGGAGGACGTGGTAATTCCCGTTGTGGACTACGTTCTCTCCCAGAAGTCCCAGGTCGTGGACCCGGACCGTCTGGTCCTAGTTGGAAATTCATTCGGCGGTTATTTAGCTGCGCGCGCGGCCGCATTCGAGCCTCGACTGTCCGCCGTCGTTCTCATCGACGGGGTATGGGATCTCTACGCCGGGTTCTCGGCCCAACTACCCTCCGACCTCCTGGCGATCTACGAGGCAGGCAACTATACCACGTTCGACCAAGAAATTCTCTCGCTGCGTAGCTCCGACCAGCTCTCCACCAACACGGCCTGGGGCCTCGACCAAGGCTTGTGGACGTTTCGCACCCACTCGCCGTCGGACTTTTTCAATCAGACAAAGCAGTACCGACTTGCAGATGTTGCTGCACGAATTAACATGCCGGTGTTTGTCGGTGATGCTGAGTTCGAAAATATTTTCCCCGGACAGCCGCAACAGGTCGCGGATGCAATCGGTGATAATGCAACTTATCATATGTTTAATGGGACGGCGGGCTATCATTGTCAAACTGGGGCGGGACAGGAAATGACGACAACCATGTTTGGCTGGCTCAATAAAACGCTGGGTGGGGTATAGCCACAGTGTGCAGTGATTGACTGGTGTTCTGGATGTGTATAGTGAAAGTGTGTAGGGCACCTGTTCGTGGCTATCATGGCGCTGCGTCGGCTATCATAGCCATAATGGAGAATGTGCCGTGCGAAACATAATACAGCATGTGCTTAGGAGAAGTAAAAGGTAATAGGTATTGTATGCGATCCAAGGAAGATTATCAAGCACCTATTTGGGAAGATCGGGAGATTGATATGAATTTGAAATAGATATTTAGCAATCAAACTACTTGCGTCATGTCGCAATTATTAGTTATCAATAGTTCAGCCTACCCACCCGCCATCATGTCAATAACATCGTTTATAACTATTAGTGCTACTATTTTCTCCACGGAGTAGTGATGGTTGGACTTTTGAATCTAGCGCGCGGGGCGGGATCTTAAACCCGCCCCGAGTCACTACCACCGAGGGGTAGCTCGGATAAATCGGGTCAGCTTGGGTGGAGCAGTTGAACGATAATTCGCGCATCTTTCCTCCGTGAGATATTTTTTGTCCCTTCTGTTGAATAATCACGCATACTGGATGTCTCATGATTGTTAGTTTGTTCGTTCCTTAAGGCTTCGTGGCCCTAGGCTGAGGTCTCAGTGGTCATTCAAATGCCTCGTATGAATCCAGCTGCCAGTAGAATGAAGAGGAAGCTTCTGTTACCGTTCTTTCAGTCAGTTGCCGAGTAGTAACTATTTCACTGGTTAGAATATCTTTCAGCCGTATTTCGATGAGCCCATGTGGCTTCAGGTACATGATCGATCTCTATGTAGTAATACATCAGTGGTATTGAGACGCCATTGTGGATATTGTCTCCTGCAAGGCCCCCCGTCAAGGTCAAGAGCCTCTTCTCGGGCAAAAGAGTCATTCACTACAGATCGAAACCAATCAGGCATTCAGTCAACTATATCTAAACTGGGTCATCACAGATGCCTCAAGTCAAGTATAAATACAGGATGGTTTGCCCTGGATGCTGCTGGTAATCCATCCTATCAATTGTATGTCCTTCTGTCCTCATCGTCAGACAGCCGCCAAAATGATGCGAATCATCCTATACTCCATTAGCCTTTCCCTCATCAGCCTCGGGCAGACGGCAATCATCCCTCTTCCTTCAAGCACCGGACCATGCGACGTCACACTTCAAGCCAGTGAACTAGCCGACCAGTCTCGAACCGACCCATTTGACCCCAAAGAAGGTAAACGCGCGATCATGGTCACCACCTTTACGCCCGTCAATTGCGGAAGTGTCCTCTCTACATTGTACATTCCCAACGCCACAGCCAAATATGAAGATGTGACTTTCCAGTCTTTTGGATTACCCGCAGGAACATTCGAGTCCCTTCGTATCCCGGCTCAGACCCAGCGGCAGCCACCCCCTTCCTCCGACCACCCAGTGGTGCTCTTCTCGCCAGCTCTAGGAGTCTCCAGATTAATGTACACATCGATGCTGCAAGACATCGCTAGTAACGGCTTCGCTGTCATCTCCGTCGATCATCCATACGATGCCAACATCGTGGAATTTCCCGACGGCCGCACAGTCATCGGAATCCTCGGAAACATCACCACAGATGCGGAATACATTGCAGCAATGAACATTCGTGTCCAAGACATGATCTTTCTCCTCAACCAAACCCACAACGCAAACGTAACAAGAGACATATTCCCCCTATCACGGACAAACCCACACCTCCTCTCTCTCTCCCGAGTAACAATCATGGGTCACTCCCTTGGCGGCGCCACCGCCGCGCAGTCAATCCTCCTCGACAACCGCTTCGTGGGGGGAATCAACCTCGACGGTAACCTATGGGGCTCCGTCGTGACCCAAGGCCTCTCAACTCCCTTCCTACTCTTCGGCAACGCGAACCACAACCAAACGAGCGACTCCAGCTGGGCCACCTTTTGGAACCATACGCGGGGCTGGAAACGGGAGCTCCAACTCGCGCAGTCGAAACATTATAGCTTTTCGGACTTTGCCGTGCTGGTGGATTCGCTGGCTATCTCGGAGGAAGTGAAAGAAGTTGTTCAGGCGGGTTGGGTTGGCACGATTGGTGGGTTAAGGGCGAAGAATGCGGTTGTTACGTATGTTAGTGCTGCTCTGCGGTATTTTGTTACGGGGAATATGTCGGAGTTGTTGGGTGGGCCGTCGGTGGCGTATCCGGATGTTACCTTTACTTGATTCTTGATTGGTTGGTTGAGTGATGTATTGGGGTTTTGATTAGATGTCAGAGTCATAGATCCAACGTCTGGAAGGTGATGGCTTTGATGTACCTGGCATATGGTTGCTGGAACGTCACAGAAAGTAGGGATTGTGGGTGGTTGGACGTAGAAGTCCTTCGTTCAGAATAACCATTGGTATAGATACCACTTTACCTGACTTGAATGATTAGTATTTGAACGTTAACACCAAGTTATAGAAGTAAGACTTAAAAAGTAAGGTTGTGGATATATATACCGCGAGATACCCTATTCATAATCAGTAACAATAAAAGAGTAAGGGGTACTTATGATTGCAGAATCATTAGGACGATTTTAATGTTTTGAAACTGAAGCCAAGGGTCCACCGCTGGGAACCTAGCGAGGGGTTTGACTTGCTTCTGACTTCCGAGCCCGAGCGCCCTAGTAAGTAGTAGTAGTACTTTGTACGTAGTATGCTCGGCCGGGCCCGGCACACCAGCCAATGAGGGCGGCCCGGGAAAACCCCCGTCGGTCTGTCCTTAGGTTGACCAAAGTACGACCCGGAGTCCGCTCGGGGGGCGTGATTGTCCAGCCTCCTGAACCCGCTGGCAAAGTCGGAATCCTCTCCTCTCTCGTCTCTCTGACCATTTCACCCCACTCTATCCATTCTGTTGTGCCTTCCCCTGAATCAACGGCCATCGCAACACAACCTGACTCCTGACACAACCACCCCTCCCATTACTCACTCATGGCACCCCAGCCGCCATCCGAGGTGCCCACGGAGCGTGCACCCCTACTCTTGCCGGATGAGCGTCCCGATGGCAGCGACCGTGATGGCCATGTTTCAAGCCTACACATCGTCTCCCAGCGTTTCCTCCTCCCTCTCATCTTTGTCTCCGTGGTCGCTGCTGATTTCGGCAATTATCTCTCTTACGCTCCTCAGATCGCCATTTTCGAGTCCATCATATGCCATCGGCTCGGTGAAAATCGTTACAGCCTGGGACCGGGGCCGGGATGCAAGTCACCGAATGTGCAAGCAGAACTGGCCCTTGTGAACGGTTGGAAAGACATGTTTGACCAACTCCCGGGGATCGCACTGGCGCTGCCCTATGGTTTCCTTGCGGACCGAGTTGGGCGCAAACCTATCCTCTTGCTCAGCCTTATGGGCCTGTTGATGGAGGAAGTCGCAATCCGGGTAGTATGTTGGTGCACTACCGTTTTTCCGATACGGATGGTCTGGGTGACCCCGATCTTCCAACTCATTGGCGGCGGTCCTCAAATCTCCACGGCCATGGCCTATGCTATGATTACCGATGTGGTCCCTGCTAGTAAACGGTTTGCAATCCACCTGTCACCCGAGCTTTCATACACTTGCTAATCAGACAAGCAGAGCCTCTGTCTTTTTTCTTGTGGCAGCCGCGATTCTACTCGGCGAAATTTTAGCCACCCCACTCAGTGCCTTTCTAATGTCATGGAACCCGTGGGTTCCTTCGCTGTTCGGCGTAGCGATCCAGGTATTAGGTCTTCTTGTGACGACGCTTCTACCTGAGACATGTCCCCCAAAAACCCTAGACCGCGAAACAGTGGAGGCTGGGGGCCTTCGCAGCAATTCTGCTGGTGCTTTTGATGCTACCGATCCTCCTGCTGTGCCACGACATTGCCCGGGTTGTTTTCCGAGAAGCACACTGCGCAACTCTTGGGATCGAATGAAAAGTGTCACCGTCGATGCAAGGAACGTCAATCTGATTTGCATCGTGTCCTCCTTTCTCCTAGCCAGTATTGGCCGTCAGGCATTACAATTGACTATTCAATATGCGTCCAACCGGTTTTCCTGGAGCATTGCAGGAGCCAGCTACCTCATCACAGTCAAGGGTCTCATCAACCTCCTGACTCTTCTGATTTTGTTGCCAAAACTGTCGGGTTGGTTGCGTAGATACATGCGATTTTCCCCTGTTGCCACAGATCTTTGGGTCGTGCAGTGGAGTGCGTGGATCTTAACTTTAGGGATGGCGCTGATGGCGATCGCGGCTCGGCCGCCGCTCTTTGTATTCGGGGTGTGTCTACTCGCCTTTGGTTGGGGCTTCTATTCAGCGCTGCGAAGTTTAGCAACGGCGCTGGTTCTGCACTCTCAGATTGGTGTCCTCAACACGGCCATTGGTCTAGCACAGAGTATCGGGTCAATGGTCTCAGGTCCCCTCCTGGCGAATGCATTTCAACGCGGGGTCCACCAGGATGGGTTTTGGATGGGATTGCCTTATCTCCTAGCCGCCGCTTTGTTTTTCTTGGCGAGTTGTTTGGTGTCTATTGTTCGCATCATGGCTGAGGAACCAGAGCCATGACCGTTATCTAGGCATCAGGAAAAGACGTGAAGACGTGGAGCATACCAAGTTACATGGATTACCTCATGTGTCCTTGATCGCGTCTTTGTGACGAGTTGTCATTCATAGTCATATTTCCAGCAGACATACCAATGACAAATGTTTTCTAGTCCCCTATCCACTCAACGACACCACCTAACCGTACATGCTGTGCTGTATTATTCTTGCTCTGTCCATCACACCACCGAAGGGTTTACCGTGGCATTAGTACTCATGCCCCTAACACCCCACCCCACGACTTTCATTGGTTGACGTTCTTATCACACATCCTCATCCGTCCCCCAAACTTTATCAAGATATATGGAACCGGCACCATTGCTAGAGCAATAAAGGCCAGCAGGCTATTTCCCCATCCGAGGCCCAATGCTTCATACATCCTCTGACCTCCAAGAGGCAACAATGCTCCTACTAGGCTCCTCAGCAAGTTGCTCGCTGCTAGGGCCGACGCCGAATGAGCTGGAAATGCATTCACCAGATAGATCTGCACAGGCTGGAAAATGCCCATCATCCCAAAGCCAAACACTCCGAGGCCTAGCAAAGGTATGACTGGAAACGCCCGTGTCTCTAGTGACCAGCCGTACCAAAGAAGACCGATTGGAGTCAGAATACTTGCTGGTATCATGGGCCACAACCAGGTTTCTGGTGCCAGAGTTTCATCTGGCGTACCTAGTCTGGCCTTCTTGCTCTCCGCAACCTTATCAGATGCGTATCCGATCGCGAATATCCCTGGTAAATAATTCGTCAATATCAATTTCAAAAAATTGCTACTTCTTTCCGACATGGTAGATGTCCGGGACCCACAGGAACTGTGGCTACGAGCTTCGCTGCACATTGCAAACGGATGATACGTGTGAAAATTGAGTCATGGAGTGGACTCGTAATGAGACGAGGTCGCTCCAGTGGATGCTAAGGGTAGGAAGAAAACAAGCCTTTATCATACCTAATATGGTGCCGATCCCGTCTCCCAAGTAGACCAGGCCAGAAAGGCCAGTCGACAGACGGTACACATCTTGGAAGATGTATGACAGTGTAGTAAAAACCAGGTACTGGTACCCGTAAACTACTGCCACGTCGAATGCCAGTGTCATGACAACGGGGGACGTCAGGAGCATCTTCAACGGCCGCACCAGCGCATTGAAAAACACCTCCCGTTGTGATAGCTGTGGGGCTGAGTGTGACCTGATATTAGGGTCTCCGGTCTCCCTCCGTAGTCGTCGTGCCTTGCGTTCTAGCAATATGGGGGCATACGTTTCACGAAGGAGAAACGGTGACAATACCGTTAGGATGGCCATCTAGAGGCCACCAGATAAGGTCAGTCTTTGATATGCCGAAGAGCTATCCACGGTGACAGGCAATCCTTACCGGAATGGTGATGACCCAGAAGATCCATCTCCAACCAATGTCTTCACTGAGATACCCCCCTGCAATAGGAGCGAAGACCTGCAAGGCAACGAAACAGGGAGTCAGTAACATGGCGCAAACAGAATGCCGTCGAATGAACTTGGCTTTACCGGGGACACTAGAGATCCCAGTCCCCAGATTGCCATCGCCCTCCCCATTCTCTCGGGCGCCATGAGGTCCCCAATCGAGCCCCCACCCAGGGCGAGGGGGGTCACTCCAGCGCTGCCGGAGATTAACCGGAAGGCGAGGAACATTCCGACATTGGTACTCAGGGCGCATCCAATCGTCGCCCCAAGGAAAAGCACGTTTGAGACATGGTAAACCATGCTGCGACCATACAATTCTGACAGCGGGGCAACGATAAGCGGGCCTAGAGCAAATCCAATCACATAGATAGAAACGACGAATGATTCCAACTCCGCGTTGTCGGAGCCGAGAGACCTCATGACGTCCGGGACGGCAGGAGCCAGCATCGATGAACCTAGAGACCTAGCGTGGTAACATTCATTAGCCCCATAAGCGGGGGACTTTGGGCGGCGCGCGCATCAGCAGCACACGGCAGAACCAGTCCTTACGTGACAAAGGTGAGGAGCGAGATCACGACGATATGGCACCATCGATACCAAGGGCTCCAGTTCCTGGGGTTCGCTGGGTCGGCGTCGCCGTCCCAGTCGACCTCAGCTGGAGTCGCCACCGCCGCCAAGTTGTTGCTCGCGACATGTTTGGGGGGGGAAGAGGGCCGGGCCGCCGGGTCGACCGACTCGCACCGCGCCATTGCTTGTCCAGGTGGGGTTCCGAACGATGGTCTAGGCTGGACCACAAGGCGGAGGGAATAAATCGTCGGACTCTAATCGAGGGAGTCTCAACTCCAGGAACTACGCGTGTTTAAGTAGCTTGCCTGTGGGGCGGCGAGACCCCGAGCTTCTTTGACCTCCGCCACTTCCAATCGGAGTCTAGAGAGTGATCCGGGTAGTCCATCCAGCACCTCATATTGCGCCCGTCGGAAGTCCTGCGGTTTGTGAATCCAACGCGAATACAAGCCTCTCCCCTTCGCATCTCCATCGGACATCGCTCCCTAGCGCCCGACCGCACTTCCCCGACCCAGGACTAGGGTGTAGGAGGTTGGACCCTGGGCACCCTTCCTCGTACACGGTGATTGGCTCGTACTCTTATCGGTATGTCGCACTAAGGCCATAGTAGTTGGGTTACATTGCATCAACAGGGAGAACAGGGACCTGCACAGAATCTGGGCCTGCATCTAAACTCAGCCTACGGATACTAAGTGGTCCATCGGGGAGGAAATTCGACCCCCACCCGAAAAAACTGAAGCTACGCATGAAGCGCAAAATTCCTTTGTGTTAAATGAACTAATCAGCTTGGTCCCTTACAATATCTCTGTAACGAATCCATCTTCCTTGGTGTCATTCTCTTGTATACTTCTCATGACGAAGGATGTGGCAAACCCCATGGGCCACCACGGTATATTACCCTACCCCAGACCGGTCAACTCCTGCAGTTTCAGGAGCTGTGAACTTCTACGTCAACACCAATCATGTTGAACATCCAAGGAGAAACACTTCGCTTCACCCAGGTCTTCTTGGTCGTGGCACCCGCCTTCATCTGCTTTGGCTACAACCAGTCGGGCCTCGGAGGGCTGGTTGAATTTCCCTCCTGGGTCCATCAATTCCCCCAAATCGACACGATCAATACCACGGGAGCCCAGCAGACCCACCGAACCACCATTCAAGGGACTGTCGTGGCCAGCCTGATGATCGGAGCTTTTATAGGCTCTCTCACCTGTACCTGGATTGGAGATGTTGGGGCGTCGAAACACCATCTTCTGCGGAGCCTGCGTGGGCCTGATCGGACAAATCCTAGAATGTACCTCCTATTCCCTGCCACAGATGGTAGTCGGGAGACTCGTTCTCGGGGCTGGAACCGGCACATTGAGCGCCGCCGTTCCAGTATGGCAGTCCGAGTGCTCCAAACCAGAGAAACGAGGTCGCAATGTCGTGTTGATCGGAGCCTTCATTGCCCTGGGCTATACCCTCGCCCAGTGGGTCAATTTTGGGTTATACCACATGGAAGACGAATCGGCCACCTGGCGCACGTCCTTGGCAATCCCATCGCTTCTGTTCCTCCTAATCATGGCAAGCATCTACTGTCTTCCTGAATCCCCACTCCGCCGAGTTCCAGCACGAACTAGCCACGATGGAAACGTCCATCGAGGAAGCCACCTGCATCATCACCTTCTTCATCATCGATCGCATCGGTCGTCGTGCCTCCTTCATGATCAGCGGCGCCGGCATGTCCGCATGCATGGTCGCGCTCGCCGTGTCTAACTCGGATGCCTTCTCCCACAACCACACCGCATCCATCATCTCCGCGCTCTTCATCTTCCTCTTTACAACACCTTCCTGCCAGTCGGCTTCATGGGCGCGATCTTCCTCTACCCGTCTGAAGTCGCGCCCGTGCATCTCCGCGTCGCGTTGCAGTCCTTCGCGGTCGCTAATCAATGGCTTTGGTATTCTACTCCCTTTCATCACACTATTTATTAGTCCCTACTGATGTACCTGGCAGGATGTTCATCGTCGCGATGATCACCCCCACCGCCCTCAACAGCATCGGCTCCTATTACTATATTGTCTATGCCGTCATTGCTGGCTTGATCCCCCCCGACCATCTATCTGTTCTACCCGGAGACCATTGAATCGCAGTTTCGAGGACATTGATCGGGTCTTTCGGGATGCACCGTCGGTTTTGGCCGTCGTGTCGCGCTCGAAGATGTTGGATTTGCCGGGGTTTTCGGTGGAGGGTGAGGATGAGGATGATAAGGCTAGGCGCGGAGGAGATAGAGTGATGGAGAACCAAGAAAAAATGAATAACATTGGAGGGGGAGGGGCTGATCACTAGGAGCTATATAGATCTGATTTATTACATTTATCTGGCTTGGCAAACCTTAGAGGGATAGATTGAAATCATAGGATTCACTGGCCGACATTCCCTCCACTACCACGATGCTCTCATTCATAGTCGATAGAAAAGATCCCCAAACAATATCGCGATCTTACCCACTACCTCAGTCATACAAGCATGAACCCCCAGAAGAAAAGAGACAGGAGAAAGAAAGACGAGGTGAAAGCCGACGAAATGAACGAATGAGACGAGCCCGATGACGAGGTAGAGACCGACGAGGTTTGGATACTCGACGCTGCCGAAGTCGAGGAAGCAGTAGTATTCGTGCTGTTCGAAGCCCCATCATCCCCATCATCGTCAGTAAAGGTGGAGTGTGGACCGCTAGTCGCGTTGGCTGCATCCACCGATGTCGCGGTGCTGGCATTCGCGGGGACAGCCGGGCCCTCCACGCAGTAACTGAAGCCCTCGACTAGGGCGCAGTAGTCCTGGAATAGGGAGGGGTTCTATAGGATTCAATTAAGGTTAGCCACATGTCTTGGATTGTGTGTCTTGTGGAATCTCACCCATGCTTTCAGCTGCGTAAAGGTGATATCAAAGTACGACTCGAGCTGGGAGCAGGTATCATCGGCCGTGATATTATTCGCCCAGTAAGAGCAATCACTCGTGGTATCAGGAGCCGGGTTGGTGCCATTCACGCCATTCAGCCATCGTTTATGGAATTCGGGGCTGGCAATGGCAGAGCCAACAGCAAGGAGGGAGAGAAAAAGAGTGGATGCTTTCATCTTGGGGATGTAATATTGTAAGGATCGGACGCCAAGATCAGCTAGAGACAGAGAGATCAGAGAATGACGGGTTGGTTAAGACCTAGCCCATAATTTAGGGGTTCATCAAGAATATATAAGCTCGTCTTAGCGAGGGCCGGTGCTGTCTCGGACGGTCCGGGTCGCCGATATCGTGCCCCGAGTGGGGTACGTTGGTGTGGCCGATTGGATGCTAGGACACCATGGAGGGTCCACGGAAATTAGATCGAATTCCCGCCTCTCAGCTCGCGTCTGCATCCTGAAGGATGGCTTTTGGCTTGCTCAATAGCTTCAATGTTTGCTGACGTAGTGGGTCTTGATTATAGCAGGACCCACTCGGTAGCCCCTGAGCTCGGGCTTCCACCCGACGTATCCTACATGGGTATCCTCTTGATATGCTCACCATTTGTGGTTTGACAGTGACCATTCTTGAAGAAATATATCGGCTTCTAAAATAGCAGAAGAATACAATAATATGCCAAGCTCCTAAGGCAATACCCGGTATGTCTCTGTGGACGTAGGGACTGCGTGAAATATACAATTCGGACTCATGGCACTTCCAGCGATGATTTGCCACTACCTGGCCCAAACTTCGGTGTACTGTTATAGCTAGCTGAGATAATTACAATCAGGAGTCACTAAATCAAGGAATCTATCCGTTCAAATACCAGTTCATTTGCACTAGCCCCCTGCCAGCCAACCTCCCAGCCCATTACATCTTCACAATTCACCCTCTGCCGGGCTCAGCACAATCCGCCCATCCTCCCGACATCGAAGCACATGGCGACTCTTCAGATCCACCATTTGATGTTTCGCCCAGCGCTTGACCTCGCTATCATTCATGCGATCCGCTTGCTCCAAAATCGGACGATTTTCATTCGAAGCCAACTGAGAAACAGTCTGCCAGAAACTTCCGATAACCGAAGCCTCCGTGAATTTCAAAAACTGCACGGCGATAATGCTAACAATAATGAAATGTATTGCAACGAGAGCCGTTCCGACGCTAAAGCCAGTCCATTGCACTGGGATCAGCGATGCGAAGAAAAAGGCGGTCGAGGCTGCTGCCTTAGCATCCAATTTGACCAACTGCTCGTAATAAGCCATCTGACTGATCCGCGTGAGCAGTACCTGCATGGCCAAAGCAGGACTCGCTGTCATATTCAAGGTATCCTGGAACATATCCACATGAGTTAGGTGGGCATTGGCCGTATATCCCGTGACCTTTTTGGAGAGAAGCACGCCCGGATTCGCGGTGAGATTCGTCGTGGGAGCGACCGTCCAGGAAGTTGGAAGGGTGTTAACGAGCGAGAATAGAAAGAACCAGGGCGTTGCATACCCGTCTGTGTTGTTCGGAAGTGCAAATGTTTGCCATTGAGATTTGGGCTCAAGGGTGAGAACACCACGGGTAATGAAGTTATCGCGGGTCTTGGATGCGCCTAGCTGCTGACGAGATGCCTCGGTCCGGTATCCATTAGCATGGGAGTCCCAGGACATCTTGGGCTCTGTGTTATCCGAGGAACTATTCATGCTAACCCTAAGGGTTTCAGTGCCCATGTTGGTCAGACAGGCTGAGATCCGCAAGATCTCGACATCGGACCCGTTCGCCACCATTGCCCAGGGACCATTGGAGCGAGTGGACTGAACAGTGGTATGTTTCGCATCAACTGCGCGTAGCATTGCCCCCGTGGAAACCACATCCAACACCATGAACATGGTCGAAGCCTGAGGATACCCTAGATCATAACTGGAGGAATAACCGGGGACAGTGTCATTTGCGATAGGCGGAACCAAGGGATCGTTTAACAGCACCATCCAATCCGTTCCGCTGTTGGCGTAACAGATGCTGCTCTCTCCCACGGTGTGATTTGTCCGAAATACCGGGATAGGTAACTGGCAGGTGAAGTTGATATAGGGTTGCAATTCGGTATTGAGCAACATCGGATAAGACTTGTTCTTCATGGCGATTTGGCCGGACAAGCGCACATTGCTTTGAACGGAAGCATCGAGGGCCAGGTTGATCAGAGATGGACTGGCGCAAACGACTCGGTGATCCATAACCGGCACCGGTCCATCGAGCCTGCGCAACCTGGTTCGTTGAGAACCGTCATCAAAGGGGAGGAAGGCCCGATAAGTGTGACCGGTGTCGTGATAGCCGGGCCCTTCTTCAAACGGATCCGATAACTCCGCAAAGGTCCAACTCGCCGCCGGGGGCATGGTCCACCATCCCGTGGAGGCTTCATTCGTATTCTGGAGGAGACTAATGTTTGTCGAGTTGTGGGGTAGAGTAAAGGTCCCATCAGCAAAGTCGGATAAGAAAATGGTGGACAGGAACTGAGATGCTCCCGTCACTAGGACCTCTATCACCACCAGTGTTCCGATGAAAAATGACAGGTGAGGCCGAAAGTCAGTCGCAGTTAAGAGGCTGCTCGGGGCCACTTTGACCGCCCGGATCATGGAGAAAATTGGTCCTTGTAGCAGAGGGATGCCCGTTGTCTCCATGGCAATTCCCGCAACCATTGCCGTCACCAGCCCGGCCTGGAGAGCGATCACGGTGCGGATGGCAGCGGCGCATACCGTCACCAGCCTGGTAGACCAGTTGGCATTGACGACGCGGATCCAATATACGGCTGGCTCGTCCCCGGCGATTGCGATCCTTGATTGTCTCCAGAAGATAGCCAAGAGAATTAACCCTAGTAAAAGGATTGTCGAACCCAGAAATACGGTGAGAATACTGGTCAGATCGAATCGCTTCCATCCCTTCCGACTCTGAGGTTTAGAATGTTCCTTTGGGGGCTCATCATCATTCCTCTCCGAACTCGTCTGCCGGGCTGTCAAGGGGATATAGTCGCTTGAGGATCCCGGGTTATACGGTGTCATGGTAGGGATTGAGGGTACCGGTGGTTCTGAGGTCGACGGACAGTAGAATCCGAGCGAGCGCTGACCTGGGCATCGAGTCAGGATTTATCAAAGTGAAAGTAACAGCCTGTGCTCGGCCGATCAGGCCAAATGTGGCTGATGAGTTGGTTCGGGCTCGACGATCGCCTCAGCCTTGCGATCCTTACTGGTGCGGACCCAATGGAATGCGGCGCCCCCCGGCTGTGCCAAGCACGCTCCATGCCATTGAGGCAATAGATCGACCTAGTAGCCTGTCAAATCGAAGCTATTCTTAGCCCGACCCCGAATACGAACGCCACCAGCCTATTCAGGATCCCGGCATGAGCCATCTGCAGGACCGAGCTGACTCTGGGCCAATTTTCATGTTTTCTACTATTCCGCTAGAGACATAAACTAGTGCCTGATTGACTATCTTTACTGAATCATGAATTATCTAGAGGCTCTCATACAGGCAGGTACATGGAACTGTCTCCCAACGCCAGCTTTGTTGTGGTATAGTGGTGTTATGACTACTTTCATTCTGCATCCTCTTGTTCGTCAATAAGTCCCGTGTATATGTAGCACCAGAGGCACCCCAAAACCGTCGGAGCCTACGATATCACAGAGCATACCACACCCTCGTGCGTAGATAATACTAAAGCCGAGTCCGTCAACAATAAGTTTTTCATGAATAGCAAAAGTATGCAATACAGATCAATTCGGCGTAGAATAACACATAATATCTCTGCTCCTGTAGGCAGATCTTCGCAGAGAAATTCGTGAATCTACTCCTGGCCCGCTATTCCTCCACCCTATACCTTAGCCACTCCTACTCTCCGCAGTCTCACCCGACACAGGTATCTTAAAAACGACCTTCACCTCCAAAGTCATCCCCGTAAACAGGGGCTGAACAGACATGGCATGAACCAAATTCGCAAAGCCCGTCTTTCTCTCCTCGATAGTAGTGCGCTCGGTCGCCGTGAGCTAGTGGAAGGAAATGGTCAGCTTGACTTTCGGGAATCAGGCAAGTTACCCACCATGAGGGGAACTGTGACGCCCGGTCTGGTCATGTCGGCTCCAAAGACGAATCTTAGGTCCAGCTGGGCGGCAGAGGGAAGTCGGTGATGGGTGTCTTGGATTTCAGTCAGGGCGGCGAGGTAGAATGCTCCCAGGGCTTCGGCTGAGACGGGCGCGGGGCTGAACTGTAGTTGTTCAGATTGGTTAATAGGGGGGTTGGTGCTGGGGCTGCGGGTAGGACTTACGACGGCGGATTTGGTGACTTCCATTGTGAAGGATGGGTGGTGCAAATTGGTTCGCGCCAGAGGGTGTGTTCGAGCTAAGAGAGTCTGTTGTGGAACTGATGATGATGATCTGAAAAGTTGGATCGAAAGAGGGAGGTGCAAAAGGAAGATGCCGAAGAGGCAGGGGGGAGCCGATGGACTGGAGTGAGGAAGGAGTGAATGTAGTGTGAGTCAGCAGTTTATTCACCAAAGATGGTCGGACAGTTTTTGCTCATTGTGAAGCTAATATTACTGTCCCTTACGCCTACAATACTAGGAGAGCTCACTACCCCCCTCAGTTCTTCCCTTTTCCTAAGCCTGCTTGTAAGTAGATAGATGGCTATAGCACTACCTAGGAGCATGTAACTGCCAAGTCTGAATACAGTTCCCCCCTCCTCCCCGCTATTTGTCCACACCTCAGTCACATGGATAATTATCACTCTTCTTCTTAGTTCGAAGATATGTTCCCCAGTTCACAATCGCCTCCTCAGCCCCGCAAACAGGAATGGTCGTAATGCCCGGTGCTTGGTTTCCCATGTCCAAGACATCATCGATCATAGTTGAAGTGTCCGTGGGAAACCCACCCCCGTTGCTATTGGAGTTGCTGGTATAAGTGTTAACGGCCCTACAGCATAGAACATTTGTTAGTTAGTCGTTGTTATCGAAAGATAAGGTGCAAGAGTTGCTCCTGTCCAGCTTACCCGTTCACAATGTCTTCAATGGTAATTCCTGACCAAGCTGTGCCATCAAGGGCCGTCATTCCAGGCAAGATATCAAAGTATCCAGGTGCACAAGTCGGGCCGCCCAAGTCCTCCTTCACATCATCAATAACACTATCGACGTCCCTTTTCTTCGAGCAGTAGCCGTCGGTGGTATCTGCGGCAAGCAAATAGTATTTGATATTGTTGTTGCAGACCATCGTTAGACCGGCGTTCTTGCTGGTTAAATGTTCCTCCAGGATCGCGGGTCCGATTGACTTGGAGTCGCATGCGACGGAGCTGTTCACCACAACGGGCCACACTGGCTTGGTAGATAGCTGCCATGCCTGTGGGATGAGAACAGAATGGAAAGCTGCCAGGACATATTTGGAAAGGACAGCGTTATCCGGGGTGCTGTAGAGCGGTTGCAGAAGCCGGGCGCCTTGGATCATCCAATACAAGTTGTTGGCACTAGCGTCACTGCCATTGAAGATGTTGGTGTTCTAATGCGATGGTCAGTGCGATGATAAAGGGACTGGGGAAAGTTTTCCACAAGCTCACCAACGTGTCAGTCGCATTGCTATACGCGGTCGCCATGTTTTCCAGATTGACCGCCAGTTCGTTTTGCTCCACAACTCCTGAGTCGGTGGCAGTTAGGTCCTGAACGATGCTTACTCCATCGCTAAATGCTTCCTTGAGACTATCCTTGATTTTCTTGGTGTCAGAGCTGTCTTTGACCACCTTATCAGCATCCTTAATTAGAGCCCCCCACACAGGACCAGAGGCCAATGTATATACCAGACCCAGAGCATCGAACATCATGTCCGATGTGCTTGAGCCTGAATCGGGGAACTTTGAAAAGGTTGTGGAGATATCACCAATCAAATCAGTGGCGTCTCCTTGGGCTGTTGTAAAAGCATTATAGAGGCCTACAATTGTCTGGTGGTCATTGTCCATCGCGTCAGCAACGTGGTTTTAACAGAAGGTACACATTACTCACATTTTCGAGTGACACAAAAGACTTAAGAATTACGTAGCCGGCGGCAGAATCATTGGAGTTGCAAGGGAGATCAAGGTTCACGCAATCTTGGAAATGTAGATTGTCAGTCTTGGGAATAAACTCCTGGCAAGGGGTAACCCAAAGAGCAACTTACTGTTTGTATCAGAAAGACTGAAGCAATCCATGTCACTCATCTGAGCCCCATAGAAAAAATCAGACATTGCCCATGTAAAGTGCTCGTAGCCGGACGTCTTCCAGTATGCTATTGCGGCAGTCCACGCATCATCCGCATTGGAATCGGCCCATTGTGTTGTGCTATTCTTGTCTAGCGACAGGCAGGAGACCGCACCCCAGTCCGAATCATCTCCCGTAGACGCCGTCGTCGTGGTCTTTTCACAAGCCCCAGTTGGACAGTACGTCCGGCTACAGCTGAAGTCACATAGGGGGTCGTAGTCTCGGGCTACCAGCCCGCTCGCGGCCTTACCACCAACAGTAGTATTGGCATCAGGTGCGATGACCAAAGCACCAGTCCCGGTGCATGTGCAAGAGAGGATAGGGCAAAATCCATAAGCACAGGCGTAACTGCAGAGCCCGGCCAGATTACCGTCCCCAGTGCCCGCAATACAAGCTGGAGGGGAAAAGTCGGAAACAGTTGGCACGGTCAAAGGGACTTCCGTAGAGCCACAGGCTGTGTCGGGGCAATAATCGTGATTGCACGCATAACTGCAAAGTCCGTCATAGCTAGCATCCTCTCCCGAGATAGGGTAGCCGTTGACATTCAGAGTCACCTCCGGCTCCACCGGGGCACCCATTGCCAGGCATGTACAGGCACTGATGGGACAGTAACCATACTGACAAGTGAACTCACAGAGTCCGGCAAAGTTGCCCAGGCTAGTACCCTTGACGCATACTCGGTCTGACAGATCCAACGCTGGAGTGGCTGAGATCGTCGCGTCCGACATGGCGTAGCCCACCCAGGCGTTCCAGTTCTCCCAGGTATTCGGACACTCGGCGAGAATCTCCTCTCCAGCCATCTCTGCGATAACAGAACCACCCCGCGTGATAGTCACCGTCACAGTGCCCGTCAAGCCGGTGAAGGGAACGCTGCCGTGATATATGCCGATGCCACCATCAGGAGTGTAAGTCCAGGAAGCCACTTGTTCATTGCCACCGATACTAACTGTGACATCGGCGGCGGACCCAAGAAGAGCGGAGAAGAAAATGTTATCCTGTACCACATCGTACGGCTCAAACTCCAGCTGCAACTCGGAAGCGGTGTTCCCCGGGGTGTACCCGGTACCACATGCAGTGCTGGAAGTGAGGCGATACCAAGCAACCACCCCCTCCTGGGTGATCTCCGCGTTTCCGGACTTGTAGGTATCGATCACGAACGGGAGAAACTGGCGCCAACCATCGTGTGGCATATTTTCGGCGTAATTGAATTCGGCTTCACCAATTGAAAATGGAGCATATGCGTTGTCGTGCAGGGGACCAATGTAGTGAGACTCACCCCAGTCATTCCAGGTGATGATCTCGACGAACTCGGGTTGGACAAAGAGAACCTCTTGCCATCGATTGTACCATAGATCATCTCCACGCCATAACCAATTCTTATCATATCCGGGGAGGTTGGTGTAAAACCACGGAGAGACAGGCATCATGTATGGCAGGGCCGTGCCCGATTCATTGAGGTATTGGAGGTATGAGGCGTCGGTGAAGGTGTTGGAATCCCGATCACCCCAAGGCCACGCCGCCCATGAGAAAAGTCCATCGATGATACCTGCGCCCTTCTCGAGGGCAGCCTTGGCCCCGAGAGAAGACCAGTCTGGCATGAAGAAGAGGCCGCCCAGCGTTGTCTTAATGGTTATCCAGTCGTCGGCATTATCAGGCCCTTCAAATGTAGACACAAATGGGAGGTCATCGTACTGGTAGTAAGCACTGTTACTGCCATATTGGGTTAGGAGTTGGATCACATCATCCTTTGACCATGGCCCGTTCCCTGCATAATCAAAGGAGAAGAACAACTTGAAACCTAGGCTCCCTGCGGCGGAGAAGGCATTCGACACTTGCGGCGAATTGACTGGATCGTCAGAGGCAATATTGAGCGCGAAAGCATCAATATGCGCTTCCTGGGCTAGCTTGATATCACTTTCCCAATCACTGACCGAAAAATTCCCAGCATTTGACACCTTCTTTTAGTCAGTGTCGGAAGTTCGCAGGAGTCGGAGAGGGCAGAAGGGAGATTTATACCATAAAATGCGCAAAGACATATTGGGCCCGGACATGGCAAGAGCCGAAGAACAGGAGAACAAAAGAAAGTATCAGAGATGGTACCATTGTTGAATGAGTGACAAATGCAAACAGAAAAAGCAAAGGAGAGAATGCTCCTCGTGAGGAGGAAGGCCGAAGAAGTGCATGTAGTAGAAAATGAGAATCTATGGTAGGTAGGTGGCCATATTTATACTCCAAGAGCCAGCTATTTGTCTCTCTGGATGCCCCTTCCTGAAGTGTGTTCCAGCAAATGCCATAATTTCCCTTGGTCAAGTGCCGCAGGAAGCTATAATCACACTATACCCTCTGGCACAGATACTTGAAATGACCGTTGCATCCCCAGCCTGTGTTCATCCAACACTCACCGGCGCGAATGGAATCCATATCCTCAGTAGGCGCCTAGGGCTCGCCATTCCCCTAGCTTGAATCCTGGTTGTGTTCGGGGCTGTTGCCAGGAAAGCTTTGAGGCCTCATTGGCGGATTTTTATCTGGCGCAGCATGTATTGATACTGTATCATCCACTTTCTGACTATCTACTGGGTGGAATGGCGTCGTCAAAATACCTAAATTCTGTATAGGAAGTGGACCCTGTAAATTAATATGCGTACTATAGACCCTAAATCCGGGTTGCGGGGCTGCCAGGTCCTAGTGGGATGGCGCAGCAGCTATTGGTACCGTATTGTCCATCGCTGCATAAAAATCGTTCCAGGTACTGGACACTCGTAGATTGATATCCTTATCGGCGGTTTCTCGATGGTAGCATCTAGGTTTGCCTAATTACTCCGCTAGCACTGTAACCACCGGGCTTCTTGGCTACCACATTGCCTTCATGGATAATAAGGTCCAATTCCCCACCTGACTCATATGGTAATAATAATAAATTGCTTCATACTGTTGCGAGGTAATCAAGCAGTCCAGAGGGGTGGTGGTACCCGAACCACTAGATGCATCTAGGCCCTTTGTCTGTCGGGTGCAACTTGCATCAAGAAACATGTGATAGAGGCATTGTCCAGGGCGGAGGTCAAATAGCCAACCCCTATCTCGCGAGTTACTTTCCCATGGTCATACTATACCGTACTACTGAATCGCAAATCACAAGGTATATTTATGTAGGGTAGGAGGCAAGCCAGCTTTCTGTCTTGCTTTCCACTTTTGTGTCCTTCACCTATCTGCTTCACACCTTCTCAATTACCAGGCCAAGATGAAGACATTTTCTACCTTTTGTTTCACCTTGGGTCTTCTAGCATGCCCTATCTCTGCAAACACGACCAACTGCTCTTCGGGTTATGCATCGAACACTATCGGAGTATTCAGTGGTGCTCCGATCACATTTTCCATGAAGTTAAACGGCCCAGTTGCCTGTGGCCAGAGGTGTGAGAGCGTGGAGAAGTGTGCAGCATGGCTCTACACTGAATCATCCGGTAAATGTGAGCTGCACCGGCGAAATGCTTTGCATGTCTCCTCGAACCCGGGTTTTGCATATGGGGCCTGTGATGGATCGAGTGCTCTCTTGAATAGTAGTGCCTCTCCTTCGGCAGTGCAAGTCAGCAGTAGCTCCGTTCAAGCCAGTGCTACGACTGTAAGAAAAGCTCCATGATGAAATTTTGATTGCTCAAAAGAAAGGTGGCTAACACCAGAATAGACTGCCGCTGATAAGCAACATTCTCATGTACCCCGCCATTATCACAGCAGACATGGACATTGATTAAACGGTCAAGTAAAGGAGGATGTGGTCAATTAAAAAAATCATTCTCGTCCTTTCAAGACCTGAATCGCTTGGAGTCCTCTTTTGTTTCGTGTGTATTAGCAGCCCAGTGAGAAAAGCAAAGGAGATGTACAATGGTACCAACTTTGCAAGTTTTTTTGACAGTCATCAGCACTTTAGTCTAGACTTTCCACCCTCAGTTGTCTTTGCGTATGTGTCTCCTCCAGACTTTGTGTTGTTATCGCCTATCAGTCAATTTCCGCCACAGACAGGAGACATGTATAGTTCAAGCAATTACTTCAGCTAACCACAGAGAACATTCTTCTTTCATTGTCAAAGCTCCATCCTCTACCATTCCCCTCCTTGCAGCCCCTTACACTTCAACCCCTCATGTCGTCCAAAAGCCTCATTTCCGAAGTTTTACCGGACCACACTCAGTGTAGACCCCATTGGAGTAGACTACTGTGAGGCCTGATTTCTAGTATCCTTGGCTTTAGTACATCCTAATTATTTTAGTATCACTATCAATTTGCTCCGGTGGATCACCTTGCCCACGGCCTATGCAGGACTCCGTGGGAGTACCGGGCGATATGGTAGCAGATACAAGCTCACAATGCTCCGTACTATACATTGCTTATCGAAACGCTAGAGATTAGTGCCGGAGCTTCAGGCTGGATTAGGTCAAGCTTAGGGTCCGTCCAACGCCGACATTGGATCCGCCGTCGGGGATCCCGGACCGTGCCCCAGCCCAATCAAACTACACTGACCACCCATCAATGGCGGCGGACGAACTAGGTAGAAAGGAGCCTAAGGCAACATAGGTCAAATTGGTCTGAGACATGATACTACTACTAGCTTTGTCGGAGTCGCAGGAACCATACTTTGGGACAGGACACACAGATACTAGCCGTAAGATAACGGAGACGCTAGGGCAGTAGTTGGCGTAGGGCTCCTCCAGCGATATATATGGTTAGCTCAGGGCCCTCGGGCCTTTAGGCCCCTTTTAACCTTCCTTCTCCGTCCAATTTTTCTCTGTGAAGGAGGGAATTCAAGGGCGACAACCACCAGTCACCAAGTCACCATGACCAGCACCCATCTTTTGCTCCTCGGGTTAATCGCCCAGTCTATCGTCGTTCGCGCGACAGACGACAAATTCTACAAACCGTCCCTGGATTTCCGCCCAAATAATATTACAGGCCTCTGGTACCCGCTATACGACTGGGTGGGATCGTGAGTTTCCATTGGGATCAAGGTATATCCTTCGACTACCAGCATCGATATTGACTAGGCTCAGTTACTACAATTCCACCTTTGAATTTGAGCTCACCCCTACGGCTTTCAGCTCCACCAATAGCTCTTTCTGCTCGGGGCTGCGGAACCAGACCCTGAGCGCCAAGCGCCCCTCCAATCTAGCCATCACCGAGACGAGCATCTGGAATAAATATCCCCAGAACCCTGTCAACCTGTTTCTGACCGTGTGGCCAACCGACTATGATTTCTGGGCTCAATCACTGGACTCCGACTTAACCCAACTTCCGGACTATGCCATCCTTTCTTCCAAGTAAGTGCCGCCTCAATTTGGCTATATGTATCCCTGTGGGCCTTTTTGCCGGTAAAACTGACTCAAGCCATCTTTTTTTTTTCCAGCCCAGTATACTCCCAGGTTTGGTCCGTAACCGAGGACAACAACTTCAATCTTGACATAACCACCGTCGATGCCTCTACCAGCACTTATCGCATCTCTGCCAATTACACCTACGACCTTCTGAGCAGTGTCTCCCTCAACCTTGGATCTTGCGACCTCGCCGAATATAGCGACACGTGGATCGTCTATCTACTCAACCAAAACCAGATCGTCCCTGACTGGTTTAACTGGACCTATCCCACGATCGATGTGCGATTCGATAACAGCACTGCCAATTTGACCATCGAGGGGCAATTCGGCGCGACTGCTTACGACACCCAGGGTAATCAAACATCAACATGGATGGCAGGCTCGATTAAGATGGTGTTCCGCGGGGTGGTGGACAACGCGAGGTCGGATGTCTTGGTCCAAGGAGAAGATCAACCTACGTGGTTGAGAACGCTTGGCTTTGGTAATAATTCTTTGAACTTGGATGATTCAAGCAGTGCAGGGGTCATGACGAGGCCGTGGGATAAGCCGATGGCTGTTTCAGCCGTTTTGCTTTCGGCGATGTTTCTATATGTATAAGTTTCCCTTCCTTCTTTTTTTCTCTTGCCTCGGTGCAAAGTATAGACTAGGCAGAGCCGTGAACTTTCGTCCAAACTTCTTTTCAAATCGTCAGTGCAGCACTGCAGTACAATATAAACGTTAGGTATACTGCTAATGAAGCCCCGATCTTACCATTTACTTCGTCTACTCGAACCGAAAGAGGTCCTCACACACACCGCTGCCAGCACCTCGCAGTCTGGAGCACACAGCTAACTAGCATACGTCGCCGAACTCGCTTGAACTGTCTTTTTTGGTTGCTTCTTTAATGTAACCCCATGGCTTGGCACGTCTTTACAACCCTCGGGGAGGTCCTAGCAGCGCTGGTAGGCGTCCGGGCCTCTGCTAGACATAAATGACCACTACTACGACGACTACTACTGTTACTATTATTCATTCTTGATTATCTTTTTTTCCCTTCCGCAATTTCTTTCCTTCTTTTTTTCTCCTTCTTCTTTTCCTTCATCTTTATCCCGGAGCATACAGTGACCCGGAGGACCGTTCGACTACCAGATCATCTTATCGGCTTTTATTTAACCCTCCTATTCCCTTCACCCCATCCCCAAAACCCAGCCACCTTCTATGCTACCAACCCAGTTGACATCGCCACAATGGTCAGATCCAGCGACAACTCACCGCGGAAGGTCTCCATACGCAGGTAATCCTACTTAGGAAATAACCCTCCGATCTAGAAAAGGCTTTTTTAGGGAGCCTCCGTCAGCGTAGCCCCCAAGGCACTATGTGGAGGAGGATTCAGACGCACATTGGAAGATACCAAACCATTTCTACTGTCTGTATCAGAACCCAGACGCTGTAGCTGAGGGTCCGTATCCTAGATGATCCATCCCCATATTTGACCATGTGGGTCACCCGATATCATCAAGTTCCATAACATGTCCACCTTTGCTCTTTCTCTGGATTGTTGTCACCTGACTTGTTTGATATTCGTAGAAGATCATACCTCAAGTCGGCTTAGAAGAATAAGTATCTTGAAAACAAAGAAAGATGAAAGAAGATACAAGAAGGAAAATGGATCTCAAGGCACTTACAGGTATGCTTACTTAACTTCGTTGCAAATGTACTAGGTTGTTTACGCACCAGCTACCCCGGAACAGAATCATCCAATCGCTAGGGCGTAGAAGATCCTTTAATATGTGCAGCCTGGGGTCGCAATGCGAGTATTGTGCATATCCCTGTTTCAAAAGAGCTAAAGTTAAAACTGCTGTCAGAGGTAGATTGCCTCATGGTGATGCCTCGAGTCCACTTTATGTTGTGGCTTATAGAGTGGGGAGGTGGCGGTGATGATCCTCTTGGCTCAGGGAGTGGATACTAGGGCTAATGCTAAGCATGGGAGTATCCGCACGGATTCTTGTCGTGCAGAAAAGTGTGGCATCCAGAAGTAAGAAGCTTTTCACTGATGCTAGTGTCAAGAAAGGGGATGATATGGTGTATTCTGGGTGTAAAGACTTCGATGCAGTGTAAGTAGCTTGTCTATCCTTTGTTGTACCATATCAACCCTCTTAGTTGGTCTTGCTTTATTTTCTATCTCATTATGTAACTACCAGAGTGCATAAGCAAATTCACTCCATTAGGGTCAGTGTAATCAATCCAAGACATAAGCTGAGGCTGTTATGTTGCACTTGAAATCAAACACCACCTATAACCAACTATCCGTTTAAACCACAAGAAACTCCTCCGGAGGCTGCTGTTTCACTCCATCAGTGAAAGGGGTTGGCTTGGCATGGTCTCCAGCTATGGCCTGTCCAACCACTTTATAGTGCACTTGATCACTATCTCCATCTGCAATCGGGTGACTTCGAAGTATAAGTGGGCGACATGATTCGTGTGGTACAACCAGGATATCCTGGTCCTCTCCAATGCCAGGACTTATTCCGAAGGCACAAGCATCTGCATTGTATACAAACAATATTCGCATACCTCCAACGCCCTTTAGCAATTCGGCGACCACGTACTCTAATAAGCCTCTATTCGAGAGTTGCAGGGACGGCTCCGTTTCAAGCGAATGACCATTATTCGCTATGCTCTGTATTGCTTCAAGTATTTCGTTGGTCGAGTGCCGGTCGATCGGGTGATGGAAAATCTTGCATGTTTGGATAAAGCTTTCTTGCAACATTAAGTAATTCCAGCATTCACTCGATAGCTCTTCCATGTTCCCAAGAACTTCCATAATCTGTGTCGCAGTCTGGCACAGGTTCAGCCCGAGTTGAACTACAACCTTGCAGGTACCTGCACGGTAGGCCCAGAGGTGCAAGATCAACCTGTCCTGGCAGATATGAGACGACGTACGGCGATCCTCTCTATTCTTTTTGTCTCGGTGGTCTATGAAGGAAGTTTGGAAGTAAGGCATGAAGAATGGTGAGTCAGCTCCATGATAATCTGGTACCCAGGTTGGGAGCGACCTTTTCGAGACATTGTGTATAGGGAAAGCAAGTGTTGCAAAAGGCACTGCGCCTCCTTCATTATTGATTGTCCAGATTGTAGTTTCTAACATGATCCTCTCAAAGGTTTTATTGTAATCTTGTGGGTAAACCTTCTTGATATCTGGGCAAAGCCCATATAGCGCATAGATTCGGTCCCTGGGATTCTCACACTGGCGCTGACTTGTGTTTTGAAGATGGAACAACAAGGTGCCCATAGAACGCTTGTTTTCTGGGTCCAGGGATAGTAATATCTGGCTCAGAGTGTTTAGGGTCAGGGTGTTATAATGCTCAATCAAGCCTGCTTCGGCCTGTAAACAACGTTCGTATAGACCACGGGGCAAGTTCTTCTCGTCCAAGTTGCCTGCATCCATGGAATAGACAGTGTTTAGCATCCTCGATGCTTTGAAAGTCAGATGACCGCAGACGAAAGTTGGCTCATGCTTTGCCAGCAAACATTCTTGATATGTCCACGTTCGTGACCAATATGGCATATTCGTAACCTGGAACACGCCTTTCATAGCACCAATTTCAGCTATGAATTTCTCTACTGCGGCCCGGGTAGAGAAACAGCTTTTCGCACCGAGCCACCACCAGTATAAAGATCCTTTAATCATCCTCTTGTCAACATATCGCTCCACCCGGGTAACCGCCAGTTCGACCTCAGGGCTGGCATCTCCGAGCCAAGAGACAACGCGATGAGCACGTCCATATATCGACCCCATCAGCGGCACTTGGTTGTTCTTCTCGTCGATATCAGATTGATTGATGCAGATATAGTCGATCCACATAGTCCGCTTCCAATACGCACGCCGAAGCGCGTACAAGGCTTTTGCCAGGTTCGGAGTTACGCTGAACTCGCTCCCTTCAAGAATAATCCTCTCGGTGGTATGGCTTTTGCCCCAGACGTATGAGAGAGCCTCAAATTTCGGACGGTCCTTGAGCGATACTGTTCGAAGGAAACATTGCACTGGGTCCTTTCGATTCCGGGAAGGGAGAATGGAGAGTAATCGAATCTCTTGCGCTTCCGGGTTCAATGTGTTGTATTGAAAACTCATCTTTGCGACAGCTCGAAGATGCAGAGTCACATTAGGTGATAATCCTCCCTTTCGGGGCTGTTGCCAGCGAGGTTGATCGCGTAGGGCGAGCAGTGAGGATGGGCGGGGGTGTTTTCAGGGACGGGGGCCACACAGGCCAGAAGAAGGAATTATCAAGACTAAACCACTTGGGGTGTGATCTCCTGTAACTAAGGCATGAGTACCCGACTAAGGAAAGGACAATCCGTTTCATTGGCATGTGTCATGTGTGCTGACGTGGCGCCAATCTTCTCGGGTATCTGCGAGTTGATAGGTCGGATTTATTCTTCCTTGATGCTAAACCAATGAGTCCAAGATCGATGTATGGTCTGCTGGTTAACTTGTCGATGGCTTTGCTTCACAGGATATCCGACAACGTCTGGGCACCGCACAAATTCTACTAATACTGAAATTCATTATACAGTCCAATAACTCCATGTTCAAAAGAAAGCACTGCATGGCTGCATCAACAAACACGGCCACATCTCACTAATTACGAGCCTTCGCCATCAAGCCCAACTGCTGATCAATCACATCCTCAATAATCTTCTCCTCCGATCGCCACTGTATACCCAGGATCCGATCAGCGGCAGTAGTATCAATCTTCCAGTTTCCCTCAAACGGCGGCTCCAGCTTACAATCAACAGCCGGATAATTCGACTTGATGAATTTTGCAACCTGCTCCCACGAGATCGATGGTCTCGACAAGATAAACTCCGTTCCGCCTTTGATATCAGTCTCTAGGACCTTGACATGCGCGTCTGCAACATCCGACACATGCACCCAAGCATTAGCAATTCGAGTTTTTCCGGATGTGATGGACGCCCAGAAAAGGGCATTCATTCCGCTGATGTCCTCGGGAGCCTTTTGGATTAGACTGTGGCCCAGAACAAAGGTCGGGTGGAGCGTGACCAAGGTATAGTGAGGCCGGTTATCCTTCAGGAACGAACGAGTCGCTTGGTGGGCCAGAACCTTGGAAGCGGCGTACTTCAATGCATGGCCAGCGAATCCCTCTGGGAAGGGCATCGAGACGTCGACCGGAATGACTTCGCCGGTGTTGTCTGCTTTACTGTTAGCGACTCTCCCAAGACTGCGTTTGAGTTATAAACTTACCAGCCACTTCAAGGTCTTTTGAGACCAAAGCGGTCACCGGGGCCAAGGCGACAATGGACGACACGACGATGACTTTCTTGATCTGTGGGAACTTGAGAGCAGCATACAGAATTGCCTCTGTACCTCGGACGGCAGGATCAAGGTAGTCTTGCTGGAAGTTGTCTCCTCTTCCGGGGGTCGGAGAGGCGAGGTGGAAGATATAGTCTACCCCCTGAAGCGCTTCTTTGAAAAACTCTTGCTGAGAGATGTCGGGGACTATGCACGTTTCGATCTCATTCTCGTGTCCTGGGAAGAGCTCCCTCAGAGCGGCCTCTTGCTCAGCTTTGCGGATACTGAGACGTACCCGGTAGCCAGCTCGGAGAGTAGTAGCAACGACATGAGAGCCAATGAAGCCGGTTGCACCGGTCACGAAAACAAGGGGGTTCGTGCCTGACATGATGATGAATTAGCAATAAAGGTTTAGTTTCTGCGATGGTCTCCTACCACTTGACCCAGTCTTCAATTTATACCCTGCGAAGTGACCCTACGAAGTGGCATCCAGCAGATGCATTCAATCAATGCTTTGTAACATCATGACCGACGATGACGACAGGTGTAGCAAAATGCTACTGCGGAAGGATCACTAATCATATAATTTTTGAGGCGCTCGTATCCGCGCGATCACGAACCCTCTGGTTGATAAAGGGATGACACAGAGCTCGGAGTGACACGGCAGGCCGAACGCGGGTGACAAATCCAACGCTACCACCTCCCGGCTCCCATCTAGATCGTTCCATGCAACCCTAATCCATCCACCCAAGCGCCTGGGAATTTTAATCTTAACCAGCTCATATTCTTTGTTGTCGGGCCGATCACTAATCTTGTGAGATGTCGGATGGATCACTAATCTTGCGACACGTTCGGTGGGAGGTTATGGCATGGCTGCAGAATCGCCCTCGATGATATATCTGTCAAGCGCCGTCTTACCTAGGCCTCATTCTAACCATCTTCCAGTTAAAATCCACCACCAGGCATAACCATTCAACCCTCTTACCACCCTCAACTCAAACCAACCCAAAATGCCCCTCTGGCAAATCTACCACCCCACCGGGACCTTCCCCGACACGCCCTCCAAAGACTCCTTCTCCGCCGACATCACCAAGCTATACGTGGACATCGGCCTCCCCGCCTTCTACGTGATCGTCAACTTCATCGAAACCGATCCCCAGAACCTCTACATCGGCGGCAAGACCAGATCCCTCCCCACCGACAAACCCTTCGTCCGGATCATCATCACCCATATCGCGCGACACGTGCCCGACATTGAAGCCGCGTACCTTCGTACCACCTCTCGTCTGGACAAGGCCATGAACCCGCATATTCTAGACAAGGGGTATGATGTTGAGTATCATGTGGATGAGACGGATCGACGACTGTGGAAGATTAATGGGTTGATTCCGCCGCCGTCGAATAGTGAGGAGGAGAGGGTTTGGGGGAGGGAGAATCGGGCGGTGGTCTATGAGGGGGGGTATCCGTCGGTTGAGGCGGCACTTTAGAATGTGGGGATGAATCTATTGACTGGGTCATGTAGGGTGGTACTGATCACGGTAATCCCTGGATGTCTAGATTATGTAGATGCATCATGATCTGTTAGCGTGGATGAATTTAGCATACGCCTGTGTCCATCTCTGGTGGTTGATTACTCTAAGTATTCCACTATCACTAATTATTTTAGTTCGATAGCCAGCTTTCTTCTGTAAATCCACCCTCAAAGTGAATGGATGTCCTGGCTAGGACATGTCCGTTTTAATATTCGTCTTTCCTTGCCTATCAATTTGCCAGTTGACACTCACCTATACCCCATTATATACTCAACCCCCTTGTCTATACATGCTCTGCAGAACCTCGCAATCCCATACACATACCCCATACAACAGACGGAGACAAGCTTCACCCTCTTATCAACCATTCGCAGCCATTGGCATAGCGTAAATCTTTAATTCTTCTTTAACTCATACCTTAAAACAACAGTCAAACCCCCTTAGACTATATTGACACGCGAGATCTTAATATAACATATAACGTCATCCGATAAATAATCATCAACTATAACTAAATCAGGTAAACCCATCTCTAACAAGCAAAACAGCAAGCTGAGATGGCGGTCACTTACCGTTTTGGGTAAAAAGCGGCATGGTTGCCTATTCGGGTAAAATTCCGATTCACATTAGCAATTGGAGAAGCAGAGGGATGTTAGGTGGCTTTTACTTCATTCGATGATAATAGTTCTGTGAAGGGTGTTAGGGTGCTACTCATGATGTAAATGCAAAGCTATTTGATAAGTGCGACTTGGCATGGTCCTGGTAGAAGGTGAAATTGGGTCGTGTCCATTGGCAATATATAACTGTAGCTACACCGGACATATATTATGTTTCGACATCATGATCTGCCAGTTTTCGATTTAAAGGGAGAATAATAAAGACAATTGCCACGTTGAATTAAGGGCAGCATGCCAAGTATGACCGATGATAGAAACCCCTATTTACATCCGTTCAAAACCACTGCAGCCCTTCAGCTCCGTGCCATTGCGCAGCTACCCGTATTATCCCCGAACCGAACCTATTTGCAATGGTGAAGTGACTACTACGTGTCCATATTAAATCAAAAAAAGCTCTTTTCCTAGAACATACAATGCGGAGAATTTCGACGGGGGTTTGCTAAGAAGTACTGACTCTCCGTCGAGACCAATATCGGGTTATGGAACGGGATTCATTTCCCGGGCAGTGCAGTGCTCTGGTGGATAATCTGACAACCGTCAGATCGTCATGTAATGCTAGGTGTTGGATTTCTAATACCTAGCTATCATCTCAGATTATGCTATTTGGGAGCATATGTTCCCACAATGGAGATTCCGTGTCTTCTACTCTAAGCTAGTCAGCAAATACGAGAGTACCACCATCGCCAGAGCCTTCAACTAGGTAAAATACATCGTTATCCGAGAAGAGCAGCTGGTATTTGCCACTTTCTTAAATCACTAATGTTACGTCTCTGGAGGTCAGCTTGCAACAAGTCCGAGGCCACTGGTCGTCGGATCCGGCGTTACTGGTCCGTCCTCTCTGCACTGTCTAGACCGTCCATCCAGCGGCTGCCTAGGTAAGACGCAATGAGCTAGAAAATGCCACGATTACCTCGGGAGATCGATCTGGCGAATCTCGGGCTCAATGATAGCGAGCTTCCGGGAATTCCGTCGAGGATGTTGGTGTTAAAGTGAACTAGCAGATTGCTTCCAAGCCAAAAAGGAGGTCACTGAGCCTCACTGGATTATTTAAATTACGTTTGGAATATGGATGCAGCGTAGATGGCATAGGAGACGTAGTTTTTCCAGCTCGGAGAAAACATTCCTGGCCGAGCAGACGGCATGGGTGGCGTTGATCCGGCCCTCCGATTAGGGTTCCTGTCGGTTCACGTGCGACCCCATACTCCACACGGCACCAGCAGTCGCCGATAAAACCGGCAAGGAGAGATAAGGTGAAGCAACCAACAGATCGCATCGTGATTCATGACGAGCTGACTACGAGGACTCCCACGTCCAGGGTAACCATCCCGACAGTCGCAGCGGCAGTCCGGCGGGTAATTTTCCGTGTCCGGCCATGGATAAAGGGTAAAGACTAAGCCAGCCAACCCCGGAAAAGACTTATGCCCAGCCAGCCCACCCCGGGGCCGGAGGAGACTCGGGCGTTGGTACGTTGCTAGCCCAGCCGGGCGTAGTCCAGCGCGTGGCTCGCGAGACGGGAGGGAAATAAGTGGCGCGGATGAGCGAATTGCAGGCGTCCAGGGCCACTGGGAGGATGGACACTAGGACCAAAGAGGTGTGGCCTGGTCCTTGGCGGAGTGGAGCAGCTTCAGTTTTTCGCGTGGTCGGTTTGGCTTTTTGGTCCCAGGCTGGCTGGGCACAGAGGCTTAAGGCCTAAGGCTCAGGCTAAGCCTGGGGTCACATGGATGACATCGTCTCGGTGGCAGTCCGTGGGGGACCATCTGCATCATCCACTCAGCAACCGTACCCTGGGTGTGTAGGGCACCCCGGGTGGGCGGGCCGTCGACTATATATCCAACCCTGACATCCATGTGACGATATTCACGGACGCGACGTGGCAGGATCGGCATTGGGGTGCATAGGACATGCTGAAGCTGAACCTCCGTTACCCCGCGGGCAGCCCCCGACTGTCCAGCCAGCGCCCACGATTACCCCGAGCGGCAGATGCGACGACGACGTGACAGCGGGAGAACTTACTGGATTGAGTAAAGGAGGCGGTCTCACGGGCTGAGAGTTGCGCAGGGCGCTCAGCCGTGGGATCGGGCATGGACGGGGATGTCCGGGTAACCCGTAGGAGTTAGGACAGCCAAGGCATTAGTCAAGGCGACTGCTGGATGATGTTGATGGCTGATTATTGACCACTGACCAGGGACAACAGTGGGAGACTGGGAGGGAAAGGGCAGCGATCCGGAGGAATTGCGGGGTCGGTTCGCTTGTGCCTCGGGTGGCGGTGGAGACCAATCAGGCCCGTCGGTTGGCCCGACCAGCGGCCACGGGACAACCGGTTAAATGCCTGCGCGGGGACTTGCCGGCGGCCACCGATCGGTCGGCTTACTGCTGGTGCCATTCGTATTTTAGTCACTAGATCGACGCCATCATGGATCATACTACAGAGTAGGTAGCAGGTATGTCCCACCCCCGAGACACGTAGGGGTCCCCGGAGTCCAAGGATGGAACTATTACACTAGAATGCACTTGGTATCTTCCTCTTCAGTGCAGTCGGACAACACGGTCGGTCAGCAGCCTGTTGCCGTGTCGATCGGGAATCACATCCCTGCGCAGCCAATCTTGCCCCAACGGGACACGGACGCTGCTGGCCCAGTCCTGCAAGACCAGACCGACCGCCCAGCCCAGGCGGAGGATCGTGATCTCATCTCGCTTCTCCCCCGCGGGGAGATCCGACGCAGGGGGAAAAGAAAACAGGAGGGTGGCCGTTCACGAAAACGAGCAGGTCAGCCGTCGCCTTTCAGATGCGTCGATACCCGAGGTTCGTCACCGCAATCGGGGCTAGAATCATTTGCCGTGGCCCCTTCCCCTCATTTGACCCTTCCGTTTGGCCTGACTGGGTTCGCACTGGACCAGGGCTGGGCTGGGATTAGACTTTTGGGAATATCCGGGGTACGGCGGTCTGCTTTTGTAGGGACGGGCAGGCTGGCAGCCTGAGGTGGCCGGGTCTGGCTGGACTGCTGCTGCTGGCCTGCTGGACGAAAGAAGGGTTGGGCTGGTCGGGTCGGGGGTATTGTCATTTTGGGGGTCCCGCGTCATGCAATCCCCGGATTTTGTAACGGTTTACGGGGCGAACTCCATCCCCTGCCATGCGAGGTAAGTATAAGGGAGCCGACCTATTAATATAATCTCGGGGCAGAGGCTGCCTCTTTTTAACCAGCGCAACCGTGCTTTTCACTCAATCTGCTGGACAACCATCCACCGGGGAAACTTGGAGGGCTGTCAGGTCCGGTCAGGTCAGGTTAGGTAATGGAATGAGAGATGGCGGTCAAGTGACGTTTCACACACGGCTGCTGCTAACCGGCATCTCGGTCGGTACAGGCACGAAAAGCGACCGTGTCCGTCTCTGGGGAGGAATGCGTGCAAGTCGTAGGGACTGAGTACGGTGCAAATGCGGGCGGTTGCTGTCCCTCGGGGAGGGAGACGACAGTTCTCTCCCTATCACATGTAGAGACTACCCCGTAGGCATCGTTGTCATGGAGCCATGAGGAACATGCCACTGGGAACCGAAGCGATCGGTCGGGCCCTCCGCGCCAACTGGCCGCCGAGCCCGCTGGCAGGTAAGAAAGGATACGCAGCGTGACCCCGTCAGCGCCACGGGGCCAGGCACTCCGGACGGAACCCCAGTATTGGCGGCAGCATCTGATGGTAAGGTAATTTACCCGAAGTCTCGCTCTGTTGCTGTCTCCCCGGATGGGCTGCCACTTGCTTTTCCTTCCTCCGTTCATCCCCCTTTTCCATCAGACCATCATCCATCGGGTCCGTCACTCTGCGCCGTCTGTCTCTTTCGTAGCAGTGCCTGCTATACTGTTTATCTGAATTCTATTTTCTCTTCTCCTTCTGCTCGCGACCTCTTCGACTCCTCTGGCGCCTCCTCCTCCTCCATCTCGGCACTCGGAATCTGGCTCCACCATTCTCCGGCTGCTCGGTCGCGTCCTTGCATCCTCAGGCCGCACTAGCCCGCTCCGGACTAACTTGGGTCGGGCCTCCGCAAAATGCGGATGACGCCTTGCCTTGTTGGGATCGTCCGCCTGCCTGCCTCCCACACACACTCCCACTGACTGACTGACGAGACTCTGTTGTCGGCCGGAGTCATCCATCCAGCTCTCACTCTCTCGCTCTTCTCTCCTTCTTCCTTCCCCCCCCCCCTTCTCCCTTTCCCCTCGTCCTCCACAGGGGATCGATCTCCAACATCGCTTTCTTGCTGACTTCCCCTCCCTTCCCGTCACTACTCGTCTCCATTTTTTCTCCAGTCTCCACCTCCAAATCCCGTCGTCCCTAATCCACCCGACAGTGAAGTGAGTTGAGTGTGGTGTTGGGCTGATTCCCACAGGCGGTGCCGGTCCGGTGCCCCGACCCTGGACTCACGCTACTCTCGGCCTCCCCCACACTCCGCGTATTCCGTGGGAAGGACGCTCGCTCATCCTCCTGCTGCTGCTGCTGTCTGCTGCATGGTGGATATCCGCCTGGCGGCTTCATCCCTACCCTGGTCTTGTCTTGTCTGGTCGGGTCTGGTGAAATTCTTCTGACTCTCTCCCTCTCCCCCCCCCCCATCCTTCCCTCTCCACATCCCAACCTGACCCTCTTACCCGACTGGCTTCTTCCCGGCCCCGTTACCCACGCCGCACATTATTGGTGACATCGCAACGTGAATAATTAATTACCCTGTCTCCCCATTCTTCCATTCGGCTTCGCGACCTTTTCTTTTCCCGTGCCCCGTGGGCTTTTTATTCATTATCCCACCCTCTCCACCTTCTCCCCTTCTTTTCGCTTTTTCTCCCTTCTCCCGCCATTTGCTCCATCCCCGGTCCAAGTCACCCTCCTCCCAGCCCTGCTGCTGCGCCATACTTACCGACATCCCCGGTATCTGTGTGTTGTCGCTGTACCTCCTCCTTGCGTCGCGGCCCTGTGTTTGCACCGAAGTAGCGAGCCGACGCCAGCACTCGCCCCCTAAAGGTCAGTTCTCGTGCCCAGTTGCCGTGGGTGGAGCCCTTAGTTCCAACACCCCCCCTTCCCTAGCCGGTGGTACTGACGGCAAAACACGACAGCCGTGGCCGGCCAGCGCTGTCGCCCCTTGCGACCCAGACCGTCTGGAGTCTGGTTCGGAATCCCGGGGGAAAACTACCGGAGAAATACGGCGGAAGGTAGCAGCTGCCTCCCACACGCACACACGACTCACCACCCGTGTCGACCGTGGTCCGGGGGACTGCGTCGTCCCTCCTGTCTTCTTCTTTTCCTCCCTTCCACGCCCTTCCGTCACTGATTTGCATCCCTTCCTGCCTCTCCTGCCCAAGCGACGGGTCTCCCGTCTCTCGCGCCCGTCCTCATCGTCACAATGCGCTCCAGCATCGCCTGCGCTCGCTGCCGTCGGAGCAAGATAAAATGTGTTAACGCCGGCATCGATACCACCTGTCGCGCCTGTGAATCCTCGGGTCGCGAATGTGTCTATCCCGCCCCGGCCATCGGGGTGGGTGGTGGTGCCGCCAAGCGAGACCTGGCGGCCCTGGCCGAGGGTGAGGAACGTAACAATGATTGGGATAGCCCCAAGCGACAGCGGTCACGGAAGACGGTCGGCATCTCGTCCGCTGCGAAGGATGCCAGATCGGCCCTTGACGTGCTCGATTCGTCTGTCTTGACTACCAAGGTCTGGGATGCCGTCTTCGACCTATTCCAATCGCACTTTGCGACGATGCTGCCCTTCCTACATCCCGCTTCCTACATCGGCCACACTCGCCCGCTCTCCACCCATTCCTCCCAGCCGCCGACCAACCAAGAGCCCTCGCGAGATCCGGCGCAAAGTCCACCGGTCAGCAAAACCGATCCAAATCCGCTGATTCCCCTCGGAGTGCTCGCTCTCACGGCTCGGTTCCATCCACAACTGGTCGCATTTCATTCCCCGCCCTCCCCGGGCAACCCATCCAACCCTCTCGTCGCCTCGGAGTACTATGCGACGGCGTTGCGTAGCCGGCTGGCCGGCGTTGACGGCGCCAGTCTGGCAGTCACCGATCTCACTCGGGTACAGGCGTTACTGATGTTGGCGTTGCATGAATGGGGCATGTGCCGGGGCAGGAGTGCCTGGTTATACGTCGGTATGGCCATTCGACTGTCCCAGGCCATGGGGCTTCCCTTTGAGCTCGAGAACGAGATGGCTTATCGGGATGGCCCGCGGTCGCCCGTGCTCAAGATGGAAGCCGAGATCTTTGGCATTCCCCGGCGGCCTGTGGAACCTCGAGATCAGACCTCAGATGATATCATAGCCCAGGAAACGAAGCGCCGCACGTTCTGGGCATGTTTCATTCTTGACCGTTGCCTCAGCAGCGGCAAATACCGGCCCCGCATGATCCGCGTCAAGGAGCTGGGCATCCAGCTCCCGAGTGACAATGCCTTCGCCTTTGGCGAACGGGTGCGCACGTCCCGTCTCAGTGAGCCGGTCGCCCGCCGTCCGCAAAGTTTTGGAGCCCAGGGCGTCCAGATTCCGAGCATCCGCCAGAGTCTGGGAACCCTCGGGGACGACCGGATGCCCAGCAATGGCGCCCCCGATCCCAAGTCGTGGTCTCCGGTCTCGCGCCGGAAGGATTCGAGTGAGGATGAGATTGATCGCTGGGAGGTTGGTGCGGAGGAGTCCGTGCTCAGTCGGGTCATTCGGATTATCCGCATCTGGGGAAGTATTGCCAAGTGGTCGTGTGCTGGAGGTCGACGGTATGCTCGCCACCCATGCTTCTGTGATTGCTCACGGTCTAATGATATTCGCAGAAACGAACAGTTGCCCCCGTGGCACCCTGACTCGCGCTTCTCCAAGCTGCGGGTGATGCTACACGAATTCCAGGATGGGCTGTCCCGCAACCTGCAGTACTCTCCGCGGAACACGGACACCCACATCATGTACAAGACCACCCTCTCCCCGTACACGATCATGCATGTGGTCTATTTCCTCTCGGTCATTGTTCTCCATCGGTCCTATATCCCTTTCCTCCCCATGCGATGCTCGGAGCCGGTCGGGCCGTTGGACGAGCCCCTCTTTCCAATTGAAAAGCCCGGCATGGCCGAGGCGTTTTGGCGCGAGAGTGCTCGGGAGCTCTTCAAGGCCGCCCGGGAAATGATTGACCTGGCCGTCACCTGCCAAGAGCGGGGCGCCCTGGTTGAGAATCCCCTCGTGGGGTTTGCCGTCTACAACGCCGCGTTTATTGGCGTCTACGCGGCCCATTTCCCGCACATGGATCCGGATGCCGCCTTGGCTCCGCGCGATCGAACTGCCCAGGGTCAGGCACAAGCCCGGAAGGCCCTCGACATCTTGCGGGATATGCGCACGCGCCTGAAGATGGCGCGCGGGTGGTTCCGCACGCTCAACCGCCTGCACAGCTACTTCTCCAAAGTCAAGCGCGATTTCCGGCGACACTCCCGTCGGATGGACCTGGACGGCGCCGACGCGCATGTGAACGGCATTCGTCCGGTGCGGGAAGGCGGCGCTGGCGGTGGCCTGGATGAATTTAAGCTACTCGAAAAGCTGTTTCTGGACTTTGGCATCATCGAAGACCAGCTGCCGGATGGCAACGCGGATGATGACGCCCTGGCGGCTGCCAGCGACCGCGCCACGAATCTGAGCGACGCCGGCAGCAATGCGGTTCGCAGTGAAACCGGCGACACGGGCGAGCCTCCGCTGGATGGAGCTGGCGGACGCCGCGAGTCGTGGGTTCCGATCAACAGCCCTGGGATGCCACTCCCCGGCCCGGATGGGGAACGCCGGCCGAGTCTCCCTTTGCCCCCGAACCGCTCCTTGCAATCTCAATCGCCTTATTCGCTGCCGGCCTTGCAGCATCACCCGGACGGTGGTTTGTACAACGCCTCGTCCCCTAACCTCCCCTCATTGGGACCACCTGGGCCTTACGGAGCTCCGCCGACCACGGGGGCGGGCGCGTCGTCGCAATACGGCGGACCACCCCCTTCGAACCGTCTGCAGCCTTTGAACTCGTGGCTGAACAACCGTCAACAGCCTCCGCCGCCCTACTCGCAGTCTCTGCCTCCGATCAATGCGGCCACCTCTCACAGCCTGCCGCTGCTGCCCCCGCCGGGCTCGGTTGGCCATCCGGGGGCGTCACCCCCCGTGACGGTGGATGGCCTCGATAGCGTCAATACCAACGGGCTGCTCTCGACCAGCCTGGGTGGGGATGACGTGCTGGCCTTTTTGGAAGGGTGCGAGTACGACCAGCTCCCGGCCATGCTGCCCTCGGAGATGGGGGTGCCGGTCGGATGGCTCAGCACGGTGTGGACCGAGTTTGCCCGGTAACGGGATTCCTTTCTCTTGCTGATGATTGAGCGACCTTCGTCTGTACTATTATTTCCTATGTGCGGCACTTGTATTGTATGAATATGTATGCGCGCTTCGGCGGACTGACGAGACCACGCGACACTTCTGGGATTGACGCGATGTTTGGGAACGCGGGATGTTTCTTTGTTTCGGACCTGGGACCCTGGGCTGGGAAAATTGGCACGCGCGGGGAGGATGGTTCTGTTTCCTGCGGATTGAATATTTCGGGCGCCAACGTTGCTGGGGACGAGCGATGGGATGGGTTGGCGGTTTCTGACAGTTACTTTGAGCGCGCGGCGTCTGGTTGATTTATCTAAGTATGGACGCATAGTACCGGACTTTAACAATTCTTGCTTTGTCACCTGTGTTGGAGATGTAACTAGATGTAGACGACTCCGTAGATTGACTCGGGATAACATGTGGAGGCGATGGTTGGCCATGGCGCTTGTATTTTGGTCTTGTGCTGCTCTTTCCAACAAGTAGTCAGTGTGGCCGAGTGGTTAAGGCGATAGACTAGAAATCTATTGGGTTCGCCCGCACAGGTTCGAGTCCTGTCGCTGACGTTTTTTGGGGTTTCTTTTTTCCACCCGTGGGTCGGTCGATCCGTGGTTCGCCGTAGCTTCCGATCGGCACCAGAGCATGCCAGATCCACTGTACCGTGGCGGTCTTCCATTCCTTTTTTCACCATTCTTGCGGCATCCTACTGCCCGGCTCAGGTGCCGAAGTACTAAGATCCGCGGATGTCGACGGATGCTGTATTTGCCATAATTGTTTGTTTAGCGAGACCACGCCTAAGCCTATACGATGGCTGGAGCCTGCCACTTCATTCACAGACACGCATGAAACTCATTGCCCTGGAGGAATTAAACAATACGGGCTTGTCAGTCCAGCATGGGGCACTCATCATGTATTTTCCCTGCTCGCCGGGAAGTATTTGTCAGATAGTCGGAGATGTAATTTTGTGCCTGGATGTTTTGGATCAAGTCACTGTTCCGTATCCTTTAGGTCAATTCCGCACCACTTTCACTGCAATCCTGCCTTAACGATCCGGTCAAGTTAAGGTATTAGATGAGACTCATGTTCAGTTGTTAGTGGTGCTACCGGCAACGTCTCTCTGTGATAGTATGCAGCAGCATGACCAACTACTTTTGAGCAATGAAGTGCGCAAGTGAGGTGAAAATCATTACTTGTAAAGCTGAGCCTCTACGAACGTGCATGTATCTGCTGAACAAGATTATGCTCAAAGACAATTCCGGGACGAATGCGATCACGCGGACCACCTGCAGCGGATTAGGGAGATCATTCAGACAGAGTGGAGAACTTTACTAGAAGATCAACAAATGTCGAGAGAATATATACGGCATGATTTCTCAATTGGGGTACCTTCACAAGAACAGCCAAACCACGTTATCTTGTTTCGATTAAGTCATCTCCATCCCTAATCTTTAAGATAGAGACACAGTATAGCATTCGTCACCCTCCGATTTTACATACATTAACCCTACAACTTCAAACCATCTTCCCATCCCCGCAAAACCCCTACAAACCCCACAAACTACTACCCAACCCACCCTCACCTCCGATACCACATCCTCGTCCCCCCCATCCTCCCCATCTTCCTCTGCAACTGAAACACCCCAAACAACAACGCCTCCGCCGTCGGCGGACACCCGGGCACATACACATCGACCGGCACGAGCCGATCCACCCCCCTGACCACACTATAACTATAATGATAATACCCACCGCCATTCGCACAACTCCCCATACTAATCACCCACTTCGGATCGGGCATCTGATCATAGCATTGGCGCAGCGCCGGCGCCATTTTGTTCGTCACGGTGCCGGCGACGATCATCACGTCGGATTGGCGCGGAGAGGCCCGGAAAATGATGCCGAGACGGTCTTGGTCGTAGCGGGGCATCGAGGCGTGCATCATTTCGAGGGCGCAGCAGGCGAGGCCGAAGCTGAGGGGCCAGAGGGAGCTTTGGCGCGCCCAGGTGGTGAGGTGGTCGATGGAGGTGCTGGGGCGGTTAGATGGGGATTGGGGGGTGTAGTATTGGGAAAGGGGGCTTACAGGACGTGCTCGACCATGTGCATGGGTCGGGGTTCTGCTGAGAGGGAGGTTGGGGAGGGAGGTACATGCTTGGGACTATTCAGTGGGCTGGTGATCGAGTATGAAGCATGGTGAGAGGGCAAGAATGGAGATGTCCTTCGGAGGATTGGGTGGGATAAGGAGCAGAGGGAAAGACATCGGGTTGCTAAAAAGGCGTGTTGTCAGTATACATAGCGAGATGTCGTAGGCTACCATACCGTGATGAAGCGTCAGTGGACGGCTACCGTGTAGGAGATGCATCCTGGATCTAAAAGATTCTGATTATGGCTTGCTGTATCATGTGTAGTCCAGATCATGGTGAATAGTGACTGAAGCAATGGGCATAGTTAGGGTGGGTATATCCCGACTAACCTGAGGCCATGTGGGATTTCCCGACTAGGCCTCCCGAGACCCCACTTGCCGAGAACCAGTCACGTTGCAGCCAACTTTCCCTCCAGAGGTTTTCTTTTTGCTGCTTCGTGAGAATGGCCCCAGAACGCCACAGATCCAGAGTTGAATGCACGGTATGTCAGAAGGTATTCACTACTAAAAGCCATCTGCGACGACATGAAGCCACTCGTAAGGATCCCCGTTCCCGCCGCATCCGGAGATCTAACATGGTCAGATGCCCCCTCGCCAAAGGCAGCTTGCGGTTTCTGTGGCCGTGCATATTTAAGAAGGTACCGTCTCTTATTGAGAATAATAACAAATAAAAGCATGCTTACCGTGACTAGCGATGTTCTACGACGGCATTTCCAAACGTGCAAGCAAAAAGGAGACTGCCCCGCTCCAGGTCAAGCCGAGCCGGGAAGAAGGCGAACGGCCTGCAATGCCTGCGTCGAGGCAAGATTATTCTGCGATGGAGAATACCCGTGCGAGACATGCCTGCATAGGGGTATACACTGCTCATTTACTCACATACAAGAGCCTTCCGGGCCTGTGACTCGCACAAGACCGACTGTGGGATCGCCGCAGTCGGATCGGATACCGGGTCCTGCCAAAATGGCCATTCCCTTTCTGTTGCACTATGCAGATACAGGGAGTGACTCCGAGTTAGGGAGTCTTCGTCTCCTCGCCCAGTGTGGCTCTGGGAACTGTACTATCGATCATCAATCGAACGATGAGAACATGTTCGAGACGTGGGAGAGCCTGTTCAACTCGTTCATCAACCCCTCCACATTGGGCCCTTCATGCGGCATACCAGCCGGTCCGACAGATAGGTTCAGCTCAGAACTACTAGAAAACACCTCGACTCGGCTATTATCCCTACTCGCAAGTTCCGATCGCAGCCCCCCTGACCGAGATCCCCCGGACCTGCATAAAGCCGAGCAACTGTTGTCGCCTAGGAATATTGGCAACGCTCTGGAAGCGCTGCTTGATAATCCGTTCAATGCCCATTTCTTCCATGCCGCCTCGTTTCATCTGAACACAGCCTCACCGCGTCTCATTCTAACCATGGTGCTCTTGGGAGCAACTTACATCACCCCGCAGAACACAACCGACTTGGCACAGTACTCGGAGGTTGCTGAACATCTCATTTTCGATGACCCTGAATTCCAGGTTTTGGTACACGGGCAGAACCACCTACCCGAGCATCGCATCCTAGAGATCCTTCAATCCGCACTATACGCCATGTACCTCCAAACCAACCACGACAACCCCACCAGCATCCGGAGACTCCGCATGCAACGATTCCCAGCTGTCATCACAGCAATCCGCACACTGAACCTGACCACCATCACCAACGACTCGGCCCCCAGTTCCTCCACTTGGGAATCCCATCTCCTACAGGAGGGTCTAGTCAGGTACATCCCCCCTACCTCCCTCCCTCCCTGGACAGGAATATCCGACTAACAATCCACAGAGTAATGGCCGGCATCCACCTCTTCAACTACTACTGCATCATGTTCTACCGCCACCCCACGCAACTCCGAATCACAGAAACGACGTTCGAAATTCCCCAACGGGACGATCTCTTCCATGCTCGTGATGCGGCGGAATGGGAGCGTCTATACCCCATGAACCTGGACGATCGGGCCCCTGATACCATGCGCCTGCACACGGTGCTCCGGGAATACATGCGCGCGGACCACACTAACCACGATCAGGGCCACTACCCGAGGACGTTATTAGGTCTCTTCCTCGTTCTATCCGGTGCGTCTACCACCACCACCACCACCACCCACCTACCTCGTAGTCCCAAGAGAATGACTAACACCCATAAGGTCTACATTCCATCCTCTTCGACCTACTCCCCCTCCACACCATCACCAACGATCCATGTATATTCCACCCGGTTGAGCGAGGTCTAGATCGCTGGAAATCCCACTGGGATTTATTATGTAGTGATATCGAGCCCGCGCGTGCCCAACGGGCGGGGTTTATCATTCATGCGGTGGAGTATTGGTGGGTTGCGAAGGCGCTGATTCGGTGTCCGGCGGCGGGGTTGCTTGAGGGACGGGATGATGGGGATACGAGGGATGGGTTTCGGGGGATGGTGGAGAGGTTAGGGGTGGGGGGAGGTGGTTGTGTTCGGTCTGGATGAATGTAAGTTGTTTGCTTGTAGCAGGGAGGGAAATGGGATTTGGGGAGATAGTAAGTTTTATTTATGTGAGATGTCTTATCTTTACAGGGAGGAATAATGAAGGAGATTTCAAATATAATCTAATGGATGTAAAGGAGAATATAAAAGAACAACATAGTTGATGGAACGATGTCTACGGAGGAGTGCACCAGATGTATCCGCCAGGTGATGCGCGTATTAGGGCAGGATGGATATCGGTATCCCGGACTGGTCGACCCACTTGCCGGGATGAAGCATTCAATCATGTTCAATTGTCGGTCGTGCGATGGTGATTCTCCGAGAGCAGGATTACGATTAGTTATCTAGCAAGTAACGGTTGACAGGGAGGTAGACAAATTCTATCAGTGCATACCTACAATGGCAACAGAATCAACTTGTGGTGCCAAAAAGTACCCTATCCAGCCCTGTGGGCCTCCCGAACCCACCACCACAACCAAAAATAAAAGCAAAAAGAAAGCCCAACGCGGGGCTCGAACCCGCAGCCTTGAGATTAAGAGTCTCACGCTCTACCGATTGAGCTAGCCGGGCTAGCTGGTTGAAGAACGCTTCTTTGGAATGCTCTATAGCCCTTGGGTTGTAAAGTTGGTCCGCTGGTTCTTGGCTGTGGTCCGCAGGAGGGATTAGTGCTTATTCTCGGACGAGGCCGTAGGGCCTTTAGTAAACTACTATTTATTCTTGTTTTCCTGGGTTTGACCTTTTTCAGCTGTTGCTACTAAGATACGGTTCAATAGCAGACTTTTCAGCGACTCCTCTACGGCAAGTGGGCAAAATATATAGCAACGCCGAATGATAACTGCGCCCATCATCAACAACGCTGCAAACCATGGCTCTTTACACCTACACCTTCGAATCACCCTAGCTATGATTTGTATCTGACAAATATACCCCTACCAGAAGTTGACCTAAGCGATGGTGCGCATGTGTAGCATTTGTTCCCGCATCGTGCACCTAGCGCGGGTTCCATGAAGAGACACGTGACCTCTCTTACCAATGATATGGGTATCACTGGATTTGGGATTGAAATGACGAGAGGTCTCTAAATCGTAGCTGTGATCATCTCACCAAAAAAAGATATCGAGTAGATGTAGCCTGGACACACATTGGCTATTTCTCAATAGCAGCCATGGAGTCCGATGGCAGTGCATCAATCATTTGCTTTATCCTCTGTTTATCACTTAATCAATGGTCAGGATGGTACTCCTTGCAAGATGAACAACTATTTGTGAGAGAAGCGCGGTTCGAATCTAGCACGTTAATGGTCCAGATACGATCGGTTCATAGTACGGAATACACGGACGGGAGTAGTTGGGTTACTTTAGGCTTGTGGTGTGAGAAATCTAGTAGAAACGTAGTTATAGCTGTTGGCTGACAGGGTGCTGTTGTGGGCTGATGACTGGGTTTGGTTTATGATAGCAACGAAACAGCCTCGATCGAGACACCAGGGGAGCATTCCCTGACCATTCCATGCGAGGAAGGATGAATGAGCTGGCAATGATGATGCTGCCCATAATCCGGCATCTGCATTCTTACAACCCTTTCCTTCCCCTAACATAGCAGCCTGGCGGTGTCCTGAAGTCTCACGGAAGAGAAAGGAGGGATGCACCTCCGCCTCCCCTGGATATTAAGAACCAACACAGCCACGCATGCATAGAGTAAAGCAATATATTACCATACTATGCGCACAGATACAGTTCATGAACAGGGGTAGGGGGCATGTGGATACCGCTTGGTCTCTCGCATTCTTGGCATTCTCCCGAGTCTGCTTCTCAATTTTCCCTCGTATTGGGCATTCTTGGTCTACGAAGTTGATATGGAATGGGATGGCTTTAGGTCGATCTAAGTGGTGACGGATGGCATCGTGTCAGGCTGATATCGGGATGATTTCGTAGGTAGCTGGGTAAGTGTTGGTGTGTTGGTTATGGTGTGTCGGCTTTGGTTCGGGTGCGAGGTTAGGGCTTATAGTCATGGTGGGTGTCGGAAGAGCGGAAGGTGGCGGAGACGAGATAAGGTCAATATCAGTGGAATAAAGGGTTAGGCAGACAGATACTGAAATGAAGGGAGTGTCAATGTCAAGGGGCGAAATGTGGTTCTGACCGATAGCAATAGAGGACGGTCGGGCCGTGAGGTCGGATTCAGTTGAGATGCCGAGCTAGCAATCGTGGGAACCCTGCGTTCAGCTGGGAGGATATTATGGTTAAATGAAGGACCCTCGCAGGAGGTGGCGAACAAATGAACGGCGGGGGACAAAGAAGTGTTGGTCACAGTGTTTAATTGACGTGATATTAACATTTAATCTGGTCATCTGGTGGATTGCTGTGGGAGAGAATGAGGGATTCAGATAGCATTCATCTGAATCCCATCTCTCTTTGCTAGCCAAGTTGCGACATGAGATCGCGACATGAATTGGTGTAGGCATCTGACAGGTCAGCTGTTGGGTGTTTCAGTTCGTCCAGCCCCTGCCTCGATAGCTTGGTTTCATCTGAATTCGGCCCCATCGAACCATTCCAGCAAGCCACTTCATTGGCTGGCAACCGGAGAAAAGCGGTAGTGGATGCACTTGCATCGAACTAATGTCAAAGGAACCTGATCTCGCGCGTATCGGAGGCTAAGCATTGGTGCCTGGTTTCATTGCGCCCCACCAACACCGAGTCAGCGCTAAGCCTTCGCGCAAACCATTGGTGTAGGGCCGGCCCCAACTGCGGCCAGCCTTGCGCCGTTGCGACTCAGGATTGAGGCTGGCCTCGCTGATTGGACCCTGATAAATGAGATCAATTCGATGAAATTGCACTGACCAAGCATCGCCTGATAAGCTTCTGTCTCAATCCCGGTTGACCTGCGCAATGAGCATTCCTGATCTTTCGATTCTTTCATATTGGGGCCAAGGAACTTCGCCCCTGTTCATGCCATTCTAGTTTTTTACCAAGCCCGGAGATATATCGGAGTGACTCTCAGTAGAAAAATCCATGCTCGATCCACCACGTGAGATGCAATCGCATGGATTAGCGGTGCCCCGCCTCATGCATCCAACCTGTAAAATGGGGCAATTAGATTAACGGCTTCCATTTCCTTCCCTGACTCGTCGGAAGAAAGTAAAATGTTCCTATTGGCTATACCCCTGCATCACCGGCCAGGGAATTAATTAGCCCGCATCACGCAGCCATTTATAAGGCCCTGAATGCCCGGTGCCATCACGCCCACTTTCCTTCATCACCCACCCGGGCTATGCCCACAGTCACTCCTTACTGAACCCCCGCGTTCACCTTGTCCTTCCTTTCTTGCTATTTATTTCCAACGACAGGCTCGACGCCGTCACCATGCATTTCACTTCCATTCTCCTCCTCGGGCTCCTCTCGGCTAACCACGCGCTGGGCGCGGCCGTCTTCGCCCACTTCATCCTCGGCAACGCATGGAACTACACCCTCGCCACCTGGAAGGAGGACATGACCCTGGCCCAGGCGGCCCACATCGATGCCTTCGCGCTGAACATGGGGTACGGGGACTCGTCCACCGCCACTCAGGCCGCCCTCGCCTTCGAGGCCGCCAACAGCGTCGGCTTCAAACTCTTCTTCTCCTTCGACTACGAAGGCGGCACCGGTGCCTGGCCCCAAGCCGACGTGATCACCTACCTCAACAAATATGGCTCCAACTCCGCCCACTACAAATACAACGGAAAACCGTTCGTCTCGACCTTCGAAGGCACCGCCGCCGCCACCGAATGGATCACCATCAAATCCGAAACGAATTGCTTCTTCGTCCCGGACTGGTCCTCCCTTGGGGCTGAGGGCGCCTACAAGGCCGGCGGCGGCGGGATCGTGGATGGTCTCTTCAGCTGGGGCGCGTGGCCCTCCGGCCCGAATAACATGGACAACGCGACCGATCTCACCTACCTCGATCTGGATGTCCCCTACATGATGCCCGCCTCGCCATGGTTCTACACCAACCTAGCGGAATATAGCAAGAACTGGCTCTGGCGGGGCGATAGTCTCTGGCATGATCGATGGGAGATGATCTGGGAGTTGCAGCCGGAGTGGGTGGAGATTATCACCTGGAATGATTATGGTGAGAGTCATTATATTGGGCCCATTCGGGAGGACGCGATTAGTCTGATGACGACGGGTGGTGCGCCGCTGAATTATATTGAGAATATGCCCCATGATGGATGGAGAGAGTTGCTTCCGTTCGCTATTGATACGTACGTCAATGGGAATGCGACCCTTGATTACGAAGGCCTCGTCACTTGGTACCGTCCCAACCCGTCCGAGGCGTGTGGCACGGGAGGGACCACCGGTAATACGGCGAGTGAGGGCCAGACGCTGTATCCGCCGGCGGAGGTGGCTCAGAATAAGATCTTTTATTCGGCGATGTTGGATTCGCATGCTAATGTGACGGTCACTGTGGGGGGGCAGTCGCTCGGCGCTACCTGGGAGCATCTGGGCCGTGGTGGTGCAGGACTCTATCACGGTGGTGTGGAGTATGGTAGCGCTACTGGCAAGGTGGTGGTGACTGTTCACCGGGATGGAGAGACTGTGGCTACTGTGGCAGGCGAGTCGATTACCGCGACGTGTACGGATGATCTGTCGAACTGGAATGCTTGGGTGGGATCCAACGTGTCCAATAGCACCAGAAAGACGAATACCCGTCGTGACGTCCCAGCTTCATTGCCGGTGAAGAGTCGCCACGCACACAGCCATCTCCACCGAGGCCATAACCGGTTTCATTGATGCGCAGGCCCGGGTAGCAGCATAGTTCGTGGACGAAGACTTTGAAGCAATCGTTTGTTATATACCCATACTGTACCGAGAGTATACAATTTCCATTCTCGCTGATTTCTATCCTGTAATACCTCTTTGAAGATCTAACACATAAAATACCCCTAAATGAGACACACGCGAAAGCGACTGCTTAATACCCGACTGGTCTCACCTGTAAATGATCTGCTAAACCAATCGGCTGAGATATTCCCCACCACCCACTGGCACACTATCTTATCACAATATGGTCATACCATGCCATGCAGCAGCCCTGGCATGCTGACACTGAGTGAAGTCTAGTCAAGCCGAACACAACCGCCCATCCTCCTGCTCCACCCACGCCTCACTCCCCACCCAGTGGCGACACCAGAGCAACTCATCCGGATCATATCGACTCTTGACCGAGAGCAGTCTCGGATAATGCGCCCCAAAGAGGGACGATTGCCAGTCCGGCTCATACGGATTGGCCTAGATACCCATTAGCGCTGCCAATCACTCATGTCAGCACAGCTTACCTCATTAAGATAGCACCCCGTATCAGGCGCCAACTGACGAAGAGCATACCCCTTCCCATACGTCATATTATATACCACCTGCTCAGCCACAGGCACCGGAATCGACTGATTCCAACTCTGCGAGACAATCCAATGCACGACGGAATCCCGCCACGCGGGGTTCAGGGCATTGTCGACCGGGATGCGGCTGCCGGTCATGGTGCCGGAGATGGAGGGGGTGGAGACGCCCTACATGGTTAGATTGATGCAGCTGGTGAAGGATTAGATCTTACCTCGGGGGAATCCTTGCGAGACATGATCTCTTGTAATGTGTGAGCGAACAATTCCACATCATCTTCCACAGCACGGCGGGGAATAAACCGTGACGCACGGGCTGATTGCATCGTGCCAATCGATTCACTTGAAGGCATGATCTGCACCACATCGTACCGGGTAGTGTCATGATTGGCTGCACAGTTGAATCCACGATACTCTCATACCGCTTCAAGAAGTCCCAAAACGGCTGAAGTAGTCTCTCCGCAGTGCCGTTCTTCGCATCATACAGCAACAACGCACCGTTCATTGCTAACGGCGGTCCACCTAAGACATAGTATCCATGGACCCCATGATCTTGCAGATCAACCAGATACTGATGCGCATGCGCTACAACCCGGTACCAATCACGGTCACTGGTCCCATTCCTGGCAGCCAGACTGAGATTAATCATCGTCACCTGGGGCATGGGATACGCCTTGACCGTCACCGAGCCAATCACCCCGTAAGTACCGCCACCACCACCACCACGAATAGCCCAGAAGAGATCCTCGTGTTGGCAGGCGTTTGCTGTCACCAGTTCCCCGGACGGAGTGACAAATCTCGGCTGCAATGATATTGTCCGCCCCCATACCGTTGTTCCCTGTCGCTAGGCCGTGACCACCGCCTGTAGCCCAGCCCACGACTCCAACGTCCTATTCACATTAGCATGAGTCTTTCTTCAGAAGATGGAGGGGTGGCACCGTATTCGTCCCCCCCCCCACAGCAATAGCATTATATTTAGCTAGCGCAGCAAACATCTCCCCATCCTGTACGCCCGCGCCTAGCGTAGCTGCCATGATCGTTCCATTCCCCACCAACCCAGCCACACACTGCGTCTAATACCGCTCATGAAACTCAATCTTCTTCAAATGATGCGTCCAGATCCTACACCCATTAGCCACACCATACATCAAACCATGAGCAAAAACATACGACAACCCCCCCCCCAATTCACTCCCCTCCGCCCCATGTCCCGTATTCTTCACATTCACCCTTACCCCCCACTCCCTCGCGAACCGTAACCCCGTCTGAACATGGCCCACCTCCGTCGCGTTAATCACATACACGGGGTACTTACCCCTCGTGCACCCTTCTGCCTCGGCATGGATGTTCCCCGTGATGCTGGTTCCATTCGGGAAGAGGGGGTTGCAGCTGTTGTTGGCCCAGAAGGGGTCGTCGATGCTGAGGGGGTCGGAGGAGTGGAAGGATGAGTGGGGCCAGTTGCTGAGGATGGTGCTGCAGAGGGAAAGGTTGTAGGTTGGGTTGCTGGGGTAGCAGACCGAGGCGGCGGGGTGGGGGTGTAGGAGGTGGTTGGTTAGGGTGGTGTTGAGATCATCCCAGGTTGCGGGGGAGGGCCAGCAGGTTAAGCAGATATAGTGAGCAGAAGGTAGAGCATGGAGAATATATAGAGGAGGTATGAGAATAGGGTTGAGGAAATCGGCCCGATTACTGTACTAGGAGATCTACACCCGAATACGACCCTAAAGCATATAACCATATAGCCGTGTGGCTGTGATCGCTCCCACCAGGGAAGTCGGCCCGTCGCCACCGGTCGGTGAAGTGAACGGATATCTCCATAACCAATCGCATTTGTCAAAATGGGCTATATCAAGAAGAGTTGAGTAGAGGCATGTACATACGACCACAGGGTGTGGAGAACAGGGCTTCCCGTCCGCTCAGCCGTACTTAAGCCACAGTAATCTCCGCGGCCAATTCTCAAGGAGCCTTTGATCCTAACAAAAATCTGAAACGACGGTGGAATATTTCTTGGCATAGGTATTTTGAAGATGCATTAGGATGTTAAGGAAAATAGACAATACTACAAGATAATTTGGAAGACAAGGACATTTTATAAGTCGCTGGCGTGTACATCAGCTCCCCTCTCAATAAAGAGCCTTCCCACTGTCTGATGGCCATCCCGTGAAGCCTCAGAAAGCGGTGTCCGCCTATCTTTCTTACTGGCATTGACAGAAGCTCCTCTCTTGATAAGCAACCTTGTCACGGTCTCATAACCTCTCCATGAGGCCCGAAAAAGGGGTGTCCTCCCAGATGAGTTACTTGCGTTGACCTCGGTGTCTTGATCTATCAGGAGCATTGCTACTGTCTCATGGGCATCCTATGAAGCCCAATAAAGTGGTGTTAATCCATCGTTCTTACTAGTACTGAGTTCAGCTCCCCTCTCGATCAGGAGCTTGACAATAACTTCGTGGCCGTTTTTTTCAGGGCTCGTAAAAGCTGGTTGTATCCTGCCTGATCCTGTTCATCAATTGGCATTCCCTTCTGAAGTAGTAGTCTAATGAGAAGTTCACGACCATCTTTCGTAGCCTAAGAGAGTGGTGTCCGACCTCTGTGACCCTTGAAGTCGTTCCTGCTCTTTAGACCTTCTGTGATACACTACCTCCTCGTACATATACGAAGATACTGATACCCCTGCTTGAGATGGCGAACATCGACCCACTTTTTGGTGGGGCCCCACAGACCCAAAATCATAGACCCTCTGCTGCGTCCCTCAAAGAGATTGTGGCCTTGATGAGGTTGTAGAGGCCGGATAGTTTTTGTTTTGAGGGTAAGCATAAAGCTATTGCCTCTGACCTTCCAGTGCCCCATGGTCTTGCTCTCACAGCATGGTGAGATCCAATTTCAGAAGAAGCGATATCGTGTTTCATGGGTCTGTAGCTCGCACTCTGCCTCAAAAGTCTTTAAAACGACATCTGACTAGATCTAGATGACAAGAAGTCCAGAATAGCGGGCGAATAAAGAAAAGATGGCGCGCGCCGGAGTGTAGAGATTGTGAGTTAGAGCTGGATTGCATCCTGACACGAAGTTATTAGCTTGGTCGCAACCAGATCAAAGATGTTTATGAAAATGTAAGTCACGCGCTGGCTGGCCTTGGCATGAAGGCGGTGACTGGTGGTCAATGGCGGTTTCTCCCGATACATAACAACCTCCTACAATCTCACAGTGCCTCAGGCTCATACTCATAGAACCCTTCTTGTGAGGATCCTCTTGTGAGGAAATCGATCATGTGAGACTCGACTTGGAATAGACCACCAGCCAAGAGGGAAAAGGCCTTGTGAACCATCCTCTGAGACAGTCCTCGTAACAGAACCTTCCAATCCAGACCGCGGTGCTCACATTCCCTAACACCAGAAATGAGGTACTGTAGCAGTTCAAAGATGATTGATCGATCTCATTGGCTGCGGTACAGTGGGGTCCATATCCACATCCCGCAGCCACATTATGGACATTGCACAAGTCGACAAAGCGCGGAGTCGAAGACAATGTTATGGGAATAACAGGATCTAGTGTGACAATCCAATATATCGTGACAATATAGAAAGGCTAGAAAGCGCCCAAAGAAACCTATTGCCTACCACTACTCCAGCCGGCGGGCTATAAAATGTTCAAACATCTGTTCCTGCTGACAAGCCGAGAGCAACAACGAATATCTTCTGCGCGGTATGAAGTGATGAGAGCTTTAAGAATTCTCCCTGTGTATCCTCTGATAACCAAAAAAACCATGGCGCATCAAGTGACATGGCATATTCACGCTAACCTGGCAGTCTTTAAGCCCCTTGTTCGGATGACGTCGAATACTCCCGCTTGTCGCCCTTCTTGAACGTGCCAGTGCCATCTGCATATATATGGTGGGTTCGAGGTCGACTACCGTCAGCTGGGCTGATTCGGGCGCTGATAATCATCGCCTTATCGAGACGGTTGAAGTGAGACTGGTGAACGGGGCTACTGCCGTCGTTGCGATGCCTACGTGATTTATCTGTGAGTAGCAATCTTAACAAGAATAAACTGTGCTGAGTACTTACAAAATCTCAATAGAGTCAACCTTGCCGACTTTCTAAGCAACGTTTAGTAGAGGGCCTCTTAGCATTTCGATAACTTACCTGTACAGCACCGTTCTCTACGTAACGCTCGGCCGCGTCCTTGAAAACGGGAGGAAGTAGTTCCTTATTGTACCCGAGCCATCTTGCGAGGTTCTGGCGTGCAGTAGAAAAGGCTCTAGACATGGCAGCCGTGTTTTGATGTGCGGGGATTGAATCAAGTTTGAAATAAAGAAAGCTAGGTGAAGGTTTGTAAGACTGAGAATGATACAGCTAGTTTTTTGACCACGGATGATCGTGAGGGTTTATATATTGTTAGAAACTCATGGCTGGGTCTGTTATCCGCCCTATTGATCCAGCGCGGGGGGCTCGAGGCCATAGGTCGGCGGTTAAAATAGGTGCTGTAATTGGCTACCTCTGGGTTTTGTGTGAGGGGGACCAGCCCGAGGATTTTAATGGGTTAATTAAAGATGCACAGGATGGAACGGCGGCTACGTTCAGACAGTGAAGGGGGATTCACAGCCAATGACGTACACAATGCGTGGGACTTGAGTATATTACCGCCGACATAAGGCTGACGCTGTGACCGGAGCGCTACAACCAGGCTACAGTAGGCCACAGTGATATATGATAGGAGGCTACTGATTTAGAGGCTAAATGTGACCAGCGTTCCGTGTACATCTTAGGGTTTCAATCGGTTTGTTTCTCCCGTCGGCTCTGAATCACCTGTCCATTTAAAGGTAAGACATAGAAGTTAACGCGGGAGTTGGTGGTGGATCGTACAGCCAGCCAATGAAACAATGACTCGGCTGCCTAACCACAAATCGGGCCTCGCCTGACAGGTCCGAAGTAAATCAATCAATCAACCAACGAACTACGCTCGCGTAGTAGAAAGCTGTCAGGTTCGAAGGGGCGTACTTGGCGAGTGGTAGTTTTCAATATGATGCCAGGTGGCTGAAGCACAGAAACGGCAGGGATCATCCATGAAGCACGCGATCCCGCAACCCAGGCCCTCAAGAACTCGTGGAGGTGATAATCACGTGATATTACTAATATCAATCACGTGATGGATGTCCCCCTCGTCATGCAGGTGGATGTTTCTGCTTTCTGTATTCTCCCCTTTCTCACCAACTTCGCGTGCACACGGTATAAGGTCGTGTTCATTCTTAATTTTTTTCCCCCAAGGGCTTTATACGACTAGCCTGTTTCCCATAGCTTCGGATAATGCTAGCATCGCTCCTACGATCTCTACCGCGGCTTGGTAGGGCATGGAAGCCCCTCAACTTCTGCAATCCTAATTTCGTCCGGATACCCATAAGCCGGAGAATTGAGGAAGAAACGATGCCAGATTATGTTGCTTCCCGATACTATCCAGCTCGAATAGGAGAAATATTTAAGGATCGCTATCAGATTGTAGGAAAACTGGGATTTGGAGCCAGCTCCACGGTGTGGCTTGCGAGGGACATGAAGTGAGGATCCCATAGGAAACAATCGTCCTGAATCGACTTGCTCATACACTAGAATCACAGCTGCCGTCGTTATGTTACCCTCAAGATCTTTATCAAGTCTGCATCGATGGGACAGCAATTGGACGATGAGCTCCAGATGTACAAACGCATGGAGAGGGGCTCAAAGAATCATCCCGGTCGCAGTGCTGTTAGGTCATTACTGGACTCATTTGATGTTGATGGGCCCGAGGATAAACATCGGTGCCTTGTGCATCCTCCATTATGGGACAGTGTGTTGACCTTTCTGCACCGCAACCCGGAGCAGAGGCTACCTGCTCCAGTCCTGGCATTTGTGCTTAAGCGCCTGTTTCTGGCGCTGGACTACCTGCATACGGAATGCCAGATTATACATTCCGGTATATACTCTGACTTTGTACCCCTTCCCCCTTTCTTTTGCTTACCAGTGTGTCCCATCAGACATCAAGGCCGACAATATCATGTTCGGCATCGCTGATGATTCAGTTTTCAGTGAATATGAAGAAGATGAGCTTCTGACCCCTTGTCCGAGGAAAGAGTTAGATGGAAGAACCATCTACGTATCTCGGGAACTGAGAATGCCCAGGAATTGGGGTGCTCCGGTCCTATGTGACTTTGGCTCGGCCATTCCCGGTGGCGTAGAACACACAGAAGATATTCAGCCTAACATCTATCGAGCCCCAGAGGTGATTCTGGAGGTCCCATGGACGTATAGCGTTGATATTTGGAATGTGGGCTGCATGGTATGACAACAAGTCGATAACCCTGGTTGCAAAATTTCTGAAAGATTGCCTCAACAGATTTGGAACATTTTTGAGGGCGAGTCCTTATTTACTGGCTATGATCCAGAGTTTCAGACTTATCGAAGTCGCGCCCACCTCGCTGAGATCACAAGGCTGCTTGGGCCTCCCCCGCCCAATCTTCTTGCCCGAGGGAAGCTAGGCCATAAATTCTTTTCTGACGAAGGTAAGCCAATGCCCCCATTCCTCCATTATCCGCTCATTATGTCCGACTTTACAGATGGCTTCTGTGCCAAAGTTCTGTTAGAAGATCGGATTCCGCTTGAAAAGAGGGAAACAACGCTCCAAGGACAAGACAAGGCGAATTTTTTGCGTCTCATGCGGAAGATGTTACAGTGGGAGCCGGCCAACCGTAGCTCGGCTAGGGAACTGCAAGAGGATGTGTGGATTTGTAAGACTTTAGAGTAGGCATCGAGAATTCACTTCAAGGAGCATTATATCGTACTGGGCAAACCCATCATAACAATTGAGAGAAGGGGCAATGTGACCGACCACCCAGGCGCCTAGAAGCTAGGATATGATTGCCCTTCTTGTTGTTATTCGCCATGATGATGAATTGAATGGCCGCGGTGCACCGCGGTACAGGATGGCTAGGCCGATGAGAAAATCCTGGATTTGCTTCCTTATCCTCGCCAATCATTGCTTCAATATACGGCTGCCATGACGCTACAAAATGCAAGCTGTATCCGAGATGGTCGCATACTTTTGATAATCTGCTGCTTGGTGAGAATGGATACCTTAGGTTTAATCCATGACGGATCTTAGTGACTTACGACAACGTTCCACGAGCCAAACGCTCAATTATCAACGGTATCAGAAGGACAGGAGCAGGCGGACTGTTTTCAGTTATGGGTTGCCCGGCCGCTTTCTTCTCCATTTCACTTATAAAGTATCCCCGGCTTGCCGAGGTTTCAGCATATCTAGAGTAGAAAGCAATAGGCTGACCAGCTGTGGCACATATTAATGCGTGGTCCTAAGAATCTCAAGAAGACTCACCAATCAAGAACACATCAGAGCTCCTTGTGCCCCAATAAGTTCCCAAAAGCTCCGCTATGCATTTACTATTATTTGCAGACTTCCAGACTCGTATCCTTCATCTACTTCACTGGATGTCTGAGAGGAGCATCGCGAGGCCGTTGGGGTTGCTGTGGCAGTATTGGACACGCTGTTTCGCTGGGATATAGATGGCGGTACTCGATAAGCTTCAATGATCCTTGTTGATTGAATGACCTCTTGCTCCAGAAATGCGATCTAATCAGCGTCGCTACCCTCGAAAGCAAAAAGACGCCTTGTCATCATATTGCTTTGCTGGGGATGAAATTGCTTGAGGTGTTCACGTTCTGCGGCAACCCCCGCTCAGGAGCTGGTAAGCTTTGATTATGTCATCTCTCTAGCTCCGGCCGCTAAGGACGTATAACTCGCTCGCAGGCATTCAACCGCACGGTATGTATCTTGAAGAGGAAGAAGAGCCAATCCTACCAGAGAACAATTAATGAGTAGTACTCAAGAGCGAGTCCACCAAAGGATGAACACAGCCGAATGAGGTGGATTGGGAGATCATCGGTCCGCTCCGGCTCCCGTTCCGACTCCCGCTCCGGGCCGCATTTATTGGTCCGATGACAGTCCCTCGTCTCCGACATGTTGATAGTATAGAGAAAAGAGAATCTAGACAGGCCCACAGAGTTTCTTATGATTAATAGTGCCCGACAGTGGATATTGTTCTGACAGCCAGTTCCATTATGTGTAAACCCAAAAGGATTTTCAATCAGGAGACTTCCAATCTTGTCATTGGTGACTCCCACTACTAACAGCAAAAAGTGGTGTTTCTCAGGGGATACTATATCACTGTGACTATCCTACCAATTGCCGGCTTAGATAGGTCTACTGCATCATAGATGACTAAGGCACCCAGTGAGATCTCTACTAAGGCAAGGGACTCTCTATAGTATGGAGGACCAACTGTACGTTGTCTCAATCCATTCAATGATTTGTCGTTTCCAAGAATCAATACGTCGGTTTCATACGTTATTTCCCACTTTATTTTCACCTTAATATCTAATACGACACGTTTATCAAGTAGATAGAGATAGATATGAAGGGAAGACTAGTCAACGGAAATCTTTTCATCGCCATCATCCTGTTGTTTCTCGACAGGGAGGGATGAACCCCATCATTCCAAAGCGAACGCAAAAAAACTTGCTGCCTAGCGGAGGCGCAGCATGACGAGCTGGGGCCTGTTGTTTCAGATGGCAGGCCGCCGAGCCAATGGTATTGTCAAGTCCCCTTCTCGGGGACTACCAGCGAATCCCTTCTGTTTTATGTCTTTTTTTTTTTTTTTTTTTTTCTATCTTAGATTTTGTGGAGCTAAAGGGCTACTTTAAGCACGAGGCTATTACAGCATGAATAGGTCACTGTTCATCCAGCCTGGAGCTGTAAACGGAGCTTGTGTATTCCAGTGCAATGATTACAGTACATCCATCAGCCACCTGCCTGATCAATGGACCAAAACGAGCCATAGCCTCCATCGCCGAGACATCCGGCCCCAGCACCCAAGACGAAGGATGATATTCCATATGTTCTTGTGGGAGGGTAGTCTCTAGCCATCCTCTTCTTAGACTCTTTCCAAAAGACTGGCAGTGAGTCATAGTGACATTAGATTGTATCACAAGTCATCAGGTAAACAATCAGAAACCTAAGTATAATTCCTCGACCAAAACAAGTGTTAGATCTGTAAACTTTCTTACCAGGACCAACCAGTCTTCTCAACCTAGCCACTTCAAACTACAGCAGAAAAATCAAAGCCATGCATTCCATTCCCAATGACAACCGACCCCTGAGATACCCATTGGATGCCTCCACCTGCGTGACCAGGCCTGCATTCATCACAAAGATGGCATCGTTCTCCTGGGTAACAGTTAGGTTCAGCCCGGTAATCTCGCGGACCACCGAGAGGGGCTGGTCAAATTGTAAATCGGCAAGTTTCTTCGACATCACTATCCATTCACCCGTAATGATACATCAGTGTATTGAAGGGGCTTTTTGTAAGGTGCTACGAGGGTATCTTCTCTTGTTAGTGGATCCCTACGACAGGAGACAGGAAAAGGGGGGAGGGAGCTTACGGAATTGGTAGGGGGAGGAAGGTGTAGTTGCGTTTGTCTTCGTCGTAGTTGTACCGCTTGGTGAATAGGGGGTTGATTTCGTCGATGCCGCCGGTCATGTTGTAGATGTGGGCGTAGGTGGATAGTGAGGGGGTGAGGAGGAGGGTGTCCATAAGAGGAGAGGCGGTTACTAAGTCGATGATGACTGTGGCTAGTGTTATGATTGGGAAATGCATGGTTGCGATAGATGGAACTGCGATATCAATCCGCATAGTGGCGCGTCGATTGCTTACGGTGTGTACTTGGCATGTCAGCAGGTCTGGTGCACTTCTCGATTCCGTGGTACCAGGCTTCCCATGGAAGGGATATATATGCTGACCGATTGGCAAGGGATGAGTCCAGCCGACGTACTCGTGACTAAAGGGGTAATTCACCCCGAGGACCTAACCCGGTTGACAGACAGATATCATTACCCTATTCTTCGACAATAAACAGAACACTCTACTTCCATTTGGAATATGGAATCACAATCATGAACTGCATACATACTAAAATCTCACACCACAAGCAACTAGCACACCCCCGTGAGTTCCCCCCCACCCACCAACGCCTCCACCACCTGCACCAACTGCTCCAACGTCTCATCCACAAATGCAACATCCCTCTCACTCCCCACCACCCCGACATGCATGACCCCCTCCTTGACAAACGAGACCACCTTCATCGGATACGCCGCATCGCCATCCGGATTCAGAATATCCACCTTACAGTCCCCCCCCGCAAACGGCATCGTATCAAAATCGTGCCAATCCTGATGATGCACCACCGAGTCAAAGTATCCGTCCCAGCCGCACGCCGCCGCGATCTTGTCGAAGCCGAGGAAATCGTACTCGGCGGATGCGGCGCTCTGGTGCTGCACGTAGCGGAGCAGGTCCATCGCGTGCCAGGTGGGTTGGAAGCGGACGCGCGTCGGGGTGAGTTGGTAGCACGGCCCCATGATGGTGTCGGTGTCGGGCAGGGAGGCGAGGGTGCGGCCGGAGGTGACGGCGCCGAAGGTGATGTCGTCGGTGTGGAGACGGCGGGCGAGGAGGAGGGCCCAGGCCGAGGTGAGGAGGGTGGCGGTGGTGATTTCTTCGAGCTGGAAGGGGAAGGGGGTAGGGATGGGTTGGGTGTGGAAGATGGATTTGTCGCCGGGTTGGATGGCCGGGCCGGCGAAGGTGGTGAGGGTGGAGTCTTGGAGGAGGGTGCGCCAGTAGGTGAGGGCTTTGGTTTGCGGGGCGGGGGAGAGGGTGTGGGAGATGTAGCTGGAGAAGGGGGTGGGGGTGGGAATGGTCGAGGTGCTGATGTAGAGGGTTTCGAGGTCACGGAGGAGAAGGGGCAGGGATACGCCGTCGTATTGGGCGTGGGAGAGTCCGAGGACCAGGCAGGATTGGTTGGTGGCAGGGTCTTCGATGTGGAGGAACTGGGTGAAGGAGGCGCCCAGGTGGAAGGCCGCTTCGGAGTGAGTCTTGCAGATGGAGGCGACGTCTTGTTCGAGGTTGGTGGTGGCGTGGTGCATGGCCACCGGGGCGTCGAGTTTGTCGATCACGACCTGGAGGAAGCTGGACTCGTGGGGAACGAAGACGGTGCGGAGGATGTCGTGAGCCTGGACGAGATCGTGGCAGGCACGGAGAAGTCGCGCACGGTCGACATGCTGGTCCATGTACAACATGGTGTATTGGATGGAAGTGCGCGGCGCCTGAACGGTGCCGCGGACGTCGAGGGCCTGGGAGTCGGTGACTGGGAGGACATCACGGATCGACCATTGGGGATCCGCCAGCTTGGGACGGATGTCCTCGGACAGGAACGACTCGATGTTATCGATCTGGCCGAGGGTGGAGAACGGACGGTAGGGCTGGGCCTTTTCGTCCTTGGAGACGACGTTCACGCGCAGGACCGTGGCAGCATCGCCCAGACGCATGCGCTGGAAGATGTCGGCCACGGTCAGGCCGTGTCCTTGGGCACGCAGACTCGAGACCAGCTTCATGGCCAGGACGGAATCCCCGCCGAGGCGGAAGAAGTTGTCATCCACGTCAATCTGCTCGGGACTGAGCTTGAGAATGGTGGCCCAGGCGGACCGCAGGATGGCCTCGGAAGGCGTCAGATGGGTCTGCGCGGAAGCCTTGGCCAACGCCTGCTGGAAGGCATCGCGGAGTTGGGCCAGCAGGTCCCGAGGGATGCTCGAGGCAAGTTGGTTGAGAACGCTATGGATGGGCATCCGGTCGACCACAATGTATGCAAACGGAGCCATGTATGATGGGAGAGAGTCGTGGATGAACTTGTCGAGCTTCTTTAGGGCTACGGCGTGGCTAACAGGGATTGTGGTACAGATGGTCGCCTCGAAGCTCTGCGAGTCCACGTCGCAGCGGATCTCGTGCGGCGTCGGCAGGAGCTCGATGCCATCTGGGGTGGAAGACGGTTGCTCAATGAAGACGACCAGCTCAGCATCTTCTCCCGATGGCTGAGACACCGCCGCGGCGACACGCACCGTCGGGGGGAGGTTCTTGGTAAATTGGGCTTCCACCTCAGCAATGTTCACAGCATGTCCCTGCACCGACACGACGTTCTCCTTGCGACCCACAAAGATCAGGCTGTTGTCCTCTTGCAGCTGGACGAGGTCGCCAGTGGCCTGCACGCGTCCGGTGCGACCAGCATGTTCAGAGCTGCCAGCCACCAGCCAGGCAGGGGATTCCACGGTCTCTCCAGAGAGGATGGCCCCTTCGAGCCAGAGCTCACCCACGCAGCCGATGGGCGACAAGAGCGACGGGTTCCGCGCATCGCACACCCAGGGCACCACGGCCGGAGGATACGCGGATCCTTCCTTGATGCCTTCCTCGGCACGAAGTCTCTTGGAGGATTCATCCCAGGACAACGGGGGAGTCCGGTTCCACTGCCAGATCTGATTCAATTCAGCTGCAGGCAGACACGAGATCTCGTCGATTCTGCGAGAGAGATCCTTGCTCAACTGCGCGCAGGCCACCTCAATCTGTGCAAGAATCCGCTCCATCTGTGAAACCTGGACCAAGCTGCTGTCAAAGCTGGCGCAGATCCGGAAGCCACCCTTGCGGATACCACAACCCAGCATCAGAGGATAGGGGTTGAAATGGAGTGCCTCGCGGACAACATCGCCCAGCTCAAAGCCGAGCTCACTGCCGACGTATTCCGGCTCAGGCTGAACCACCAAACCGGTGGGTGCTTCACACGCATGCTGCGCATCGTGGCTGACCTTGCGGATGTTCTGCATACCCATGTGTTGGTACGGGGTCCGGGACAGTATGCCTTGCTGGACGGACTGGAGGTAGGACTCGACAGTGCTCGCGCGGTTGATGTGGATGCGGATGGGGACCGTAGCAATCAACGGACCAACGATGCTCTCGACGCCTGCTAGTGAAATGTCTCGGCCGGTGAGCGTCTCACCGAAGACAACATCATCATTTCCAGTGTACTGGGACGCAACGAGCGCCCATGCAGCGCGAATCAAAGTCGCCATGGTGAATGGCGATCCAGCACTAGTTTCCAAAGGTATCTGACGCTCAATCAGACCATCCGGAATGGGCAGGTAATCTCTCGAAGGCAGACGAGGGAACTGGGGTCCCACAGCCCCCTTCAACTCGCGGCGCCAGAATTCCTCCATGGCAACTTCGTCGGTGTCACGCACGTACTTGACGAAATCCCTCATTTGGGCCTGCACCTCGGGCTGCTGATTCTGCAGAACCTCGCTGACCTTCTTCAGAATGATCGGCTCGGACCATCCGTCGTAGAGTACGTGATGAACGGTCCAGACCATGTATCGCTTGCCATCCCCAGGGTGCTCGATGATGGCATAGCGGGCGAGTCGCTCTCCGAGATTCATCTTCTCGCTCCGGTCTTCTTCGAGATACTGCGCGAGATCCGTCGAGTGCTTCCAGGAGATAGTGTCCTTCAAGACCACCTGCTGAAGGCCGGGCTCTTGGAGCTGGGCCACGCGAGTGCGCAGGATGGGCAGGGCGGCGACAACCTCCTCCCACGCGTGCTTCCAGGCATCAAGGTCGATATCTGCCGGAATGCAGGCCAGTCTCTGAGCGACATACGCTTTGACCGACTTGAGCGAGAAGGTGAACAGGGACTCCTGAGTCGGGGTGCAAGGGTAGATGTCTTCGATGGCAGACTGCTCAAAACCGTAGACCTGTGCGGCTTCCTGGCAGGCGCTCTCGGCAGCTTGGGAGATCAAGGCAAAGGCCGGGGTCTCGGTCTGCGTCTCGACATCGCAGATGAGGACGACACGGGCCATGGCCGAGAGAGTGGGATGGCCAAACGTGTTAGCCACCGACAGATCCAATCCCTGCGCCCGACAAACAGACGCCAGTCTCATGGCCGCCAACGAGTCACCACCGAGGGCAAAGAAGTTGTCGTCCGGACGGATTCTCTCCGCGTCGAGCTTCAACGTCTGGCTCCAGGCCTGCCGCAGACGCTGCTCCAGATCAGTCAGCTCTCGATCGGCGGTTTGCGCAGCGCCCTGATCCAGCTCGCGCAGGTCGACGGAGGTGCCAAACTGCCGCAGACGTCGGCGATCCGTCTTGCCCGAAATCAAGACCGGAATGTGACTGACGGGGATGTAGGCCGTGGGCACCATGTATCGCGGTAAGACCTTTTTCACCTCCGCGTCGGCTTCAGACAAGGCCTGGCTCAGCGCTTCAGGAAGCTCAACCGAGGTGAGTTCCGTGGTATCAACTCCTTTGGTAGCCTGGGAGGAGATGAACGCCACGAGCGTCGCTTGGTTCCCGGATCCGTGCGGCACAATCACTTCAGCAATGATGGTGGCTTCCGACGGCAGTCTGGCCTTGAGCTGACTCTCGATCTCACCAAGCTCGACACGCTGTCCACGTAGCTTGACTTGGGTATCCTTTCGTCCCGCGAAAAGAATCCCTGCCGATCCATCCGGGTCATACTTTCCCAGATCACCCGTCTTGTACAGACGTCCCCGACGACCAGCGTAGTTCTTGTGGCCCGCAACCAGCCACTTGGGATCCTCAATAAACGCAGCTGCCGTCTTTTCGGGGTCATTCAGATAGCCCTGTCCGACAATCGGACCCTCGACCAGCAGCTCCCCGACGGCGCCTACTGGCATCAACTCCTCGTGGTCATTAGGGTTAACGATCCAGATAGCGGCGCCATTGCCCGGTCCGATGGAGATATAGTCCCTGCCGGTAGCCGCGCTGCTGTTGACGGTGCATCCGATGGTGCACTCACAAGGGCCGTAGCCAATAATAATGCGCGTCTCTTGACCCCAAACGTTCACATCTCTCGCGGAGGCCGCCTCACCTCCGAGTCCGAGCGCACTGAGCGACGTGATCACATCCGGTTCCAAGATCCGGGCCACGGAGGGAGTGATGCCCGCATAGTTCACGCGCATGTTACGAATGACGCCGTTGATGTCGTTCAGTCGGTCCTCATCCGAGGGAATGCACAAACATCCATTATTACCCAGCGTCAACAACATACTGTCGATACTGACGTCGAACGCATACGACGCAAAGTCCAGGACCCGCGAGTCCTCATTGTACCCCACAGCCTTGGCGCGAGGGAAGGCACTGCTCGTGTAGCTTCCATGAGACACCTTGACACCTTTGGGGGTGCCCGTGCTGCCGGAGGTGAAGATCAAGTACATGATGGTGGAAGCCGGCACCGTAGGCAATGAGGGCAAGTCATCCGACCCCGGGACCTCCGAAAAGGCGCCCTCTTCCACGACGAAAAACTTGCCATCCGGGATAATCTCCTGGGACAGTTCCCGCTGCATGCTCGACGACACCATGACCTTCGCATTGACCTGCGTGGCCATATTCTGCAGACGAGCCAGCGGAAGGGTAGGGTCCATCATCGCAAACGTACATCCGGCCTTCATGACCGCCAGCACGGCGACGATCGTCCATCTCGACTTTTCAAAACACACCGGGATGAAATCTTCCGGCTGTGCGCCCATGTCCTTCAATGTGGTCGCCACGAAGGTAGAGTACCGCTCGATCTCGCCGTAGGTCAGACTGCCGTCCCAGGAATCAATCGCGACCTTGTCTGGGGTTTTGCGAGCTTGTCGGGAGATTTCCTCGTGCATACCGAAATCGTACGAAGGGGGGAGTTCGTGGTTCCATGACCATATGTCGGTGAGATCGCTGGCGGTCGGGCGCAGGCAGTCTTCGATGGTGGCTTCAGGATTGGAAAGGACCAATTGCACGGTGTCGACGAGGCTGTTGATGTGTCGTGTTGCGGTGTAGGGGAGCATGGTTTCGGACTGCCAGACCGGTCGGATCTCGAGATGGCCGTCATTGTATTGTGTTTCGAGGTGAAGAGTACCCTTTCTCGTTTAGCCATGGAACTCAGTAAGTATTGACCTGACTCACCTCATCTTTAGGTTCCTCGGATGATTGCGAGAGCGCGCCCGTGCTGAGCAGCAGCGCCGTGGCTGTCTGAACGGGAGCGATATTACGCGCGATGGCAGCGGCGGTCTGCCCCACCGTACTGCGCAAGTCCGTCATGACCTCCGTCGACACACATTTATTCACTGTGTCGTGGCCCTTGTAGGCCCATTCAAAAGAAGTCTGGCCATCTTCCCGTGTGCGCAACCGCACAATCAACCAAGATACCAGCAGAAGCTCCTCCTTCATACCGGAGGGAGTCGCAGCCGCCAGACCAGCAGCTTCAAACAACCTAACACCCTCCATATCGAGCGAATCTTCACCCCGTTGATGCTGTGTTTGTGTGTTGCCCATTCCGTGGTAGTCCAGCTAAATTAGAGAGGGGAGGGATGGAGGGAAAGACAAAGGAGGGGAAGAGGGGCAGTAGGACCTCCGAACGTCCGAACAATCACTTCAATCACCAAAGTTTGCAGTGCCTCGCGGTACGAAGTACGGAGTAGGTGTATATTATTATCTGATCCTACAACCACCCACTCACACCCCTTAGGTCATCATTCCGAGGTACCCGTGAAGTATATTACTATTACTATTAATCACCCGAGATCGGCCATGCGGGATATCTGTGGACTGGACCACGCAGCAGCAACCCAAGCGGGTATACTGCAAACCCAGAGGAGCACAACGGCTGCCCGCCGTTGCAGCTTGCAACCAGTCGGACAAATTGTGACGGCACGGACCACGCCAAGCGACTAGCCGAGTGACTAGTGAGACACGCAATTTTGTCCTGCTGTGACCGAGAAAGTTATCTGATCCGAGATAACTCGCCTTGGCGTGCCACTTTGCGACCATGGTTCGTTGAACGAGGAGGATACTAATGAGTCACTGTTGCTCTTGCCTCTTGCAGTTGGAGGCATTGATGGTGAGACTATGATCGGTGGGGGCATCAGATAATAGATGGTGGTGGTACATGGTGGATGGTGGATGGTGGATGGTGTCTTGGGTGGTTGCGGATACGAGGTCTGGCGGTGGTACTCCGTATTGTAAGGTGTATTGGAACGGGCGGGTCAGATGTATTTCGGTATCGGTAAGATACCATACAGTTTTATCCTACTGTATCCTGATCCACTTGGCAGCGGGAAAAGCAGGAAATAAAAGAAATTCACCGGCGGTTGGAGCCGTCGGGTAGCATTGATGGCTGATGCAGCTGTCGGAAGCTTTTATCCTGTGGTAGAAGATTTAGCAGGTGCATGTGCTTCCTGTGCCATCTACTCTGTAGTAGCTACATGAATAGATATGAGTACGAAAATGCGTTGATAGAAATCTACTGGAATGGCTTCAGTGAAAAAAACCTAGATTCTCAACCGCCAGGGTAATCCGACCGGGATCGCTGAAGACTTACAGGCAATGATCAGTGTTCTGCATTTAAAAAAAATCAACGCCACGTGCTACGGCTGCTCTTCCATACGTGGTCTGTGACTGCTCGACTCCTCGCATGTCTCACCCATACTCCCAGTCCTTCAGTCCCAATACCCTGGAGAATCAATCAGATTAGATTATCTCGGTGATGGCTGTTTCGGGCTACGGCGAGAACCAAATTCTGACCATCATACGACCCGGACCACGCCCAGCCCATCCCAGTCCAGCCCAACCCACAAAAGATTCCATCACCGAACCCATCACACCGAATTTGATCAGAATAATTAAATCCCACCTAGCCCAACAAACTCAACTCAGACTCGCTTACAACCACCAACCAGGAACAACCTTCCAAACCCAGCAAACACCCACTGGCCACCCCTGCACTTCACTTCAACCCCTCGGAAAATTCAGTGTGACAGTGATGAGGGATTAATCGTGCATCCACACCAGGAGTCTACCCTGTTTCAGACACGCGATATTAGTTAGCGCCGTGGACCTGCATGGACTATCAGATCTGATTAGTCTTATCAATCATTTGACCCACGTTACATACGAACCCCACAGCATGACTAGCCCGTACATGCGTTATTTACCCATTCTTACACATTATCCACCCATCCCACCAGAATCCTTACCGATGGTTCCTTGGTGAGTGATGACCCCCCTCCCCTCGATGGGTGTGGTGTCGGGTCGCGAATTTCCGCGCCCTCCCATAATTAAACAGAACCACTATAATTGCCTAACTCTGAAGAGATAGGACTACGTAGTGTAGCGTGTAACAATGCCGAGGCATCCATCCCGATCTCGGAAATACTTTACTTCCGTTGATAGGCGTTCGCGACACCGCGGAGCCGGTGAGGAGGATACATAAAGTGACGGTGTGCACTAGAGGTTTTGGAAGATTTGGCCGGTTGATTTTTATCCCCTACACACCAGCCTCTACCTCTACCTACACCTCTACCTCTACCTACACCTCTACCTCTACCTACACCTCTACCTCTACCTACACCTCTACCTCTACCTACACCTCCACCTCTACCTACACCTCTACCTCTACCTACACCTCTATCTCTAAATCTACCGACCTCTTTTTTTCAATACTCACAATGTACTCTAAATTCTGGCCTAAGGGCGGATTGCCCGGAATTCTGCACCACTACGTACGTTTCATGCCTTTCCCCCTGCTGCTTATGTCGCACAACTCTCCCTTTTACTCCAGAACCACCAGCTAACATTCCCTCTCTTTGAAATAGACCGAAACCCTCGTCACATTCGAATACACCACCTCCACCATCTCCCAACCACACAGTCTCCTCTTCGTAGGCGGGCTCGGCGACGGCCTCGCCACAACCTCCTACATGGCGGACATCGCCTCGGCCCTAAAAACCACCCCCTGGTCACTTTTCACCCTCAACCTGACCTCCTCCTACCAATCGTGGGGTCTGGGGCATTTAGACCGCGACACGGACGAAATCGCACAATGTATTCGGTACATTCAAGAATACAAGAAAGAGAAGTACGGGGCTAGTACCGCGGACGCGGGGAAGATTGTCTTGATGGGTCATTCGACGGGGAGTCAATGCGTGATGCATTATTTGTCCCGACCGAATCCGCACACGAGTCAGCCGGCGTTTGATCCGTATTTGGAACATGTGGTGAGACTGCCGCTGGATGGAGCCATTATGCAGGCGCCGGTGAGTGATCGGGAGGCGATTCAGTGGGTGTTGGAGCATGGGATGGGGGGCAAGAGTGGGGAGGAGTGTCGCGGGGTGTATGAGAAGATTGTGGCGATGGCGAAGGCGGCGGAGAAGGATGCGGGGGAGAATGGAAAGGCGTTTGATACGATGTTGCCGATTGAGTTGACGTCGTTTGCGTATCCGGCGAATACGCCGTTGAGTGCGCGGCGGTTGTTGAGTTTGGTGAGTCCCGAGAGTCCCGGGCAGCCGGGGGAGGATGATATGTTTAGTTCGGATTTGGGGGAGGGGCAATTGGAGAAGACGTTTGGGCAGGTGGGGAAAGGGGGGCTGTTGAAGGGGAAGTTGATGGTCTTGTATTCGGGCAAGGATCAGTCGGTGCCGGATTGGGTGGATAAGGAGGCGTTGTTGAGGAAGTGGCAGGGCATTACGAATAAGGGGTCGGTGGATGGGAAGGAGATTTGGGATGCGGAGCATACGGCCGTGATTCCCAATGCGTCGCATGCGTTGAGTAATGATGACCAGGCCGAGCCGAGACGGTTCTTGGTCGAGAAGGTCATGGGGTATTTGAAGACGGTGGTTAATGTGTAATGATATCCTTTTCTTTGTGTTGATGATCAATTGAGTGGTTCTGACAAATCATGAAGTGACGACTCGATGGCTGTGAGGCAGTTGTCGGAGAAGGCGTGGGAGGGCAAGAGACAGGATGTCTGGACGGTTGCTAGTCAGCTGGAGACGGGTGGTCATGCTTCAGGCAATGCTCGGGGCCGGGACTGGGTCAAGTATGGCTTGATGCTGGCGGTGCTGCTGCTGTGCTCGCCCTATGTCTATCAGAGGAATTAGACTGTATAGTATGATAGTATGAGTATGGTTATGTTCCGTATGTGGTTATGGTCTATATGAGTAATTCGTCAATGAACATCTTCTATTACCCAGGCCTGCTATGGCTGATGATACTTACTATGTACTCATCTAGTGCAAATATACTCTTCTCATAATTGTACGGTCCCAGTCCTCTAGTAGTTGCTGTGTTTGATCTAAAAAAAAAAAGATTTGTAAAGAAAGGAGAAAAATAGACAACATTGACATCAAGGCATATGTACAGTCCGCATGTACCCGCGATAAATGCCTACTATTTACATACAATTTCATCACAGCACTCAAGCAAATCCAGTGTAAATCTCAAAGCTCACGTCATTGTTGAACGAAGCAGTCGCATCAAACGTCTGAACGCCTCCGTTGCTGGCAGCATAGAGCACATCATCGTAGTGACGGAAGTAGCGGGTAGGGTAGCTCCACGAACGCAGCGACGTACCCTCGCCGTTGAGAGCCGCCTGGGGGCAGAACGTAGCATCCTCGTGGAACTGCTTGGTGCCGTCGTTGGCATTGAGCAGGAGCGCAAAGTTATAGTGACGGATGTAGCTACCCGGGGTATCGACGGATTCGAAAGAGAAGCAGCCGCTGTAGCCCAGGCCGGTGACCACCTTCCAGCTGGCCTGCTCCTGGAGGTCAGTGCTGCTGGAGGAAGAAACGACCTGGGTGTTGACGGTCGTGTCGGTGTGGGCAATGTAGCGGGTGGTGTAGCCCGGGGTGGTGACACGCAGGGAGATGGTGTCTCCCACGGTGAGCTCGGGTCCGCTGGTCAGCGACGTGACGGCGTATCCGGCGGCGACGATGTTGGCCTGCACCGAGGCTTCGGTGTCATCGGACGGGTAGCCCGAGGTCATCACGCCCTCATAGAAGGTACCCTGGGCGCCATTGCTGTTGTCCCCGCCGATACCCAGAATGATGGAACCCTCCTTCTCCATGGGGTTGTAGCCCGAGTAGCGCGCGCCACTGTAGTAGGTCGTAAGGGAGCCGGAGGCAGCGTTGGCACCGCGGAGGGACCACTTGTCGGCGCCGCCCTTGACGGCAGCCGTGACGAACCGGTAGGAGAGCGTCGGGTCGGCCGAGTTGTAGCCCTCGTCGGCACCAGAGAACAGGTTGTTCTCCATGTCGACCATGATCCAAGGGCCGGCACCGGCACCATAGCCCCAGCTGGTGCTGTTGCCATAGTAGATGGCCTCCATGTGGCCGGCACCGGTGTCGGTGTTGCTGGTCTCGGCATTGCCGTAGTCGAAACAGCACTCGCCGTTGTAATGAGTCCCGTCCAGGACGGCGTACATGCCCTCCGACTCATCACCCGTGGCGACGCCGGTGGTGTCGTCGATACGGTAGCCCGTGCCGGGCGAGACGAACACGCCGTACGCCTTTTGGCCATTCAACGTGACGGGGGCGCCAATGGCGCTGGCCAGGTTGTCGTAGCCATCGACATCAGGGCCATCAAAGCCACCCGGGGGAGCCTGGGTGAGGTGATTCCCGTTGCCGGACTGGTCATAGATTTCGGTGATGAGGCAGGTGGTGTTGGCACAGAAGGTGTCTTGGGCTGAGGCATCCGCGACGCCGCCGGCAGTCAGCGGCGAGATGGTGGTGGTCTCACTATCGGAGCCACGCTTGATCTGGTAAAGAGCACCAGAGAAGGAGTCGTACAGGGCACGAGTGGTGCTGTGCGCGGCCACACAGGGGGTGTCGCCGTCCGCGTAGATGTCACAGGGAGCAGCAGTGGCCGTGGCCACGAGCCCTAGAGCAACCAGGCTGCGTCGAGCGAACATATTCAATCCTGTTATCGGAGACTGTGGGATAGCAGCAGACAAGCACACCATCACAGGGATAAAGCCACATATTTATAGACTCGTCCGTCGGAAAAGTGGCATGTCTCACTGCCGCGGAGGATTTTCCTCCAATAACTTGAGATAGGATGACATCCCCTTGAGGTGCAGGAATGACTGTGATGCCATGAAGACTCCTCCGCCGGGGTTCCCACGTCCGAGGAAGATACCCCGCACAGAGGGATATCAGGGTTCGCAGAAAGTCCGTGTCTAGGGCTGACCGAGCACCTGGTGCCGCCGGGCTTTTTCCCATCGGGGTGCGGGGCCCCGGCTTGAAATTGCGATCGTCCCCAGCACGATGCAGCAGCCAGGTTTTTCCTACTCAAGTGCCGAGAGCTAAAGACACCATAGTGAGTAGATGGCGGAATTCCCGTGGCAGCCTGGGGAATGTTGTTGCCTTGACATTCTTGGTCGGCACATTACCACGAGAATTCGTCTAATATCCCGCAACTCCCGTCTCCAAATCAACAAGTAATTCCTATCGCTTTTCCATCTCCTGATCAGTGGACTATCTGACATCATATGATGGAGCGACAGAAGCTACCTCGGCATCAAACTAGGGCCCGTCACTAGGTTATCTCGGGATAGACTTCTTCAATAATAGGACTAGGGTTGATTCTGCACGGCAAAACCCGCGCCACCCGTTCAGTTCCCTAAAACCCATAAAGCGGAGTACTCCGCGCGGAGTACATGCCCAACTAAATAACATATGCCTCCAAAGTTAGGCACATGGTGCATTCCAGGCGATATATCTTCTGACATGCATGCTCCGGTATCACTCGTTGGCCGGGGCCGAATCTCTCGATATGGGTGCAATTGCTGTCTAATATCTAACTATAAGATCGTCGTCTGATATACTGATCGTCAGGAACCGGTCGAGCACTGACTGGATCTACCCGACAGGGTCACGTGGACAAGCATGCGTTCAATCTTTCAATCCGAGTAGATCGGTCGCTGAGAAGTAAAATTACTCCAATCTTGAGCCTATCATAATATTTCACAGCATTGGTTGCTGTCCGTTGAATGCCCGGATCGAGGAGTGTATAACAGTTGTCTAGATATATATCCGGGGACATCACCCAGCTGTGGGTTGAGTCTCTGCACTTAACCCTGTACTTTCCGCTCCACATAGCCGTACCTGTAGGATTGACATGCGGATGGATTCGGGCGATCGCGATACTCGGGAAGTCCATCTAGATGCCATCCCTTAGCCCGGTCGCAATTCCGCATGGCAAGGGGGGTAGGTCACCCAATTTTGTTGCAAAGACCTTTGAGCCATTGCCGATTGAGTACAAAAAATAGATTCAATATATTCCATAGTGACGGAGATAATAGTACATACGACCACAGGGTGTGGAAAACAGGGCTTCCCGTCCGCTCAGCCGTACTTAAGCCACACGCCGGGAGGTTAGTAGTTGGGTGGGTGACCACCAGCGAATCCCTTCTGTTGTATGTATTTTTATGTTCTTTTTGTCCCCCCCCTTTTATTTTTCTCTCAGTTCCCTCCAGGAAAAGATCTATTTTCACCTGGTTTTCATCTCATGTAGCTACTCCATCCTGCCTGTTTCTCTGCACCCTGATTGCTGCTTCTGGGTGTCTCGTTCTGGGGCCCAACCCACCATGACCTAACATTCTAGTCATCTAGGGACTGGTGCAAATGCATCACGGAGGGTTGTTGACCCTGTTCCCTCCAAGGGAATACAAACATTGGGATTTTATCCCGTGAGTAACAATCCTCAAATGCCTGGTAAATATCTAAGCGTCGTGATGACTATCCCCGACCGTCAGCATCTCGCTCCTCAACCCTGATATCTCGTACAACAAGCATTGCGTGGTGAGTCGATTTGTCATATTGCCCATCTGTGCCAGCTTTTGCCTTCTGGTTATGCTCGATGCTGTCATTGCAGAGTACCAACCTCATCATCCTCTTGCTATGTGGACCAAGCCTGACTGCACGATGTGCAACAGGAGAGGGGAGCATTCGTTACCTCCAATGGCTAAGAACCATCTCGTAACCACCTGCAGAGATCATCCGTAATCGAGCCCTATCGGGAGTGAGCGGAGGTTGGATGGTCGTTCAATTAGCAATTGGGCCGGATTGCATAGCCGAAGCCACATCATCAGGTCGTCGGAGGCAAGTGGGGCACGGGAGAACAGTTCAGATAAAAGAGAGTTGCAACCCACAGTAGATTATCGATTAGCATACGCTCGAAGAAAGCAAATCAACGCAACTACCCGAGACTCCAATCCACAGAATGTCCGACCAGAAGGCAAGCCAATCTTACACTCCCGGTCCCATCGAGCAGATGAACCCTGACGTGGAATAGCGAATCTACTACACCTACAAGTCCATCGAGGCATGGAAGAAATACGATGAGAAGGTGCGGGAGTACGTATAATGATTCCGATGAGATTGGCTACAAGTCAGCTGAAACCCCTCTAGGATCATTGTCAAGGATGCAGGCACTGATGTCTGGATCTACAATCGGGCGCTGCCTCCGACCGGTTATCCTCCGTACGTGGTGCTGCAAAGAACTGCATTTGTTGGTTGGGGGACGGATTGACTTTATTGTGATTCTAGGGCGCTGAGTCCCGAGACGATTAAGAAGTTGAAGGACTTGAGTGAGGATGTTGTGATTGAGGAGGTTCAGGACGATTAGTTTGGGGTTGACTTTGTTTGGCTTCATTGCCAGTGACTGGGATCGGGAAGGGTAGCTAGCTGTCTTAACATCCATGCACGTATGAGGCCTGCCCTGAGTTTTCTATCTGCCATCAGTGCGAAGTACATCCACTGATGATCGTAGTCAAGAGTAGTCGTAATGCTGTATGATCTGCACATCCAGAAAATGCCTAAGGTATCATCGAGGCCTCAGTGGATCAATTATGTTGGATCTTTGCAATTATACTAATGAACTGTACTTTGGAGCTATGATAAACGTAGAATACTTGCCCCCGCAAGGAAATACAGTTATGTTTGACACTCCACAGAAACATCCCAGAAAGAAGATCAGTCTACCACTCCCAACCCTCGGTAGATCCATCCCGGGGGCGCCACCAGTATTTGCACGTCTTAGGAGGCTTAGCGAGCTCCCAAGCAGCCCATTTACCAGGAGACCAGACTGCTCTGGTGGTCTGCTTGGCGGTCATAAAGTAACTATACCATAGCAATAGAAACAAGGATTGGGTGTATGGCTCACAGAGTCGATGTGTCTGAATTCCAGACGAGGTTTTGACCACCGCCATGAAGAGGGTAGTATCCCCACCGGTATAGTTTCCTATACGTGTTATTAAAATAAAATGGAAAGATCCAAATCGGATAACTCACATAATGCCCTCTTTACCCAGACGATAAATCCTCCTGGAACAAAGCCAGCGTGGTCCTGCTGCTCTTCCTTGGTGTCTAGAAGGCGTGGAGTAATCCTGGACTGTTTCTGCTTCCGGTTCAAAACACGGAGGGCCTCGAGCTCGCGGGGACAAAAAGATCTTGCTTGCTGGGCTCGTGTATGGGCAGGCTCGGCTTCAGTTGGATGATGGTTCCGGGGTTGATCTCGCTGCGTGGAAACCATCGCGAAGGCATTCTGATGTTAAATAGTGATAGAAACAAATGATAAAGTATGATTCAGCGCACACGGGAAAGAAACAGCGGGGGATGAAGTTTATTTGACGGTCCAGCAGGGCGTCTCTACCAAGGCACGGGACCGCAGCGGCGACCTCACTGCAACCTCACTGCAGTCAACGGAAGGCCAATATATCCTGTATCAATGCCCTCTCAGTCGTATCTGATCAAAGGTCATCAAATTTCATTTTACCGCCAAGGACGTATTATACCATACTGTTTATGCAAGCGTGGCAAATAGCAGCATCCTCAAGAACCACTGGAGATTTGCACAGCCTGACAAGTGGATTCTCTACATTTCCCCGCGTGGCACAATCAAGAAGGGGATTGTAAATATCAGCAATTGCTGATTGATGTCTCTAATGTCTTAAATTGGTCGAATAGTGGTGATCATTCAGTATCCACTTTCACCTGTGATGAGGGTTCCTCGAATTTACCTTGACCGAGCGCTTCACACAGTGACCACAAGTGTTCTTCTTCTCTACTTTACCAACCCCTCTACTTCACCGACTACTCTGCTCTCACCAGGGGACATCTGCATCACAAGCATGATACCGAATTTTGGTAAGAGCTCCATACCTCTGACATCATCATTGCTATTTGCTTACCTCATGCCAGTCATGTATTCCCTCTCCGGAGATGACTCCACTGTTTATGGGAGCGTAACTAGAAGAGCTCCTCGAGAAACAATGTCCCCATTGACGAGTACTGAGATCAGAGACATGTACACTCCTCTCCCCATCCCCAGACGATCAGCATTCAAGTCCTTGCTTGACAAGAAGTTCGAGGACCTTAAGCATGGAATCGACGAAGACTCCTACCTGGCCTTTAGTGGCGTGACCAGAAGTCGATTTCAAGACCTGGAGACCCACCGAGACAGCCTTGGGGCACAACACGTGCGACTCACCTATTTCCCCGATATTGAGACGCTCATTCTCAAAGTCCCCTCCGAGCCCCACGAGAAAGCCCACATGGCCGTGGGCAACGCGATTCGAGATCAGCTGCGAATCAACATGGGGGTTGCGTTCCAAGAGGTAATGATGATTCAATCGACCAAGTATTATGGCAGAGGGGAAACAATCAAGGAGAGCGATACATCTTGCAAGAATGTCCGACTTCGGTCTCGGGTTGGAGATTGGCCTAACTGGGTGATTGAGGGGGGGATGGCTGCATCTATACAACGGCTCCGTGGGGACGCGAGTTGGTGGATCAACCATTCCCGAGGAGAGGTACAGCTGGTTATCCTGGTCTGGATTCGCCCCAGTCGTAAGACCATCATGATTGAGACTTGGGTCCCAGAGCGAAGCATCCTCCCGCCGGGACCACGGACCCGTGCGCGTGCCGCTATCCCACCAGTTTGGGCCAGGAAACAGGAGGGTGAGGTTGAGATGGACTTTGCAGTCAGTCCGCCTATTTACAGAGGCCCTGCCGCCCTGGTTCTCGAATTCAGTCGACTGCTTGGTCGTCCTCCGGTGCCGCCCCGTGAACAGGATGTGGTGCTCCCCCGGCAAGATCTTCTGGACTTGGCCAGCGATATTTGGATGGGAATTGCTTAAGCAAGGGGGCTTTATTCCTGATTTCGCACTATTCTTCAGTAGGTCGAGGAAGGGATTTTGGCCATTTCATATCATGTTGCAGGAATTTGACATTTCGCTTGACTCATAAGCACCATATTTCATATCGGGCAACGAGCTTAGTTAATGGCATAAAAATCGGGTTGTGTCAATCAAAAATAAATCAAACGAGCAAAGCACCCCCATTAGACTCGATAATACTACCCGTAACAAACTGATCCTTCATCAAGTAGATATAACTCTCCGCCAGATCCTCCGGTCTAGCCACCGTACCAGTCGTGGACTGCTCCTTAAACATCTGCAGCACACCTTCAAGTTGATCCTTTGGGAAGTGCTCAAACATCTCCGTATATACTGCACCAGGAGAAACCACATTGACCCGAATCGGCTTGAGATCGACAGCCAATCCACGAGCAAGGCCCTCCACAGCACCACACACAGATGTCATAAGACTCCAGCCTGGCGCGGGCTTCCTGCCGCGCAACCCACTAGTCAGGGTGAAGGAGCTAGATGGGAATTTCTCCAGGTACTTGTCGAGATGTTTGGCCATGACAGCAAATGCCACGCAGCGTACATTTGCCGCCGCGTAGAACTGAGCAGCTGTGACGTCGGACAGGGGCGGGAGTTGCAAGGCATCCCCGGCCGTCGTGACGACGTGGTTTAGCTTCTTGGTTCCGCCGCTGGTCGCGGCCTGGAATAGGGCTTCGAAGTGGGCGTCGAGGTGGGCGACATCGGAGAGGTCGCAGACATGGGTGATGATCGTCTGCTTTGCGGTTTCAGTGGGGTAGGTTTCTTTCAATCGAGCGACGGTCTTGTCGAGCTTGGTTTGGTTGGAACTGGAGATCACCAGATCGGCTCCGTGCTCGAGGGCCGCTTCCGCAACGCAGAATCCGATCCCGGAGGTGCCTCCGAAGATCAGGACCCGTTGGCCGGCCAGTTTGTGGGTGTATTTAGCAGATGGCGAGGTCATGATGAGCGTTGTGGTGATGGTCAAGGCAACAAGCCGTAATACGAGGACCTCGTGTGCCTTTTATGAGGGGAGATGGATGACGTCTATCTCCGGCCTTGGCGGGATTAACTCCGGTGACTTAATGCCGGTGTTGCCACGACGTTGGAGCTGAAGAGCTTAATTAGTAATGTCATCTTCTTTCTAGAATGCGCGATTTGTTTCATCTCCCCGTGTTGCGAATAGTATTTGCAGGGTTGTTGGTACCCCTGGAAATTGCGGCCTGACCGGGATTGATTGTCACTGGTCACCTTCGGGTTCAGTTTGAGCCCTCAGAATTTAGTTATCATACCCAGAGACTTCTCAGTGCCAAAAAAAATTATATGACATCCGAGCTGACCAGATATCAAGATATCTCTGATCCAGGATAAGCTTAAAAATTAGGGTTCTTACATAGGGTTAGCCTTACACCGGTGCTTACCGTCCTGCTCGGCTTACCGCTTCGGGTAGCCGACATGGCACATACCTTTTGGTTGTCATTCCTCATGAGAACAATGGACTTTTTCTAGACGAACTTGTCCATTGCAATACATGAAGGAATGATATAATTCCCTAAACCCTTATATCTGCGAGTCACTGCCCGGCCAAGAGAACGAATTTATCGTAGTTTCTATAACAGTTGATGTTGTTCTACACCAAGTAAATGCGAAGAATATGTAGTTTTAAGCCAAGCAGTCACTCGTTCTGCACGCAAAGCAATACCTCTGTTGACTTGGGTTAGGTTGAGTTCATCACCATAAGGATTGGGACTCGTGAGTACCCTGGGGTTCTTGATTACCAAGAAACAAGTCAACGAAGTAGAGATACGATCTGAATCCGCTGAGGGCAAGTTCAATCGTGGTCATCCAAAGTTTGGGCCCGGGAATTGCTAAGAAAAGGCTTAGAATAAGACATTGACATGCTACACGTGCATTAATAGTTCCTACCCTCTTTTTATACATCGCATGAAGAGCACACAGATCGACATCATCTGGGACTTAAATGTCAGCCAGACACGCCCCACTCGGCCTTAACCGGAGTTTACCGGGGTTAGCGAGTAGCCCTACAACAGCAATGTGTTATATGATGCAAATTCAAGCCACTTATCAATATTAATGTACGATCAACAAGACCATCCGTCAGTTGCGCTCTCTACTTCGATGCAATGCAACCATTCCAATACCCCCTCCCCAACAACGCCACCGTAGCCGGCATCCACTCCATCCCACCACCACCACCACCAGCCTCACCGATCCCACACCGTCCCCTCCTCATCGGTCTCCACGGCGGCTGCTACGACAGCCACTACTTCGACGCGACACCCAACCACTCCGCCTCGTTCCTGAGCACCACTCTCAGTGTTCCTTTCGTCTCCATCGACCGGCCTTCCTACGGCGGAACCAGCTCCATCCTCCCTATCCCGGAGGACTCCAGTTTCGAAGAACAAACCGGCCACTGGCTCCATCACTACATCCTCCCGAAACTCTGGTCCGAAATCGGCCTACCGAATCAATGCACCTGCATCGTGCTCCTCTGTCATAGCCTCGGCGTGATGGGCGGGATTGTGGCTGCCGCATTACACGCACAGGACAAGACGAAAGCATACCCTCTGGGAGGGTTAATAGCAAGTGGCATGGGCGATACACAATCCTCATTCATGAAATCCACCAGACTTGAGTTCCAGCTCATCGATACCGAGCATGTCGTATTCCCTGTGGAAAGCAAAGATACCGTGATGTTCAAGCCAGGCACAGCCACCCCGGACGTATTGGCGCAAGGTGAACGGTTGAATGCCGTGAGTCCGGTGGCTGAGGTAGCGGGGTTTGCGGATACGTGGTTGCCCATCTGGAAGGAGAAGTGGGCTGCGCGGGTGGTAGTCCCGGTGATGTTTTGTCTGGTGGCGGAGGATCCGTTTTTTGTGGCGACGGAGGAGGAGGTTGAGGGGTGTGCGGGGGCGTTTAAGGGTAGTGCTCGCGTGGATGCGAGCTTGGTGAGAGGGGCGCCGCATTGTTTGGAGTTGAGTCTGTGGTCGCGGGGCTGGTATGCGAGGTGTTTTGGGTTTGCGTTGGAGTGCGCTGCGAGCTTTGCGGGGTCTGGTTAAATGTATAGACGGGGAATTTAGGCGCGGATACGTGGGAAAAGGGGAGATGAGATAGAGTGTATGTCATTTTGGTCGTAGTATTTCACCCCGGCCAATTCTCTGTTATACCGGTGAGCCTGGTCCCTGATACGTGGTATCGGAAACTTGTCTTCGCATAAACCGCTATGTAGAGAGTGAACAATAGTATATATAGTTGATCCGCTGAATAAAATCCCTGGGCTAAGCAGCGCGATCTACAAGTTGCTACGAAGTGCCGTCAAAGTCATCCCAGCATCAATCACCAGAGCCGACCCATTGATGAAGGTTGCTGCCGGACTGCACAGAAACACAATTGCATCCGCGACTTCCTCCGGAACGGCTGCTCTCTGCAGAGCCGACATGGCTCGGAGGCCTTTGATCCAGGAGAGGCCATCGCTGGAAGCCATCTTTCAACATGGCCGTCTCGGTCCAGGAGAGGCAACACAATATTGACTCGGATGTTGTGCCGAAAGTTATCGACCGCTAAACATTTGATTAGCTCAGGTGATGCTGGTTTAACGGCCATCTCACCTGCAGTCTTGGCAATGGCAATCACAGCATGCTTCGACACCGTATATGGCATCATGTCCGGAGAAGCAATGATCCCGGGGATCGAGGAGATGACGACAATAGCCCCGCGTCCTAGACTGCGGGTAGCGTTAGATCGTGGACTGGTATACGTGCGAGGCTCCTGCTTAGCCATTAGGTTGGAGACGGCTCGGAGCACGAGCATCGTGCCGCTGGCGTTGGTGGTCATGGTGTGCTGGAATGCCTCCACGTCGAGACGTTCGGTTGGCGCGCGGGAGATGCATCCAATCTACATAAGATGACAGTCAAAGTTAACTAGTAATCGCGAAGGTCTGCGGGGAAAAGCGGGGAGGCAAACCCCAGCAGAATGGACACAGTAGTCAATCCGTCCAAACGCACTGATAGCTGACTGCACCATATTCTCAACGTCTTTTTCAACGGTTATATTGGCCGCGATCGGCAGAAGCCGCAAGTCGGGATGGGCGGCATATTGGCGACATTTTTCCAGCATGATATCAGGCGCGTGAAGGTCAACCAGCACGATCGCATGGGCCCCAGCCTCGGCGAAGGCAAAGGCAACCTCCTTGCCGATTCCGGATGCAGTCTATTGAGGCTCTGTTAGATGACGATCGGAGAAGGACTCATGTTGGACTTACGCCAGTGACCAGGGCGGTTCCTCCGTCGAGTTTGATGCTTGCCAGAGCCATTGAGTCTTTAGTTGCGAAATTAATGCCAACCCCAAATCAGAAAGAGGTGGAAGCAAACAGAAGTAAACTTGTCAAAAGGACTGGGAATGGGCGTGAGAGGGGAATGGCACAGGGGGAGGTGGCGGAGCTCCTCCTAAGTCTCTAGGCGATAGCTGGCTGCCCTTTTGTTTGCTGGCACCGCAGAGAAGTAGGGTTGATGGTTGGTGGACAACACGGCTATCGGCAGCTACTAGTAGGTAATAATAACCAGGATGCGAACAAAGAAACCCGCTGAGATCTGCGCCTCCATTTCCTCCCCCAATTAAATCCCGGTCAGTTCCACAGCGGTTGGAAAAGTACATCCACTTGGCACTGACTGCCCTAAGCCGACTCAAGGCTACACAACGACTGGCTTCTTCTGCCACATAAGCAACGAGGCAAATCCCGCCAGGATCTGCAGCTGCAAGTTGTATCCCACCGTCGGCGCCAGGACGGATCCCAGTGGCGCTGCAACCGTGTAGGGAATAAAGTGGATGGCGGCCTGGAGCGGGGATAGCTGATTGACGGTCTGAAAGCGCTGGGGCAACTGGAACATGGTGCCGAACCATACAGCCCCCAGACAGATGGAGTTTCTTCCAGTCTGCGTGTCAGTAGTGTTGGTGCTGTCGGTCTCCCGGCGGACATGACTTACAGCAACATGCCCAGCCAGACTCGGTTACAGACAAATCGCCACGGGAACACGGGCTCAATGGCCTTCGAACTGAGCGTCGTATACCTTTCCCACAACAAAAAGAGGATCCATGCCACCCCGGAGATGGTCAGAAGCACAATGGTAAAAGCCGACCGCCAGGCGTACTGTTCATTGGCTTCTTCCAGGGCGGCGACGAGAAGAATCGTGGCCACCAACAGCATACTGGAGCCCAAGATATCAACCCAGCGGATGGTCTGAGCCAGGGATGCCCACAGGCCGACCGTTTCTCCCTCAAGCCGTTGTTTGTTATGATGTGGAAACCGGTTGGGCAGGGCGAGGGCGAGGAGAATCCCCCCCCCCACCCAGGGCCGCCGGGGGGACACTATATGAAACCAGATTGTCAGCATGAAGCCGTGTACATCCTGGTGGCCGACTTACTTGAGGAGAAAGACCCAGCGCCAGGTCGACGAGTCCGTGATAGCGCCTCCAAGTAACGGCCCCAGGAGCAAAGAGAATGCGTAGACCACCGAGATCCAGCTGGTGTACTTGGCGTATTTGGCGGGCGGAATCAGTCCAGGCCCTGGAGGTCTTCGGTAATGCTCACTAGAGCTGTGGAAACGATCGGGATTTCCAGGTTGGTCAAGAAGAGGGCAAGGCAGAGGCTATCCGTGGTCGGTCGTCAGTAATTGGCATTGCGGAGGGTCTTTGAACCGGATTACTCACAGGATAATGATTGTATACAATCGTGCTCCCTGGATATATTGTCCAGCGCTGTCGACGGGAGGTGGACTAGACACTTCAACGTCAGACACATCCACCTCTTTGGTACCGTCGGGATTCTCCATGGTGCTGAAAGTCGAGCGGAGAAGAGAAGATGACAGAAGGATACAGAAGAGAAGAAGCAGAGAGCTGGGGGCTCAAGAGATTTATCGGGGAAGCGATTAGAGTCTGTCCTGTTGGCCAGAACCTAAGATCTATTGGCCATTGGCAGTTCCCCCTTCTTTCCACCCTGCAGCTCTTCCGATCAGGCTATCAGCCTTTCAGTTATCTCTTTCCTTAATTACTTAGCTATTTATAGACTTCTGGATACGTCACACTGGATTTCTCGGTAACCTTCTATCTGTTCAATGAAGATAGAAAGATCCTTTTCAAACCTTGAGCTGTATCTTATCTATAGCGTCTAGATAGCAGCCGAAAGGGATCAAGAACATCTGCTAAAATCCGTCAATCTACCGCAAGTTTTGAATCTTGCAATGCCGCTCGCCTGTATCTCAATCTTACATTACTTTTTCACGCCATTCAATAGGCTAGGGCCTGTGCCGTCACTTCTTCGCTCTTCCTGCGGCGGTGGACCTTCGCGGCATGCGTTCTCTCCCGTCAGTATTTATGTCGGCTTCGCTCCCTCCAACCTTCTCCCAAGATCACCAACCAGCGACATACCACCATGAGCAAACTTTCCCCTGAACAGCGGCAAGCACTTCTTGCGGAGCCGGCTGGCCCTCCCCCTCCCGGCATGGTAGCGAATCTGGCCAACCCCCCAAGCTTGCATGACGCTGGACACGCCATTGCTCTGGTCTTCTGGGGAGTGGCCTTTATCTGTATTGCTATCCGCCTCTACACCAAGACCTTCATTATCAAACAACTCCGGATCTCAGACTGTGAGTTAGCCTTGCAAAGATACCAGTGGACCTTCGGAGTAACATATGCTAGATATGATGTTTATGGCTTGGGTAACTACAACAAACCAATTCACTTGTTTCCTCTGACAGTGTTCTCTCAGGCCGTGTGCATCGGCTACATAGCGCCTTCCTGGCTGCTGGGCAATCTGGCACCAGCGGTGGACCAGTGGAATCTGACCCTTCAGGATTTCATGACCATGCTTTATGTCCGTAGCCCCTTCCAAGTTACTTGGCTAGTCGCTAACCCATTGAGAATACAGTATACTTATGTCTTGTCCATGCTGTACGGGATTGGCGTTTTCGTTATCAAAGCCTCAATTCTTCTCCCAACTGATCGACATCTTTGGGCCTCAGCGGAACTACTTCTGGTCTTGCTATGGACTTCTCGTCTTCTATCTAGCCAGTCTGCTTCTGGAAAATTTCACTCACCCTCGATATCCAGCGTAGGATATCCCTACTCCTGGATCAGGACCCCACTAACCCATAGTTCATTTTAGGAGCCATCTATCAACCCCGACAAGGATAAAAAAGGGTTCAAATAAAAAAGGCAAAAACATACAACAGAAGGGATTCGCTGGTGGTCACCCACCCAACTACTAACCTCCCGGCGTGTGGCTTAAGTACGGCTGAGCGGACGGGAAGCCCTGTTTTCCACACCCTATGGTTGTATGTACTGGATTCTCCCTCGCAGAGAGTGATATAGAGCAGAATTGGATACTCTATCAATAGCGAGCTAGCTAGGCCACTGCCGTATCCGTCGTCCTCTCCGAACCCTAATCCATCTATCTCTGGCTACCGGCCACGATCCAACATACATCGTACATCCCGAAGGCATAAATTAAACTCTAATGGTATATAAACGAAGCAATCCCTATTAATCTATACAAAGAAATATCGCCATCACTCCACCGTCTGATGCAACACATTCTCGCGATAACTCGCCGACCTCTCCATCAACTCATCATGCGTGCCTCGATCCACACACACACCCCCCTCAATCAAACAAATCACATCCGCCTTCCGAATCGTCCTCAACCGATGCGCAATCGCCACGACTGTAATCCCCCTCGCCGCCCGCTCCAACCCCTCCTCCAACAACCGCTCACTCTCCGCATCCAACGCACTCGTCGACTCATCCAGAATCAACAGGCGCGGTTTCCGCACCAACGCCCGTGCAATCGATAAGCGCTGCTTCTGGCCGCCCGAGAACTGGTTCCCGTTGGGCCCACACATGGTTTGGTATCCGTCGGGGAGGGACATGATGGTGTCGTGGATGTTGGCGAGTTTGCAAGCTTCTTGGATTTCGGCTAATGTGGCGGTGTGGTGGGGCGGGGCGCCAAGGCCGATGTTGAATTCGATGGTGCCTTCGAAGAGGACGCTTTCTTGGGGGACGAGCGAGATGGTGTCCCGGAAGTTGGGAGGGCGGTGTTTGAGGTCGCGGTGGTCGATGGAGATGCTCCCGGAGGAGGGGGTGTAGAGGCGTTCGATCAGTGAGATGATGGTGGATTTGCCGGCACCGGAGGGGCCGACGAGGGCGCAGAATTTGCCCGGTTGGATGTCCAGCGTCAGACCCTTCAGGACTTGGATGTCTGGTCGGGCGGGGTAGGCAAAGTGCACGTCGCGCAGCTGGATGCTGGCGGGGGAGGTGGGCTTGGGTTCGATGGTGGTGGTGGTGGTGATGGTGGCGGCTTCCGGGTCGGCAGAGGTGGTGTGGGTAGGCACCCGGCCTTGCATCTTGTCGGAGCCGATCTCGATCAGGCCCAGGATGCGGGCCATGGCGCCGCGTGCGCTGGAGAGTTCGGGGGCCAGGGCGAACATCTGACTCCAGAGGAGGGCGCTGACGAGCAGGGAAAACACCACGATCAGGAACTGGGTTTGGGTGTAGGTCCCGGCGATGATCTGCTTCGCACCCCACCAGTAGGCTAGCGCGTTGACCAGGTTACCCAGGAAGTAGGTCATGGCTTGCCAGAGACTGGCTTGCAGAGTCACCTGGAAGGTTTCCTTGCGGGGCCCGGAGAGAGAGGCGCGGTAGGTTTGGAGGATGTCGTTTTCGATCGACAGCGCGGCAATGGTCTTGATCGAGGAAATGGCTTCCACGCCAATGTCCACCGACTTGGTGTAGGCGTTTTCGTGCTTCTCTTCAAACTTGCCTAGCACGCGGAGCTCCATGAGCCCGGCCCCCAGCAGCAGGGGCACCAGGGCCAGACAGACGAGGGCGATCTTCCAGGCGATGATGTGGGTGAGGATGATGGCGGCGATGAGGTTGACGGTGATGGAGAAGAGCGTGCCCACGACGGAGCCACTCAGACCGGCCAGGGCGTTGCCATCGCGGGTGATGTACGACAGCAGCAGGGCCGGGCTGCGGCCGTTGGACTGATGCCATTGGAGATCTTGCTCGAACAGGGACCGGAAGGACAGCACCCGGACGGTATAGACGATCTTCTCCGACACCCAGCCGAAGCCCGCCCAGCTGACGACGTTGGCGAAGAACTCGATAATGGCGAGGATGAAGAACATGAGACCGTAAAAGTCACCGCGATTGCGGATGCTGGCGGCACCATTGCACGAGTTCAAGCTGCCAACTGTGTTGCCGAAGATGACGGCTTCACCCGAAAAGGCACCACCCACAATGGTGGCTCCGATGAGGGCGAGCACAATATAAAGCAGATGAGGTCTTAGGGCAGGGGCATATCCCTTGGCCAGTGCCCACAGCGTCTTCTTGGGGGTCTCCGGCTCGTCCTCTTCACCCGCCTCGGCCGGAGCTTCAGTTTCCGAGACCTTGGTCTCCTCATTCTTCTCAAGGACCTCATCCGCAACACTGACCTTTTCGTTCTCGGCCTCCGTCAACGAGTCATCCGACTTACTAATACCATCGATGCTGGCGGCCGAGTCATTCTTCGTCGAGGTCGATCCCAACGTCTGCAGCTTGACCAGGTCGGCGTACGCGCCCTCCTTGGCCATCAGCTCGGCATGACTGCCCTGCTCGACGATGTGGCCCTTGGACATGACCACGATGTTGTCCGCGGTGGTGATGGTCGACAGCCGATGGGCAATCGTGATCATAGTTCTCCCACTGGCAATGTTGTTAATGGCCCGCTGAATCCGCTGCTCACTGCGGGAATCCAGCGAGGCCGTGGCTTCATCCAGGATCAGCACCGCCGGGTCCTTGATGAGGGCTCGAGCCAGCGACACCCGTTGCTTCTGACCACCACTGATGAGACGGCCACTGGAGCCCACCATCGTGCCGTATCCATGCTGCAGGGCGGAAATGAAGGTATCCGCATCGGCCAGTGTGGCAGCATGGCGGGCCATGTTGACGATTTCGACAATCTCGGCGCCGCGTTTCTCAGCTGAGGCCATGAGATCGTGGCCCTCCCGGACGTCGCTGGCCACGTCGGCCAGATCGGATGTCAGAAGGGCCCGCTTCAGGTGGTCATGGTTGGGGTTACTCGAGTTCATCAACCCGTGGGCAATGTTCTCCAGCAGCGAGCGGTCGAGCAGCGAGGGCTCTTGCTGCACCAGACTGAGGAAGCTGCGCAAGTCCCGGACGTTGACCTCCCGGAGGTCGTGGCCATCAAAGAGCACTTGTCCGTCCACCGGATCATACAACCGAGTGACCAGACCGGCGATGGTGGACTTGCCACTGCCGGACAGGCCGACCAAAGCCGTGTGCTTATTTGCCGGGATGGAGAGACTGAGCTGGTCGAGGACAGTGACTTCCGGACGAGAGGGATAATTGAAAGTGACATTCTTAAACTCGAATCCACCAGCCTGAGTGAGACGGATGCCCCCCTCGGTCGTGCTGTCGATCTGGGGTTGACGATCAATATCGTCCCGCAGCTTCTCGTACGAGGCGGTGGCGGCGACAAACAGATGCAGGAACGGAGCAACCTGACTGAGCAACAAGGTGGCTATATCCATTAGCATCATTAGCATCACCCATACAACCAAGCAACCGACTCACCTTCAATCAAAACGAAAATCACCGTAAAGGTCGCACCCACAGTAACACCACTCGTGCTACTCCCCACCGCATCAGCAATACGCTGACTGCCCTGCCAAAACGCCAACCCATTGGCCGAATACGCAATAAAGTACAAGAAGCCCGACTGAATACCCACCGCGGTAGCCTTCTTCAGACCCTCCTGCTCAGCCGACTTCAGCGCACTCGAGAACTTATTCTCCAGCCGACGGTTGGCACCAAACGCCTGCACGACAACAATATTCGACAAAGCCTCGGACGCAATCGACGCCGCACTAGCCGCATAATCCGACATGACCCCAGAATACTTCTCAATATAATGACTCCCCACAAAGGACATGAGGAAGTACGCCGGAATCAACGACAGCAGAATAGCCGCCAACTCCCAGTCCTTGATGAAGGAGACCACATACGCGGTGACGAAAAAGGAGATACTCGCCAACACGATACCCACTTTCTCCGACGTCCCGGAGCGAATGGTCTGAATATCGGCGCTCAGACGAGAGGCCACCTCGCCAGGAGGCAGATTATCAAAGAACGAGGGTTCCTGGCGAAGGAGGTTCTGGAGATAGCGTTCGCGGAGACGCTGGGACAAACGAGCGCCGTACATGGTCCAGCACGTGAGGTGGCCATAGATGAGGACGAACTGGGCGATGGCCAGATAGACGATGAGGAGAATTTCACTGTTGATGCTGCTTTGGTCGGAGGAGTCACTCGACCCGTCGGATTCACTGCAGGTCACATCGTTGAAGTCGTCGAGCAGCTTACCGAAGACGATGGCGATGATGGGAAAAGGGACACCGGATCCGATGGCACACACGATGGCCGACACCAAGGTAGCCAGGTCGGAGGTGGAGGGGTTGCCGGCCAGCAGCAGACGGGGATAGCCCGCCAGCTTCTGGAAGAGCTTCATGGCGACGACGGTGGAGGGAGGAGCCGAGGTCTGCAGTGGTGGAGGGAGCCCTGCGCTGCAGAATGATATTTATTACTGGCGACAGACACGCCTGTCAGTGCGTCATGCACCAGAGGGCCGCTTTTCGGCTGGAAGGTCGGTGGGCCATCTTGGGTTCGAGAAAACTCAACCAGGGGTCCGTCCTGGGCAGCTGCAGAGGTCCGGATGGGGGGATCCCCTTGCCGCCATCGGGATTGCTCCTGGACCCAATTTAGAGCTCGTCAGGTGTTACTTAACCGGAATTCCATGTCGAGTGCCAGAATTGTCTGGGAGAGGTGGGATTGCCCACCACTAGTCCGGCGGGGAGAGGGAGACATGGACGGCATCATGAGCGTTACACGTCTGACAACGGTATGGGGTGGGTCGGTACAGGACCTGTCTAGTGTCCACCGGTAATACACTATGGCTGATCCACCGTGACCACGGTTGTTGTTAGGTAAGTGGTGATGGTGATGCAGGCTAAGGATTAACCCGGCTCCACTGGATGCCTCGACAGTCGACTCGGGATATACAGTATGGTATTGAAAGATTGCTATCTAGGGTTAGATACGCCCAAGTGGGGCCGAGGGTCTCGCGCCCGAACTAGCTAGTCTCCTGATAACATACGCGATTACATACATCCATCCATTCATACATACTAGTGGTACTCTGTACAGTGGTATATTGGGTACGGTGGATCACAATTTAGCGTTCCACGCCGCGCGGTCGGCCGACTCCAGCGGTCGCTCACGCCCATCCCAGAACACCGGACACAGTTGGAACCATTTCTCCCGGCTACTGATGGAATGCACCGACCGTTTGTGGCCCAGGTCCACGTACTTGCCGATCACCAGCCCTTGCGCATTCTCGTACGACAGAATCGTCGCTCCGGTGGCGCGTGGCTCACCCACCACGTTCACTGTCCGGGGGTCATCCAGGAAGCAGTAATGGATGCAACTCGAGTACCACGCGTTGACACGCTTCGCGCCGCGGAACGAAGCGTCACCCACGAGGGAGTGCCGCCCGCGATCGTAGTCGCCCGCGTCGTAATGCGCACCGTAGTGATCCTCCTTGGCCCAGTAGAGCTCGTAGTAGGAGAACCGCGTCTCGTTGAACCGGCCAAACAAGCACAGCACGTGGGGATCGACATGCAGACGACGGAGATACTCGCGATGTTGATCGAGCGTGCCCGTCTCGTTCCACCCCTTGGCCACGCGGGGATCATTCTGCCATGTGTTGAAGAGTTGCAAGTGTTCTGGGTCCTGCCAGTTCACCACCTCGAGGGAAAAGTGCTCGTCCAGCTCCGGGATGTACCGACTGTAGGCAATGGAGCCGGGCGCGGGCTTGGGACGTCGGATCGGATGGCGCGCATACACCGGCTCTTCCGGGAACTTTTGTGTGAAGTGGTAGTTTTCCGGCATCACCGGGTATTGCGACAGAGACTCGCGCAGCGGGCCATCAGTGCCGTCGCCCACCACCCAGATGGGACGGGGGCCCATCGGGGAGGCCGCGCCTTGCCAGAAGGAACTGCGGAGGATGAGGAGATCGGTGGACGGCGCGATCGCGCGGTCATCCGGACGGGTGGCAGCCGGATGCTCAATGCCTAGACCGGTGGACAGCAGCTCGCTGCGAAGAATGTCCTGTCCGGCGCCCAGCAGCGCCAGGCGGAAGTATTCGTAGGTGGGATGGGCGAGATATATTGCGTGGACGACATTCCAGATCTGTCCCAAGGTTGGCGGCGTGTTGTCGGTCCATTGGAAGGTGGTTTTGGGGGCGCGACGTGCACGCGCCCAGGCAGTGTTATTGTTGGGAGGAGGGCGCTCCTCAGGAGCAGGCACAGAAAGTTCCAGCCAGGAGAGAGAGTTCAGGTGTAGCGGTTGAGGGGGCGATCGGCCGGCCGCGGGCTGATCGTGTAATGTCAGGCTGAGTCTGGCCGGCGTCGCATCGGCAATGGTGCGCACGCAGTATGCGGTCAGAAAAGGATGAGGCAGCTTCACCAGCGGATACTGGGTGGAGGAGTTGGTCGCCATTCTGGCAGTGGTCGAGGTAAACCACGGAGGGACAGGGAAGTTTGAGAAGAAAGTAGGAAGAAAAGCTGCCGGCCGAGGCAAACGGTTATATAGAAAGCCGGGCCAGTCGACACCACAACCGAGGAAGCAACGATAACAGGGGCGAGAAGGACTAGGCTTGTCTCAGGTCCAACCAATGAGTCGAGCCCTGGTTGCTACGACCCTCTGGCACGGTATCGGGCCCACCGATATCGCATGGCCTTGTATAAAGTCGGCCCAGCTGGTCCGCTGCGCCCGCGATCAGATAAGCCTATCAATCATCTGCAGACTGCACCATGTCGCTCCGATCGCAATCCCTACACCACCCGCATTTCCAGGTCTCGTTTCCCCACGAGCGAGTGGTTCAAGTGACGTTGAACCGACCGGAGAAACTCAATTGCATCGATCTGCCTACCAGTCGGGAGATTCAAAAGGTCTGGGAGCTGTTTGACCAGGATGAGAGCTTGTGGGTAGGCATCATCACGGGTGCGGGGAGAGCTTTCTGCACCGGAGCGGATCTACAAGGTACGCTGTCTATCTCTGTCTTCTGGCTACTTTAAAAATTTTCCCACTGTCCTTGACTGACGGTCACAGAGTGGAATGGCATGAACGAAGCCGGCGTCGTCAACGACATGTCCCCGCCCGGCCTGGCCGGGCTGCCCCGACGGAGCGGCAAAAAACCGATTATCGCGGCCGTCAACGGCATCTGCATGGGAGGAGGGTTTGAGATGGTGGCAAACTGTGATATGGTGATTGCGTCGACGGCGGCCATCTTTGCGTTGCCGGAAGTCAAGCGAGGCATTGTGCCCGTGGCCGGATGTCTGCCGCGGTTGACCCGGACGCTGGGACTGCAACGCACTATGGACCTGACGCTGACCGGGCGGGACGTGGACGCTAAGACCCTCTACGAATGGGGTCTGATCACTCGGCTGGTGGATGCGGGCGAGGACGTTGCGCAGGCCGCCGTCCAAATCGCAGCCACCATGTGTGGCAACAGTCCGGATGCGCTGATTGTTGGTCGCGAAGGTGTCCGGTTGAGCTGGGAAGCGGGCAGTGTGGAGGATGCGGTGTCGACGCTGGCGGAACAGTCGTATCCGCGCCTGGTGGAGGGCACGAATTTTGCCGAGGGCATTCGGGCGTTTGTCGAAAAAAGGGCGCCACACTGGACCAACTCGAAGCTGTGAATGGGATCCTCCGTACTCCGCAATCAGATAGCAGCCTGCCTTGCGGGTGAATGTCGCTGCTACTCCGTACTTGCTCGTAATCCGGCGGAAGTGGAACCCACTTGCTGCAGATTTTTCATCTATGCTCCTCCGCTCGAGACGAATCCCAGGTTTCATTGCTGGCACTGCATTCTGGGCAGCCTAATCCAGCACCGCGAGCCATGGAATCAAGTAATAATAATCCCCATCGCAGGTCCACCCGCAAATGAGGGAGTCGCGTGTCACCCCGCTGAGGCCAAATGGCATCTTATCATGGATCAGATTAGATTCCATCACGGACTAGTCGCCGTCACCCACGGTTTCGCGGTTTTTTTTCCGTGAATGCCGCCAGGGGAAATTGCATTGTGTGATTTTGTGGTGGGGCCCGTACCTAACCAGTTTTGGGTGCTGCCGTGACCATACGCCAGACAGTATGATACCGTCCGGACGAGGTATCCTGAGGGTCTGTTCCATACCGTATTGGGAGACTGGCCCGATCCAAGCGCCATCAGACGACTCAGCTTCACCCACTGGAGCTCGCCGGCTAAGGAATGCAGAGATTGCTGGTGCCTTGAGTGGATCGGAACACCCTCCAAGGCCAGCTTGCTCGCACAAGTGGGGATCTCAGATTTCCATGATCCCATCGCAAGTCATCGTGGCCGCTGGCACACACACACACACAGAGCAAGTCTCCCGACGGTGTGCCATCGCATGGCCCAACCCCATGTTGGCGCTAACAATCTCTGCAGCAGCGCCAAAGCAGTTACGTAGACCTGAGAGGGCATTTTTCTCCGAAGCGGAGCCCCGATTGGCTCGATCGGACGACATCATCTGATTAGATTCGACCGGCTCCAGTAGTGTTGAACTCCAGTCGCACGAGTCTGTGGGAGATGTCGCCGCTGTAGCCGACTTCGGGGTTATCAATCAGTGCGTGGGCCTGTCACCGCTAGCTGCAGTGGTTCGATTTCTTGGGTATAAGGGCCAAGACCTCCCTTGCTCCTCTTTGTCTTTCTTGTCCTCCTTGGCTCTCTTGTCTTCGATCATCCTCTTGCCTTTTCGGTCGGTTCACCAACCATGGCCGTGCTCGACAAGTTCCGTGAGGCCTTTGGCCGTACCCCCACCCATGAAGAGACCAGCAACAATGTGGTCTCGGAGAATGTTAACGAGAAACGCGATCCTATCGTTGACGAGGCTGCCCGCAACCCCGAGTCCGAGGAGGCCCTGTCCGATGAGACGTCGTCGGAACACCTGCAAGTCGGTGTGTCGGATGTCGAGGCCATCACCAAGTCCTGGACCAAGGCATCCCTCATCGCCGTCTTCCTGAAGTAGGTTCCGCCGATCGTCCCATTTTTTTTTCCCCCGCTAATGATCGATCTCCATCAGCATCTGGCTGCTGTACTTTGTCAATGCGTTCCAGTCCTCGCTTCTCTACAACCTCCTTCCCTACGTGACCAGTTCCTGGGAATCTCACTCGCTGCTGAACGTCATTTACGTGGTCGCCGACTGTATGTCGGCGGCCGTGTTCATTCCTCTGGCCAAGGTCATGGACGTGACTGGTCGTGCCGAGGGTTTCCTGACCATGACGGTCTTTGCGACGCTGGGTCTGATTCTGATGGCTACTTGCCACAACCTGCCCACCTTCTGCGCTGCCTATGTAAGCCAACTCCAATCCCTGATCATATCTCAGCCCATCTAACCGACGTTTTCATCAGGTCTTCTACACCATCGGTTTCAGTGGCATGACCTACTGTGTCGATGTCATCACCGCGGATGCCTCTAAGCTCAAAAACCGAGGTCTGGCCTACGCCTTCACCTCGTCCCCCTACATCATCACAGCCTTTGCGGGCCCCAAGGCCTCCGATGATTTCCACCTCAGCTGGCGCTGGGGTTTTGGCGCCTTTGCCATCATCTTCCCCGTCGTGGCCCTCCCTCTGTACTTCATTCTCAAGTACAACCTCCGCCGCGCCCAGCAGCAGGGTCTGGTCGTCCCCAACCGCAGCGACAAGACCTGGTGGCAGATTATCTGGTTCTACTTTATCGAGTTTGACAGTATGCCCCTCCCACTTCTCCCGGCTCATTCCTCATCTAACCTCTCCAGTCGTCGGTGTCCTCCTCTTCTCCATCGGTCTCTGCGTCTTCTTCCTCCCCTTCGACATCTCCTCCTACGCCCCTCACGGCTGGGCCTCGGGCTACATCATCGCCATGATCGTCGTCGGCGTCGTCATGCTCGTCATCTTCTGTCTCTACGAATGGTACATCGCGCCCGTCCCCTTGTTCAAATTCGGCTTCCTCTTCAACCGCACCGTCATCGGCGCCTGTCTCCTCGACGCCACCTACCAACTCTCCTACTACTGCTGGGACAACTACTTCACCTCCTTCCTCCAGGTCGTCAACGACCTCAGCGTCGCCGAAGCCGGCTACGTCAGCGACACCTTCGACGTCGTCTCCGGCGTCCTCCTCCTCTTCGTCGGCTGGCTGATCAGCAAAACCGGCCGCTTCAAGTGGCTCCTCTACATCTCCGTCCCCCTCTACATCTTCGCCCAAGGCCTCATGATCTACTTCCGTCGCCCTAACCAAAACGTCGGCTACCTCGTCATGTGTCAGATCTTCATCTCCATCGGTGGCAGCATCTTCATCATCATCGAACAACTCGCTATCCTCGCCGCCGTCGATCACCAACACGTCGCTGCCGCCCTCGCCCTCCTCAACGTCGTCGGTACCATCGGTGACGCCATGGGCGCTACCATCTCCGGCGCTATCTGGGATAATACCTTTGAAAAGGCCCTCATCCGCTACCTCCCGGAATCCGCCATGTCCAACCTCTACGATATCTACGAGGATCTGGACACCCAGCTCAGTTACCCCGTCGGGAGTGCTACCCGCGTGGCTATCCAGAAGGCCTACGGCTACGCCCAGACTCGCATGTTGGCCGTGGGTACCGGCCTCATGGTCCTTTCCTTTATCTGGATCGTGATGATTAAGAATATTAATGTTGCCAAGGTCGCCCAGGTTAAGGGTATGGTTTTTTAATCGTGTGCGTGTACTTACATTCATACAATTGAACTCCGACCTTTCACTCGAAGACGGTGGTTATGTAGTGTTGGAGATGCCCCAATCACTCATTCACCCATGCATCCCCCCCTTTTGCTTTTACCGCTCATACCCATCATACCCACATGTACTAGATTTAGTACATGCCCATACCCTCTGTTCTCTGCTTGATCGATTGATTGATATATCCCTATGACTGCATGTATAATAAAAGTTCATCGACATAATTAATGAGTTATACATACGATTCTCTCTTGTTCTATTTAACTCTGAATGATATACGTATGACGTTTACTCCCGGTTACTACAGCTATTACGTTCGAAAGATTCATCTGCTCAATCATTGGAGATGGGATAGGATGAGGAGAGTTACCATGTTTTGTCTCATGGATAGATGGAATTTGTTCTGAATTGAAGGGGTAGGGCTACCCACGGAGATGATAGATATGGAGAGCATACGACCTTGGGAATATTAAACGGTTCTCAGAATACGCAGGGATTTATTAGTCTATCGCTGTCCAGGATGGAAATGGATATTTCATGAAATTATTGCTACGGAAGAGAACAAGGGATGGATGGATGGATGGATGGATGGATGGATGGATGGATGGTATTCTAGCTGATCGGGGGATCTAAATGGCATGCGTGCTTTGGGACTTCATGATCGACGAGGAATTTATAACCGGTGAAAAAGCAGAATGGGGTATAATCAAATGCCCAAAGAAAGGTGCAGGGTTGCCCGTACACTCCTATCCTCTAATGTCTGACGTTAATATCGAACTATCTATCCCCAGCGGGCGAAACCGGCCAATTCTTTGTCAAACTCTTAGTCACTAGTCAGAGCAAGCATGCAGCTCGCCTCACATCCCTGTTAGCTCCTCCAAGGAAGAAAAAGGGGGAGGGGAAGTGACTGTCTCTGCCAGCCCAACCAGGTTAAGGCTGAATCCACTTCATTACAATACGCCCCATCTAGTCAAGACTATTGTACGCTGTGAGATTCAAGACAGGGTAGGTTTTGTCCACGTAACGATCCACATCGTATTGATGTTCCACTACGGAGTATGGAGTATTGATTATCGAATACTAGGCCCAGTTCCGAGAAGGGACATCATCCGAGATGGAGACGGGCAGGTCCTAGTCTCTTGGGTCATCGGGTTGTATGTTTATTTTTGATTTTGTCGAGATGTGGCTTCGATCAAGGGGTCCGGAAGCATAGTCTTTATTTAAAGTGCCTTAGAGGGGTAGTAGCTTTGATTCGAGATCCTTCGGTGTTCTGGAATCGTCAAGGCTCCTGGATGCAGACATCAACAGTTGTGCTTTTCGCTTGTGATGTGTTGACTATTGGCGGATGCATCTGCTGCAGATTAGCTCGAGTATAAGACCACTCGGTTGAAAGGGTATCCCTAGCCGGGCTTTCTGAGGTCCGGAAGGGGAAGAACTCCGTGCTGGTCTCAGAACTTTCCTGTCACATTCTATCCGTGAATGTGATCTGTGGCGAGGGCGCTGGTGGCAACCACGCAATCCAGTGTAGTGCATTGTCTTTAAACCTGCTTGAACATGGCACCATTGACTGTCAGCAACTGATGTTGCTCACATGATGCTCTTGTTTCTCTCATTTCCAGTACTTAGACTTACTTGTTGTGCTCTGTGAAGTCTACCCCTTGTTAGTCCGATTGTCGTGTTGGATGATGAAGATGGACCATATCCCAGCTCAATGGGATCCTAAGATCATGTCGTGCAGGTGCCATATTAGAGATGGAACAGCAGAGTCTGGGAGCATCAAGCCCGACCGTTATGAGACTTTCCCTATGAAACCTAGTGGTTTTGAGGCCGGCAGACATCTGGTTTCGGGATAGCCCAACCGGGGCCCGCACGTAAGAACTCACAGAATAGTGGTAAGTAGCTCAATCTAACGGGCCCCAGTACCAACAGGGTGAACCCATGCGGGCTAGAAGTAGAGGCAACACAGTGGTTCATCAAGCAGTATCGTACCTCTCTTGGGAAACCTTCCTGTCCAGAATGATGTACTCTGATTCCTTCTAATATGCATAACATCAGTCGTCACATGTTGGATGGAAAGCACCTGCCACGCCATCTATTTCTTCAGTTACTAAGGGAGGGTTTACTCACAATGGGCAAAGAGCTCTTAGAGAAGTAAATATCAGGTAGGAAGATGGAAATCAAAAAAAGGTTGTCTGCCGCTAGCGAGAGCAGAGGGATACCACAGTGAATGGGTACAGAGACATTTTCCTAACTTTATAGTGAACCAGCCCATTCTGAATACGATAACAAAAGCACTCCAATCATAGCACAGACATAAAGAGATAGGCACCAAGAACCAAGAACCGAGGGGGGATAAGTCAAAGCACGACGTACCACATGTCATGGAATTGACTCTCAGTTACTCGACATCACTTCTGATTTGCCTTCGCTGACTTCTCTCCGGCTGATCAAGGCAAATGCGCGCACTAACATCAACATAAACAGGATGGTCAGTGTACAACATAAAGGATCAACCACATACAGGTAAGGGGCAAAGGCAGCTCACCATCCCATCAACGATGCCTCTAACTCCTGGTATATCACTCATCTAATGGTGCAGGCATAGCCTGCGAAGGCTGAAACCCGAAAGACTTCAATTGAGTTAACGATCGACACCAAATGGCGAAGAACTTCATCATGATGACATCTCGACTCCACCTCTACCAGTCTGTTGCAGCTAATGACAGGGAAACAGACATCTGATCTACACCCCAAGAGCCGGAATACCAACGCTATTCCTCACTTCTCTGAGTTCTTTGGGGCTTCAGGACAAATTCGGGAGTCTGTCCGGGTCAAAACCGGTTCTCGGCAAGCCGGATCCAGTTATCCAGGGCAACGATAAAGTATACAAGCGTTCGCGTACCATGGTTGAGATGTCAATCATCCTCGTGGAAGAGATCGATCGCATATTTATTCGGGCAAGTGCTCGTGTCCCCCATCCAGGCCATCGATATTCCGCAACGTACACACCATGTCCCAACGCTCACAACCCCCAGGGCCAGTCGTTGTTCTCGGTGCGAGTGTTCTCGGTCGTCGCATTGCCTCGGTGTTCCTTTCTGGCTCGCACAAGGTGCACCTCTGCGATCCCAGCCAGGATGCCCTTTCCGAAGCGAAGGCCTATATTGATTCGTCAAGAGAGACGTTCACTGCGTTGACACCCACGCCGCATCCCAAGAGCGGCCCGTTGTCCCTCTTCACAGATCTCGCGACGGCAGTTGACAACGCATGGCTGGTGATTGAGGCGGTTCCGGAGATACTCGATCTCAAGGTCAAAACCTTCGAGGACGTCGCCCAATTGGTCCCTGACGATTGTATTCTCGCGACGAATTCCAGCTCATTCAAGTCGAGGCTGATAGTCTCTGGCCTCAGTGAGGAAAAGAAGAAGAGAGTGTTAAATATGCATTTTACCATGCCACCGGTTATCCTTCCAGTGGAGTTGATGACTTGCGGTAGTACGGAAGACGGTATAATCGATGGCTTAGTGGAGGTATTGAAAAATTGTGGGATGTGTCCGTTTGTTGCTAGGAAGGAGAGCACTGGGTGAGTTTCTCGCGATACTCCCGAGACATGGATATTGACGACAACTACAGTCTGATCTCTAACCGCGTGTGGGCTTCCATCAAAAGAGAAATTCTGTTTATCCTCGCGGAAGGGGTCAGCACCCCCCAGGAGATCGATATCCTCTGGAGATACACAGTTCAGGGTGCCGCTAGCGCCCCACCCTGTCGCCTCATGGATAGTATTGGGTTGGATACTGTGGCGCTCATCGAAGACAACTACGTCCAGTAGAGGGGCCTAGATGGACGCATGACGGTGGACTGGTTGAGGGGAGAATATATCAATAAGGGACGACTGGGTGCAGGGTCTGAGTTGGGGGGGTTGTATCCTCCAGAGCCTGAAGGCGCAGCCACGCAGCTATACGTGCTGGACGTTGGACTCGGGGCCAATAATGAGCTTCATTGCATTCCCACAGCAGGACGGGTGCTTGCAGTCTCTCCGCATAATGGAAGGCTAACTACCCTCGTCAGTGGGCTATCGCTACCCGATGGAATTGATGTCTCTCCCTCGTGCGGGCGGATGTTCTGGACGAGTATGGGATCCGACAGGTCTACCGCGGATGGATCGGTACAATCCGCCAAGCTGGATGGGAGTGATTTACAGACAATTGTGAACACGGGGATGCTATACACCCCAAAGCAGCTTATCGTCGACGATGTGGATCATAAACTGTACTTCTGCGTTCGCGAGGGGATGGGGGTGCACCGATGCAACTTTGACGGAACCGACCATCAGGTTCTCATCCAAACCGGGTCCTTGAGTGTCCCCTCCGAAAAGAAGGATCCGATGCGGTGGTGCGTGGGTGTCACTCTCGACCGGGTCAATGGCTTTGTGTATTGGACGCAGAAGGGGCCGAGTAAATCCGGAAAAGGGCGGATCTTTCGGGCTGGGATTGATATCCCGGCTGGGCAGACAGCAAAGAGCAGAAACGATGTGGAGTGTCTGTTAGAAGGGCTTCCAGAGCCGATTGATCTGGATTTCGATGGTACGACAAAGATGCTGTACTGGACGGACCGAGGGGAGCATCCGATGGGCTGTTCCCTCTATCGGATCGACTTAAGCGGCCAAGTGGACAAAGAAGCGTTGCCAGGCAAGATGGAAATCTTGGCGAGGCAATTTCATGAGCCGGTTGGATTGAAGGTAACGCAGCAGGGCGTCTATGTGACCGACCTAGGGGGGTCGGTGTACCTGGTGGCTGAGGGGAAGAAGACATTAGTGACGCGGGAAGAGGCATGTTTCACAGGCATCTCGATCCTGGAATAGAATGACTATACGAACACCTAGAGCAATCAGCATACAGTTTAACTTTCATTGATCCAGGGCAGACCAGTCCCTTGAATTCTGGTGCTCATGCCTCGTAAGCCAACATCACATGCTAGCTCTTGAACTGGACGTGTTGAGATACCCTTGCAGATTGGATGCCAAAGAAGAAAAGAATGAATGGGAGGCAGTAAAACATTGAGGAAAAAGAATAAGATGGATTCGCTGCACGTGATACGTCCTACACCCCCGGCTTGCTTTCTTCGGCCATCCGAAACTCGGTCTCGATCACGATCTTGCCGTCTTCATTCTCATCCTCTCCCCGCTTTCCATCCATCTCAACGAGAACCGTCTGCGTGGCAAGCAGAGACTCATCCCAGTCTCTAGGCCTCCTCACTATCCTCCCATTCCGGCTGAACTGCTTATTCTCAGAACTTCCCCAATAACGTCCCGCGCGGGAACCGAAAATGCGCTGGATCGAGTGCCGTAGGAGTGGCTGCAGGGTAGGCAGACAGGCGCAGACAATCCCGATACAGGGCTCTACGCTGGACCAGATGAAGACATTCCCCATAATCCAAGTGATATCCAGAGAGTTGCTAAGAAAGGTCATGTAATAGATGCGGATGATACTGGCCACGCAGACGCTGTAGAGCGAAAGATGATCAGTTGAAGACCAGAAGAAACACACTGACAGCACGAGGGACAACCTACAATCCGCCAAGCATAAAGATGCTACAGACAAGGACTTTCTGGGTGGTCCTCATATGAAGCTTCCAAATGAGGGGCATGGGAACCAGCAGAATGATTACATCGGTGGTTACATTCGCAGCCGCATTACCAATATAAAATGGGTAGAGATCGAAGACACATCTCCCTCCACTGGGATCAGTGTACTGTGTCCAATAATAAGAGACCGGCCGGCAGCAAACCAGAAACGCCACGGTGCAGGAGATCCAGTAGCCCATGGTCAACGCCACACAGAACCACATGGCTCGGTTCATCCCAAAAACGCGACGGTAGAAAAGGAGGACCGACAATTTGATCAATGGCACAGTGACGACGTATATGAGGACATAGGCGAACAAAATCTGGATCACTTTGACCACATCGGGCAGGGGAACACTCCACACATGCTTTCCGAGGCCATAGTACCCTCCTAGGATAGATCGGCCCGTCAGGATGCTCTTATGCATAGGTGTCGTTTGGCGAACATACCGACAAGGGTGGACATAAAATTGGCCGTCACGGACAACTGTTCAAGGTTAATCAGCATCACCACCGGTATGCTGCATCGAATTGGAACATACCAGAGCAGCTAGGATCATCCAATCGTCGACCGCAATCTCAGCCTGTTGCACCCGGGCTCGGGCAACATATCGAAGGGCAATGGCTCCTGCCGCCAAAAGATAGGTCACGATGACCGCCGCATTGTTTGCTGCGCGCCGGCTTGCCGTCAGGTCTGTCCCGGGAGGGGGGTCGCCGAAGATGCTACTGCTGGACATGTCTGGCGCCAACGGCCGGTAAAGGAGACATGCCAGGGCGAGGGGAAGCCTCCTTTTATTGTGTCAGCCTTGTTCTACCGTTCATTTATCGAGTAGCAGGGGTTGTCCCTACTCTAGTTGGTAGGCACATCAGCTAGAGGCTGGCAGTGGTAGAATTGGGTTAGTAGTGAGGCAGTAGTCCGGGGCTAGCGGGGCCCTAACACGCCCTAACCCGCCCTGACACGGGCCAGCCGGTTGCCAGCCTGACAGGAGCCGGATCCCTCCCGTTTCCTCCCCGAGGCCCCATCGCAAAGCTTGGACGACACGACTTGCTTCCTCCATCATCCAAAAGAAAAACGGGATAACTACACAAAGCAGGCATTTTGTCGGCAGAAAGCAGTGACGTCTCCTGATATTGGCCGCAGTCGAAATGGATGCCAGTGATTTGCACTCTGAACAGCGTGTTCTGACACTGTCAGACCAATCTTGCCGGGGGGGGGAAGGGGGTTTCTCGACGCGAGGCACTAAATCAAGCCAGTTAATTAGTTTCTGGTCCTAATCTCCTAGGATCACGTCGGAGCCGAGGTGGTGCTCCTTAATTCATATAACTACCAGGAACACCCCTGTCTACAGCCTTGCGACCTGCAAGTTTTTGAGCCTGCCCCCCTTTCTACTGCACGCCCTGCATTTCCTTGCATTATTCCAACCCCAAGGATTCTCCTAATTAGCCATCACGATGCCCTCCAGAGAGTCTGTCCCCGTTGAATCTACCGAATACCAGGTGGACCCCAGTCGATTCGCTTTCACTCCTCGGAAGCTTCGAGTGGTTTGCATCGGGGCGGGCTATTCGGGCCTGATCCTCGCTCACAAGCTCAAGTACGAGCAGCCCCTCGACTTCGTGGACTTCACCCTCTACGAGAAGAACAGCGACGTCGGGGGCACCTGGTTCGAGAATGTCTACCCCGGTGTGGGCTGCGACGTGCCCGCTCATAGTTACATCTTCCCCTTTGAGCCCAATCCGTCTTGGTCGAAATGCTACGTCGGTGGCGCCGAGATTCAGCAGTACTTCAACGACACGGTCGAGAAGTACGGCTTGAAAGAGCGGATCGTCTTCAACACCCGCCTCGTCAAGTCCATCTGGAACGAGGAACAGGGCAAATGGGCACTGGAGCTGCAGCAAAACGACACCATCGTCCACGATGAAGCCGACATTCTCATCAACGCTGGAGGAATCCTCAACCGGTGGAGAATGCCTCGCATCGACGGCCTGAACCAGTTTGAGGGCAAACTCCTCCACACAGCCGGCTGGGATAAGAGCTACGACTGGACCGACAAGAAGATCGCCGTTATCGGTAACGGCTCGTCAGGGCTCCAGATCATCCCTGCCCTGCAACCCAAGGCGGCCAAGATCGTCAATTACATCCGTCATCCTACCTGGGTGTCGGTCAATCTGTGCCCGGACGTGACCAAAGATGGCATGGGAACCAACTTTGAGTACACTGATGAAGAACGATCCAAGTTCCGGGAAGACCCCGAAGGCTTCCTAGAATATAGAAAGCGCATCGAACGCTCGTAAGTTTCCATTCTGCATCATCACCACGCACTCCCACTAATCCTCCAACAGAGTCAACACCGTCTACAAGTTGATGCGCAAGGGATCCGACCTAAACCAGATGCTCTTCAACGCCACGGACGGGCTCATGAGACAACGTCTCAGCAAGAACCCCGACTTGATCGAGAAGCTCGTCCCGAAAACCGACATCGGATGTCGCCGTCTCAGCCCCGGCGACGGCTACCTGGAGGCCATGCAGGAGCCCAACGCCGAGTGGTGCTTTGACCCCATCGAGCGCATCACCAAGACAGGCATCCAAACCACCGAAGGCGAGCAGGACTTTGATCTGATCGTCTGTGCCACTGGCTTCGACACCTCCTTCGTCCCGGGCTGGGAGATGGTGGGCCGAAATGGTCGCCAGCTCGCCTTCGATTGGAAGAAGACCCCGCAGGCATACTTCTCGATGTGCGCCCCCGGCAGTCCCAATTACTTTATGTTTGCGGGACCCAACTGCCCCATTGGCCACGGCAGCGTTCCTCAAATGCTAGGCTGGAGCGCCGATTACATGCTGCAGTGGGTGAAAAAGATTGCCCGGGAAGATATCCAGTGAGTCCCCCGACCTGTTTCCCTATTATACATTCGTATCCCTCCCACTAACCCCAACTAGCTCCATCGTGGTAACAGACTCCGCAACTGCACTCTACAACTGCCACGCCCAGGCAAATCTGAAACACACCGTTTGGAGCTCCAACTGCAACGGCTGGTACAACAACGGGACTGCCGTCACGGCCATGTATCCGGGTAGTGTGCTTCACTTCAAGGGTACGCATCCACCATCCATTCTCACTAAAACTTCCATCGCTGATGTGTATCAAACTCCAGAGGCCATCTCCCAGATCCGCGGCGAAGACTTCGACATTCGCTACAAGAACACCGCCAACCCGTTCGCCTATCTCGGGAACGGCGAGCTCGAGTGGGAGGGAACTGAGGGAGGAGATTTGGCCTTTTATTTGAAATAAGTTACCCGTGATATGATGGGCAATTGTGTATGAGTTAGTGATACCTTTGTTTCTAATGCCATTCTTTTCAATTTCATTTCACTTGTCTTGTTCCTACTCATCTAATCGGTTTTCTCTTTGGTTTTTTTTCTTTTTTCCTAGTTCTTAGTTCTTCTATATATACCAGTAACCGAACAAGGGGAGAGATTCCGAGGGATGGAGTACCAGAACCTTGCGATATAGTATAACTTCAGAACTAGTACTGTGACAGTATGAACCTGAATTTCACATAGATTCTGGTCGTGCGGCTTTAGGTGCTCAGTGAGTATTTGCAAGAGACCCTTTTACCCTCCAGAAGGCCTTCAACTATATGTTTTCACAAACGTATTATAAGGTGCTTCACAAAGCGCCTCGTGATGCTTTCGGCTGTGGGCGACCGCAGGCCACTACCTAGTGCGTAGTATCTTTATTCTTTCTAATTTTGCCATTAAGTCCAACGATTCTTATCTAATCATTCTCTAAATATATTACATCTTGTATATTTCAATAATATTCTAATCGAAAGCTGAACCTGATGCCAAAATCGACGATAGTCATTCACTTACCTGTACGCGCACCCTTGTATCCGAGTCCCTTCATGAAGGTGCATGCAGGCGAGTTTAGATTCTCGGCCCAGCGTGGGATGGGTATCTCCTGGAATACATATCCGAGGTTGGATCCGGACACCTACGAGGTATCTATTTGCGTCTTTTAGAATTACGGTTGCCGATCGTGATAGTGCGTGTGATGTCGGCTGGGAGATGTGCAAGGGTTTGTTGCATGGGATATTGGGGATGCACTATGTATATACGGATCTATGGCAAGTGGGGTTAGATGGATTGGCAACAATGGTAATGGGTATATTATATTGCAGGAAGATGCTAGAAGCGAATGCCTAGGTACGTATGGTAGTCCCCGTCAGGATCAGCAGGTCATCCCGCTGTTCTGGACAGTATACTACAGACAGATAATCCACGAGTAGACAAGTACTAGAAGGTCGCATCCCATCCATGACAATGATAACGTGTCAGGATATCAACTCCAAATGTACGAGTGGCTCGCTTCACTAAATCTGACACCACAGTCCGTTAGCGATGTGATACATGGTAGGGACAAAGAATGACAGTATAAGGCCCATCCTCATGAACCAGCTAATAGCCTTCCTCTTCGCCCTGCTGGTAAACGTGTCGCGAGCGTCCCGGGTCTTTGCGCATCTGTTGACCGGATCCGGTAAATCCCACTAGTTCCGTCAGTGTCTGTGGAATATGGTGGATCAAGGATGTACTCACCTCGGGCATTGACGCCATCGCCGGTGCGGAACATACTCTCCTTCCGGCCCAATTTTCCCTTGCTGGCAAAATCTTTCCACTTCATCTTGCCCGCCTCCAGCTCCCGTGTGGCTTTCACCTTCCGGGGCACCTTGGCCGGGCGCGCCGGCCCATCGCTCACCTTGCTCGGCTCCTTACGCGCCTGGTTGGCCAACGCGGGGTTAATATCCGCGGCGGCGGAGATCACGCTCGAGTGTGGCGGTTGCGGCGCCGGTGATTGCGATGTAGAATTGCCTGAGCTTGCATCAGCCTTGCGTTTACGCGAGTCACTGCCGGAGATGGGCCTGATGTCTTTGGAGGTTAGGTTTTCCACCGTCCCATAGGACTTAAAAGAGACGAGGTACACGGGATTGCTCGCGGATCCGGTAATGGATGTGATACGCGCCGGGTAGAACGAGTTGTCGCCTGATACCCAACGGGCGAGGACGTGTTCATTGACGGAGAAAGAGGACTGGGTTGCCGGCTCGTCTGGTTGTTCGACCGTGGCCTTGCGGTATGCTGGCTGCGACGCGTAGTTTTCCTTGGCCCTGCTATCCTTGACCGCGGAGGCTGAATGGTTGGACACGGGTGGCGCGGGCGGTTTAAGTTCGGCAATGGATGTTTCGGTGAGGTTTATGAGTTCTTCCAGCTCAGTTTTGAGACTCTGCAATTCCGTGTTGTCTGGGTCTACCTGCAAACTCGATTGGACGGTTTCAAGCTAGGGACGGACTGTTAGTGACGATGATGGCTGGATGGCGCGGTGGATTTTAGCGCGTACCTGGAGCTTGAACTCCTTGACCTCTGTCTCCAGGGCAGCGACGTCTGACATGGTGGGTAAGAGGGAAGTACAAAAGAAAGCGATCAAGTCCGGATTTAAAAGACAGGAGAGGGGGCAGGGATGGAGCGCAGGATGATGGCCGTCGAGATGGTGTGCCGGTCGGGCTGATGCAAATCTGAGGTTGCAGATAAGAGAAGTCGAGTTGGGATAAGATAGCGTGGCGGGGCCCCGTTGCGGCTCGTGGTTATCACGTGGCTCGCACCGCCACACCTCCTCGCAAGTCACATGCCGTCATCCTCTCTGCCTCCCGATCGCAGACGGGGGAGGGACTCCAGACTCCGTTCTTCGTATCAATCCTTGTTTCAACTCCACCAAGGTTACATTGGTAGTGAGCAAAGACGCCTAGAACAGCTCCGATCACAGGCATCGCCGGCATCCACTCTAAACGGGTCAACGGGTCAACACTTAACTGGTGTCCGCTCTGTCGTCGATCCTCACGTCATTCGGGTCCGGAACGAGAGGGCAAGCGATAATATGATTACTGATCAATAATCCGGCAAGTGGCCGTCCTACATAGTACAGCGATATCATGCTACGGCCCCCATGAGACGGGGTTCTCGAGTCCAAATGAATGCTGACGATCAGGCAAATTTGTCAGGAGTCGTCAGCCGTTGTAGCCTGCTGGCCGCCAGAGGCTAAACCTTAGCATCGGAGATCCAGATCCTGGCGTGCTCACCGCTTGCCCCGGGAGGGATCGATTGGAGGGGGCGATGCACTTGACCGAGACAAGAAGCTCTGGCCAAATTTGAGTCGCCCCGGCTTACGGCTTGATATCCTTGGCGGTTCCTCTCCGTTCTCGGTCAGTTCAGTTGAGCCCCAGATCAATGGAAGAGTCAGGCCGTGAACCGGTACTTGAATCCATCCGAGGTGACCGAAAGCACGGAGCCACCAGCATGTGCATTCTGCAGAGGACCCCGAAAGTCGGAAGCTCGATCTGGGGCTGGAGGCGGTAAGACCCGCGAGACAAAGAACCCGTGTCTCATTTGGGGAAGTGGCGCTATGAGTCACTCTACTAGTCGTAGTTTCGAAGTCTAGCAACGATACCACCTAGCCGTGAGCCTGGCTAACTGACAGGGGAACCGACCCCTGGTAGGGAAAGATCAAGCAGCAAGCTATCTAGTTTAGAGGGGACCATCTAGTGCCGAATGATCTTAGGAACCCGCCGTCCCGAGTGGTATCAGTCACGCCAATCATCCGACGTGGAAGAGAATGGGCGAGAACAGAAAAAAGAAGAGGGCCCGGTTGGATTTCTAAGCAGCTCGACTGGATCATTGTTTCCCCACTGCTGCCTGAGGTTCGGTCCCGAGTGGCCTTCTGCACAGTGGCCCTTCGTGATTGGCTGCTTTGCCTCCCCCGCTGTGTTATGACCAATCACGGTGCGACATTCTGCCGGCCGGCACTGAGACAGCATCAGAGCCAGTCACGGATCCATCGCCCCCCTCCGCTTTGGAATATTCCATCCGGCCATCCATCCATCCATCGCTCTCCTCCCCTCCATCACTTGTTGCACTCCCACTCTCACTTACCAACTCCCCCCCCCCTTCCCCCCCTGTTGGGTGCCACAAATCATTCAATTCGGCTAGGCCCTCAACGACGGGTCCTTTCGCATTCGGTCGCCCTACTGCATCCCCTACTTCCCCTTCTTGCATCATCACCATCCTCCTCTCCTCTCTCACTTCCCGTCATCGTTCCACCCTTTCAGCCCCTCTTCTTTCTCCTGGGACCCGACCTTTCCCTTGAGCCTGTCTCTCCTTAGTCCTATCTTTGGACTCATCAGACCTCCCTGCGGCTTGTGCGTCTCACCGGTCTTGCGCCTCTTCTTCAGCAAGCTTTGCCACCTTCGACCTCACCTCCGAATTCCACCTTCCCGCAGCGCCCGTATTCCCGGCGTTGTCCCATCAGCAGGAGATTCGGGTCCATCATTCACCATCACAAGTCACAGTCGACGTGGATATTGTCGGTATTTTCGTCATCGACCATCTCGAGTCCCCTCTTAGATTCCTGCCGGTGTTGTGCCGAAACCCCTCCACGACCCTTTCCGGGGTCACCGATCGATACAACGAACGGGCGGGAAGCCCGGCCTGGATCTCATCGAGTCGCCAATCGCATTGATATCATCCTATTAAACAGTTCCGCATACCCCTCTCTGCTATAACGGCATCTCAGCTTTCTACCATCGTCATTTTGATAACAGCCTCGTCCGATTCCATAGTAAACCACCATGGCCGACTACAACTCTCTCTACCAGCACAGTCTTTACCTTTCCCCAGATCAACAAGATCTGCTCCTGGCCGCTCTGTCCTCCAACAATCCCCCTCAGAAGCAGCATAACAACGCTCACCCGTCAAATGCCAAGACGGACCCCGAGTCTACCCCCGGTACCACAGGTAGTTATAACATGAGCCCTGCGTTCGACCCCTCTCAGCCCCACTCGGGTGGCCTGGGATATGGAGACGACGAGAGTCCTTTCCTGGACTTCAACCCCGAGCTCGATTTTGACTTCCAGGGCTCTGAGAACCTGATCGGGGATCTTCCGGAGAGCCTGCAGGCGTCGGAGGAGCCCGAACCAGGAGAGAAGAGAAAGGACATGGATGAGCCCGTGGATGAGAATGAAGGCTCGGGTAAGAAGCGAAGGGAAAGCGATGAAAAGGCAGCGAAAAAGCCGGGAAGGAAGCCCCTCACTTCCGAGCCGACCTCCGTACGTATCTCTCGGTGGTGGTGATGAAGTGCCGAGGGATTTTGATACTAACAAGCATGCAGAAGCGGAAGGCACAGAACCGGGCTGCCCAGCGAGCGTTCCGTGAGCGCAAGGAGAAACATCTGAAGGATTTGGAGACCAAGGTGGACGAGCTGCAGGCAGCGTCAGACAACGCTAATCAGGAGAACGGCTTGCTACGCGCCCAGATTGAACGTTTGCAGGTCGAATTGCGAGAGTATCGCAAGCGTCTCTCTTGGCTGACTACCGGCAACGGAGTCTCTGCCATGAATGCCATCCCGGGAGCCTATTCCAAGGGGGCGTATGGCCTACAGAACAACGACTTCATGTTCGACTTTCCCAAATTTGGAGATCTGCCGGGCTCTCACATCTTCAACAACGGCCAATTGACCAAGACGCAGCAGAATACCAAGGGAGAGCAACCATCGGCAGCGCCGCGTAATGAGTCGCGTGTTCCTGGTGTTGTGAGCCGCCCTCAGTCAACTGCTGCAGGCAGGATGCCCAACGCCCCGTCACAGCAGGGATCCACGCCCGCGTCTCTGAGAAACACCCCGAAGGTGTCAATATACTCCGGCACTAGCCAGTCCGGCTCCACGCATGATTCTTCCAGCACTGATTCGCCGTCCTCCTCGTCTGACTCCCACCAGAGCCAGTGTGTCTCATCCATTGGCACCTCCCCGGAACCGACCATCAGTTCCCCAGCCGTTAAGGCACACAACCAGAGCGCCCATGATAGCTGTACCTACGCCACCATTAATGGTGAGGAATCCTTCTGCGCGCAACTTGGCATGGCCTGCGGCAACATCAATAACCCCATTCCAGCTGTGAGACACAACAGCCAAAGCGCTTCAAACACTCCTAGCCAGCATACCCCCCATGAGGATGTGTCCGGACTTGATGTGCTCGCTCAACAGAACGGAGGTCAATTTGACCCTGTGCTCTTCGGGGACTGGCGTGAGCCTCAGGATGCGATCCTGTCCCAGGACTTTGGAACCTTCTTTGACGATGCGTTCCCGCTACCCGATCTGGGCAGCCCTTCACACAACCTCACAGAAGCGGCCACCCAACAAGCACCCAAGAAGGACCTGATCGCCGAGATCGACAGCAAGCTAGATGAGGAAGTGGTTCCTGGGGAAGACAAGGCTCAGATGCTGAGTTGTACTAAGATATGGTATGGTCCCTGCTTAATCCGTCCTCTCAATACCTACATGATACTGACAGTTTTCTAGGGATCGTCTGCAATCCATGGAGAAGTTCCGCAACGGTGAGCTCGATGTCGATCATCTCTGCTCCGAACTACGCATGAAGGCCCGCTGCTCAGAAGGCGGTGTCGTCGTCAACCAGCAGGACGTGGACGACATTATGGGACGGGCGAAGTAGTCGAGCGAGGTTACTGCATTGCCAGCCCGCCCACTGCTTTGGTTGCCATTATTCTGCGTTTCAGATACCCACACCTCTAATGCAACACTGTTGTTGACGCCCGTTACGACCAAAGGAAAAATGGATCCGGGAGGTTTCAATTGAACGCAAAGGATGAGACCTTGGAGTACGCCAGGATATTTATCGCATCTCTTATTGGATATTCAAGACATTTGGAGCAAAACAATAACCTCCCCTTACACTTTCCTTCGCTATGATTGTACTTTCTTTTTCTCTTTATCTTTCTCTTAAGACCACTGCAGGCGAACAGGAGGCGCGGTTTGCTCAAAATAATACCATCTAGGAAGCCTCGGATTGGCAGACTGTACACCACCACAATTGGAGAAATCTTCCGTTGTTGTTTACCTGGTTGATTGCGTGCTTCTATCGTTCCCCTTGTACATGCACCGCTGTCGCACCCGCACTTTCCTGGCTCTTCTTACTTGCAGCTAGGTAGCTAGAGCGGGCTATTTGATTGGAAGTGATATTCATCATCTACCTATTTATTCAACCCTTGAAAACACGGAAGGGTTATGTCTCTCTCTTTGGGCGTAATGTTCCGGTTGAGTTAATTACATCCGAACAATAATACTCACGTTCTCTCCACTCTATTGCTATTCTCCCGTTCTGCTCCGTACTATCATGACATTTGGATGTAGAATCCTCACATTTTGGCTAAGGAACTCTAATATGGCTGACTTAATGTAGTACTATCTGTCGGGAGCAATAAGGGCCATCGACTAGAGGTTAGTAGCACTTTCTCCAGCTAGGTTAGTATTTAGTACTAAATTGTTACTTGTCTTCCCGCATAATCTGCCAGTAGCCGATGTGGGTCGACTCTGCCCGGGTACAACTGAAGCCACCCGGAATATATATCCATGCAAACCACTGCAATCCATCACAACCATTACTCAGATAACAACAAAAGTATGATTCCAGCTACATGATGCAGAGATGAAATTACAAGGGTATCGATATTGATGCGTTCCAGGAAAAGGTAAAGTACAAAAAGATTCCGCTCCGGTGGCCTTTTTGATTTGTTTCTTCATTTTGCCATTTTTTCATTTGGATGGTGTGGGTGGATAAAATCAACGCCGATAATCCTTCGCTTTTATGCCACTCCCCGGCCACCAATATGTAAGACCATATCATACCAAGCTAGCACCTCTCTCCATCGGCTTCTGCTTCTGCTTCCGCTTCTGCTTCGGATCCACACCAACAACTCCTGGGGCCCTAGGGATCCGACCGGGTTGAGTTTGACCAATCAAGGCAATGATCGGTCCTGTCGCCAGCGCGAGTGTCTACTAGGAAAGAGGAAGATGAATGGAAAGAAGTTTTGACGCACATCTCGCTGAAAAGGACCAAAAAAAGGTGTGAAAGAGGAAAGACGTCATTTTGCAAGTATCACAACAATAGAAATTAAAATACCGATCGAAAAGCGTGAGATTAATGGAGACAAGGGAAGAAAGATCGAGGGGGAAACGGGATAAAGAAGGTGGACATGAACTCAGAAGGGGGAATCAAGCACAATCACACCTCAAGCATCGCCTCCAGTGGCAGCTGGCTTGTCACCAGGGCCCGAGTCAGAAGTCGGGGCTCCCTTGTTGAAGCCACCGCGACCACCTCGTCCGCCACGAGACCCGCGGTCGCCGCGCCCACCACCACGGCCACGGAATCCACGACCCCGGTTAGTCTCGCTGTCACTGGCACCTCCGCTCTGGTAGCCGCGTTGGGACGTGTTGCCACCACGGTTGCTACCCTGCCAAGTACCGGCGTTGCCGCGATGACCGCCCCGATCCTCAAAGAACTTGACGTTGGGCTTCCGGGGCTGACCAGCTGGGCTGGGCTTCTTGTGCTCTGCGGGCTGACGATCGAGAGCGGCCTTGGCCTCGTCAACGGTCGAGAAGTGGACAACATGATTGTTGTACTTGCCCCATTTCTCGATCCGCACAATCTTGGCCTTGTCCTCCTCGTGGAAGAGATCACGCGCCGCCTGTTCATTTTCAACGTTCGAGAGGAACAGCGCATTGCTCTGCTTCTTCTCAACCTTAGGCAGAGGCGACTCGGATACCTTCTCATGTTGGGCGGTACCGTTGGGCTCGGTGGCTGTGGTTCTCTCCGGGGACGCCGCGGCAGGCTGCGCAGCAGGGGCGTTAGCGGGCTGCGGGGTGGCAGGCTTCGGGATCACGGGAACGGGGGATGTGCGAGCGGGAGCGGCAGCGGGGGCCTTGGCCTGCGCAGGCTGCTGTGCCGAAGGTTGCTGCTGTTGGGGAAGAGCCGTGCGGGGAGCAACAGGCTGAGCTTGACCGAACTGGGGAGCAGCACCGGGAACACGAGGGGAGGGAATGTTGACGGGGGGAGCCGTGGGCACTGGAGCGGGCTGGGCCGGGGCAGCAGGCTGGGGCTTGCCGGTACGGTGGGCGAAGTTGAATCCTTGAGCGCGCATTTCAGTCGCGATGCGGCCCGCCTCAATCTCAAGAACCAGGAAGCCAAACGCCGCATCCGCCAAGTTGAAGTTCCACATGTTCTTAAAGGCGCTTTCGTCGACCTGGCCAGCGGCATTGCCGGGGGCAGCGGGTCCACCAAACGGATTGCCACCGTTAGCGACAGTGGGCATCCTGTTCACTACCTCAAGAGCGTTGTCCAACAGAGTCTTCTGAGCCTCGTTCTGCGAAATGGCGGCCTCGACCTCACCCCGGACAGTCTCCCATACGTCATTGAACGAAGCCTTCGAGGCGGCGAGCTTGCCTCGGTAGTGGTCCAGCGAGGGGTTCACGGAGAACTCGTTGTAGGACGACCCATAGCGGAAGTGCAGGCCGGCGGAGATGGAGAAGTCAGCCTTGAGGGTGACGGACAGCTGGTTCAGCATACCCTCACGGGCAGGCGACGCATGCGTGACGAAGATCCGGGTCTCTGAGGGGTCGTATACACGGTTTGATGTGTCAATCAACTCTCCCATCTGCAGCAGGGTTGTCCACATGGTGCCTTGGCCACCGGCAATCGTGGTCTTGCCTTCGCCATTGTCGAACAGCTTGTGCATAACCACGGCTCCTCCCAGTCCCAAGAGGCGGAGCTTGACGCCGCCAATGTCGAGCAGTCGCGAGTTGGCTTCATCAATGATGTGCAGCTTGTCAACCTTGTACTCCCCCGAACGGAACTTCTCCAACACACGAACATCCTCGCAGGCACCCCAGACAGTGTAGACAGGCACATCGAGAGTGAGGCGCTTGTCAAGCAACATGGGAAGCTCTGAGAGGGGAAGCTGATCGGGAGTGAACCGTTGCTTGATGGACTGCTGGGGAGGAGTCTGGGCGATAGTTCGCTTCACGTTCTCGGGCAGCAGAGGCGAGTACTGAGCCACGTGCTTGAGGGTCCTATATTTGGAAGCCAGATTGAGTCAGTCGATCCAATCACATGTTATCATGCATAACAGCTCTCTAGCGGCTGAACCTAGCGTCAAGAATCGGGGGCCATCACTGACTTGTCGGCAATGCGCTCGAGGGAGGTGTCATCGTAGAAACCAAAGTCACCGGTGTGGATGATATGGTCTGCACGGGCCTGCCTGGCCAGTTCATTCAAAGACTTCAGATTACCTGCGCCACGGAAAAAGCAAAACAGAATTCCCAAGTCAGCTCAATGGGGTCTATCCACCCGGGGATCGCACCGAGGCGAAATCCGAAACACGTACCTCGCACGTCCGCAATGCACAGCACTCTGACGGGTCCATTCTGAATGATTCGACCATTGTTTGGGAGGAGAGGGGCGGCGCCGGGGACAGGACCCGAGGGAACGGCACCGTTGGGGAGGGGATAGCCTTGGGGACCGAAGTTGTGTGGAGGACGGGGCTAGAGGAAGAGCACGGGTCAGCAGGGGGGAACTTAAATTCTTATCTTCGCGCGTAGGAGGATCGTCAAACGCGTGGATTGCGAGGGGGGGTAGCATGACGTTGGACAGCCAACAGCTGTCCGGGGCGAAAGCAGAGCGAGAGAGAGCACATACAGAAGCCATGAGGGAAGCGGATGAGGTGGTTGATGAGGCAAGAAGAGATCAAGGACAGAAGGATGATGCAAGAAGAAAACAGGAAAGAGAAGGGCGGAAGAAAAGGGAGGCGAAGAAGAAGAGGACTGGGGGGAGGAGTGAAAGCAAGCACGACGAGGCGGTTTGGAACACGGCGAAAGCGAGCCTGAGTGTTGCTCCAGCCGAAGTGAAGGTGCCGCTTATGTAAGCCACAGGGGCAGCTCCCGGCCGCAAGGGACAACTCACTGCCCAACCCATTCATCACTCACATCCCAGTCAACATCTACTCCGTGAATAAATCAAAGGATGGACCGGCTGGAAATGTCCATCGCCTCATGGTGTCTGGCATCCTTACGCGCCATTCACCATCGGCACAACCACGGTCATGTAATACTACAATTGGGCCAGAACAGGAAGGCTCCTTCAGATATCCTTATTCAGCCAAGCTACCTCACCACATACTACATTCACAGGCAATGTATTCTTAACCACCGTTAAAGCTCATCCGCCGGTCGTATAATGATCCCTGGGCCGTCACCACCTAAAACGTTGATTCTTTCTTCCCCGACTACCTTGTGTACCGCTTTTTGGAGTGACTTGGGTCCTTGCAGTGCCATCAGAGCAAAATGGCCCCCCACAGTTGGCCGAGCTCGACACAGGACAGGCACCCCCGGGCTGTTGCCCTTGGAGGAGGTGGCAACGTAGCGATCGGAGAACGGCCAATTGTGTTTGCCGTTGGTCATGAAGGTCCATAGATCATCCACAAACTCGGCGCGAGTGCTGGAATCCATGGTGCCAGCCAACCACATGTTCCAGTCCGACTTGGCCCAGTCTTGCCGGTTATCCAACGGGACTCCATACTCGGCCCGGACCGACTTGAAGAAGGTGCTCCCCATTTCATATGCCCCCTTGGGGAAGGTTTGCAGATCCAATAACACATCTGGGTAGAGATTGTAAGGGATCTTCCAAGAGGCAGGCTTGTCGGGATATTGCAGCACAAAGTGGGTCTTTTCTTCGTCAGTCCCCCGGCCTTGGGTAAAGAAAAGATCCGCGCGTGCTTGCCCAATCCGAGAGTATTCAGCGCGCCCGGTGAGTTCGCCAAACGCCTTGATCCCGACGGCGGCCTTGATGGCAAGATTGGTCTCGTTGGCTAGAGCGCCAGCCGCATCGTTGGAGGACAGCTGCTCCGTGATGTCGACGCCATTGTCAACCAGATAGTCCGCATAGCCCTGCAAAAGGTCCGTGTACTGGGCGGCCCATTGGGTATCACCCGTTGCTCGTACATAGGCCAGAACGAGCACCAACAGGTTGCCACATTCTTCAATGGGCATTGGCTCGGCCTGCTGATTGTCATGACCGGTGGCATTAGGGTAATGCGTGCCCATGTCATGGATCACATATGGCTTTTGCCAGCGCCCAGTAGCCAGGTAGCGCATCATCGGCTCAAGCAGGAGCCGGATGTAGTCTGGATTTAGAGTATAGTAGAGTGGAAATGCGGGCATGATAACATCTACCGTGTTGAGGTTTCCATCACTGGAAAGCTCTTTGATGAACGCCAGAACGTCGGTGGTGTCAAGTGTATCGTTAGGAATGGTCACTTCAATCCCTCCGTAGGCCTGACGAGCGGACAGAGTGACAATGTCCGCGTACCTCTTACCCCCCGCTTTATTGGCCTGAATTTTCATTTCCATATCCAAGGCCCAGGACTCCCGGTGTGCAGCGGGATAATCCTTTAGGAAGTGGGAGACCGCGTGATGAGGCTTCGGGTGTTGGTATCGGTAATATCCGGTGTAAGGCTTGCCCAGGTAATTGATGGACTCCTCGCGCACGTGTCCAACTGCGAATGTCACGGATTGTAGCCGGTCGACAGGTCCTAACTCGTGCGCCAATGCCACAACTCCCCCGGGAACCCAGGGTGGGTTCTTATCCGCCAGCTTCCCGGTCCGTACAAATTGAGAACGCACATCCTCACTTTTGCCTGATGCGAAAGAGACTCTAAACGAGTCTGATCGAGAGGCAAAGACGGCTTCACCCCAAGTGGCCATATCATTGTCTTCCGAGAATGGGATGGCATCGTCCACCCCCAGGGAGAAAACATGAGTACAGCCGGTGATTATAAAATCGCGAGTCGTATTTTGCGGCCGTCCAGTCCATGTACCGTCAATGCTGGAGTAGATTTCAATTCTCTTAAAGGCTGCGTACGATACAGACACGGTCAAGTAGCCTTCAAACAGAGCAGTCAGTTGCCAGACAGATGTATGTTATTGCGTGGTAAAGATCTTACTGAACGGGAGAGACTGTCGTAGATAGCTTGAGGGAGATATAGGAGAGAAAAAGTCCAAGGTGAAAATCGTTGAGCCAGCCGAAAGGGTGAAGATCGAATGGGTCGCCGTATACTCGGCGCTTTCAACAATGGCCGGACGTATGTTCTCATCGGGATCCTTGATGCCCATCAGACTGTACGCCTGACCATTGACGCGCGCCATCACCGACCAGGTGAGACTCTGGCCTGCCCAGAACTGGGGTTCGGCATAGGGCAACGTCCGGACTTGATCGCTGGGCATCCATGCTGAGAGATACGGGCTTCGGACAGCCAGAGGGTAGGAAGGAGGCAGCGCTGGCCGATGAGTGACGAAGTCATGCTCGCGAGGAGGAGCAGCGAGCACCAGGGTAGCCAGCAAGCCAATGATCAGGCTATTAGTCGAGAAGTTGAGATACATGTTGAGCTACGTCCCGGCAATCCAGCCGCGGAGGTAGTTGAGTGTGAAGCAGAAGCAGACCGACCGACAGCATGGGGGGCATGAGTGGGATGATAAAGGAGACGGATGGTGGAGTCGAGAGAAGGCTGAAAACGGGGGAGAATTCCCTGGCTGGCGAGTGTCGATCGAGGCCGCGCTGTCGTCAGCTATGCACTTCGTCATTGGCAGCGACGCCGGCGTGGGCGGCTCGGCCAGGCGCTCAGGAACCCGCTCGGGCCCCAGGGCGCTTGACGACGCATTGGAGTTGGCTGCATCATTGGCCATTGACCCGGTGATAATTCTGGTTCGATGTGGGAAGATTTCAGACGGTGGAAGATGGTAGGATGGCTCATGTCAGGAGTCGCCAAGTCGGTGATTGCGGAATGCGGGGGATGCTGGCGGAGGTGCCAAATCGGGAATAGTGCCCTCCGTTATTACATACAATGACACTATTATATCTACTCCATACGACAAGAATTATGAGAATGAAGCTGCATGGCAGCATATCGGTCATAAGTTAGAAATCATGCAAAACTGACCAAGGAAATGACAACACAGAGATTTTCCCCCTACAGCTGAGCCTTCTCGATCCGCCGGCCAATCTCATCAAAATGGATCTGCTTCCCGGTCACCAGCGCCTCCTGGAGATAAGCGCCAATCTCAACAGCTTTGACCGCATTAGACAACTTGAGCGGCAACGGGGTGTTGTCCAGGCAGCAGGCTGTAAATTCATTCGCTTCCTTCACAAAGGCGGCCCCGAAGCGCCCGTGGAAATTAGCAGGGACCTCGCGAGTGATGCCCCCAGAGTGGTAATAGTTCACAAAATTGCGTTGCGGGTTGATGTTGACAGACAACTTCCCCTCCGTGCCAATGACCTCGGTCGTATCTTCTTGGCCATGGGGCATCATCCGCGAGCAGTAGTAGTAGGCGATCTTGCCATTGTGGAACTCAACAATGCCGACTGCGTTGTCGTAGTCTTTGTATTTCTTCAATTCGGGCTGGACAGCGGTGATACCATGGGCGGAGATGCTCTTGGGGACCGAGTCCTCACCCATGAACCACAAGGTGAGGTCGATATCATGCACGGACATGTCGACGAACACACCACCCGACCACGCAGCATAAGCGACATAGAACCCAGATGGGTCATACTTGTCACAAGTCTGGCTTCTAACGATCGAGGGTCGTCCAATCAGGCCCTGGCTAATTTTGTCGTAGACTTCACGGTAAGAGTCATCGAAGCGCCGCGAGAAGCCACACATGACCTTCAAATGCGGCTTGGTCTTGGCCTTCTGAGCAACCGCTTTACACTAACACAGGGTAAGCTCAAGTGGGGTGGATATAGGAGACAGGTCGGGACATACCACTTCAACATCAATAGATAAGGGCTTCTCGCACAGAACATGCAAGTCATGGTCGATAGCTTTCATGGTCTCCTCGGCATGCACCGAGGTGGCTGTGCCGATGACTACGGCCTGCAAGCCGGGGTGTTCTAGCATCTTATCGTAGTCATCGTATAATGTGACTCCATAGGGCTCCAGGTTTTGTCGACCCCAGGCAATCTCGGCTGGGTCCGGAGAGAAGGCCGCGACAAGGTCGGCACGAGGGGTTTGGTGCAGGAAGCTGTTGACATGGACCTTGCCTATCCGGCCTAGACCAGCCATACCGACTTTGAGCTTCTGGATAGGCATTGTGGATAGATGCTTGAGAATGGATAAGAATTGCCTCAAAAAAAGAATCGACGGCTCAAGAGGAAGCTTGTTAGAGCCACAGCTCGAATGTTATGAGATGCGTTTGAGGGATGAATGGAAATTGATCTTGCTGGGGGATTTGAAGCCTTATAAATCCCACCAGCTTCGGGTCCATTGCCTGCCGCCCATCCATACTGAAGGGGAAATTTTCCTTATTTGAAATCGGTCTATGTTGATCCTGCGAAGTTGTGCAAATAACTGGGGATGGATAGTGTTCTCTGGACTTCCCATGCACTGGAACGGAGAAGATGGCGATGGAGTAGAAGCAACACGGATAGAGTTGCCCATAGCCGGACGGAAAGACTTGCCGTTGCCTGTGGACTGGGGAATAGGCGGGGTTGATTGGCCCGGGCGCCCCACTAGGCGTAGTTTGGGCAAGGCTTTCCTTCGGCGGGGGATGGCGGGCGGCGCGTCTGGGGTTCTCGCCGCTCACCTACAGAGTACGACAGCAAGGCTGTGTAACTATCGGCGCAAATGTTCTTGCTATTCCTTGATTCACGGTTACTAGCTCACTTCTGGAAACTGAAAGCCAAGACAGTAAAATGCGGGGTATACCTCCAAATACGCATGCAAACGAAAAGCGTTGAGGAAATGGAAATTTCACAGAGATCAGCTAGCGAGCAACGATTGCAAAAATAGAAGCATCGCATCAAGCTGATAATCAGATAGAGCTCGTGACTGCATCATTCAAATGAGATATTCAGAAATGATCCCCTCGCAATCATGTGCGCCCGAAAGAAAAGTAAGATCCCCATCCCCTTTGCTTCGTGTCGGAGTCTCCGTGTGATCGATCTTGACCAACTCCAGCATTTTTCTCTAGATCCGGCTGAATTTGAGCGCGATCCGGGCCTTTGAATATGGCTTGGCCTCTTCCTGTCGGGGCTCTGACACCTAGAGGCCGGTTGGTAGGGTCTGTGAAAGGGAGTGTTTCGCGTGTCCTCAAACGCCTTTTCTTCGCCGTGATAAAAGCAGCAGTGAACAGAACTGCGGAATAAAGAATTGTCAGCATCCGTTTCTCGGGCCTGCTCTTGTGTTTGGGCGCGTCGCCACCGCAGGACATACTTCCAACGAGCACGACCACAGCTACTATCGTACACAGGATTATCATCCCTTTGGAAGAAACGTTTCGCGTGGTTGAAGATGATTCGGATTCCCCATTGCCGTCTTGGCTATTGACACTAGTCAGGATACCCTGTGCGACTGCTGGTGATGATAGCGCGACGGCTATCAGCCAGAGTAGGTGTATTGAGTACATGGGCGTTGATTGGGGAAAGCTCAGGAGCCAATATATGCTTCGATATGAACAATGTGAGTGAGTTAGTTATCAACCAAATAGGAAGAGGCAGCCGGCAGGGGAGATGGCCTTGAGATATAACAAGTTGAGGATAAATGGGATCGTCAGGGGTCCCCGATCCGTGAAGAATCTGTCGGGGTATGCAACACTAGCCATTCTGATGTGACAGGCTTGATGACGACAGCCCAAGCCCTGAAGATAGGTTGGAGCGTTTTACCGTTCCATCGGCCCGGGATCGTGCAGTTTCACTGGTTTGAAGGTGAAACACTACGTCAAATCAAAGACCTGAAACTCGGGAAAGCGGGATGTCGGCGCCAACTGCAACACCATTTCCCGTAAAGCCTTCCGAGAGTGTCCAATCGTAAGGATGGCTAGGCCGCCGACGTTGGCTGACTCCATATTCCCTCAGATGCGTTGCATGCAGTTTGCTCTGGTAAGTGAGGCTGCGTCGGACTTTTTCAACGAATAACTACAGTTTCTCGTCTGCACTGCCGAAGGGGCCATAAGACTATAGCCAACAATCAATCGATAGCCGTAAATGAAAAGAGCCTTATTTGCTTACATATAGGGAGTTGTGGCGCTGAGTCCAGGGTTGTGTTGGAGCGTGCCCATTATTCGCAGATTCATGACGACTAGCGACAACACATATTAGTTTCATGATTGAAAAGATATTAGGGTCTTGTATACACACCCGGCCAAATCCCAAGGTCTACAAATTGGTATCTGTAGAACTGTACGTTAAAAAGTATTGCCTACTATTGAAGATGAAGTACGAGTATTAAGTGCCGTACATCTGCACCACACACTTCCAAGTACAGCGAAGACTGAGCCCAAGCATGAAAATACACTTATCTTCTAGCCGCTTCTTATCCGCGTACGGCATTTCAGGCAAAATTGACTAGTGTGATACTCGTATTGAATATCTCGACACAGAACAGAGAAAGCATGTCATCGAAACGAACCATTCCACCAAGGCTAAATTCCATCGCAGCATGATATCAAAAACAGTCGACTGGATAACAAGAGCAATAGACGCCATGCCCTAACCAACTTGAACGAGATCCTCGGAAATGAAATGGGGAAAAAGAGGGCCAGACGATCAGGAAGCCAGGGTGGTTATCCCAATAGGCTTGCCTATATACCACTGCGCAAGTATTTTGAAAGCATTGTGGTTACCGTGACTGAAATCATAGAGCTTGGTCGGGCGTAGGACCATTTTGCCATCCCGGAAGAACGCTTCCATCACTCGGGCTTGGAATCCCATGAGAGATATTATGAACACCTGTAAGATATGTTAGTGTCGGAGAGAGATAATCGATCGGTGACAAAAATGGCGCGGTTACCGGTGTGACCATTTGATGGATAAATTTTTGCCTCCGAAGCTGTGTCAGCATAATCCGGAGGATAGATATCAACTCGCCATAGAGAATTGTGGAATCTGTAGCGACCATGTTGTTGTACATGACCGCCTTGATATGCGGGTAGGCAGGGTCGTTCAGCTCTGCGATATGATAGCAACCGAACTCGGGCTGGTCGTGTTTATACAAGCCGGAGTTTTCGAATGCGGAATCTCCAACACTACAAGAGTCTCAGTGAATAGCAGCCTTAAGTTATATGGTAAATTGCTTACCATCTTGAAATCCACGGCACCCTCTCCTCTTTGGCATTTAGATCGTAGTAGGAAATGTAAGACGAAAGGTGTATGTTCATCACGTAGGCGCGATCGGCGGGACGGGTTAAAGAACGTTCTGTTTCATCATCGAGACCATTATAGGCTCCCCCAACATCATCGATTTTGGGTTCTGGAACGCAATGATCTGGATAAGACGCGAAGTAAGCTGGTTTGTGTGCCGATGTCGCGTCTGGTGTTAGAGGATCAATATGAATATTGAGACTTTCTAGTTGCTGCAGTTCGAATTTGTCAAGTGGAAGGCCATTAATTTCCCGTGCCAAGTCTGTCAACGTCGAACGCACCTGGCGATGGGCATGAGATTCTACAACGTGTGGCATAGCGATGAAAACTGAGCAGTACTTTATCAAGAGAACTTGATACAATTGACGGGGATGGAGGGGACACGACATGACGGCACCTATTGATTGGTTACCAGATAACTACCAATCAGAGAACAAGAAGACGTTAAGCGCCGTGGATTACCCCCACCAGAGCCACCCACCAAGGGATCGATATCTATAACCCATCAACATAGGTAGTGGACTATGCTCAAACGTTTATTTAACTATTTTTATCGGTTCAGCACACCCATGAAATGTCTGTAGCGTGTGATCTTAAAAATGGGATTCTAATCGTCGTAATTCGGTACTCAAATTACATTGGGCGCGACACACATGCGCTACCGGGGCTTAGTATGCTGGCGATATCACTCCGTGCAGCCGATAGCAGAAAGCAAATATTAATCAGATCAAGTGCATATGCTACTGGCTCTGGCAGTGACACTTGACAGTACGTATGATACATTAGCCATTGTCATCCTCTCTGAATTTCGTAAGTATTGAAGAAGGATCTAGTCTGGCTGCGGACACCAACTGACTCACATGGGTTCCAATATGTCCAAGTTCATGCCGTGGGATCGAACAGGCCTCTTCAACGACCAGTCACAGTTAATTTGGACATAAGTATAGCCATCATCAACTGACTGGAAGCTCATGGAAAAAAAGAGTTTCACTACACGTAGCACTGTTCAGAAGGTTTTAGACTGCTGTTTGAAGAACCAGCGTTATGGTGTTCGTAGACCTAGACTGCTACGTTACCCAAAATGGCAGCCACGAGCATTGCTGTCAGTCACGGGGGCCCATCTCTGCTGAGGACGAAATTTGTCCCTCTCTTTCATTCTTTCAAAGGCTGACTACCGGCATGACGCGAATGTGAATCAATAGTGGAAAGAAGAATGCTCATGGACGAAAACAAACAAAAAAGGCATTGACGCGCACAACAGTCCTTTCAGTTCTCCTGAAAGGCCAGCCTTGCAGTACTGGCTGCCTCCCATATTAGGTGCCCTCTCCCTTGTGGAGCCCCATTACTGAAACACCGAGACTGACGAACCTTGGACTTTTGCAGCAGGATCAAGATGCCGAACGAAAAATTATCAGTATCGGGTGTAGAGACCTTAACCTGTCCCGATGCTGCAAAGGTTACCAATGCGAGCAGCTACGATGAAGCGGAGGAGCTATTACTTCTACACATGGCAGACAATCATGAGCCTGTCTCTCCGAAGCTCAAGGTGATCATGGCGTTAGAGGAAGGCAGAGACACGTCCAGCATAGGAAAACAGAGACAAGTGTCTCCATTACTTATGGAACGTCCTAAAAGTTCGGGGATTGACATGACAGCTTTCTGCTTCGGAAGGCCCACCCAGGGTCCAAATTCTTTCTCCCTTCAGCCAGCAAGGCGCTCTCCATTGGGCACCACGACTCAAAAAACCGATGCTCCTCTCGATCGTGGAACGAACCAACGTTTGGACCAACAGGATAAACAACGCCAGCAAGTGTAAGTGAAGCAGATAGGGTTTGGAGCTATGCTAATGCTCGTCGGGATACGCAGTTCTTCGTATCCAGAGAATGCCGAGTCTGGCACTGGCAATCAGAGGGCGGCATTGCAGAATCAGCTACCAGAAATGCAAAACCCACATTCTACCTCTCCAGATACGGGAAACGCGACAGTGGATGGTGTACAAAGCTTACATGCTTCACATTCTAAGGCCAGACCTGTGCCACAAGATGATCAACTGTCCTTAGCCAACCCCCGAATGATGCCCCCTGAGAACGCAGCACTGCGTATGTGACCCAAGACCGAAGCACCTACGGATACTGATATAGCAATCTAGCTAAGAAGACAATTAATTTGTCGAAAGAGAAGGTAGGCTACTCACTGCTCACCATTTTCACCCAATCATGCCAATCGAAAACAGATAGCCGGCCTTAAGGAAGGTGCCAAGCGCTTGGCCACGACTCGTCCTCTTAAATCCCTACCTGTTCCCAATCATCGTAGCGAACAGAGCAAGGCGCATGACCAACATGTATTGGCACGTATTAACAATAAAGCCAAAGTCGGAAAACGCCAGGGTTCAAACCGAAGTCAGGGCCCCAACACGAAGAAGCCATCTATTATGGGATCTGAAAACGGAGGATCTAGGTTGTCGGAGGAAGAATTATTCCACTTGTTAATTGATCGTATCAGGGATCGTGAGGAAACTGCAATTGCTGCTTTTCATCTCCGAGAGCAGATGGAGGCAGAAGCTATGAAGGTTGCAGAAGAGAATCATACACTGAAAAGCCAGCTGGCACTGTCCAACAAGCAAGTTCAGAAACAAGCATCTGAGTTAAAAGTCTGCGAGTCACGGCTCGGAGTATGGAGATCGAAGATCACGAAGTTTAAGGGCTTCCTGAACGAACTTGGCTGCGACTTTCAGAATCTTCGCGGCGAAGCCATTCAACTGAAAGCAACAAGGAAGGAGTTGTTTAACGAGCGGGATGAGATAACCACTAGCATCAACGAGGCAAGAGCCCATTTAGCCGAGGCTTCAACCAGTGTTGATAAAAGGCGAGATCAACTGCTGAAGGTGGAGGGCCAACTTAATTTGCTCAAACAGGATTTGAAAAATGCGCAGGACAGAGCCAATTATCTTCTAAGTCAACTCTCCGATGAGAAGAAAAGGTCCAAGCTTCTTGAAATGTATATCCAAGATTGCTCTCGGACCCAGACAACAAGGATGGGGCAGATCATGTCGCACCAACATGAAATGATGAAGAATCTCGACACGGCTTTCAAAACGTTGGGGCACCAGCACGATGCTTCCCTCAAGATCATTCAGGAAAATCTACATCCTGATGTCAATGAGTGTCTGGCTTCGCTTCGAAAAATGTCAGAGATGTTCTCAAGTGACGAGAAGGATGCACAAGTCTGCAAAGATCTTATCCAAAGTTTCGCATCTCGGTAAGCCCTGGGTCATCTGTAGCCCGACTTGACCATTATCAGAAACTAACAGTACATTAGTATGGACTCAATGATGCTGCAGATAAATGCAGATGTTGGTAAAGGGGCCGAGGCAAATGCAAGTCTGACTCAAACTCTGAAAGAGCAGGTCACAGTCATCGAGAAGCAGATTGCTAGCGACCTCGACTTGTCCAAAAAGCTTTCTGTAAATTCGGATAATTATGGAAGCCTGCTGAAAGCTCTCGACCCATTCACCACGACCACTGATAAGATTGCTTGCTCGGTGCAGGGATTAGAGGCCAAGGACATCGGGCTGGCTGACCAAATGAATGCCCTAAGAATTAGCCTAGCAGAACTACAGATTCCCCAGCCGATTAACATGGCAAAAGAAGAGGCCTGTCGTTACGAGATGATAGTTGCCGAAATGAGAGACAAGATGGAGCATATGTCGGAAGATCTCAAGGTGGCTCAAGAAGCACTTAAAGCGAAGGAGCTTGAGACGGAAGCGATAAGAATATCCCTATCAGAGTCATCATCGAAGGCCAACGATGCTGAGTCCCGCGCTCGTGCATTCGAACTGGAAGCGGCTGCATTGAGGGATGAAGTCAAGTCTGTCGAGTCAAGGGTCCGTGAGGAGCTCAATCGAGCGAGTGTTGTCTCCCGAGAACAAGGCCGAGCGAGATACGACCAACAACTTCATGAGCTTTTGCGTGAGAAGGTCGAAGTTGAGAGGAATATGGAGAGGATCTTAACGCAGCTGGCTGAGGCTCGACTAACGCTGGTAAGAGACTAGGCACGGCTTGAAAGTAAAAACATTCTAATGACGAGCAGGTGGAGAGCGAAGACAAAGCGAAGGAGCGTGAGGATGAGATGCAGCTCATTGTATGCGGCCATGAATGAAGTCCGGTCACCAAGTCAGTGCTAACCATCATAGCTCACATCTAAAGAAAAGGAGAATGAGGAACTCAAATGCCGCGCTTCAGAGAGTGCAGCTAAACTAGAAGACCGGAATATGGAATTAGCAAGACTTACGGAGTTGCAGTCCCTCGGCGAAACTCAGCTGGCCACGCTCCACCATGAAATCGAAAAAGCCACTAGTCGTATAACAATCCTCGAAAAAGAACGCACCGAAATTTGTAATGAGAGCCACAAATTAACGGAGCATCTTCAAGCGAAGCATGATGTACTTCACGCTGAATTTCAGGAAAAGGAAGCAGAATGTGCCCTTATCCAGACTCAACTTACAGCTACGATGTCAGAAAAGTCCGATCTCGAATGCAGGCAACAGAAAAGCAAGGAAGAGATGGAGGCATTAACGAAAAGGGTCCAAGAATCGGAGCACGGGATGAAAAAGGTTAGGGATATACTCAGTCAAGTGGGTATATCTACGCCTGGAAAGACTTTCACAGAGGTATGTAGCATCTTGGAGACTACTCTGCGCACGGCCCAGAATAAGACCACCGACCCTCAATCGAATTCTCCGGGAGGAAAGGAAGGCATCAGTTGTTCGAACCTCGGGACTTCGACACCGCAAAAGAACAATATGAGCCTAGGACAAGAATTGTACAAGGCCACAGAAGTGATTTACAGAGCGCAGAGTATCCAAGCAAGCATAATATCCTCTCCTTTCCCGCGAGAGAACAGCACAGCAAACCAACAGCATCTCTGCTCGGCGCAGAACCCCAATATTGTACCATTCTCGAGCATTCGCCACCAGTCTTCTCCGATGGATAGCTCAGTGTTTGGAAATGATCAGGATGAGCTTGCAGCTATGTTGTTGATCACGCCTGAGAAAAAGGTGATCACAGAATGTGATAACACCAGCAAATCGGATGAGACCCAAGCGACAAAACGGGCGGTGGATATGGAACAACAGGAAAAGATATCACAGATGCATGCTCCTGGAATGGCAGCTGATGAAGCTGCCGTCACAGTCAAAGCCCCAGTGCCACATCCGAGTTCCGAATCACAGGAAAAGGGTAAGCAGATGCCTGACAGTAAAGGCGACATCAAAGCGAACACAACGAAGGCCAAATCAGTCACTTTTGAGACACAAAGTCCAACATCTGCGGGCTTGAAACGAAAGCTACCAGAGGCCAAGAACAATGACGCTCCGAGCAGCGTGCAGAGTATGTCGCTAATCGAGGACAGACCGGCACGTGTCAACCGGCGAACATATTCCCGCGCTCGACATTCAATGTCAAGAGGCGCAGCAAAAGCTACGGATCAAGCCGCTCGTCCCTCTGCAGGTGGGATAGCGGACAGAGACAGTCATGCCACCACCCGCGCCAATGCAAACAAACGAACAAGAGCCTCGATAGATCCTCCTGCTCAGAAACCGCAGACGAAGCCGGTGACTGAGTACTTTGAGCGCAAATCGAGCCCCACGAAGCTTGCTTCTGGAAGCAGCCGAACTCCTTCGATGAATGCAAGCCAGAGCAATAACCAAAAGTGGCCTGCTCGTAGTGGAAGAGGTTCACGAAGGACGAGAGGTGAGCAACCCATACAACACGTGGATTGACGCTAAATCCGATAGGGGATCATTACAACGCGCGCTTCAACCGTGGAACGTAAACTGCTGTCGGCGGATGACATAAGTGTAATGGTGGTAGGATGCCCGTGGGACAGTTTCTCCTCATTTCGTTCATTTGACCGTATTTGTATCCTTGTTCTCTTATAGTTGAAAAATGTGCGCCGGGATGGTATCTCCTATGTCAGTCCCACAATGTCCCGTTCACACCACCAACCGAACACAGAACCAGAAGTATATAATATAACGAAGATTGATTCAACCCAATTGTACTGCTCTAAACGCCAGAATACAACACCGAAATAGATACACAGCCCGGATCTCCCTCAGAAGCTGCCTGCCAGCATCTCACAAGTATCCAAGCCAATGCACCGTCTAATGTACATGATCGTTTCATATCGAAAAATAAGCCGCGCCGGGATGTGTTCGAATCAAGTCGGCGATACCTCGCGCTATCGGTGTCGATGTCGATATTGAATTGTCGAAAACAACAACAAAAATAGGCGTAGGCGTAGTGTAGCGCAGCGCATGCATCATCCTATCCCAGAGTGTCGCGAACCGCACCTCAAATGCCCCTATTCGTTGCGCACGCAAACTTGCAAACCCCCGAAGGCGCCCCAAGCCAAAAGTGCTAACAAATCACCGATTGCGTCCACCCTTCGTCGCCTCCAAAAACAGCACCTTCTTCTTCACCACGGGGTCGTACTTGAGCATGCTGAGTGGACGGTGGGTACGGGGTCTGATCATCGTGCGGAAATATCCGGTCATGGCCATGGAGATGAGGCGCACGGAGATGGTACGGGACTTGACTGTTGTCATTCAAGGAGGGTGTTGTTAGTTAATTGGTTAAGGTATTTATTTCCCGTTTCCGCCGGGGGGAAGAATTTGGGATGTCCGATGGGGGCCGGGTGTAGTGCGCAGAGGGAGGGGAGGAAAAAGAAAAAAGGGAAGGGCGTAAACTCACCTTTCTTGGCCATTTTGGGGGCTCGATCGGAGGGATTGAGGTTAAGAGGGGGGTTGGATAGCCTGGGTTCGTTGAAGGTGCGGAGCGGAGGTGCGGCGGAGAAGTTTGGAGGAGAGATTGGCACGTGATGGGTTAGGGACGGATTGGGTTAGTTGCGGGTGGGAAAGCTATATGGTCAGGTGATGCGCACGTGATGAAGGTTAAGTTGACGGTTGGTTTTGTTTATTGTTCCTACGACTTAATCAACGGTATCGGTTGTTCTATACTACTGTGTCCGGCTGAGAGTGTAGTATGGGTGACACTCTGCGTTAGGGGCTATCTGGGTTCTACGGCTCAGATCCTACTTTTCACTTTCTAGCTACAAGGGCCTGATTCTTGGAAGATCTCGAGGCGACTATGTGCTCAGAAGATAAGTCTGTGCTTGATTCATCCTGTGGGCTTTCCGGGAGCCCTCGTGCTAACATCCCCAGGATGTGGAGACTCGGGGATGGTATATGCGGAATTATTTGAGTTCTCTGGTGCAAAAATCGATGCATGGAGATCATTTGTTTCATTTTATCGCAAAAAGATGACTAGGAGAACACAAGCATTACTCTAATCAACTAGACTTTCAACGTCGATCTACTGTCCCAATCTTGGTTGCCATCTAAAAGATCACGTAACTACACACAAAGTCTCAGGTATCGCTCTGTCCACGAGAGATGCGCACTGATCGAATCTAATTTACCTTCAGGGTCGAAGAGATCAAATCTCAGTCCTTATGGGCGTGTTTCGGGCACTCTATCAATCAAATCACTTGCATCGGCAGGTCCTCAAGATCGGTTCTCAGAGCGGATAGCTTGAGGTGATGAATGCATTGTCATCGTCAAGGGTTTAAAACTCTTCTGCTGGATAAAATGACGATTAGAGCTACTCTTCACCTTATCCAAGGTGAAAGTCTCTCCATAAACGCGGACCCTGCTGTCATAAGGTGAGACTTGGCTCCCATCTTCCATGACGCACAAGGTCCAAAAGATGAGGCCATGCCACTGACTGCTTACAATCAGCGTGTGGGTAGGGTTCTCAATGAAGACTTGCCCGCTGTGCTCAACGGCACGAGCTAGTCCTAGGTGACTCGCCATCATAGGCAGGTCAATTTCCAAACCCGTATGAAGCACAGGGAATGGCCTTTTCCGGCTCAGGAACCCCTTGACCAGCACGGTATGCGGGAACAGCCGATACCACGCCGATGCGTTTCCACTCCTGACAGGAGTGGCGGAGAAGCCAATACGACATTGAAATGCGGGAAGCGCTCCGGCAAATACAACTGGGTTTTCCACCGGGCCATACTCCTTAATAATAGGATCAATGGCCGCGACCATAGCCCCAGGTGGCGATGAGCGAAACGCAGCAGCGAGCCAAACCAGCATCTCTCCGACCTGCATGATGCGTTCTGGGGTCCCTGTGACCTCAAGATGGAATCCAGGCTCCGCGACCCATCCGGTCATGAAGGGCCTGTCTTCGAGCACGCGTCGTACTAGAAAACAAAAATTAGTGTTTACTATACATTGAAATGCCGGTTACCTACCAGGCCTGAACCTGCTACCAGCAGAACTATCATCGATGATCTGTTCCAGGATGTTGAGCAACGCCGGGCCAGATTTTGGCCACTGCTCGGCCAGGTATTTCTCGGCTGTCACAGCCGTGGCTTCCTGTTCTTCTCCAGTGATGGTAATGAATTCTCCCAGTGACTGCTCCCGGTCTCCTGGGTATCTTCGTAGTCGGGTGAATGTTAATAGATCCCACTCCAAAAGGTACGTCATCCTGGAGATTGGTCGTTGGTCGGGAAACAAGGACCCGATCTTGTCCGTGGGGCGAGGATGTCCACTCTGGAAGGCACTCATGATGAATTTTATTTGGCAATTTGTTACAGGTGATCGCTATGAAGAGATTTGAGAGAGTCACCGGCTTGATCTTTGCATCGCAAGTTTGATTGAGGATGGTACCGCCTGTTTCTTACTCAGATCTGGATCTGGATTCCAAGTACCTTGACCCAATTACAGTGGGAGGCAAATGACTATTATAGAACATTTTACCCTGAAGTATGATCATACCATAGTGGCACTATTCATCGTTTTCACAGGCAGGCCCAGAAACCACCTTATGACGGAACTTCTAGGTTGGCATAATGTCATTGTCCTCGCTGGCTCGATAGTGGTACACTTGAGAATGAGGATAGTATCCTGCCAGGAAGTACCTGGGAAGATGTCTACAGAGACCAAGGAGATGTCCCACTCTTAGTGAGCTACACGGGTATTAAAGGTCTCTAGAGCCCAGGACACAGCTCTTCTTTCTCTCTTCAGCCAGGAGCATTCTTCATGGATAGCCTCAATACGGTGCTACTCATCACTGAATCTTCTATACTCGATATCATTTATATATGCAACAAGCATGAGCAAAATCGGTATATAAATCAACCATTTCCCCCGCAAGAAAGCACCATGGCATAGTGACTTCACGGCCGGAGTATAAAAGCCTACGAAGATCAATATCGACTACGCGGCTTCGTCTATAATCCAAGGAAAGAAACCATGCACAAACTGTCCCAAATGCACGGGCTTTGAAACTCCCATAACATCTCGCCTCGCCTCAAGTCCAACATCACTGTGGTCTTGATGCCTCAGGGCACCAAGTCATCAAACTAAAGATGCAGTAACTCGAGACTGCATCGATAGTCAAGTACATATTCCATGCTTGAAAAGGAAGAAGTGGGTCCCTTGAGAGCCAAAAAATGTTGCTTACTCCAGGGATATGATTATCTGGACTTGCAGAAGAGCGATGAGTGATATGATCTGTGGCAGTGACGGCTCTTGCTCCTACTAAGCCTTTTCCTTTGCGTATACCTGGGCATCGGAGCTTAGGAGGACTTTGTGCGGGGGGCCAGGCTTAATTTTGAATGACATTCTTAAGATCAAGAGACAGCTATCCTATCAGAGCGACGGATAACCTTATATTGCTTTCGAGGACGTGTTCACGTGTGTTTGCATGTCCCTTGGTGCCATGTATGTATTTTGGGATGCTTTTTGCACGATGATATAAGCTGCATATAAATCTTCATTCTTGGAAAACTCACAGAATGAATAGAATCAGTGCTAAGCTTCAACATTTTATCTAAGTCATTCAGAGCTCACACACAGGGACGACGGGGGTTCGATTGGAGCTGGACTATGTCGCGGAATAAGACATTTCGTTCCTACGATGCGATTGCTGGGGTTGACTGGGCGGACATATGCTGGATGTCGGCAACCTGTTTCCTACTGATGCTATGGATTGCAGTTTTGAAGAGTAGTACTGCTTAAGATGGAGGATTAATCGACGAGTTCTCAATGCTTGTTCATGCTGTTTCTTTCCCAACATTATCTCATTTGGTACACTAAGACATAAGGATATGGCTTATATTTCGCATTTGTCTGAGGCATATACCCAGGACCTTCCAAGATACAATCACATCCAGTCTTAGTTCCAGGTCAGGTGGGATCTATGTAGTCCTTAGATGTATCCCCCAAAGCCGATCGACCAGCCAATGCACAGGAAACTTCAACGGTGAGATACTCTGCGGCAGATAAAAATACCAGTCATTCTCATCGACCAGGCTGAGAGTACGAGTTAACACAGTACACTCGTAGTAAAAGGGATAGAAACCGCTATCCTCCCAGTCAATGATCCCAGTAATCACATATTGGACGCCGCGACTGGGATCCTGTTTCACCATGATGTTGGCAGTCCTGACATCGCCATGAGTGAACACAGATCCATTCGCTAAGAGCGAAGGATCATGTTCTAGGAAAGAGCGGAGAAGCCTGACATAAGTATTACTGCCATGATGACGAGCAGAAAATTGCAGGTCATTGAACCCTTTCGTTGTGGTAATATCTTTGAACGTGGCCCAATCATCAACACGAAGCTCTTTGACCCCCTCTCCACAGACCCCACCAAGCATATCACCGTCCTTCGGTCGAATTGCTCTTAAACGAGAGAAAATCTCATCCAACTGGCGTTGTATCGAGAGTTTTTCTTCGTGTACCAGGCTAGGTCATGCGTGAGCCAGAGTTGTGCCCGGAATGTAGGACATGAAGATGACGCGAAAGGGACCAAAGTCTAGTATTCCATGAGGTCTCGGAGCAGGAATGTCGGGCGCCTGCTTGATGAGAAACTGCATGCTCGTGTATTCTGTGTAATACCCGTTTCCTGTCACGACTTTCAATGTCTTCATCGCATTTGATCACCACGCCCCTTACAGGACTTTCCCAGAGTGTCGGTGAATCCCAAATCAGCTTCTTCAGGGCCAAGACAAGTGTTTTCTCATCACTGATTGACGACTTCCCTGGTCCTGAGCACTGTTCAAGCAAAGCGATCACTTTCTCAGACAAGGGATAGACAATTGTAGCAGTTTTCGCAAGAACCAGGCGTGTCCTGAACTCAGGCGCCTTGGGCTGGTCTTTCTGTTTTCCATTCAAGACAACCTTTGGTCCAGTTGCCATGTTGATTCTGCGAGAATAGTTCTTCGGAAATACTGATAGCAGATTGACTTCTGGTTCGTTTGTCAGAGCATCATGGAGCTCGTTCAATAGCCGGAAATTGATCTCCGCGGCGTATGACAGTTGGTTGTAGTGAGCGATTCGATGTTCATGGATATAGGAGTCAGAGAACATTGACATCAGGTCTACTGCTGGATCCTTCTCTAACGCGGCCTGAAATTCGAGCATAAGTTCTTTGTTCACTAGAATAGATGGCAGTGTGGTTGAAAGCAGCTTAGATCTAAACTTCTGCTATAGGAATAAGGACGGAAAACTCAGATTTTGTCATGAGTTAGTCTTTACCGAATATTACGATTATAAAACTAATGATATACAGTGGATATATGGCAAGATTTTGTCCATCCTGCAAGATGTATGGATCTTGGTTATCATGCGGTTGTATGACTGATAAAGGAGGCCTTAGCTTTCCATCCATTAATTTGGGTAAGAAATCAACAAAATCATATATGATTACATTAGCTAAAGATATTTTTCAGATGTGGATATCTCAAACCTGGATGGCAAGCTGGCATGCTAGAACTATTACTTTGTATTTTGTCAATGCCTAATATCAAGCCTCGGTGTGAATTGCGTCAAAACAATCTGAATTCAACAGGAATAAAACCGATGACTTGGTCATTAGGCTGAACGGAATCCATAAGTACACTCAATCCTTGCACACTTATCTTTTTCGATCATATAATCAAGCAAGTCTTCGATGCAATCATGCTCATAACCAAGGATATCAGATATGTAGTTATTCAACTCAACACTCAAAGCCTTCATGTCGTACAATGTGTTCGACAGCTCATACTTAGACATAATTTGGAAGATAACTTTCAGGATCTCTTGACGGCTGTAGTGGGCAAATATTCTAATAAGAAATTGACGGGATCGAGAGCAACTGACTGCGCCAAATTAGACGATTGTTCGAATTGGTCTTCACATGGGTCGGGTTCCAATAAATGGAATGAGCGGTTGTTTGTTAGACTTCCCCAATATGAATCCCGCCTCCCCTCAGCTATAGGGCTTTCTTGAATCTGCGCTTGCACGCTAGGCCGAAGAGCCTGAACCAACTGGTGGTTTTCCTGTGCCTGTGTGGCTGCTGACAGAGAAGCATAGTTGCCAGCGGGAAAAAAACTAAATTTAATCCATCCTGCTGGATGCACGCTGGCCATGAAGAGAATATGCATAACCTTCATCGTGAGGTTGGCCCACAGAGATAGCCTGTGCAACATTCCGTTTAGTAGAATAGCAGGGGAAGGTACCAGAAGGCGACGACTGTACTGCTTGTGGATCATATTCCTCGTTGAAATGAACAAATAGTTGAACGTGTTGCTGGATACAAGTTTACCCCGCTTCGCTCGGTAGATAGAAAAGAAGAGACCAACTCGGAGGTAGGAAGAAGGTAACCGAAACCCAAAAAAAAGCATAACCAGAATGACAAACAGGAGGAGACATGATTCAGCTCGTTATTCCAAGCCCTGCAGCACACCGATGATGCCTCAGTAAACCAATCTACTATTGTAAGTATCCATCTAGTCAGATGAAGATGCTTCAGCCTTCTGCACCTCATCCTCAGCGTAGAGCGTGAGTGCAAGCAGAATCGGGCCCAGCTTCTTCATGTCCCCGACATGGTTAGTGTTCCAAGGGCCATATTGATGCATGGTTAAGAATGACGGGTGTTCGTTATTGGCCGGCTTTTTTCGGAGATAAGACACATAGCCCTTGTCGTACTCTGCAATGGTGATGAAAACCTCATGCCGATTTTGGGAAACGTGAACTCGCCTTGAGGCCTATCAGTTGGGAAGTCAAATAAAGGGAATAGAAGGATAAAACCAACAGCTTTTCCAAATGAGCATCAATATCAATTTTGATCCAGCTGGCCATCTGTGAACCCTCTTGCATTTGGATCCGGCTTTGGTTAGTGAGCGCTCTGATAATAGGTTTAACCTCAATCAGAGCATAAGGATTTCCCTTGCCGTCATCAAGATATCCATCAGTCCGGGATTCGAATTTGGCTTCCTCAAATTGGGGAACAAAGGCTTTTCTGTGCAGTGTCCAGTCACAACGCTCGATCAAGGGGAAATGAATCGTCAGAGCGTTCAGAAACACGACAAGAGCAGTGTTGACAATTTGCTCATCCTTGGTAGGGGGGAACATCAGCCTCTGGAGTTCTTCAGGAACCTGGGCAGCTGGTGTCGGGGGTAGAGGCATCGGGTCTGCCACAACAGAATCATCATCAGACGAATCCTCACTATCTGGCGTTTGGAACGCTGGAGTGGGGATTTTGGATGGTGTCTTGTCAACTTGGAGATTTCTGAATTCTTCCTCCAGGTTTCTTCTAGTGTGGCTGCGGGTGCGCTTGGCAACTGGAGTATCAAAGCTGTCCGGTCGCATACGCTTCCCATTGTTAGCCGCTTTGACTTGATAATGCCGTGCAATTGCAAAGCTGCCCTCTGGATTGTCTCCGGTTTCGATGCTATTACAATAGCTCGCCCAGGATTGAGATCTAGCGAGAAGTGCTGTGGCCTGGGTATAATATGGCTCCAAAACTGATGGCAAGCGAGACAGTCGATTTCCAAGATGTGGTTTCCAGAGGACTCGCAGCAGCAAAAATTGCCTGAAGTCCAATTTGGAGGCCGACGCAAGCTCAGCCGTATGCACTGTCTTGCCAACAAGATCGTGCGCCTTGACTGCATCCTGCCAGGTACTGTAATCGACTGGGAATTTGGAAGGTACATCGGCCATCTTGGAAAATCTGAATCCCACTCGTTTCTGAATTAATGAGCAATAATGAAGATTAGGGTGTATAGTTCCGCAAGCGTGAAAGTTGGCATAGGAAGAAGAGTCCAATGCCGGATGGATAGCTGACGCCTTTTGTGGAAGAATCCACTCGCGGGAGACTTGGGTACATGGAGAATATAAAGGCAGAATCCAGTCTACCTAGCTAAAGGCGCAGGAGGGAATGGGGCTAGGCGTATTAGAAGAGGCCTTAGCTGTCACTCGGAGTTTCGCTCATGCAGGCCTTGCGCCCAGTGCGCACATCCTCGGGATGTTCCAGCAATCAACCATCTTGAGAAAGCGCCAGGTCGGCTTGGGTGGGGAAACAGAGATCCTTTCATCTTTATGACCTGCGCACGGATACCTTTAAGACTGGCGGAAAATACGCCACTTTTAAAGAACATCTCCGGGGAAAATGGGGTAGTCTTGACCGGCGTCGCCCAGCAACAAATGACCGTCACCGCCCTGGACGCCGGCGGCAAAACAAACCCATCCGCTTAAAGAATGGATCTCTCCCTTTGCCAACATATCGGTGATTCTTCTTTTCCATCTCCTTCGCCCACGAAGTTCATCATGTCTATCCCTCCTGAATGTCCCAAGCGTAAGGAAATGCGCAAGTCCTTGCGCAGCCTTGAAAGGCGCATCACAGGGCTTAAACCCGACCATCAAATTGGAATAATTTCAGCCGAGATCGATCAAATTCGGTTCCTGCCCTTGACCTTGAATGAAAGCTCAAACGATAGACCCTTTTTTTTCACCCCTTTGGACGGGTCTCTCCTGTTGACTCCTGACGGCAAATATGACCAGGAGTACGGCATGGAATACGATACCTATGATTCAATTCCAGAAGAATGCAGAGATCCAATGACTTGCGCGCGAGCAATCGAACTTTACTGGTCTACATATATCTCCCGCTATTCCTTCCGCGTCAGATCCTCGGGCGGCGAAGTCGTATGGTCTCCGGTCAGGTACGAAAATATACCCTTTTGCCTGCTTTCCCCATGACCCTGACGTCGTCATAGAATGCACAATGTGTATAAGGAAAGCGATCTCTATCGGCTCGACTACCCAGAGTTTGGAATCCACGATATCGAACAGGTTACAGAAGGGCCCTATGCACATCTCAAGACTACTATATGTAACAATCTAAACTCCAATGATGACCACGTTCTTCAAGGAGAACTGCTTCCCATTTTACGTCTGATGTTAGCCCACCTGAGAAGGGCCCGGTTCATCGACCATATGGTTGTGCCGGTAAGTAGACCTCCGTTCCTCTCCTCTTACATTCAATAATAAAACCTCACGTCTGATCTGCGGCCCAGATTATGGCGTTTTCCTTTATGGGACCTCAGCATGCTCGCATCATCGAAGCCTACATGGAAGGCCATACGGTTGTGGTGCGACCGACCAAACTGTACGATCTGCGCAATAAAGATGCGGCGGTCTTCAAGACGTTTGCCCGGTGGTATTTTGGAAAACCACGCGCCCCAACTGGGTCTTCTCAGTAGGTTGGCCGTTACATTTTTATGCACGTCTTGTCTTTCTCTGTTTGGTCTACGGCGCGCTGGAGGTGTCGGGAATTGGAACAAGCAGGGTCGGCCTCCTGTTTACGATTGTGATATGATTGACTGGGAGGATACCTGAGGCGGAGTTTTGGTTTTCGTTAAATACTGTCCTGCAAATAATTGTCTCAATGAATAATGCATTCTCTACGATACTCGAAATCTGCGGTCCATGGCGTATTTACATCGGAACTACGACTGACCAAAGAGGGACGCTTAAGCACGGGAAAATGCCTGCAAATCCGTATTGCCGCACTTCAATCATGGAAGGACCTGTCAAGGTGTTGTTTGGCCCCAGCCCCTTTGAGAAATACGTGGGTGCTGATGGAACGGCAGTATAGGTGGCAGTCCGGATGCCGGATTTGCCCAAAAAAGCCTTTTGCGTCGTCACGAGTCGAGTTGCCAGAGGTGATAAACGGAGAGGAAAAGTGTATTATACGAGAGCCAGATGCATTGTTTGGGCATACCAAGGCGCGATTTCCGGGCGTCGTTGTTGAAATTTGTTACTCTCAGAAACGCCGGGCCATCAGGGACCTAGTTGATGACTACATCCTATGTACTGACGGCAGCATCTATGCCTAGATATTGAGTATCGGAGGCCAAAAAAGGTAACTATATCTATCTGGCGTCCCGCATATCGCGTTGAAAATGGAGTTGAGGTGTTTGAAGCAACACCTGAAGTTGATGAAGAAGTATGTTTCCTGCCTTCAGAGGTTGCCACTTGCTTACCGAGCTAGGTTTTTCGAACGGACAATGGCCAGGTTTTGGATGCAACGCCACTACGGCTGAACTCGAAAGATTTTGCGCCAGCAGACCTTACTAATGACTACCCAGACCTGAATCGTCATGAAATTATGATATCCTTAAGACAACTTTGTGGTTTCCTTTCGCAGGCTGAGTCAAGACAAGAGACCCAAGAGCGGCATATCGGTTCTATCAACTATATCCGCCCTGGGGCTCGGAAGCGTCGCCGCACAGTAACTCCGGACTCGGATTCACAATCTGAGCAGGAAGGGCTAAAGTGGACGTTGATTGGTAGCAGACGCCAAAAGAGAGATCGGATATCGATGTTCGTTGGAAACATTCAAGGATGGGTAGTAGTATCCAAGAATAGATTTAGGTTATGATTGTACCTACGATCCGGTATATATCTCTTGGAAACCTTGAATCATCTCAATTCTTCATTGTGTCTTGATTATTTATCGATATTTATAGCTTGATTCTAGCCTCGGTATCAGTCAGGATGCAACCATTTATGACCGGGGCAACAGTCATTTTCACCACCATTTCACCAGTCCATACTCTGTATCCTAATTGTAAATAAGCATAAATAATTAAAAACTACTCCTGTACTAATGCCAGCTGGATCCACTCTGGTGGAGCTATGTCTGAGCCAATAAGGCTACAGCTCTGGCTAGTGCTTATGTTTCGGCCGGAGTGTCACGACGGACGAACTAAAGCATGTCAACTGCTCCAACTCAGCCTCACAAAAGAAAATCCTTCCCCCTTTCCTCTTCCCCACCACTCTTCTCATCGTGTAGCTCTGTCTGCACGTCCTACGCGTGTTCCGTCTTCTGTCAGAGACATGGAACATTGTGATCCTTTCAATTGGCTTTCGTGATCAACAATTCCCGGTCAACAGCTTGCACCATGGCCTCGGTGACGGCAGGCTCAAAGCCGGGCTGCGTGCAGCACCAAGTGACCAACGTACTGCGTGCCGTGGTCGGCCAAGCTTGTCAACACCCCATCTATACCCTGATTGTGGCGAGCTTTCTGGCTGCAACTGCCTATATCAATATGTTGGAAGCGAGTTTTCTGGCAGTCAGCGTAGGCCCCGGATTGAAGACCGACGCAGCACATTTGAATGTCCAGCCATTTCTTTGGGGCAGCCGCAGTCTTCGTCTTGGGGAAACGAGCTCGTGGAAGTGGCATGTGGATGATACTCCGGAGGCGGTTGGCCATGGAGAAGTAGACTTTCCTGCTCCATGAGTCAATTCTTCAGTGCTAATGTACTTCGCTCTCGCTTTAGATTGAGCACCACTGGGCCCTCGTTACTCTTGGATTTCCCAATCCACCCACCGATAGCAGCCTCTCCTCTCTAGCATACATGTTGCCGGAGTCCGTCGGCGCAGAATCCATCACACAAACCTCCACCTGGTTTACATCGCTGTCCAATGAGCTCTTGCTTGCTTTCAAGGTTCCGTACTCGAAGCTCGGAAACTTTATACAGGTCGTCGAATCGGTTGCCGACGGTCAGGATACTATGTGGGCGATGAAGCGTTTCCACCGAGAAGACCGTCGCATTTCTCTTGGGCGCTGGCTGGGGAGATCGTGGATTTCATTCCTCCATCGGGCGAAGCATGCAGAGACGGTTGATTTGGTGATTATCGCGCTGGGATACCTCGCATTCAATATGACTGTTATCTCTCTTTTCCGAGCGATGCGTCACCTGGGCTCCCGCTTTTGGTTGGCGAGTTCAGTTCTGCTCTCTGGAGCCTTTGCATTCGTGCTCGGATTAGGTGTCACAACTGCCTGGGGAGTGACGGTGGATATGCTTCTGCTCACGGAAGGAATTCCTTTCCTGGGTCTGACCGTGGGTTTCGAGAAGCCCATCCGGTTCACTCGTAGCGTTCTTTGCGCGTCGAAGGAACTGGGTCGTAGGTCGCAGTCTTCCGCTGGTGACGATGACCGAAAGCGTCAGATGATTCCAAATGCCATGCAGGTGGCTATCGATGCAGAAGGGTGGTCGATCGTCCGATCTTATATCCTGGAAATCGGGGCTCTGGCCCTTGGCGCGGCGTCGAGCCCACGAGAGAGATTCGGACAGTTCTGTTTCCTGGCTGCATGGATGCTGCTCTTCGATGCAATCCTTCTGTTTACCTTCTATGCCACCATTCTCTGTGTTAAGCTTGAGATCACCCGCATCCAAAACCCTGGCATCCTTGACAAGGCCGATGAGCGACGGGGTCCTCGCATGTTTGGGTACAAGGTCAAGCCGGCGAACGTGTCCCGGTGGAAGTCCATGATGGTGGGAGGTTTCGTGCTGTTTAATGTTCTCCAGCTATCCTCCTTTGTCTATCGCATCATGGGCGGTTTCGTGACCAATGCTTCTTTGGCTCCTACCACCGTGAGTCCATTCAAAGTGGCCGCGAACGGGCTCAGCGATATCTATCTGGGTGCCCGCGCTGGCGGAGTCGAGACCCGAGTAACGGTACTGCCACCCATTCAATATGTAATGCAATCATCTAGAATCAGTCCCTCGTCCGCCAGTCAGCCTGTGTTCGACGGCGTTCTGGAGGGCTTAGAGAGCCCACTGGGTCGACTTTGTCTCATTGGTGCTTTAGTCGTCAGTCTGGTTCTCAATAAGCATCTGATCCATGCAGCCCGCTGGCATATCTCTGACGCACCAAAAGCCCCGTCTCTACCCGCTGACTCTTCTGCGTCTGTATCGGAGTCTCACTCTCGGAGCCCAGAGGAAGTCGAAGCCCTGCTCAAAGCTAATCGGACGGACTTGCTGACCGACGATGAGTTAGCTGAGCTATGTCTCCGAGGTAAGATCCCCGGATACAGCCTGGAGAAGACCCTAGAAAGCACGGCGACCACCCGACTAGAAGCGTTCACCAGGGCCGTTCGGGTCCGTCGTGCTGCCGTGTCACGGACGGCTTCCACTGTCGACCTCACCAGCGGCCTCAAGGATTCCCTTCTTCCGTATCGCAACTACAATTATGAGCTCGTACACGGCGCCTGCTGCGAAAACGTGATCGGATACCTGCCCTTGCCCCTGGGACTCGCAGGACCCATGGTGATTGATGGTCAGTCGTACTTCATTCCGATGGCAACGACAGAGGGTGTTCTGGTGGCCAGTGCCAGCCGCGGCTGCAAAGCTATCAACGCTGGGGGCGGTGCCGTGACGATGCTCAAAGGCGATGGCATGACCCGGGGCCCCTGCTTGGGCTTCCCCTCCGCCAAGCGTGCTGCAGAAGCTCAACGATGGGTTGAATCTCCGGCAGGTCGCGAGTTGCTGACTGAGACCTTCAACTCCACCAGCCGTTTCGCCCGCTTGCAAACTCTGACTGTGTCCCAAGCTGGAACTTATCTGTATATCCGCTTCCGCACTACGACCGGCGACGCGATGGGCATGAACATGATCTCCAAAGGCGTTGAAAAGGCGTTGCAGGCGATGACGGCCAACGGCTTCCCGGACATGAACACCATCACCTTGTCAGGCAACTTCTGTGCAGACAAGAAATCAGCGGCCGTCAACTGGATTGAGGGCCGGGGCAAGTCAGTGATTGCCGAGGCGACGATCCCGGCAGCCACGGTGCGCTCCGTACTGAAGACCGACGTGGATAGCTTGGTTGAGCTGAACACGGCCAAGAACCTGGTTGGCAGCGCCGTGGCCGGCAGTATGGGCGGGTTCAACGCCCATGCCTCCAACCTAGTCCAGGCCGTATTTTTGGCCACTGGCCAGGATCCGGCTCAAAATGTGGAAAGCAGCAGTTGCATCACGACAATGAAGAAGTAGGCCTATGCTCCCTACAATTGTTCTAGATGATGCTAATCGTGTCTAGTATCGATGGCAACCTACATATTGCCGTCTCCATGCCCTCGGTCGAAGTCGGCACCATTGGCGGTGGGACCATCCTCGAAGCCCAGGGAGCAATGTTGGATTTGCTTGGGGTTCGTGGCGCCCATGCCACTGATCCCGGCGCCAATGCTCGACAGTTGGCCCGGATTGTGGCCGCAGCTGTGCTGGCGGGCGAGCTGAGTACTTGCTCGGCCCTCGCTGCGGGCCACCTGGTTAATGCCCACATGCAGCATAATCGCAGTGCTGCGTCGGCAAAGAAATAAGGTCCCATCAATTACTCATTACGATGAACCACAGTCATGCCATAGTTCATCTTATAGTATGCAAATCTGCCGTCAGTGACATTACCTTGCTATGATCTGAGGTCGCGCGTATCTAGTGATAACTAACGACCCCCCCATAGTCTCGATGAGACCGGCTCCTTGCAACCTCATTTCCTGTAGAAGAAGATTGCCTATCCAACAAGAGACTTGTATAGTCCATTAGACTCCCCTCGAATTGAATTGATGGCGAAGATATGGCATAATATGATCCTATATGGTCACCTTGCGACGCCTGTATGAAAATGCCGCGGGGTATTTCCTCGTAGCTCCCTGACGTTTCCCATCACCAGACTGGCTATCTGAATTAGTTACTCGTGCAGTGACTCATTCACTGGGGGTGGGGGCTGGGCTTACATAGAGAAGATGTCACCTGAACACAAATTCTACCTCTCCACAAAATTGCTTTCCCGGCCCGCCTCACCTCACTCAACTTTCAACCATCCCTCTGCTTCGTCCAGCCTGGCTTTTAATCCAGCTTCTTACCAAACTCCTTCCATCCAGCTCTCACTTCCGCTTCACCGACGTTCAGTTTCCATCATGTCTTCGTACACATCATCAGACTTTTCACGCACCAGCGACCATGCTCTCAGCTACTCGTCCCCGGAAAGTGAACAGTCGCTTTTTGATGCCAATCCCGAGACCGACAAAGAAGGTTTTTTGAACTCGCTCCATCGTGCAGGCGGTCCATACCTTTGCTCTTTACCAGCAGTTTCGGCCATATTACGCAAAGATTCGCAAACCACCCCAAATAATCATGCTCTAATAGAGGATATTTATGTCCTACAGGATAACACGAGAAGAATACTAGAAGAAGAGGGACTTTCTTACAAGTCTGTTGCTCTTGTTGGCCGTCAGTCCAAGATAAGGCCAGAAAATAGCCCGATTCCCACTATTGTGATCGATTTAGAAAGGCAGCAAGACGACCTGAAAGACTGGCGAAAAGTCTCCAAGCTGATATATACGAATGTAGCTTCACGACATGAAGGGTTGTCCGTGGAGTTGATTGACCCAGCGATGGAGATTTTACCTTGTTGCTCGCCAATCCAAGCTTCCGATAACATTCGCTTGAAATGGCCATCCATCAGGGACCAGATTCTCGAGCAAATGAGCATATGGGAATGGACCGGGCTGTCTTTGTGGAGATACGGACGAAATCCAGACACTTCAAGAAATCCTGTCACCATCATCATCTGTGTTCGCCAAGATTCGACACGGACATTCCATACTGATCGGAGGAAGATTTGGGCGATCTGTGCGGAGCATGGAGAGAGGAACGTCTCAATCTTGTTTATGAAGGACAGTCTGCAGAGATTTTGTAGACAGGATTGCTGGAGTGTACCGCAGCTTCCACTAAAAGCTTGTGTCGCGACTGCGCTTCCAGGGGTAAGCCTTGGAATCCATCAGAGTACAGCGGGCTCCTCGACACTTGGGGGAGCGCTTGAGCTCCGATTTGCGGACCAGCCTGGGTGGCAGAAATACTACACCACATGTTTTCATTGCGTGTACCCCCCACCCCAACACCGTGAGACCCTCCTAGCCATCAACGGAGCTATGCAAGGTCAGCTATATCTTTCATATGTTCATGTGACAGCGTACTGATGCGATTGTTCTAGGCTTTGCACGGTGGGAGACCAATGCGCCGAGCTTTGACGATCATGTGCTCCCAGAGTTATTGCGTATAGATCATCCAAGCAACTCGGATCTGAGACAAGCCGTCGAGAGTGAGAAGGCCTCGTTTGAAGGTTTTAGAGATAGGCGATTCACAGAACTGGAATCTTGGGTCACGGCGCTTGAAGAAGGAGAAGATGCATTTATCACATCGAAAGAGAGGAAGTTCTACGAGAAGCAGCGTCAGAGACTTGATGTTGTGCAGAACCGCCTGACAACGTACGAGAGATTTCTCTCAAACAAAGTGAATATCTTAGGGAAGGTAGTAGCCGGCAGCGGCCAGTGGCGCGCTAAGGAGCGGCAGATCGACGGCGGCATCCAGCAAGGTCTGGGGATTATGGATTGGGCATTGATATCGGCTCTGGCTCCACGGATTGGATCAAACAAGGTGCGCATCACACTATTCCTTTCCCTACATTTTGCGATTACTCATGGGCCATACTGACTTTACTCCTCTATACAGCCCTTTCCTTACTCTGAAGGGGCCCAGGCCTACGATGTCGTATTTTTCTTCTCGAATTCCGACCGTCTCGAACCAGATATGCGTCTTTTTAAGTCTGGTCGATCCACCCAAAACACAGAGGGAAGGTATGCGGGCGTGATGCAAGCACGGATCCACCGAGAAACAAATACACAAGGCGAGCGGGTTCCAGTTGTCACCTATGAGCACGAAATAAGCGCCCTCTATGGAAAGATTTTTGCGGAGCCCGGTGACTCTGGGTCATGGATCTATACGCAGAATGGGGCTGTGGTGGGAATGTTGATTGGAGGCAGCGAACGGATGAATACATTTGACTTCATTGAAATTGGCGACCTGATGCGAGACATTCAAGTGGTCACTGGCGCACTTGAAGTACGGGTGGCTGAGGATTGATTGTGCCTGGCAATTAGTCGCCTAGTTTCTGTTTTTTTTTGTCTTTTCTTGTGCTATTCCAGATAATATCAAGTCACTTGAGAGGCCTTATTCCGACCACGTTATTTGCTGCGCTTTTCAAATTGCCACGCATCAGACACAGTTTTAGAGCACACTAATCCCCACTGTCATAACACCTGGACAACAGAGAAAACCCAGCATCAAGCTCAATGAGCAAACAAAATCGGCTGCAGATGCCCCTTAATCTGCTGCGCACTATAACTCACCCCATGAACCTTCAACCCCTCTTTATTTAGCAACGTAATCACATCCCCCTGCTCCGACAGCGGACACATCGGCGCCTCGAGCTCCATCGTCGCCCTCGCCCCCAACACCACACTCTTCGGCAACTCCTGCACCTGGCCCTGCGAATTATGAATCCTCCACTCCGCCAGCGACACCGGATGCAAGGACCGATTCTCCAACCGATGCCTCCGCAAATCCACATTTACCTCCACAATGGCCACCGAATCCTCGACACCACGTTTCCTCCTTTCCCCAGCGCGTTTCTCCAAAAGATCCGCCCACGTCGACACACTCAACGCATGCCCCTCCTCATCATCCGTATGTGCCGCCTGCGACGCAAACGCCAAAAACACCCCCACCCACTTCCCCTCCCGCGGCGAATGAAAGATCATGCCCCCGTCCTGCCACACGCCATCATCATGCTGAAAACTGGGAATATTACCCTGGTTCATATGGATATTATGAATCCCGTTCCCGAAATTAAACCGCGAGCCGAACAGATACACATCGGCGTGTTGCTCAATGGCCCATCGCATCCGGGGCTCTAGGACATCGATGATATCGTTGTTTTTGCCGTGGATGTCGTGCGGCAGGACGCGGCCGCTGCGCACGTTAAACAGGTTGCCGCGGATGTAATCGAGTCCTTCGTGGTCGATTTCTGTCAGGGATTGGAAGCCGTAGGGCAGGGTGGTCAGGGTGTCGGTGATGTGGTGGGCGCTGAGGTTTTCGTTGATCCAGTAGACGAGTCGGGATTCGTCCCGGTCGCCGGATTTGATGTTGATGGCGGCGCGGTTGAGGTTGGGGATTTCTTTGGTTTTGGTGGGTGGGGGGTGTGGGCGGTGGTGTTTGGTGGGGGAGGGGTGGGTGGGGGGATCGTCGGAGGTGAAGTATAAAGAGAGGTGCGGGGTGCGAGGGTCTTGGTAGGCGTGTTCGATGGTGTATTGCACCGGGTGGGCTTTCCAGACGCCGTAGTTTTGGACGGGCATGATGAAGTTGAAGTTGACGTTTGGGTGGGATTTGGGATGGTGGTTTGGTGCGGGTTAGAATGGAACGATCCTCCTGGACAAAGACATGTATTTAAGGGTTGATGGACATTGTACCACAATAGCTGGGGCTCATTACAGAGACTTTGACCATTCTGGGGCACTCTTAATGTAAATTATACGATGGCCCAAGTCTAGACTGCTCAACAGGTTGACCTCGTGATAGGGCTGCTGAGGGGATGCTTGGCGCCAAGCCAGCCATGAGCTTAAATTGTGCTGCGAGCTCCACCCACATCTATAGCTCTGACGCAATAATTCGAATGAGAGACCTATGCTCGTATTCGTCCCATGGGAAACCGAGGAGGAAATGGTCACGAGAAGCTCTTATAGGTGTGATAGTATGGTTGGGACTTTTTCGTGTATAGACCTCAGATGACGTGCTGTGACGATTGTTGAATGTGTCCGTGGACCCATGGACGATTAATCTTCTTAACCTAGCACATGCCAGCACAGGGTGCGGATAGGAAAAGCTTGCCGCCCGCTCAACTGCACTTGAGATACAGAACATGAGCAGTGGGCTAGTGAATGCAGACTCGTTATAGGAGCAGTTTGTGAGTGACAACGATTGGGCAAATCGCATATTTCTTCCATAAGTGTAATAAGTATACATGAATATTCCTACATATTATTTCCATCATCTCCTATTATCTGTCTCGGTGCCGGCTCGACCAGTGGTGGGCCATAACAGATCACGCACCCTTTAAAGGTGACTATGCCCTGGAAAAAGGACATATTATTGAAGACTCCACTTGATCTCAATGATCCAAGAAACAAAGAAGAGGCCAAATTAGAAGGGGAGTATATATGATTAAAACCGACGCCGACCCTGCGAGATGGAAGAAATGCCATCAAGCATAGTGAAATAATGCAAAAGTGGTGCACATAGAATCTACCTATTATAGATTGCAGGCTTCTCGTCGCGAATCTTCCAATCACAAGCTACGGATGTTACGCCTCCATTTAGGGATTATATCAGCAGCCCTTGATCAGCCACGTGATGACCGGTGAATTGCCGCCCGGCATCCAGACCCCTTTGTTTATACAATGCTCGCCAGCTTGTTGAGGGCTAGTGCAGTGACGATGCTACACCTAACACGCCGATTCACAGGATACGTCCTTCAGAGGCCGTCTTCGCCAGTCCGACGATTTACTCAATCAGTCATTCGTTTGAACTCATCCGACAAGCTAGAAGAGGAAACGCTGCCCTGGTACTCCCCCGACCAATTCTACCCAGTGAAAATAGGGGAGACATTTCGCTCTAGATACCTAGTAGTCGGGAAACTAGGCTATGGAGGATACTCCACGGTGTGGCTTTGCAGGGATCTACAGTAAGCCCCTTACAACCAGATATCGCTCACTGCGACTAATAATGGCAGACAACATGCCCACGTTGCATTGAAGATATATGAACGTGACTCTGCCCATGGCGAAAGAGAAACAGAGGTGTATAATCATCTCAAAAGCGTCGAGTCAGATCTCACGGGCTCTGTCCTAGTTCGACATACACTAGATGCCTTTCAGATTAGCTCTGGTGACTCTTCCCATCAATGTCTCGTGCATCCGCCTTTAGGCATGAGTCTGTTCGAGCTACGCAACCGGGCTCGAGGGAAGGTTCTTCCGGAGAATGTAGTCAAGCCGGCCTTGATCCATATTCTTCTTGCGCTGGACTTTCTGCATACCGATGCTCGTGTTGTTCATACTGGTGCAGTACTCATAACTCTCCCAAGGACAAAGCTTTGATATTAACCTCGAACAAGACATACAAGAAAAGAACATCATGCTCAGTGTAGAGGATGAGTCAATCCTGGTCGACTTCGAAGAAGCGGAGAAATCCGATCCAAGCCCACGGAAAGTCATCGGAGATCGTGTCATCTATTCTTCTCGGAAACTTGGCATTCCTAAGATACATGGCCGTCCTATCTTATCTGATTTTGGTGATGCTCGGTTTATATCGAGTTTAGGTACACAGTGGGAGGATGTGCAGCCGTGGATCTACCGGGCTCCTGAGGTAGTATTGCGGATGCCATGGGATGAGAAGATCGATACTTGGAATGTAGGGGTTCTTGTAAGTTTACTGCGTGTGTTGCACCATATCTATTAGCGTTAATGATTTCTACAGGCCTGGGATCTATTCGAACAGGGACACCTTTTTTATGCCCGGGATGCCGAAAAGAACGCTTCCGATGCTCATCATCTGGCTGAGATGGTAGCAATTCTTGGACCGCCGCCAAAAGACATCCTTCAACGGAGTGAGTATGCGAGCAACTTTTTCGATAACGAAGGTAAGGCTTCTTTCATTGTTCTGTTCTTCTCGGTGGCCGTGTCTGATAGTGAAACAGGTAATTGGAAAGGCGCCGCCAAGATACCCTCTATATCTTTAGAGAAACTTGAGGGAAGGCTGGAAGGGACACACCAAGAACAATTTCTCTGCTTCTTGCGCAAAATGCTCCGGTGGAAACCAGAGGATCGGGCCTCTGCGAAGGAATTGTTATCGGATCCTTGGTTAAAGTCGACTTGACTCAAGTGGCGCTCAAAGCGCTCGATTCTAAGCTCTCCACTCTACATACCTAGAATAAAATAAGAGTGCCTCCTAATTGATCCAGTCAGGACTAGTGGCCCGTACCCTATATCTCACAACAATTCATATAATTATTCCCCTAAAATTAGCCCAGACCCAATGGTAGATGTTCGTTACTGACAAAACAGGTAGAACGAGAAGCGTGAGCTCAAGCAATAGGCCCTACATCTTAACACGGGGCTACTGCAGTTCCGCATGATAATGCTGAGATCAAATCATAGTCATTCTCTAAAATACGCTTGCAAGCCACCTACTCTTGCATTTCCACTCAGAATATATCGTAGTAATCCCGCAAATATCTTCATAGCTTCAAACCAGTCCCCCTTGTTGGAAACATCATAGCCTCGTGTTAGATCTAAGTGAAATACTTCGTTTGCTGAGAATCCCTTCGCATGTACCCGAGATATCTGATCTTTTGTAAAGAGCCCACGAGCTAGGAAGACCTGGCGTTTATAGCATCCTACAACGAACATTTCTTGGTCCTGTAGCCTCAGTTTGATGTTAGAGGCAAGTTGCCCTAGCATTATACTTGGATTCTCGCTGAGGAACTCGCTCCAGGTCTGTTCTTGGAACCACTGATCTCAGTCAGACAACATGATTCAGCAAACAAATGTAGAGGAAAGTTATACATACACCAGCAAAAGAAAGTACCGGGACATATTGATTCTGGAACGAAATCATAGCAGCGCATTCAGGCCTAGAAGTATACTTTTGACCGCCGATGAAGTATACCTGCTTATACCTTGTTACAGGGAAACTTTGACGATATTAGCACCACATCAACAATAAATGAAGACAAATTCCACTCACTGAAGTCGAGGCCCACTGCCTGCCATTAAGTTTCAGATAGATCGTCTCGATCAATGTCCTCAACATCAACCCCTGCGACCTCATCATCACCTCAGAGCTTTCCCGAGTAGAATACTTCCAGCTCTTTATAGGAAGCGCTACTGTCTCAACGCCCCCAGCAGCTTCCTCCAGCAAGTCTGGTCCAATAGCTACTGGACAATAATCTTCAGCTTCGGGGTAGTACGCTTCCAGGGGATCCGGTTCCGCAAGGGATGGATCGAAGAGATTATTCTCAGGAAAATGAGTATTGAGGAGATGGAAGAACTCTTCGAACTCTGCGCAATATATGGGCCATCGTTCCATGCAGTCGAGATCGGCGATATCCGCATGTTTGTAGATCCATGGAGTAAGGTTCTCTTTATTGTCATTAGTTGAGTCGGTGATTTGTAGTGGGGGAATGTATGGGCTTACACTTCTCGCTGGGCTGTATCACAGTTGGAAAGAATTCCTCTGCGTCCACGATTTCCGTGTGAATAGCTGCTGACATGATGGTAGTGTTGGGTGGTTCTCAGGCTAGGCGATGGCCTGCGGAGCCGGAAGAAGCCTTGCTCCGACCTCCCCTGCTGGCGGAAGCCCGGAAGATATCTTTATCCGGTGCTCTGAGTCTTCATGATCCAATAATCCGAGATATATCGTGATCAATATAATCAAAGCATGTGGGCATGCCTTCGTTGTTGTGCAGTGTTGAAGCATCCAGGAGAAAAAACAATCGCTGGGGAAAGGAGCAATAAACAAGGCTAAAGCTAACTAAAGTCACCTGCTGAGTCTATAGTATATAAGCAAGCCTTGTTTAGCCATAAGGCCTTAATGATGCCATCGGAGTTGTAGCCAGCATACTCTCGTACTCGGCATGCCTCTGCAACTGACCTTACTACAGGATCACTCCTAAAGAAGATATGGACGACGATAATACGGAATACTATTCTGAGCGATGTTGGCATATAGAGATGACTAGATACATTATTCTGAGCAAATGTGTTGCCAATCGGCCAACAAGTTTCAAAGACTGCGCAAGCAAGGACGATATAAACACAAACTTTAATGCGATAGCTGGAGGTGGGCATTGGAAACGCAGGCGGCACCTAACCAATCATCGTCTCAACACTGCAATACTGAAGCCTCAAAGACTGATTAGGGTCCTTTAACCTCAGCACACTCAACCTCCGAACCCCGAGACCGGATGATATGGACGCGATACGTAAACACAAGGCCAGGCGGAAATACAAACATGTCAAACGGATGCTCGCCTGTACATAGACATTTCAAGTGTTCGGTCAAATCGACTGCTTCTGGGCTATTTGGGGCAGTAGTAATCGACCCAGTATAGGAGTTAGAATCAGTTGACTCGGTTTCGGGGGCAGAATAAGTTGACTCAGTTTCGGGGACAGAATCCTGATCCGACCCCTCTGGCTCGTGATTCAAACCCAGCAGAAATGGGGTATTGGTGATCCGGACGGTGGTGATAATGAAGACCGATTTCTGAGTCTTCTCCCTGTACGCCTTCACCCTGGGTAGTGCCAGGATATCCCTTAGGGATTCGTCCTCAATTTTGCCGTCGAATGTCCACACCTCGTGATCCACCTTTCCAAACCCGTGTCTACTATTCCTCGCTGCTCATATCCAGCACCAGATCGAGGTATCCCTTCCACACTTTGATTCCATCCGGGGTGTTGTGTCCTTTCGTGTATTCGCGTTCGTGATACCCTTCGATGACGCATTTCTTGCGTGGTAGTCGGATGTATTCGGGCAGTCCGTCTCCTGGATAGGCGAGGATGGTGCTTGGTCGAAAGGGCTTCTCGAGCACGGTTCCCAGTTGGATGGGACCGTGTTTCAGGATCTGAGGGTCTGGGAGTAGGAACCACATGCTCGAATTTGGCATGAATTGCGAATTGAAGATTGTGTGGGTTCAACGAAATGGGAGGCAGAGACGCAGATGAGAAATGTAAATCTTTGCTGGGGAATGTTTTGTTGCAGTTTGAATGTCCGTTGTTGTGTTGACAGTCCGCCGACCTTTCTCGCCCTTTTAAGGCCTGCATTTGGCCCTCGCCAATGATGCTGGAGGCCTAGATCTTGGATGCTTCTCCACAGTATTATGTCTAGCGTTACACAGAACCTTGGCGGACATGTGATGAGGTCGGCGGAGCGGAGGATTCTATTGCCACGCCTGTGGTGTATGTGAGGGATTTATGGCTTGTCAAAGTGTAGATACCACGGATTTTGCTTAATACATTTCTTCGACTCTTGAGGAATATCAGGTAACAATCATTATGGGATTCTACATATCATAGTCGATAGGAATTGATAGGAACGGCAGTATATAGCCCACCAGCAGCGACTTCGTAAAGTCAAGCAGTCCCCTTTCTACTATACGACCCAAGAATTACTGTATTCTTCGAGATCGACGAACAGATCCGCCGCTACAGCCACACGGCTTGCTTTCGGCCACGCCGATCTATCACAGCAAACAGATTGGCCTCTATGCCGTGCCTTGGAACTTGAAAGGCAAATTAGCAATCTGAAACCAATCTGATGCCAGTATTACCAAACACTATCGAGTAGACTTCCTCTTGCAATCCACATAAAGTATGATATATTACAATGTGGTACAATGCGTCCTATTTCTTTGTGTCAATGCGGGATTTTAACGGTGTTGCGTATGAGGCAGTGACAGGTACCCCACCGTAAAGCCATGGACGGCTCAGGGGAGAACCATACTTGAACTGTCATGGCCTGATTCTTAGCAGTCGACCATGGTTCAACCTGGATGACCAATAATTGCCTCAGTACGAAGCTGGTTAAATCCCTGTCCGCTGGCAACATCAACAACGCCCCTGCATCATCAAATTGGAAGCCCAAGGGGAATAGGTCCCACTTGTCCTGGTTTACTGCGAGAATATCATGGAAATACCCCTGTCAGGATGGCGTTGCAGTTCCTTGTCCAGATCCAGGAGAATAGGCAGCGGTGACAGACGTACCATCCGCTCGCCCGTCATTCCAGGTGAGAAGGCCGGCGAGCCGCGACGATGCACCCGGAAAACGTCACAGAGGTCAAGTGCAGCTTGTGGATTCCAAGATCTACATCTTTCTTACCCTGAGAGGTGTTCTGGAGCGATTTGTGACTCACTTCGTTCCCTCGAGAGCTGAACGTTGAGTCTACGGTGCTCAGGTGTCGATGTAGGTTTCATTCAGCTGGTCATCTACATTCCTATCTGACGTTGGGAATAGGGATCTCTGACATAGTGATGAGCTGTTTCCGCCGCTCCGCACCAACCTTGACATCACCAGTTGGTCCGGGTCAACTGTGTTCTAGCACATGAAGCAGATGAGTGACGCTGCCACCCAGTCCAGGCAGCATTATTGGCCACATGGACGGGTTTTGATTGCAGATCATACGCTGACTTCTTTCGATGACAACAAGCAGGATCATTAGAAACGCTACGTCACATCGCCCAGGCCTATACTTCGGTCAACGTCGAACTGCTGTCCGCTCCTCCTTTCCGACAGTGCCATACCTGCTGTGGTCAGCCTCACTATCTACCAGCAAATACACTACCGGTAAGCAACAGGACTGAGCCATTTCTGGGGCTTCTATTAAATTATTCAGCTGCAGGCTGGGATTGACAGGTTGATTCAAGAGATTTGTTCACTGGCACAGAAGCTGTTGAGGTATGAATGCATTGAATAATATACAGACTCTCATCTAACTATGAGTGTTGAATTAGAAATCCAAGATGTCACTCCTGCCCTGCCCTCTGCCTAAAAAATGCCCGTTTATTCGTTTCTATGCGACCTGTACACCAACAGCGAGAAGCTCCCCAGGATACCACACTTGGTAGATTCGTTCAGCTTCTTAAGACTGTTGAACAAGGTGGAGGGATTTCTGAGACTAGAACTCGCTCCGTTAAACTGTACAGGAACACTGATATCGCTCTTTCATCGGCTGGCAGAGGTGTCGTCCCCAAAGCAAGTCTCTAAGCGCGTTGCAATGCTAGCACTACTACCGGAGAATACCAGTGATGAATATATCTGCACCCGTCAGCAGTTCTTGTCATCATAGCCTGGCCCGCCTCGTATATGGTCTTCATGCACGTTTGGGCATTTCAGCCCAGGCCCTTGGTGTACTAACCAGGCGCAAATAGGACGACAAAGACGCCTGTGCCCTCAACAGAAGAGTAGGCAGCGAATAGGCAGACTGCACACTCTACACGAGCTTGGTGAGGGCAACGGCATTTTGACAATAGTATGATAGGATCAGTATTACTAGATGGTCCAAAGACTAATTAGGTGATCATTGAAAACGTAAAAAGATCATGATTCCAAATACCAATCCAGGCCTAAGTATTGGTTTTTTCTTGCGCAATACTCAGTCTCTGCTGTGTCTCTGAACCCAGATCCAGGAAGTCAGATGTGATAATCATGACCGTAGCGGGATCTAGTTGTTAGTCACTAACTCTCGATCTTCATTCATCAGAAGCTTGAATTAAATATGATGGAGCATGTGTCGAAAAGATCGGGATCAATGGAGGTTAATTGAGTTTGTTCATAGGTAAAAGCTCTTATTTTCTTCATTATTATTACTTTTCACCACAAAAAAAGAAGATAACGATCAAGGAAATTAGAGAAAAAACGACTTTACAAACAGCTGCCCATACATAAGTTCTTGGCGAGGTAAAAGGCAAAAAGCAAAAAAGAAAGCCCAACGCGGGGCTCGAACCCGCAGCCTTGAGATTAAGAGTCTCACGCTCTACCGATTGAGCTAGCCGGGCTAGCTAGTTGAAAGCTGCATTCTGCTTTTGCTTTACAATCCAAAAGCATATTTTGAGGTGAATAGGTCCGGAGTAGTGTGTTGTTCCTTCCAATCCCTGACTGCATCTCCTTCCCTATCTATAGTACTGGTCATTGTACCTACCCGCCCCATTGCTCTTACTCACTTAGTCTTACGCGTTCAAACCCAACAATCATCGCTTAAATAACCATGAAACGAGTCTACTCCTCTTCCTCGGGGACTTTATCCCCCAAGCAACACAAGCCTGTCCTTGGAGTCGCTTGTCTCACGCTTGAGAATCTCATGAAGCACGATAGAACTACCCCTCCCCTTTCACGATCAGCGGTGGTCGATATGCTGACGGACAAAATTGACGGCTTACCCGATGTCCCGATCATTCTTCCCTCGTCCACTCGCTCCTCGCAACAGTCGCGATCCAGTAGCCCGTCCCGGCCGACCGATGCACAATACCGTGCTGGTCATCTAAGGCGTGCAAGTATCTTCGTTGACGAAGACATCCCTCCGGATGTCAGTCAATATGTGACCCATATTCTAGCTATGGCAAGTGAAGATATCGATAGCCTACAACGAGTCTCAGACAAGCTCTGGCGCAAATGTAAGGATTTGGCTAGGAGACCATCAGGGGAGACCGAATGGAGAATGGCGTTACACACTGCTATTGATGAGTTGAGACATCCGGGGCTGGAAATTGTGCTAGATGGAGGCAAGCTACTATCCTCTCTTGGCTAATCTGAATGGGGTGTGTTCGGTGCTAATTTCTTGCAGACTGGCGCGGAGACTTGAAGCCTCCAGTGCGCAACGCTCGGCCCATTATCCCCCGCAAACAAAGCCAACCACATCAACTTGCACAGGAAGATGCCATTGATGACGGCGGCTCATCATCTCCCGATGTAGCAGGTGTCAGCGTTCCTATCTTTAAGCTGAAAGATTCCCGACCCGATATCTGTCGGTCTATCGGATGAAAGCTTAACGGATGATCTGATGCCTACGAAGGGCCGCAGCGCCGCTCGAAGCTTCCTGTTTGATCTTCAGATTACTTCTACCTTTATTAGTGACTCACATGTCACCCCCGTGCGGCTTCGATTCCCTTTTATAGTGGTTGAGGCCAAGTCCGGTGCAACTGGTGGGAACCTCTACCAAGCACAGAACCAAGCGGCAGTGAGTGGCTCAACAGCCCTCCGAATCTTCCAAAATCTTGCAGATCTGCACGATGCGCAAGGCCCATCTGACAAGGTGTTGAATTTGGCTTTTTCTGTCACCACTGAGGGTCCGATTCACGAGCTCTGGCTTCATTTCCGAAGACACGAAAAGGGAGATTTCTGCATGGCATGCGTAGGGTCTTGGAGGGTGACCCTGCATGACGGATCGCTGGAATTTGTGCGCCGTCTTTCAGCAGTGTTGCGGTGGGGTAACGGCAACTTACGAAAGAAGATTGTAGGCATATTGCAGGAGATCTAATCTCTGCAGCCCTGCAATAGCGGCACGAGGTCGTGGCCTGTGCATGATTACCTACTGTAGTGGGCCTCGGGACTCGCAAAACGAATTGGTACAGCAGGGCAATATCCCTCAACCTACTTCTAAAGAGTCGCGCGAAACCTTAGGCACCCGTGGTGTAACAGAGGATTGTCGCTTGAATCAAGGTATCTGGCATATTAGAGCCCTCCGGTTCCTACTTCACCACCAAAGAAAACTTCCGAATTTCGCCCGACTCTTCCCGAGAACAGGTCGACCCCTCGCCCCCTCGCAGAAGGCAGTTCCAGGACTGATGCATTGAGACGCTTTGACGAAATTGGGAGGCAAGTTCAGCTTCCACAAGAACAGAGATTCGCCGCCCTGAACCAAACCAGTTTCCTTATCATTTCTCTCAGCGTGTGTCCTAGAACCCACATATAAACCGGTGTATTATCTCTGGACAGTTAGACTTGTCTAATAAGACTAACAAAATCAACGAGTGCTGGCTGGCTTTTCGGTTGCAATTTGTCTTATCTAGTCCGTTGCCTGCTTGCTTTTGCATTATGTCTGAACACGCCGATCCTTCCCCCATTACATATGGCCTCCTTCAGTGTGATAGTGAAGTGGGCGGGGACGCGGATGTTATCCTAGAGGCGAGGCAGACATTATTTCGGGTCCAGCTCCGTTGTCAGCCACCAGCAGATTACGATCAAGTTAATACAATTGAAGGCCAATTCCTTTCTCGCCTTGCTGGCTCTGAGGATGAAAACGCACTTGATGAGTTGGGCATCCTGCTTAGACCATTGTGTCAACCCTTTTTCCATACCCATGCCCAAGTCTACGGGGACGACTTGGAATCGCATCTGATAAACCCGGAGATTATCTTGCAGTTGGTGACCAAGGATGGACAGTCCCGAGTGCTGGAACTCGGTCGTGAGGAACCTTGTCATGACTCTGCGAACCCGACAATTGACATACTCAATTAACACGCGAGATGCGAGCTGTCAATGGCCCTAGTGATAAAGCTGATCCTCGAACGCATGATCTACGAAGTCGACGTGGATGGGACTGTTTTCATCTGCAAATTGGGGGGCATGGACTATGATTCCTTCGCTCGCGAGGTGGGAATCTTGGATAAGTTATCGAGAGTTAGACGGTCTCTCCGTACGCCAAAGCTGGAAAGGTGATCGGACTGGATACTCGGTATCTCAGGATGCTTCTAACGAAGATTTGTTCTCACTCGCGTCTCTCTGATATGAATGTTGAGAAAATGGATGTTATTGAATGTCGTAAATAGTATGACCAGGTCAAGAAGATCCTAGACTGCCTCCACCGCAACAAGATCATCTGGGGAGATGTCAAGGCAGGGAATGTTTTGATTGACGGTCAAAGGGATGCGTGGGTTGTGGATTTTGGTGGGAAATATACGAAAGGCTGGGTTTCTGAGGACTTGCGGGAAACCATCGCGGGAGGCTTGGAGGGATTACAGAGCCTGCATCGGTTTCTACATCTGTAGATACCTACGGGATCGCAGCAGCATTGATAGCTTACGGCCATGTACTTCGTTTCGGTGCTCCGAGTCTTCAATTCTTTGCTTTTTCCTGCCACTGCATCCCGCGTGTCGTTCCGTAAATAGCACCCAACACTGAATGTCGGTGAGTGCTGGCCATCAGATGCAAATCACTTATCCGGTGTATCAATAGCGACATTCATGCCACACCTACATACCTGATACTATTACCATCACCACTATAGCAAGCACTACCCCATCCACTCCCTCCAAACCAACCGGTCCAACCTTAATTGATCCGTCCTCCACTGCACCATACCAAACTAACATCTTCGCCCGAAAATCTAGACCACCAACTCATCTCCACCCTCCACAACATCCGCCTCACCATTGAGCCCAACTCGCCTCATATCTCACAGTCAGACTCAGACTCGGAGAATTATCATCGTGCGGGATCCACTACGGCCACCTAGCTTGATCTCCATTCCTTCTCCGGGGGTAGGAATTGACCAGTAGGGTATATTTGTCCACCGCTAAAACTAGCCACAATTTACTTATTACTTGCTGTGTGGTGGCTACGAGGTAGTCAGTACCCACAACCACAATCCACAAGCTACTAGCTAGTAGCCTGGCTAGCTAGCTAGCTATATATAGGGTTATAGCTGGCTAATTAACTGCCCAACCACCACACCACCACCACCACCACCACCACCACCAATACCAAGGATAATGAATGAGCTTGATCTCCACAAGTACAACACAGAACTCTCTACGGAGGAAAAGTAAAAAAAAGTACACAATTTGCCATCTAGAATCTCCCGATGGTCAATCAGACCCACTCCACACGGACCTCATCCGTCCCCATCCACTTCAATCCCATTAGGCATTAGCACCACCGTTTCACGCTCATAGAAACCGCGGCGGAACCGGCCGGGGAGTCCCCGAACCCGGTACCACAGTGGGCCTAATTCAGTCCACTAGTTATCCGTTCCTTGAAAATCCACTATTAACGCCCCGGCCACGTAGTCACGCCAGCCCCTACTTACGCTGGTGTGTAGTAAGGATGAGTGTCTGTCGTGTAACACTATTTTTATTCCCTATGGGGAAATGGTTGGTGATGTTTGAGGGGGGAGGGTTTTGATTTAGACGGGTATCCCTGTCTACTCACTATCTATGTAGTATGGGTAGAGGATAGTAGGGCGGGTATGCATATGCATGCATGTATGTAGGAGGAATGCGGACGGGGTAGGGATTAATGTAGTGTAGTGTACATATTCAATGTAACTAGTAGGTAGGGAATTGGATGAGTCACAAGTGCAGAGTGCAGAGTACATTCGGGTACTATGGAGAGGTACTATGTAGAGAGGTAGGGGGGACGCAGATGGAATAAACTTTGGAGGGTCGGATATTACAGGTTCTAGACTTGAGCCGCAGATTCTGCCGAGGTAGCTAGTTAGGTAGGACGAGACTAGGCAGAGATAGGGACGGGGGATAATCCGATAGGTGCAGCGTAGGGTAGTATCTACGGCAGGGGAGGATACGTGCTACGTTGCGACTTGCAGCGTATAAGACAATCAATTGTCAATCACTAATCACTATTGCAACAGCATCATTGGACGCAGCATCAGACAAAAGAAATGGGGTAGTTACTCGTTGAGCTCCGAGTCAGCAAATGAGGGGAAGGATCCGGTGGATCGGCGGTCGGGTTGCCTGCAGGTAAGCTGCAGCTCCGGGGACCACTGGAGAATGAGTCAGAGCTGCAGCTGCAGCTGCACAAGGAAATCCTTTTTTGTGGATGATTTCTGTTTTGCCGTTCGTTCCTCGTCATACTATGCAAGCCAAACATGATAGAGTAGGACAGCAGTAGAAGGAACCAGTTCCTAGGGTAGCCCAATCCCATAGCAGCTGCCAGCTGCTATGAAGGGTCGTCCGGTCGCGGCGGTCTAGCCTGCGACGTGGGTCGGTAACGATGACTTGGCTGGAATTCGAAGTATCCATAATCGCTGAAGAAAGCCGGAAGAAGATCCGGGCATCTCAGCGGTAGTATTCGCTCGGCCGGTAGATGCGCGAGGTCCGGTTGACCCGCTCAATGCGGTCCGCTGCATCAGCTTCGTATAGAGAGCCCCGGCTGGGTGAGCTCCGTGGTGAGGTGTAGACAATGACCCGGCGACGCTTGAGAGACCGAGGTTCACGCTCGATAATGGCGGTGCAGGCCATGTTCTCCTGGGTGGAAGCCCGGCGAGGAGGAGCCGGCTCATAGGTGATCACTGGCGGAGGGTTCACCGCGGGGGTCACGCGCAGACCATGTTCAATCGCCAGGAGGAGTTGACGGACGGCCTTGTGGTTGAGAGGTATCTTGACCAGTGTGGAGCGGTTGAGTTCGAGGTCAACGACCGAGTAGATTTTGCCGTTCTTGCTGCGGAGGTAGTCGACGACGTCGCAGGCGTACTGGTTGCCACGCTTGCAGAGCGAGCGCGTCTCCTCGAGCACTGTCATCGGATCGGCGCACTGGGGACAGTGGCTGGCATGACGTTCAAACTGACTGATGACGAGTTTCTCATCGGCTTCGAGGTCACGCACGAGCACCACAGGCTCGGCGGGCTGCTCAACGGGGTGAGGCATGGTTGTGGCGCGACGCAGGGGCGCTCGAGTGCGAGGAAGAGTTCTTTCGAGTCGAAAAGACTCCCGGACGGAGTAATAGAATGGGGGCCAGAAACGGGATGACTTGGAGGACGACAGCGTGACTGAAGTGATCACGAGGACAAGTGACTGAGCTGGTCGTGCGAGATGAAGTGATGTAGGAAGGATGTGATGGCTTGCTATGTAACCAGCAGATGTGTGTGAATGTGTAATGAGGAAAAGAGGGTGTAGGGACGAGGGAGGGCAGTTATATAGATGAGGAGGAGAAGGCATCCACGCTGGGAGGTGGACACAATCGGAGTTGCAGCCAGTCTGGCGCTAGACCAGCCATGACGAATGGTCACAAGCAGAGAACCTGGGAGGGGTTAGCAGCAGTCCCTTAGGGATCCACTTTCTGGTCTGTCTCCCTTTTCTTTTTTTTTATTTTCTTCCTTGCAGCCTAGCTACCTGCTAAGACACTTGGAAAGGCACAACGGCAGCCTGCCTCAGGAAAGTGTGGCTGGTGCAGGCGGCAGTGCATTTGACCGCCCGCCGCTGGTTGGCCGGCGCCAGTTGCAACCCGAGCCATGCGGTCGCTGATTGGCCGGTATCCTGTCAGACCAGTGGGCCTGGTGACTGCAGCCGACCCCATGCAGTTAGCAGTGACCGACCCGAGTGACGCTTTACTACTTCCAGAGTCGGGGACGGTCGAGTCATCTTAGAGTTCGAGGGATTGAATACTAGAGGGGAATACATCTGTGGCTTGACCTCGTGTTCAAGCCGCACTGCCTACGGCCACCTTTCATCATCCTCATTCAGAGACTATCATCTCCATCCCTGTCTTCCTCCATCTCCACCATTGTTGGTTGTTCCGATTGCCGCTCGGTTTCACGCGATATCCCAGCGCTGTCACTCTCATTAGCCATGCAGCCGCTGTCCTTGTCGCCCACAGATCTGAGACGTTAGATAGCTCGGTACCGTCCTGTCGGTAACCTACGACATTGCGTCTTCTCGTCCGATCTATTTTTGCTCAATGCATCCTAAGAATAGGTGTTTCGCATCGTTCCATCCAACACGAGCCCGCATGATCGTCAGTCCGTGATAAGGGGACTTAACTACCCCTTACGCTAACACCCCATGAATTCATCGACAGCCAGTGGTGAGACTGGACTGCGCCTCAGCCACAGGATGACTGGCTACGGGCGCTCCTTCGCTACAGCCACATCCCGATCCCACGAGTGTCTGCGCGATTATGCACTGCAGGTGCTATTTCGTGCTTGATCAGTTTCGCTTGACGCGCGCCATATCTCGGTTCTTCGTGTCCTATCGTGACGTTGAGTTCGGATTGTTTCAATCGAAGGTCTGCCGTGTTGCTGTCCAGTCATTCTGCCTGGCGCCACCTCTAGAACCGCATGCCGGTCCGTCGGGCCTCGACACATGCGGAGAAGCAATGAACTTGATCAGCGGACCAAATTCAGCCTACGGATCGCCATTTTCGTTCATCGAGACCATACCACCGCGCGTATCGACTGCAATGAACATATATCCGTACGAACCAATCCCGCTGCGGATATATATTACGAGTGTTGGATCGCCCCTGGCTGTCTCACCTGAACGCGCACCAACGGTCACTAACACCACCATGTCTGCCTTGTGTTTGCCACCAGGCGACAGAGTTCTCAGACCTCTAGGCGCCAGCGCCAGCGCCATAAGGCTGCGAGACTTCTTGTGGTCGCAGACGTGGATATAGCTGTCCCATCTTATACCGTGTTGCAGCAGCACTCTTCAACTAGCTAGCCCGGCTAGCTCAATCGGTAGAGCGTGAGACTCTTAATCTCAAGGCTGCGGGTTCGAGCCCCGCGTTGGGCTTTCATTTTTGCATTTTGCGACTGGTGTGTGGTGAAGTTTTTGGTTCGGATCGGAAGAGGCCCACCCACACCCAGCGGCCCACCCAGAAGGCTCAAGAACACATCCTCGGCTGGAAGTGGATACATTTAGATATAGGACGCCAGTCAATAGTACTACATACACTGCACTCGCATGTACTATTCAATTGTATCATACATCATATCATAGGTACGGAGTATTATCGAACGTGATGCCACACCGCGTGGCGCAGCAGACCCTTCTTTTTCCCCCACAAGGCTGCATCGGATATGCACACACCCACAGGTAAGCAGCAAGCATACACAGCCTCATGACATCAGTACCACCACACCCAAGTGCCTCAAGCTATCCTCTATACAGCTGTCCTCACCATGCATCAACATGAATAAGGCGAGAGGGAGTTGCACCCTCTGCCCCAATCCCCGCCTTCGTTGTAGGTGTCCATCCGACCCAGCCAAGGGAGACTACACAATTACCTCGCCATACATATGATCTCCTATAATCTCCTATCATTACTTATCATATTATTAATAATCACTCCATGCCATACTGATAAGGTACGTAAGACCCTGATCCAACAAACAAAAGACAGATTCCGTGATTCGCGGTCACTCATTCCCCTCTCATTCATCCCCACATCATTAGCCATTGATTCCTCTTGTAAGTAACCCAATATATTACTCCAGGAAAGTAATCAGCAGTGAGAAACCCACAAAGCTGAGCCGAATGCAGCGGAGCTGGTAATACGCATTTTCATCTTTCCCTTGTCTCCCATCTCTCCTCTCCTATCCTGCTCAATGAATCCTTCGAACAATAGATAACCACGGAGATTATAACCAACCTGCAAGTAAGCAAACAGGGCCACCCGAAAGGAAATTACTTGGGCGAGTGTTCCTCACCCACCCACCCACCAATACCCAACCCATACACACTAATATCCCACCCTAGCATCCTATTTAGGAAGTATTGCGTATTGATAATCTTGAAGTAGAAGAATTAATCGGGGGTCTCAGTTCCTGAAATTTCAAGTGATGGGTAGGTAATGTGGAATGCAGCGGGTAGTAGTAAGTAAATCTATAAGATTTTGTTCTGGTTCGAGTTCGTCTTCGGTTCGGGTTCGTTCGATTGTAGATAAAAAAAGATATGAAGGGAGGGGGGATTATATATAGGTATGTGGGTGGAATAGCTCCTCCCTAGACCATCTTGTGGGGTTCTAGAGGACTTAGATGGATAGTGAGGAGCCTTGTGACTAAAGTGTTTGTGGCATGATGTTGCTGCTGATACTGCTGTTGCTGGAGGAGGGAGGGAGGGAGGGAGGGAGTAACTCGTAGGGATGGGATGGGTGGGATTATATAGCTTTCATGATGGGGAAGAACTTGCTGGTATGCGGGAGGTGTCGATAATTTTTGGCGAGGAAGCGGATTGATCCTTGATTTGGGGGGGGGGATGCGGGTTAATATGAGGATGTTGACTGCTTGGTGGTGTTGGTGGGGTGTGTCATGAGTATGGGAGGCTTTACGCTGTACTACTAGAGAATGTGATGATAGGAATAAAGATATCGAAGCTGTATCGTGTTATATTCATGTTTCATTGCCTTTACATGGTGTGAGAGGTCATGTTTCCTATCTAGGTCTCATGTCCATCTAGAATACTCTGGTTGCACAGAAATTGCCCGACGTTTCAAGTTGGACTCTCCTCGGGCACTCCTGTACCACTCCTAGTGAACCTCAGCCGGTGTTGCACAGACACACGAGTAACATAACGGTTGACCTACGTCCGATGCCAGTAATCAGTCCATCTGAATCTAAACTGAAGTTCACATATTGTTCATCTATGTAGCCAGACTGGAATACTATCGAGACCCTTCAACATGAGACCTCCGCCATGTGTAACATTCTCGTATGAGCATCATACCTCGGTGTGTATGTGTCAAGATCCACGTAGGCCAAAAGGAATATATCCCCTTCTTAGCCCCGGGCGTAGAAGGTAGAAATATGGCATGTCTCAACAGTATGCAATTAAACCGGCTCAGATATTCTTCTTATACATTTTACCATCAGCAGCCTAATAAGGAGTCGTGACAAAACCCGCATCATTCCTCAAAGCCAACTCAATCTCTCCTTTCTCATGCTGCATCATCTGCTGCATCATCTGAGCTCCCGGTCGTCCAGCCGGCCCCGTTCCCCACACCTGCTCCCCAAACATGCGCAACTGCATCGGGAACGACGGATCCTTATAATGTTCCAGAACATCGGACTTTTCCACCGCGCAAGCCAGCGAACTCCAGTTGTCTCCACGTCTCAGTCCAAACGCCACACACGCCTTGGCTTTCTGAGGGGACCACCACTCCGGCAACAACCCGCGTTTGCGCTCCGCCAGACGCAGGAATCGCCGGAACCCGTCACGACTATCCGGTGCTCCACCATAAATGCAGTCCATATCCGCATCGCCGGTGAAGACGTAATCATCCTCCATGCGCATCCGATACACGTCGATGAGCAGCTGGTAGACGTCGTTTTCGGGGCGGTTGTGCAGCCAAGTCTTGCTGTGTAGCTGATGGAAGGGTTTCTCGATATGGGCTTCGAGGGTTTGGGGACGTGGAAATGCACTTTTGGTAGGAGTAAGGTTGGTGGCGCTCTCGCCAGCATTCTTGCTGCAGATCTGCTTGTGTTTCTTTCAGTCGGCTTTTTGACAGTCGCGCGAGCAGTACCATTGCGTTTTGCATTTGGCGCAGCGTTTGAGAGGCACGGTGGTCGAGCCGGGCTTGGAGCACACGGTGCAGGTTGTGGATGCGTTTGTGTCGGCCATGATGGGGTGTTTAAAGTAGAATGAAAAATGACTTGTGGAGGAGAAGTGGAGATGAATTGAGTTTGAACTGCCAGGGCAACTTTATTTTCAGGAGATAAGCGGTGTGCTGGGGCGGTCAGTGGGCACGTGTGAATGTGAAACAGGGATCTTCCATGTAATAAACTTCAATGGTATCAGTAAAGAGAACGAGATCTGGAGCTGGCAAGAACGTTTGCATATATCGTAGAGCCAGCAGATCTATGGCCCAGCCACAACATAATAGCCAATCCAGCATCGACAAAGAACAGCAAGAAATATCGTCGTAGTATCGTCGTCAATAATCCATCGAAATAAATACTCTTTGAGGAACCAGCCCCTTCATGCACGTGTAGGTGACTTCCACTAGAACTACTGCAAGAACCGTCTCGGCTGCAGGGTCCCGCCTAAAAGTCAGTACTTGAGATTTAACCCAATTCCAACGCAGCAAATCGGTGTGCCTGTCTTCCAGAGTCATTCAGTTGCAATATGCTGCCTGCGGCTCCTCTCCCATTGGGGTAAGACAAAGATTATGCTAGCCTGTATGTGCAATGTGGGTATATTTCCAGCCAACCAAATGCTTCAGTGGCTCCCTGGTAACTCATGCTTTGGTCCAACCGTTGACATCAGCTCTGCCGGCACCGGATGGCTATCTAGCTCGCTCGGTGGTGATAATGGTTTTCCACCGTAGCCATACTGCGGATACTGACCCAAACCCTGAGGTTGTGTCTGTGGCTGCTGTTTCCTGGAACGTCTCATGAAAAAGAACAGGAGCGCAGCGATGGCAGCTACCCCGACGACACCACCCACGACACCACCTGCTATAGCGCCAGTGTTGGTATGTGAGGAGCTATTTGAGCTTGGCCCAGGGGTAGCGGAGGCCGATGCTGTTGTCGTTGCTTCAGTGTTCGCCGTGGAAGTCAAAGCCGCAGTCGATGTAGCACTCGCAGTCGAGGTAGCTAAGTAGCAAGCAATCAGCATCCGTCACAAGCACCGAGGACCTTGGATATAACACTTACCGGAACTGATCACCCTGAGTGCACTGTAGCTGGCATTTCCCGGCGAGTCGGGGTCTAAACAGCCCACCCAGTCCGTCCCCTTGAACATGAAACCGGTCTGATCGCTCATGCAGCAGAAAGATCCCGTGTAATTATACATATTCCAGGTATTATTTGCACATTTCGGAGGGTCAATGTCGGCCGTACAATCCGTCCAGCTCGGGCAGCAGACATTGTTTGGGATTGAAATCCGTGAGCCGGGACAGTAGGAGCCGTGGGGACAGCACGCGTGCCAGTCATCCCAAGTCTTGCCGCAGCCCACTTCATCGCTCAGACAGGAGTTGTTCCGACGAATGGCAAATCCTTGAATGTCGGTCATGGTAGCTGAAGGTGTAGTTATCCACAAGATCAATAAGCCCGGCACGGCGCATTCTTCAAACAAGTCGTCGAAAGGAAGAAAGGAGCAGGCTGACGGCCCCCAATGCGCAAACCCTGCTGGGTAGGCTGAACACGCTTATTCAGCCCGTGTTTGAAACTCATTTCCGCATTGTGATTCTGGGGCGTTAGGGTCCTTAGTTTGATTGGGATCAGCTGGCTTAGTGCAGGGCACGACCCGTGTGGGTGCTTCTGCCCCAAATGTGGAGGATTTTAGCCGATCAGGGTCCACAGAGGGCCGGTGGAGGAGGTTCATCACCGCCAGCTGATGCAGCCGACGCAGCTGAGAAATCAGTCTTCAAGTGTATTGATATGGGGGTATCGGCCATCCCTTTCTCACAATGCCGCAAGAGACGAGGAATGTTGTCGTTCCAGAAACACGTGCATGTCGGAAATGTGGAGAATGAAGCCGCTGACCTGCAGAAATCTGCTCCTGCACCCGTCAGACCGTTGATTAGAGTCATGTCAACAGTGATACTATGTAAACCTGAAAGTAGGACCTTTTTCTGTTGGCTTACCCATGGACCATCTTTGAACTGCAGCCTCACTCGGTTAGCCACCTACCTTACTGCGAAGAGCCTGAGGAAGTGAAACCCGAAGTTACTGCACGGCTGAAAGAGCGAAGCTGGCTGGCGATAGCGGGGCACCAGATAGAATTTGGAAACCATCCGCGGCGGGAGACGGCCCGTGCACCGAACCATCGGTTGTCCAACAGCGGAACGGAATTCGGAACATCCGACACCCATCTGTGGCTGACATCTCCACACAATATTACTGAACCAGTGTGCCTATAACAAGGAAATGGCCGTATATACCCATTCTATTGATCCATAGCCAACCTATCTATACAACCTACACATGCCCACCCGGCCGAGAAAGCCTCGACGGCCTCTCATGCTCGGCACTCGAATTCATCATAACCGGCACCGAGAGCAAAAAGAAATGATCCGGCACGGGACTCATAATCAGTCTTGAGCAATGCTCCACATGACTTAAACTCCCAAACCGCGCCTCCATCACTGTCCCCGTATCGCGCATTCGATAATACTTCTGCCAGTAGAAGACACAATGAGCGATATGCCACTCTCGCGTCGACCAGAACGAGCCTCCGGTTTCGCCTAACAGAGCGATTTCGCTATTCGTCAGGGGGATGGTGCCGTTCTCGTCGAGATAGTAGCTCCATTCACCGTTGGGGCCGGGACCGGCTTGGTCGAATTGGGCGGTTAATTCGGCGTCTCGGCAGTGGGGAGGGAGCCAGGCGGTGGCGAGGGAGTCGTAGATGCAGTTTAGATGGAGGGCTTCGTCGATGGTGTTGCCGCAGTCGCAGATGGTGAGGCCGGCGGGGAGGGTCTCGGGTCGGTAGACATCGGGGACGGGAGAGTGTGAGGTTGGTTGTAGGTTTGGTGTAAAAGGGAGGATGTGGGAGACGAGTGATATGAGGCCCCAGGCGGCAAGGAGGTATAGAATGGTGTGGAAGATGGCGAGGAAAGATTTCCGCTTCCACCATGGCACTGGTCTGGGATCATGATCATCGTAGATGTAGCCGTCTTCTGATGATGAAGAACGAGGTGGCTCCGCCGGGGAAAGGAAGGGTGTACTGGATAATCCCATGGTGCTTATACTGGCAGATATGATACTGCGTCAATGAAAGAGGATGGTGACTGTAAATGATAGTATCCCTTGAAAAACATAGCAATAGGGAAGAGAACTAACGGACAAAAGGAAAGAAGGAAGGGAAGAGGGAGGGGCCCTTACGTGATGTGCAATTGATTGCGAGTCACCATCTATCTCGATAACGCTAGACAAACCATCTGCATCGACAAAATTACGTCTGTCACAGCACGTATTACCATGCGGGTCTCCACTAGGTGCAGCAGACTAATGTAAGCGGAGGAAACAAGGACAACGGCCGAGATCGCGATCTAGAAGGACTCGGTCATCGGAAATGATAGCCAGAATCCATCATTTTATTTAAATAGCGCAATAGGCGCCAAGGAGACATGCATATGCATCCACTGCAACCTGCATTTTCTTCCATTGCGCCGACGCCTGGTTTCAAGGGTCAAAAGTACTACGTCTAGATCTTCCTAGTGATTGGCTTCTACATAAGACTATGCGAGATAAGACATGGTCTGTGTTCTGCCCGCATATGTCGTTGATCACGTTGACTACGAACTTGAATGCTGGTGGATATTGCTAATTGTCTCGCAATATAACGTATATTTTCTAGATGTTTACGCCAATCAAGACCCACTATCAAACCTACCTGCCATTGTGCCCCCCCTTGTGTAGAAACCCCCCACTGCCCAGCTCAACCGCTCCGAGATTATGACTTGTGCCGTTTTCCGGATAAGGGTTGCCTGTAATTTTATTGTCTTAGTACCCATGCATGTTCCAACCAGCAGCCAACTCACCAAATATTGGATGAACGAGTAAGCCTGGTTCATGCGGATCAAAAGAGTGCTCTGCCATCCATTGCTCGATTTTCTCCCACACCACACATTGACGGTGGCCATCATCTGGCGCCACAGGGCCGGGGGCACTAGACATTTCCACATCAGCATCAAGTCGACTAGCTACCTACCACATGAGGAGGTTACTTACTCCGTAATCCAGTGGCTGGGAATAAGAGAGAGGTCGGGATGGCATTGGACGTACTGTCTCAGCCAATCTAGACAGTGCTCTACAAGTTGGTCAGTACAGACTCAGTTTCTTATGTGGAATCTTTTGTCATCACTCGCCTGTATGTCGTTTTAACATGAACGTCTCAAATTCACTAATGCCGGGATAATAATGCTCTGCGTAGATGTAGTGGTGCAGCCTCTGAACACAGTGAAGTCCATGGTAAGCGGATACAGTCACATAGTAGCCACTCCCGTCATTCAGTTCGACGATGCTATCCTGAGCTGCGAACTCTTCTCCCAGTTGGTCTTGGGTGACTCGGATGTTGGTATCTAGTATGAAAGTAAGCATTGTATTGTTGGAAGGAGCATGGATGCTTGGGTGTTGGTACTATTCATGAGATTATCCCAGGCCTCCTCCAGCTCTGGTCTCGGTGGCCCGTTATATGAATTCGTTTTGTGAGGGTTTAATGTGCCGTCATGATGATATATGGCTAGGGTTTCAAAGACTTGTGGTCTGTACTCTATGGCGTCTCGTAGAGGGCCTTGACCGATGGTGAGCGCACTGAATCGTCAAGGGCGTTAAGGGGTAAACTAACTGGTGGTGATGTCCGGATACCGGATGTATCTTTGGTTGGACCATGGGATATGGTAAAAGAGGACCAAGAGTATGTTCAAAGAAAGAATTATGAGGTGAATAGTAAGTGAGCGCCAGCGGCCTCCAATCCAAGAGGGTCTCCAGAAGGATTCCCTGCGTGATTGAGTCGCGCTCAGAAAGCCTTCCTCTTCGGCGGCCTCATCGGGGTAATACCCCTTCTCGTCGTCCTCAAGTGGTTGTTCAACATGATTGTACGCCGGCATCGTGATGCTATTCCACCTTCTAGGAGTAGAGACCTGGCGCAAAGTGAAATCGAATGGCCTGCGAGAGTGAATAGGTTTATGCTATGACTGTAAATGTGTCTATACCCCGTTTCACAAACGGAGAGGTCATTCCGATCTTGCCGATAGAACTTGCTTATCTCCAGCATTACGGCATACAAAGTACGACAGGGCGGTTTCAAGCTTGCCCTGCCGGAGAACGTCTGCCGCATGCCTTGTATTACGGGGATCCGTCGGAGGTAAGAAGCGAGCGTGCCGGGTTTCGGACCTGCTGGACCGTTTAGCAACTCGAGCTGTTGGAACTTGCGAACTTCTAGCATTGTCGTAACGCAGGCAGGAACATCGCGTCATTGGTGCCATCCATTGTCCAGTAGTGCTATCTAAGATAGAGGGGCCACTACAGGGATCTACGTAGCCGCTCCGGGGCTCCGTCGGAGGCTTCCGCAACGCCATTAAGGTGGGGAGGGGAAATGCATACTATGCTTGGGTAAAAAGAGGGGTAAACTGGTAAACTGCCAGTCACGATATAGTTCGATTGCTGTATCAGCTATGAGTTGATTTGGGTAACGGTTAGCGTCATCTAGGTTGTCACCCCGCCGCTTCGGTGGTTCCACGCCTGATAGGAACGCATTTTGCAGGCATCTGGCTGGCCACTAGAACAGATTCATGTTAGCCTCTGGTTATCTCTCCACCAAGGAGTAACAAGCATATCCGGCTTGGTCTAGATTCTGGTATCTGATTAGTTGCTGCCTTCTGGTTTTGGAAGTGCGTTGGTGACCCGGGAGACTTGCCCCGTCGGAGGACGATACTCCACACCGGTATACACTGAGACTTTTACCTTTGGTGGAGAGCGTAAAGTGTATATCGGGTAAATGGAAGATTTGAGGAGCCGGAGATGGCGACACATCTAAAGACTAGCCACAGGGAGATGCGTAAGATAGGACACCAGAATTCGCTATCAATACAACCCACCTCCTATACGCATCAGCTATCGCCCACTTCTCTCCTTCTCCCTGGTATCGGATGTCGGCTGCATTCTATGGTGCCTTATCCGTATCAAATGTCAGTTATTACAAGCCAAACATACCAATGCCTGTCTGCAGTATACCATGTACGTTGGTAGATGTGAGGAGAGTGAAGACGACCCGTTGCTCATGAATGCCGTCCTCCTCTGTCAAGTTGACATTTAATCTTTCATCCCTGTAGTTAGACACCGTTTGCTTTGACCGGGGGCCTCATCGAGGTAGAACAACTAAGCGAGCTTATGAGACTAGAACAATACAGGCAGGAGACAAAAGTTGCTTCCAGGAAGATACCAACTAGATTTCATACTAATGCATCGGGATAACGACCGGTGTTACAATCCATACAAGCAAAGGTTAGGAGACTAAGCTTGCACATGCAGTAAAAATAGAGACATCGCAGTACTTACCATGATAAGAATTTTTATTGTCAGTTCTCGCCATTGCGACAACGAGAGCCTGGGTCCTGAGTCAGCATGGTCCTCAAATACAGTGGCCAAGTTGTAGTATAAATACAGGAACATCATCACACCTGTTGGATCGTGATCCATCCTTCAATTAATTCATCATTATCACGAGGATATTCTTCCAAACTCTCTTTCAAGCTCAACATACCATACTACTTTATTCTTTTCCTATTCCACTGCCAAAATGCGTGTTCAGAACGTCGTTGTTGCCGTAGCCTTGCTGGCTTTCGGGGCCAATGCTTTGCCGGCTGGTCGTATGTCACATGTCCCGAAAAGATTCAATGAACCAGCACTTACTCAGGTAGCAGCTTCTGCGCAGGTCGCTCGTCGTAGTGACGAGGAGTGGACTAAAGTCCTTACTGAGGAAAAGCGCTCCCCCACCGACGAGGAATGGACCAAGGTTCTCGCAGAAGCAAAGCGTTCCGATGAGGAGTGGACGAAGGTTCTTGCCGAGGAGAAACGCTCTCCCAGTGACGAAGAGTGGACTAAGGTCCTTGCAGAAGAGAGCGTTCTCCTAGCGACGAAGAATGGACCAAGGTCCTGGCAGAAACCGTCAAGGTCTAAGCTAGACTCTGTCCGAGGTTAAGTCCTCATCCGGCATGAGGATTGGACTGCGTGTATGCTTCAGCAGTTAGGATATGGAATATTAGAAACTGTTATGTATGAGAGACAATGAACTTCCGATAATTACCTACGTGATAATGCCTGATATGGCTGGCACCTTGATTGTGCCTTTGATCGTCTGCGGTCGGCTTCATCGTGGCTTTGTATCGGTGAACCAGTAACAATAAGTTGGTTCAACATATAGAAGACGCTTAGGAGGAAAGGGACTAGAATTTTTACCTCGATATAGTAACCCAGACTCATAATCGCGTCATTAGCTGCTTCCATCCGTCCGAGTACCCCGAGAATTTTAGGCTTGTGCGTTGTCATACGCAAGCCGCTCACTTGATTCTTGCGACTAGAATCGCATTTCCTTGTACAATGTATCTTTATCGACGAACTGGAGGAAAATATAATCTGCAGGTGTCTTTGCTACACAGATCTACGAGCAGTTCCATCGCGTTATCGCTTATGGCCATTGCCATGAGAATGTGTACCAGGATGGAAGTTTGAAGTATCCTCCAAATCATCTTCAGCGGGCCAATGCGCCGCCATATACTCATCAAGGCTTTTCTGCGAGTTGTCAGTATAATCGAAGCCAATCAGCAGAGGGAAACTCACCCGTTTAGTACAAGTATGAGCGATTCCAGCTCCGTCGATAGTACCATGACTAACCCCAAGACCGGTAGGGTACTCAATGGTCATATCCATGTTGCACAGTATTGCTTGAAGCAGATACCCGTGACAATGATCAAGATGTGTTAGCTTTACGACGTCAGGGATAGTCGGGTCGTCGTTCAAGGTGAGGCCGACCAGCGTGCTGCGATTCTCGACATGGGCCCAAAATTCGTCCCGGAGCATCCTCTATTGTTGCAAGATAATGGGTGAGTGGAGGGTCATGAGGGTGAAAACCGGGAATATTGGTTTTCTTACTAGACAATGATACTGATGAGCCCAGCTAACTCCATACTTATTGTGACGACCATTGAGCAGAATCCCCGGGGGAAGATTGTAGCGCGCCGGCTCATCAATAACGGTCCAGCCTGCGCCTTGGGGCAGCAGATCGTTGGAAAAGTGCTCCGCTGTTGTGATGTCGAGAAAGGTAATTTTTTCGTATTGTCCTTGCAATTTGATCAACTCAGCAAAGTATAGTAAGTAGTAGAGTGAACCGAATTGATCTCTTATTATTCACTCTACCGATCAAAGGGGCAATGCTTACTAGGTGGAAAGGGTCCTTCTCCTTGGCTTTGACCAAGTGCCCTTCGATAAAAAAGGATGGGTATGAGGGAGTTCAAGAACAGGGATACCGCAAGGATATATAGAATTAGTTTTCTGCGAGACTTTGTCGCATGTGTCGAATATAGTACTCTTTCCCTACCGCCGTCTGTTGGGTCGTCGGCTGAGACGTGCATGTACTGGGGTTCTCCCATCTGCTGCCGTTGGAATAATTTGGAGATTGAGCTCCCGAGCCAGCGAACCTCATGCATAATACTGGGCATGGCGAAGTGGTGCGAGCCAAACACGGATCACATGGAAAGGGGGGGAAATGGAAACCGAATAATTGTTTAAGGCGGGATTGGGCTTCAGCGCAAGAAACGGGGGTAGAGGGAGGGGTCTATTTATGGACTAGGCTGCTTCACTGTATGTGCCTCCTATGTAGTACTCTGTAGTGCCAATTATTTCACCATCAATGGCCAGTATTGTGTGGCCAACTGCTCCATAGATAAGGTGCGTAGCTCTAGCTTGGCAATGCTTGTGTTCCACGAGCAATACTAGTCGATACGGGCGGACCCGGGTGTGTGTTCTTCCCCTGCGCCAATCTTAGGAGCGACGACTTGTTTCTGATAGGTAGTCAAGCTGGGTAATATCACTACTACTACTAGTAGTAATTACCAGTGTTAGTAGCACTTGGTCGGCAGCCCGGGGTACCAGGGAAGAACGTGCGCCGATAAGGATGACCCACTCGATTGGATCGAGGAGTGATGCCTGGCCGTTACCCCATCGGGTACTCCGTCGTACTTATAGTTGCATCCACCGGAGTTGCGCAGTGGGCCATCTTTCCCCCTGGCCATCGACCATCTGCTTTGCTCTTCCACACCGCGCTGTCGTCACTCACCATGACATGTCCGCCAAACAGTGACAACGGGTTTGGGCCTCGTATCAACCCTGGCTGTCGTCCTTTCGATTTCACTCTACTGTTTGAAGATGGCTTCTTTGGGTTGCTCCCGGCAGCCCTGTTCCTGCTTCTGGTTCCCCAGCGACTGCATTTCCTGCGCACTTCCCAGGTCAAACTGCTCTCATTTCAACTGGCAATCGTGAAATTGGTGCGTCCGCCAAAGACAATTCCATAAGTAACTATCAGCGAGATTTGTCACTGACCAGGACCGTAAACAGACCCTGCTAGCTGCGCTGTTGGTGTTGCATGTGCTCTACACGGCTCTGCGGGTGGAAGACCCCGATCTCCGTACCAGCGTAGGACTGGCCTCTGGAATTATCAATATCATCGCAACCGGCGCCGCGATGGTGCTCTCCTTTCTGGAAGACCAGCGCTCAGTAAAACCATCGGACCTGTTGGTAATCTACTACTCTGCCGAAACTCTTCTCGTATTACCACAACTCCGTTCGCTGTGGGAGATTCCTACAGCCAGCGAGGCTTGCCGGGCATTATGGATCGCAATCTTTATCCTTACCCTCGCAGTACTAATTGCAGAGTCACTTCACAAGTTCCGACTTTTACGACCACTCTATCAAAAGTCAACCGGAGAAGGGATCTTCGGGTTCTGGGGTCAGAGCTTCTTCCTCTGGGTACTACCGGTTCTTCAAACGGGTTACTCAAAGTCGCTGGATATTGGGGATATTCCAGAGCTGGATACTGATCAACAAGCACAGTTCACCGAAGCAGAAGTAGAGACCGCTTGGAAGACCAGATCGGGGAGATATCGAATGCTTCGGTCTACATTTTATGCCTATCGGTGGACCTTTGTGTCCGGAATCGTACCACGGCTCTGCCTTGCTGCTTTCAGCTTCTGTCAGCCGTTTCTTATCACCGCCACAGTTGACTACATCGGAGAATCCAAGAAGTTCGACAGCAAGAGACGGGGTCAGGCCATTGTGGGCGCATATGTCCTAGTTTATCTGGGCTGGGCTGTAGGTCATGTTGTTTCTTACTGATGTTCTTCCAACTGATGTGTTGTTTGAAGATATCTACTGCAGTATATTGGCGCCAAACGAACCGGTTCAATACAAAGATTCGCTCTGGTTTGATATCTATGATTTACACTCAGACCTCCCGTCTCAAAGCCAGCGACATCAACGATTCGGCAGCCATCACTCTTATGGGTACAGATGTAGAAAGAATTGTCCAGAGTCAGAAAACGATCCATGAAACATGGGCATCGATCTTGGAAGTGGGAATCGCAATTTGGCTGCTGGAGAGGCAGCTCCTAGTTGCCTGTGTGGTCCCTGCCGTAATAGCAATAGGTCGCTATAGCCACTGCAGCTGATTTATAGGGTTACGTGATCTGACTCTCTATAGGCTCGGTGTTGGCAATAGGCCCGATTTCAAATCGGTCGGGTCAGGCCCAAAAGCAATGGATTGAGCGCGTTCAAACCAGAGTAACAGCGTCTACCAGCATGCTACGCGATATCAAATCCGTCAAGATTCTCGGGCTCTCCCGTGTGTTATTCAACACAGTTTCTGAAATGCGAAAGCTCGAACTAAAGACTTCTGAGCGCTTCCGAAAATTACTCATATGGGAAATCGTTATTTGTAAGGAAGGAGATCTCGATAGAATTGGCAGAGCTAATGTCCATAGCGAACGTGCCCACTGATTTCACCCCCTTTGCTACCTTCGCCGTGTACACCATTATCGCGGTCGTCAGGCACAATAATACACTCCTCTCAAGCCAAGCGTTCACGTCTCTTTCGCTTATATCCCTTGTAACTAACCCACTCCTCACTTTCATTCAGGCTGTGCCTTCTGTGCAACAGGCGATGTCATGCTACCAGCGCATCGAAGAATATTGTCTCAAAGCTCCTGTATCCTCTGCCGGTAGTTCAACCTCGCCCATGCCTTCAACTGCACCTGAGGAAAGAGTAATGGAGCTGAAGGCCTTCCCGCCAAGACCAAGATCCGACAGTGACCCTGTGTCCTTCGAGCGAGCCAACATTGCGTGGTCGAAGGATGGCGAAAACCAACTCCATGATATCAACCTCACAATCAGACCCGGAGTGACCATGCTTATTGGACCTGTAGGCTCTGGAAAATCCACATTGCTCTCTAGTGTGTTTGGGGAAACGGTCACGAAATCTGGTCAAATCCGGGTGGCATACTCCCAATTGGCCTATTGTTCGCAAGTGCCCTGGATAATCAATGACACCGTTCGACAGAATATCATTCTCGGGTCTGCATTTGATGCAAAGTGGTATGAGTCCGCGATCTTGGCATGTGGTCTCAAGGATGATCTGGCGAACATGCCGGGCGGGGACCTATACCGTGCAGGCACCGATGGTCTTTCTCTCAGTGGAGGCCAAAAGCAACGGATTACACTATGTCGCGCCATATATTCGAGGCAGAAACTAGTGGTACTCGATGACGTCTTCAGTGGGCTTGACTCGAACAACATCAGTGTCATTGCCACCCGTCTATTTGGCCCGAATGGATACTTTCGTACATCTGGGACGACGGTTCTTCTAGCTACTCATACACGTAAGTCAACACGCTGGATTTTTCATAGAGAGAATCGTGTCTAACTGCATGATAGAATATCTCATTCAGTATGCGGACCAGGTTGTTGTCCTCGAAGGAGGCAGAGTTGTGGACAAGGGGTCATATGAGAATGTGATGTTACTCCGCAAGCCCGAGATAGCCGCCAGGTCTCTGATGAGCACAGAAGAGATTGCCGAGGAGGAAACTTCGAAAGTTCAAACCCAAACCGATGGTGACTCAGACGAGGTAAACAGCAAGCCTTCTGATTCAGATTTGAAAAACCCACAGCGACGAGATGGCACTTGGTCAGTATACAAATACTATTACCAGTCCGCTGGCTTTATAGCATTCACGATCTGCATAGCTTGCATGATCGTGGAAGCGGTCAGCGGGAACTTTACAAGTACGCCTTCATTTCCCCCGTCCTTGTCCCTGGCTCAGAGCTGATTTATTTCCTTTCCAGCTCTCTGGATTCAGTGGTGGGTAGAGGCAAACGAAAAGAAGCCCAATCATGATGTCGGCATGTACATTGGAGTATATGCCTTGCTCTTCGTCATACAGTTCTTGGGGACTGTTAGTGGTCTGTGGTATGTACTATCAGTCAATATGGGTTAGTATCCCTCGACCTAACACCCTGTCCCACTATCACAGGCTATTCATCATTACGGTCATCAACAACACCGCAATGAACCTCCACTCCGACCTTCTTTCTGCGACTTTGAGGTATGCCGAACCTTTCTTCTCTTGTCCATGGGACCTGCTCAACAATGAATTAGTGCACCATTCAGCTTTTTCCAAGCCACCGAAATTGGGACCTTGACGAATCGGTTCAGTCAAGATATGGAGTTGATCGACATGACACTCCCTCTAGTTGCATCGATGTTCTTAGCAGGTAATAGGCTCCTTTTATTAGAACACCGGGTTGAGAAGCCGCTAACATATATTCAACACAGGTCTTGCAGCCGGTATAGTCAAGCTGGTGATTCTTTGTGTCGTCAGCAAATACCTGGCAGCAGTCATTCCAGCACTCCTGATCAGCCTAGTGATCCTGCAGAGATATTACCTCCGTACTTCTCGGCAAGTCCGGCTGTTGGACCTCGAAGCCAAAGCTCCCCTGTACACCCACTTCACCGAAGCAGTCCAAGGCTCCACCACCCTCCGCGCCTTTGGGGCAGAAGCATGGTTCCATGAAAAGATGTACCGGCTCCTAAACCACTCACAACGGCCGTTTTATATGCTTTTCTGCATCCAGCAATGGCTCACGCTCGTGATGAGCTTGATTGTAGCGGTTTTGGCGGTGATCATCGTCGCGATGACCACCTCGCTGGCCGACCGATATAATGCTGCCTCTGTCGGAGTGGCCCTTACGTTGATTCTGACCTTCAACACCACCCTCTCGAGCACTCTCCGAATGTGGACTAGTCTGGAAACGAGCATCGGGGCTGTGTCACGTGTACAGCAGTTCGTTCGAGACACCCCGCGCGAGACAAAGCAGGGACTACTCCAGTCCGTGGCTTCTCCACGCTTCGAGCCACCGGACTGCACGATCAGGTTCGAGGCCTTGACAGCAGGATATGGGTGAGTCCACTCTTCTCTGGCTCGTCGGATGGGGCTATTGTGGATCGGAAATTCGTGCTCTAAGACATAGTGCGTTTAAAGCCGAGCTAACAAACTTCAATCTTAGTGAATCCACTCCACCCATCCTGAGAAACATCTCCCTTACAATATGTCCGGGCGAGAAAATCGCCATCTGTGGCGCATCTGGGAGTGGGAAAAGCTCACTGATTATGTCTCTTCTTCGCATGAACGAAATCCATTCGGGAACCATCTCGATGGGGGGCTGCGACATCTCGACCCTCGAACGACAGGACATTCATTCCCTCATTAGTGTGGTCCCACAAGAGCCGTTCCTGATGCCAGGGACTGTTCGGTTTAACCTGGATCCCTTCCGGAGTGCCTCGGATGAGCACATGGAATCTGTGCTTCAAAAAGTGGGTCTCTGGGATCGAATAAAAGCAAATGGGAGGTTGGATATGGACCTGTCCGATGTCTCGACCTGGTCTGTGGGCGAAAGGCAACTGCTCGCCCTAGCCCGGGCCCTTGCCGTCCCACGACCGGTGCTCATCCTGGACGAGGCCACGAGCAGTGTCGACCGGGAAACCGAAGCCGCCATGCAAGATATTATCGAGCAAGACTTTGCCCAGCAGACCGTGATGGCTGTGGTTCACCGCCTGTCCTACATTGACCGATTTGACCGCGTGGTATTCCTCAAGAACGGAGAGCTACTCGAATGCGACACCCCTCAGGCTTTACTCGGTCGGGATAGCGCATTCCGACAACTCTACGAGGTCTTGGAAGGGCACTGAAGGTAATTATTGAGACGGGAGGCTGGTTTTCTTTACTTCTGATTGACATAATCCGGTCGGTCGCGACATGGTCGACTACGATCAGTCCGGACTCATCGATCGCATCATCGCCTGACTGATGCCACCAAGTCCCCAGGATCAGCTCAGGATCCTATGTGTATGATTGAAGCTATAATTGATATCAGTCGTGTTATATGAGGAATGGACTGAATGGCAGACTCAACGCCCCAACGAGATCCCACGGAAGTTTAGTATGCGATAGAACTGCCAATAGCGGGCCTGGCTTACGGATAGTCTGGGCATGGGGCCCCTGGTTGGCTTGGTTCATGTCTGATACGGAGTACTGACTGGCAGGTAGGCCCCACGAGGGAAATAACCCAAGATCACTAGGGGGATGGGCGTCGGGTGGAGGCTGGCCGACGGCCGCAGCGAGTCGCATCCACGTGGTGCCCACAACTATGTCCTGCATTTGGAGCAGTTCTTAGTCGAAAGCCACCATGCACGATGCCGAATGGCGCTCTTCTGACTGGACGGGCTCGTATATTGGAGGGAGGCACTATTGAGAATGTTGGATGGCGTGAGACTCCATCCGGATGGATTCATGGCAGCGACGTGGTGTGATAGCTGTAGGAATCCCCCGGGATGCAGCACGCATGACCAGGTCGCAGCCAGGCGAAGCCCTTTCGGGCGGGGGTTGCCGATATCTTCGCGCCAGTGGCGGAGGGGCAATCCATGTCCTCTCCTCCAATCTTGCCATCCGAGAGTATCGAGCAGGTGGCCCGGACGCACCTGCATGTCGACGGGCATCCCCATCGGTCCTGGTACAGAATCGATTGGTGTAACATCGGTAAGGCCAGTGGTGCGGGGAGCGTGAGCCCTTGGCCAGGATGGATGGCGAGCTTAGGTGTGCTGCAGGAGCTCCGTGGGAGTTCCGGTCCTGTACCTTCCATCCCTGCCGCTCTTATCGCGCCGGCATTTTGGCCTCCCTGATGGACCCTCGTCCCTGCACCCCCTTCCCCATAAGGCGGATTGGGTCTCTGGATCCTATCAGTGACCACAAATGACAAGGGACGATTGGGAATAACTGGTCGGTGGTGGGTCACCGAGGCAGCCCACCGGGAGAGATGGTTGCTCGAAGGCAAAAAATGAGGGCCGCGGATATTGGGCCCTGAGCGCTACGGAATGGCGTCAGCCGCCAGCCCGATGACAATTCACTTCCTGGACTAATTCATGTCTCATATGCACCCCAATTCACTTCGGGAGGGGGGGCAAATTGGACCGCCGGGTGAAGTACCCAAGAAATTGGAGGGTCTTGGGTTCCCTTCAATTTTTTTTTTTTTTCCCGCGGTGTCTGTGTCTCTACGGCTGTAAAGAAGTCGGCTATCAGCGCCTTGGTGTCTCAATATCATATCTTGAGCCCTTGGCAAGTGGGGGACGGCCAGGCGATTGGCGGATTGAGAGGGGTCCGATAAGGCGAGAGAGAGAGAACAGTGAACGGACCGGAGCGGCGGCCGGAACGTTGGCGGCGCCGGACCACCCACGACCCTAACTAACCCTGTCGCCGCCAGTCCAGCGACATGGCTAATTTCTTGGGTCCGTGGTATCATCAAGCAAAAGGTCACCGTTCCTTATCACCGTTGCATCCCTTATAAAAGCCACACCCGCCCTAGGCACGCTCATGGGTGACCAGTCCGACCAGCCTTTCCCACTCCTCTGGAAAGTGAGAGCCATCCACCATGCCCCGTAGCGTGTCCGACGCGCCCATAGAGGGCGACGGGATCTTGGTCTCAAACCAGGATGCTGTCGACGAGAAGTCCGCTGTCAAGGTTCTGGCTGCCAAAGACGACGCCAAGGTCAGTGGGAACGAGCTCAGCGGCGAAGAGGACCGTAGCAGTGTGGATGAGGACGCTATCATCGTCACTGGTGCGGACGCAGCCCTTCACCTGCTCCCGCTGCGAGATGACTTCGACAATGCCCTGACCTTTCGGAGTATCCTCCTGGCTTCCGGTCTGGCGTGCTTCCAGGCCGTCATGAACCAGATCTACATGGTAACACCAGAACCCCTCATCACCTATGCCCCCTGCACCCGCTGACAGAGAACGTTCTAGTTCAAACCCACTGCCGTCAACATTCAGGGAACCTTCATCGTCCTCATCGCCTACTTTGTTGGTAATGCCTGGGCCAAGTTCCTCCCCCGTGGTGATAAATTCGAGGCTCGGTGGAGGGCCAATGGCGGCCAGGGCAAGCTCCCTTGGTCGATCGCAATCCTCAAGATCCTCAATTCCGGGCCATGGTCTCTCAAGGAGCACTCGATCTGCGCCATCACGGCCACATCCGCCTCGAATGCTGCTGCCTCTGCGCAAGTGTTTGCGGCGCAGAACCTCTTCTATAACATGCCCTTCAACGCACTCACGGTCATCTTCAGCACCATCTCCATCGGCCTGTTCGGCTACGGTCTCTGCGGTATTATGCGTCCCATCGCGGTCTGGCACGTAGAGTCCGTCTACTGGTATACGTTGCCGACTGTCAAGACTCTCCAGGGACTTCACTGGCAGGAAGTCAAAAACTCCAAACCACTCCGATACTTCTGGTATGCCTTCGCTGGCATGTCTCTTTACGAGATTATCCCGGCCTATGTTTTCCCGTGGCTAAACTCTGTCTCAATCCCGGTGCGTTGTTTCCTCTGCCTGCTGAAACTCTTGACACAACCCACTAACCTGTCATTATGCAGTGCCTGGCTGCCCAAAAGGCCACGGGTTATACGGGTGAAACGCTCACCAACATCTTTGGTGGAGCCACTAACAACGAGGGCATGGGTTTATTCTCCCTCAGCTTCGACTGGCAATACGTATGATGCTGTTACATCCGGAGTGGACCAAGTTCGGAGGCTGACCAATGCAGATTACCTCCTTTCAAACCGCCCTTCCTCTTAAGCTGCAGCTTCATCAAGCGATCGGTATCGCTGTCTGCTTCATCGTCATGTCGGGAATCTATTGGGGCAACGCCTGGAATGCCAAATCCCTTCCATTCATGTCAACCCAACTTCTTACGGCCGACGGTGACTCCTACCCGCTCACGTCTGTCTTTCCCAACGGTGTGCTCGATAAAACTGCCTTGGCCAAGTACGGCGTCCCCAGATTGACGGGCACGTTTGCGTATGCCATGCTGATGGCCAATGCCGCCGTAAGTTGGTCGAAGCCATGTTTCGCATCTAGTGGCTAACAATCTCTTAGATCGGTGCGTTGATTATGCATTGCATCCTCTTTTGGGGCAACGACATCAAGGAGGCATATAAAAGCGCAAAGCAGGGCAGATATGATGACCGGCATCACCAGCACATGGCCAAGCATTACAAGGAAGCGCCATGGTGGTGGTACATTGCGGTACTTGTTATCAGCTTCGTCCTTGGTCTCGTCGTGGTCCTCAAAGAAGACATTGGCATGCCCGCCTGGGCGTACATTGTCTCGCTCATAGTCGGAATCATCATTGCACCATTCGTAAGTGCTTTCAAAGACCGCCTGCTCCAAGTGTCTCTGACCATGATCGCTGCTACAGAGTACCATCCTCTTCGCTCGCTACGGCAACGGTATTGCCACCAACAACTTATCCAAAATGTTGGCAGGTCTCATGCTTCCCGGACGCCCCGTCGGCAATATGTACTTTGCTGCTTGGTCGCACAATGTCATCTCCAACGCCGTCAACCTGTCCAATGACCTGAAGATGGGCGAATACCGTAAGCTGTCCCTTTTGCTCGCGCATCACTCAACCCACCGGACAGATACTAACCCACGCATGCAGTCAAGATTCCTCCCCGCGTCATGTTCTTAACCCAGATATACGGTACCATCCTGGGTGGCTTTATCAATTACGCCATCATGGTTTCCATCGTGACCGATAACAAGGCGCTGCTCGCCACCGGCAACGGAAACTCCTCCTGGAGCGGTGCGACCATGCAATCATACAACACCAACGCGGCCTCGTGGGCTCTCGCCTCCTACCTTTACAAAGCGGGTACCCCGTATTCAATGGTCCCTGTTGGTCTCGCAATTGGTGCTGGTGCTGTCATCGTCCATCGTCTCTTCTATCAGGTTAGTCTCCCCCATAACTGCCCCTTCCGTTCCTGGATGCTGACGGACTTTCTAGTTTATCCCCAAGATCGGCCGTTTCGATATCTCGGAAATCAACATGCCCCAGTTCATCCAATACGCCGGCTACATCCCGTACAACCAGTCCCAGACCTGCATTCTCTTCAGCTGGATCATCGCCGGTTTCTATGTCCAATACTACCTGCGCAACTGGCACCCACGCATCTTCAAGGACTACTCTTACCTCGTCACTGGCGCCTTTGACGGGGCCAGTCTCACGGTCATCTTCATTCTCTCGTTCGCAGTGTTCGGTGCTGCAGGAACAGCGCATAACATGCCAACGTGGTGGGGAAACAACGGGAATGGAAACTACGATTGGTGTCCGACGACTTAAAGTAGTGTGGTGTCGTTATGGTGTGACAGCGACAAACTAGGAAACTGGTTTCGTTACGCTGACGGGGAAAAGCGTGTCTATATTAGACCTCGCTTGGAAGGATGCTTTGTGGCTTTGTATACCTTCAATACTCTACTATGGTACATTCGTGCGATAATTACAATTAATACGCGAATTTTGATTAGTGAGTAAGGTCAGAACTGAACATCAAACATCATAACCTACCGTGAGACATGACTTACAACCCGAGTCTCTCCTTCATATTATTCCATTTTATCTTGGGAATACTTCCTTGATGCTGTCCCTCGAAATTTCATTTCACTCTTCTTTTTCTCTTCCTTCTTTCCTATACTGTACGCGTACCCCCATCATCCTTATATGATAGTCATCCAATCCTCCCGACTTACTCTGACATGTGAGTGCCTTTTTTTCTTTTCCCCCTCTTCCGTTATTCTCTACTCCACTCTTGTTCTTTCATATTCTTCCTTTTTTTTTTCCCAACTCCTTCTTGCGTATCTTCTCTATTGCTCGTGCCACCAAAGCTGGTGGCTGGATTCTGTTTGTTCAGTACTACATACATTCATCCAATGATCTTATTCACAGATGTACTATGTCTACCACTGAAAATTACAGAATACCTGAGTCATTTTGGGCCTGTGGGGGGGGGAATTAATATGAATGTCATATATGACTTGCTTCTATCTGGGGTAGAGAACAGAAAGAAAAATAGGAAAATGAAAAGAAAAGAGGGTAGATAAACGGGTAAAAAACAGAAACAAAAAAAAATAAATAAATAAATAAAAAGAAACAAGAAAAAAAAACAAAATGGAAAAGAAGTGAGGAACACTGTTTCTGCTCGTTGGCCGCTATCGCCCAATCCAACATGTCCCTTCTTTTATTTGGTTGATCACTAAGGTTGTCGAAACAACAAACAATAACAGGGCCGAGGTATTTATTTTGCGCCTGTTCTCACCAAATCCCCGAATCGACTTCCCGCTTGTCCGGCCAATATGACCGGGTTTCCGACCTCGACGATCTCTCCCGTATCCATGACGACCACGCGATCGAAATCCATGATCATGTCGAGACGATGGCTCACGGCGATGACGGTGTAGTTTTTGAATTCGGTTCGGATGATCTCCTGCATGACTCGTTCTGTTTCGTGGTCCACGCTCGAGCTCACTTCATCTAGTAGGAGGATTCCGCCATCGGTGCCATTTCGGGCTCGGAGACGGCGTCGGAGTAGTGCGCGTCCGAGGGATAGGAGTTGGCGCTGGCCGGCGCTGAACGTTCCGGCGCTCATGGGGGCGTTGAGTCCGCCTCGTTCTTGGACGAAGTCCCAGAGTCCGAGGGTGGTGAGGATGGTGGTGCATTCGGTCGGGGTGGAGATGGAGGAGGGGTCGAGGTTTGCCATGATGGTGGAGCCGTCGGGGAGGAAGACGGCTTCTTGGGGGACGGCGATGATGTGTTGGCGGAGAGAAGGGCGGTTGATGCGGTGGAGGGGAAGGGTGTCGATGGTGACACTGTCGGCGGTGGAGGGGATAGCGTCGAGGAGCTTGAGCAGGAGGGCGATGAAGCTGGATTTGCCGCTGCCGGTGCGGCCGCAGATGGCGACTTTCTCGCCTGAGGAGATGGATAGGTGGATGTTGTGCAGGGCGAGATTGGGTTGGTCGTCTTCACTGTTATTTCTTGGAAGGGTTAGTGGGTGATAAGAGAGAGGGAGAGGAATGTCTTACCCGTAGCTGGCGGATACACCGTTCAATTCAACCACCCCGGTCTGGGGCCACTTCTCGGGAGGAACAATGTCCTCTTCTTCTGTGTCCTCTGGCTTGACGGTTTCGTTGAATATCTTGAGTCGGGCGATCGCGCCGATGGAGGTTTCCAGCTTAGTGTAGTAGGTGACAATGCCTGAAATGCTGTCGCCGAAATTCATAAGAGAGAACATAGAGGCACCAGCAAAGGCAGAGTTGGAATGGAGTCGAACAGCAAGAGTTGTCAAGACCACCGCCATCACCATGACTACGAGATCAAGAACAAGGTTCAGCCATTCTTGGATCATGAGCAGGAGATATGCAGGTCGTTGGCTGGAGTCGATCAGGCGCGCGTTCTTGTGAACGTCCTCGGAGATAAAACCTATGGCTCTGGTGTTAGAAGTGCTTATGGTGTCTTAATGGAATTGCTTTAAGGAATTTGTTGGCATTGGTATGTCACTCACCGAATGCTCGCAGGGTTGTGATGCCCTTCATAGTGTCATGAAAATGCGTGCTATGGTTGCTGGTTAATATGGCGTACACTGGCTGGATATGGCAGACTTACTACAAGGGGCTTTTAGCCTCGAGATCGAGCAACCGCAGCTGTCTGGATGTCCGCAAGTAGAATTTTTGCAGCATATACAGGAGGGCACCCAGGACCGGGTAACTGATGGCCAAGTACACAGACGACGTAAGCATAACGGCTGCTTGTCCGATTGCTTGAAAGACCTGCGAGTCTGTCAGTCTGTCCGGATTTTTTCAAGACGGTCAGTTACTGGGGCTTACACAAAACAGGGTGTTCAATGTTGATTCAGGCAGCTCGGTGTCAATAAGGTTCAGGTCCTGCGAAAATAGGTTTGTCACAACACCAGTATCCGTGTTGGTGAAGAAGCGCAGTGGGGCTCGAATGAGGGTGCGCAAGGCTTCCTGGTGGAGACTGGCACCGGCTCGTTTGACGGAGAAAACAAAGAGCGCGACTCCAAGTACAAGCAGCGATATCAAGGCGCTGACTTGGAACAATGCATATATCCCGGCGTAGTAGGCATGAGAATGCGTTGGATGTGTCGAGTTGTCATCGGTCCAGTATGTGAGCCCTAAATGAGTGGATTTAGTTCTCGTTCTGGGCATTCAAGGAGTCTGCTATTCAAGAAAAAGGCCGACTTACAAACTGTTGCAAAGTTTGTGAAGAAGCCCCAGAGAGCAGCAAAGAACAAGCTACATCCTGCCACGAGCCATCCCATGCTCTTGAAGTAATGCTTGTATACTGTTTTGTCTCCAACTTGCCGGGATGCATGCGTATCTGACGCAAGGGATGATGTATTGGTCGTCGTCGTGTGGAGAAGTTGCGGCTTCGATTCCTGAATACTCTTCTTGGATGGTGTTTTGTCGGACGATGCATCGCTGTCGGAAGGGTTCTTCAATCCCAAACGCTGAACATACCCCTGAGTGGCCATCAGTCTGTCAAAAGTACCCTGCTCAGCAATCGTGCCGTCTCCGAGTGCTATAATATGGTCTGCCGCAGGTAGGTGTCTGACACTGTGAGTACATAACACGACTGTAGATCGTCGTCGTCTGAGTAGACCATCAGGGCCGAATACTTGTCGAAAAACCTGCTCCTCGGTGTCCACGTCGAGTCCACTGAAGACATCGTCTAGCACTAACAGATCAGAGTACAGGTACAGAGCTCGCGCGAGAGAAACGCGTTGTTTCTGACCACCAGACAGAGCGATCCCGTCAGATCCGATATTCGTCCGGTCACCCTGGGGAAGTGTAGCAAGGTCGATTCCCAGAGCTGTAGCTTCGATGACTTCACTATACCTCTCCTGGTTGAACGGAGAGAAGCCAATGATATTGTCTCTGATAGACCCGTTCGAGAGGAATGCCGTTTGGTCGCAGAATCCGACGTGAGGAAACCTAGTACTCGTAACCACGCTACCTTTGCTATAGGGGATCTCCCCAAGCAGTGCCTTGCAGAGCGTAGATTTTCCCGAGCCAACCGGTCCAATGACAATGTTGAGCGAAGACTTGGTCACTTGAGTGTTAATGTCTCGCAAGACGAACCTGTCCGCTACCCAACCAAACTGCCCATTCTTGATGACAACAGGATGAGCCACACAAGGCTCCGAGTCAGACGACGTTCGGGTGCCGACTTGAGATTCCTCCACATTTTGCTTGACTTCAGCGAGCACCTGGCGAAAGTCATGGTGATCCTCGCACTCCAGAAAGGCTTGGATCCGGCCTAAACAGGCCAGTGCAGAGACGAGGTCGGGAATCGATTGGAAGACTTGCGCTAGTGGGTTGGTCAACAGGGTGAGGAAAGAAAGACTTGTGAACATTGTGGAGGCATCCAATGTACGTGAGGTAAATGCAAAGGTCAATGCCGGACTAATCAGCTGAGGAATAAAAGCAAAGAGCGCCGCGACTATGAGTATCATGCGAAACCGCGCGCCGGATGCCAGTTCTTCGACCCGAAGCTTCTGCACAAAGTCTCCGACGGCAGCAGAGAGACCAGAGATCTTCAGATTCTTCATGCTGGCAATGACCGTAGCCGTTAGGCCCACACGCTTCTGAATGCCTGACATCCAGGCCCTTTGCGAGTCTCCGGTAAAGTTGATAAGAATCCCTAATCCAACGAAGCAAGCTATGACGACTCCCATTGGTGCCACGAAGACCACCCCAAGTCGATCGTACAGCATCCATCCAGCGAGAGCAGCCTGTATTACACTCGCCCACAATTCATGCAGCGACCGGATTCCCACCGTGATTCGTTCCATATCTGTGCTCATTAAAGTCAGCACAGCGGTGTCATCGCCACTTCCGATACGAGCTTTCGTGGCTTTGTTGTATATCTCGGTAACCAGTATCGACCTTGTCATCGTACGCATTCGGTGTTGGAAGTACCTGCACCTGATGTGTAAGTAGCGGCTCTTTGTGATTCTTGCTTAGGGTGTACTATACCAGGTGAAGGCCCATGAAATAGCAAGCCCTGAATAAATCAGCAAGCTAGCCCCGATGAACCCATATCCAACATTAGGATCAAGTCTAGGCTGAGATAGGTAATCTAACAGCTTTTCAAGAAAAAGTGGTTGACTGAACGTGAAAGCAAGGCGTGCCAGACGGGGTAGCACAGGAAGTAGGAGAGGAACTTTCAGTGTGCGCACGAGTACCTTCAGAAGACCATACTTGTCTCCTTTCAGTTTAAAGTAGTCCATATGCCTGGAAAACTCCTCATGGAGCGCTTCAGCGTCGAACGAGCTATCCAGGGGATACAGGTCCTCAATCGTCAACACTTTCCTGTAGCCCATCAAGAACATATTATTCAGCCAAAAGAAGACCCCAAGAGAGAAGATACCGCTCGTCTCCTCTGGGCTGTGCTTCTTCTCATCCCAGCTGACCCATTTAGACTTTTGCTGGGCTTCCAGTAGCAGTATTCCAATCTTCAAAGCTAGGGCCGCACTGAAGATGCTGCAGTAGGTGAGCTCAGGCTTATCATTGGATGACAGAAACAACGTTCTCGTCTGAGCCGCGTCCAAGAGAAGAGTCAGAAACAGGTAGCTGTTCAATAGCACCGATGGTCGTGGGCTTCTGCTGTGATCGAGGACGCTGAGCGTTATCATGAACAGAGCCGATACGAGCTTGAGGACCGAGGAAGCTATGAACATGCTAGTGACTTGGAAGGACCCAGCCGCAACCAGGATAAGAAGCGAGAGTTCAAGTCCTACATAGGTTGTTATGGCACCCTACTTCTATTAGCGCAGGGAGACTAGACGCCGGTATCCTGGAAGGAAGATGTTACCACTTTGATGAGCTGGAATATAGGAGCATTCACCACGGTGGGCTTCCGCGCCTGGGAAACAGTCCGCCATAGCGACGTGACAATAAATAGAGCCGACGGGATGATAGAGAAAAACAGCTGCTCGAATTGGAGGTTGAAGTCGAAGCTCTTTTGGTTCAGCTGCAGCAGGTTTCCTTCTCCCGATGTGAAAGGCATATTGGGCCCCTGAGCACGTGGAAGGCAGGTCGATCCGGGACCCCACTTCCGCAGGGTGAAAGCGGGTATCTAGTCTAGTTCTTTTACTCCGTAGACTTAAGAGAAGGTTAAATCATCCACGTTGACACTGAAAGCCAAGGCTATTTATGGACAAGTCCAGGGACTGATCGCTGTCGGATCATCCCAGATAAACGTTGGAGCCTCCTACAGAAGGCCCGTGTCCAGCATATAATACTGGCTGGTGGGATGGCGCGATGGAGCGCGCCAGGACCACCATACCTGACGTCTTTTATTCGCTGCTTGAATGGCGTGCGAATCCGAGCCCAGGACGACCGTATCCAGTGGCCTTCCTTCGACGCCACGGACGCCGGATCACCTTCCTAATTTGGCTAGGCCTATGAAGCGATCCAAATCCCTTATCTTCAACCCAGTTACAACCACTCAGGTGCTTGGGATCTTTTCTGCCTGCTTTTGCTCGTGACTGGCTGTTGAATATTGATGCCTTGTGAGCCGGCTTATGCGACTCGGGTCGTAACATCGCCTAGTTCCTCACAATATGGGGCAGGACTTATTTCTCGATGCAGAATGCAGTAGCTAGCTGACGAGTAATCATTAAGACTGTCAAGCCTATCAGTAATCTTCGATATTGGCAGAAAAATCAAGTGCTGGGACAGAGCTGCATTAGTAGCTATGTTAACCGTGGACTATAGTTGCTATAAACAACGAATTGATTATAGCAAGCCCTTGATGGTCTAGTTGGTTATGGCGTCCGGCTGTAATGGTTAATTGTAACCGGAAAATCCCTGGTTCGATTCCGGGTCGAGGGACTTACCTTTTTGTTTTTTTGGCTGACCATCCCAACAAATCATTCCACCAACCAGGAGCACCCATTTATCACCGTTCAGCCTCTCCAGACAGAACAATATTGAGACAAACATAAGTTGTGCGCGATCATAGCCCACCAGCTTCATGCTGAACCCTATGAACCCGTGTCCACCTTGTCGAGCACTACCGACGATCTCATACACGACCAACGATTCAGAGATTAGATGTGTGTTTTCAAAGGTCACTTGTCAGGATGCTCAGTTGTCGTCTTACCTTCAAATTCTCCAGATAGGCCTTTGAAACTATTCCTTGTGGCGTCACTACTCGTGTTCTGGCCTGGTTGGTTGAATCGCAATACTGTGTTTACTGATATGATTATTTGAGGAGAAGTGTACTCTGTGAATCAGGTAACGGTTGTTGTTAGAGGATGTGCTCAGATCACAAATCACAATCAATTTCAAGAGCATGGGTGAGGGTGTAGACTGTGTGACCGTCTAGAAACTGCCTTACGAACTGCGGCGTGTTTTGGTGCCGGTTATATATTTGCGTAGCACTCAGTGTTTCAGATAATGCAGATGAGGATTTACACGCCGCGCATACAACGAAGATGGGGGGAAATTTCATTCAATGTCACCAGAGCCTTGTAGTAAGACTGATAAGTAGCAAGGATGGTTTAGATGGTGGAAGTACAGTTTCTTTCTGTATGGTTGGGGGGTCTCTCAGTGTTGGGGTGTTAATACTATGACAATGGAGAAAACACTACAGATAATAAGATGGCTATACTGAAAGCGAGACAACTTGAAAGTTCAATTCATCATTGATTCAAAATACTAGCAGAGTAATAATCGATATTGATATGGAACGGACTCCCCAACACGACCTGCGTAGGGACTCCCAGAACATTCATCGAATACTGTTATCGTCATCAAATAAGACCTCACCCTCCATCAACTCCGCCTCTTCTCGGTCGATCACACGATCCCCAAATAAAAGGATGTACCAGCTCAAGATCTCACAAAGCACCGCAATGAAAAAACGAAAGGCAGCTTCGATGGCCGTCTACAGGGAGTTAGCCATGAAATTTACTGGAAGCGATGCTGCTTACCATCTTAGGCTGTGAAACTGGCTGGGAGCAATAAGTTACGAAGACCAAATATTAAGGTCTGATGACGGGATCATTAGCTGGAGGTAACAGTCAAGGAAGGGGGCTTCAACACACTTTCTGCAGGTAAGATTGACGCATTTGTTGCATTTTCCGTAGCAGCTGTTCTTTCCAGTACAGATCTGGCCACACATATTAGACCTGGTGTCGAGGCTGTCCTTAGGAATTGGAGTAGTCTCCTCGAGACTGACTGCTGCAGCGTTGACGAGGGTGGAGAGGAGGGACAGGGCGAGGAAGTTGAAAAGCTTCATGGTGATGAGGTTGGTTATTGACTGGGGTAAGTTGGGGTTTGTAGTGGGAAAACAGGATTTTCGAGCAAATATATGGGAAGAACATGGTGAATATATAGTAGTGAAGAGGCACTATTGGAATCGAGTGAATCTGTTCCGTCTGGCTCATGGCTCACTATAATGGGAGTGATACACAAGCCAGGCGCCATCCAATGAATGCCAGCCAACTAAGTCGGTAGGCTCCAACACTAGGCTTTCATTCCCATTGCTCCATTAAGATGGAGTGATTCATATTGAGGGCGATCTAAGGGTACATGATACTTGGGGCTGACATGATCCTGGTTAGCCTAGAAGCCGGGCAAGGTCGTCTTTGTGTCCTTGAGTACTCCGTGCTAACATGAAGCAAATACTGTTAGAGACATGGGACCCATGTGATTGATTTATGTAATTATGGGCTCGATTTGTCGCAAGTATAACAATGAATCTTGCTTCCGAGGTACCCGAGTGGTTTGACTGACTGGTGGATTGAAAATTTGGCACTTGGTTAGACAAAGGTTAATCTAGCCCTGCGACTCTTGTGTAACATAGCAGGCGGGGTAAAAGATGTCATATTGTCGATCCTCGTGGTAAGCCTCGATAATTACCAGTCAGATCGCTGTAACTACTGTAGTTGTGCTGACACAGATCCTTTGTCCATTGCAGACGATCAGTCACCGCTACTTTGGGATAAGCAACGAAACATCTGTTCTTGAAACAGATATTTGTACTTTTGCATCGAATATTTCCATCGAGCAAGTTAGCGAAGCCTGGTGTTAGAGGCGTTGTACTCGAAAGATCAATGGCTGCCGGGAATGTCAATGTATATAGCTCTCCTTCGCGTTTCTCGTGTGACATGTGGAGGTACCTCCTCCTGAAACAGCTACCACTCGTATATGGTGATGCCTATTATCTCGAATAGAACCAAAGAGGTCGATTATCCCTGTTTCCAGAGCCCCTGGTCCTTTGATCGGGACCTCAAGAACTGCAATGCACGTTTGCAGGTCTATTTTGCTTATGTATGCTCTTGTGGATCAACGAAACTCGAGGTTTTCATCTTGATAGATGGATTGTGTTGCAAGAGGAAATGGCCATGCCTGTGCCTATGTATATATTGGTTTGCACGAAGTCGTAGAGAATCGAGCTGCCCTCCGGTGTTCAAATTATTTGACAGCCCTAGATCGTAAGCAATGAGAATTACTATACTGGCCTTCCTAGGAAGCTTCACAGAGACCAATTACCTGAAATGGCTCCTTGACAGGAACTAGAGAGACAAGGTTTAGGCCACCGGATTGCTACCTGTCCTGAGCCTAACTGACAGCTTGAACTTGCTAAATTGAAGTTAGTGAGTAAAATTGTGAACGAGTCTGGTTCGTGGTCCAGTGCACAGATACTGGCAAGCAGGTTGATGAATGACGAAAGACCGGGGTGATGCCTCCATCGGTCAAGGCTCCGATAGCCGACGCCCAGGGGAAGATAAGCCAGGGGGCGGGACTGGCCAGTTAGCCGAGCTGCCCCGCCCCGCCCAGGATCGCCGTACTTTATCGGCGTGTCCCGCCTGGTTTATCCACCACCTTCCTGAGACATGGCACTCCCTTACATAGGCCGGCACTGGTGCCGGTCGACAACCGGATGGGGCTCCAGTTTCCCCTCACGGGGAACGGAGGACTCTCCTCCTTCTCGCACTTTACTGACATATTCGGAAGGTTGCCGATCTTCCATATAAGAGGCCCAAGCTGCCGTCTAGCCAACTTTGCACACAATCGAGTGTCTATTCTCAGTTTGAGTTCGGATCCGAATCATGCATATGAAACTCGCAGGTAAGCTTCTACACGATATTAGCCTCCATTGAAGCTATCAATCCCGGCCAATGAAGCTAATAAAGTCAGATAACCTCGGGGACATCCTCGAGGAATTCCGTCCCAATCTGACCCGGTTCGAATCTCTCTATCGCCACATCCATAGCCACCCCGAATTGTCCTTCTGCGAAGAAGAAACCTCAAATATCGCTGCCGAGCACCTGAAGGAATTGGGATACGAAGTACATACGCACATCGGTGGCTACGGCGTTGCCGGGGTTCTCCGAAATGGCGATGGGCCCACAGTTCTTCTACGAGCCGACATGGACGCGCTCCCAGTAGAGGAAAAGACAGGGCTCCCCTACGCAAGCACCAAGACTGCGAAGAATAAGGATGGAGTAGAGGTGCCAGTCATGCACGCCTGCGGTCACGACACCCATGTCGTTAGCTTGATGGCCAGTGCTTCTCTCCTTTATTCGGCCCGAAAGCATTGGTCCGGCACCCTGATTTGCATCTTCCAACCAGCAGAGGAACTAGTATCGGGAGCGCGGGCCATGCTGGATGACGGTCTCTATGACAAAATACCTCACCCTGACGTGGTGTTGGCACAGCATGTCATGCCCATGAAAGCAGGCACGATCGGTGTCATCTCCGGCCGGCTCTTGACGGCGGCGGATTCGTTCAATGTGCGCATCTTCGGCAAGGGTGGCCATGGCTCGGCGCCTGAGGTCTGCATTGATCCCGTTGTTACGGGGGCCTCGATTATCATGAAGCTGCAGACCATCGTGGGCCGTCAGGTGCCTCCCGGCAAACTGGCTGTGGTGACATGTGGCTATATCCAGGCCGGTCACGCGGGAAACGTCATCCCAGACACGCTCGATCTCAAACTGGACGTGAGAACGTGCGATGAGGTGATCCGTGAGCGTGTGGTGAGCTCCGTCAAGCGAATCATCCGCGCCGAATGCGAGTCAGCTGGCTGTGAAAAGGAACCTCAAATCGACCACGTCTCCTCCACCCCGGCCACCATCAATGACGACGCCACTGTACAAACCCTGCGGAAGGCTTTCGGCTCTTACTTTCAAGATTGTCTCGTTGAGACGAGTCCTGCCAACGCAAGTGAGGATTTCTCATTATTGGCTCGAGCTGTGAACGCACCGTACGTGATGTGGACATATGGCGGCGTCGATCCTCAAACCTGGGACGACGCAGTGAAGAATGACACGGTGAAGGACCTTCCCAGTAACCACTCGCCATACTTTGCGCCAGTGATCGAGCCCACGCTTCAAACAGCCGTGGATGCGATGTCCATCGGAGCGCTGACATTCTTGGAGCGACAATGAACCTCATGCAGACATCCACCTAAAGCATTAGAATCCACCGCCTACGAATAGTAATGATTCAAATACAAAACTATAACCTCTTACTTCCTCTCCGCAACATGAACCACAATCTTCCCCCTAGCCCTTCCTCCCCTCAACTTCTCAAACGCCTTTGGCGCATCCTCATACTCAAACACACTATCCAGGATCACCCTCACCTTCCCCTCCTTGATCAACTCCCCCATCTTCGTCAAATCCTTCTTATTACTCTTCCAAAAGATCGGCACATACTTGGTGCTCCCGCCGCCCAAAAAGCGCGGCCTAAGCATCCTCACCACAAATGTCGGCATCCAATGCGCCCCGACCTGCGTGAACACTCCCCCGGGCAAAAGGAACCCCTCGCTCTCCGCATACAACCCCGTCGGCTCACCCACATGATCCACCACCAACTGAAACACCTTCCCCTTTCCCTTCAACACCTCCACCACATCCTCATTCACATAATCAATTACCTCATCCGCCCCCAATTCCTTCACAAACTCCACATTCTTGGTCGAGCACACCGCAGTCACCTCGCACCCCAACGCCTTGGCAATCTGCACGGCATAAATCCCACATCCACCGGACGCACCCACAATAAGCACCTTATCCCCTTTATCCGCAGTCACATACGGCGCAATAGCCTGCCACGCCGTCTGCCCTGCAACCCCCACCGTCGCCGCATGATCGATCTCTACCCCCTCCGGCACCAATTGTACATGTTCCGCCTCGGCGATAATATACTCCCCCAACGGCCCAAATTGGGTCGGTAGACTCAACGTTCCGTAAACAATCTGTCCCGCGCTGAACTCCGTCACATTGGCTCCCGGGGTAACAATTTCGCCTGCGAAGTCGAGACACGGACTGGCGGGTTTGCGGATCAAGAGGCGCGAGACGATGGGCATTGAGGGGACTTTGTAATCTGCTGGGTTTAGGGCGCAGGCGAGGACGCGGATGAGGAGTTGGGTGGTTTTGGGGGGTGGAGGAGCGGGAGCGCTGGGTGTGAGGGTGAGGTTTTGTTCGAGGGTGGGCGAGGTGTGGCTGTATAGCCAGGCTTTCATTGTTGTTGGGTGTGACATTTTGAATTTGGGATGGGTGAGTGTGTTGTGTTGTTGATGGATGGATGGAGGTGGAGTGCAAGGTGGAAGTGGAGGAAATGGTGTGACGGAGAGCTGTCACACAGGTTGCTGGGCGGGCCGGATTGGGATTGGTGCGGGCGATAAGATAAGCAGTGTCGGGCGACGTCATCGTCCATCTTTGTGTTTGTGATTAGTGCAATGGACGTTTTATTACTATTTGTTTGGAAATGACAAGAATACAGGATGAATATTTGCTTCCATATAGAGCATACAGTCAATTCAAGGGCAATGAATTGTCTATGTGTCTTTCGTCCCCGGTCGAGGGAAGAAGGCGAAGCCAGATTTCCAGCCATTGTGTAGGTATTCTAGCACAACTACATTGTATATTTTTGCCAACAGGATTATTCCTGGTATGTTTGTGCTTTTGCTTGTGCCATGAGTTAGTTGTCAGCCACTGAAGCAAAGATATATCTGTTTCAGCATTCAACCGGTTCCTTTCTCTCTGAACTGTGTTTGACGTACTCTCTTTGCTATCAATGTACGGAGTACTCAGTTCCTATTTCAGCCCAGTAACAACATTCGTGGGCTAATTGTAGAATATACCATGCTATATAACACCTGATGCATAATTAATAGCCATAATAGCTGTAGAGGAGGGTTTTCCATCGATTAACTGGGAATGGAGATGCTAGTCAAGGTGTTATACATACCGAATCACACGCTGTGCTACCACGAAACAGCTATCGCATGAGAAATTTGCTCCTTGTGCCTGCTGAAATTGTGTAAATTATCATCCCAGCTGTCTGTACGACTTCTCCACTTCTCAAGTCGAGCCAGAGTACGAGGGGTTCGAAGCCTGGTTTTTTCGAGATGGTCGTTCCGAATGCTCCCGGAGGTTTGGGGGCCCAGGAGATTAAGGAGGCGCGCGTCATACACCAACTGGCTCAAAATCTCATCGTGAAGCGCTAAACCTAGCAAGAGGATAAATGGATTCTATTGGTTCTGGGGAGTGAGAGGTCAACATCACATGTACGACACCGGTATGAGTGGGGTCGAAAAAGTGGCACACAGACGCGCGCACACTGTATTGAATTTCGTATTTGGAGACATGTTACGTTGATCGCTGCCAGGTCTCTGGTTGCTGTTCACTGAAGGGTTGCCTGTGCTGTCGCTCCCGAGGTGAGTTTGATCTTCATCAGCTTCACCTACCCACCCTGGAGGAATCGCGACGATGTCTGAGCCCTTCTGCATCATAATGACCTCGGGCATGTAAACACGACGCGAAATCACGAAACTCGATGCATGATCATGTGAAATGCCCTCTAATGGTTCATCTAGTCATCCCCATCTTGTTCAGTGGCGTGGGCACCAAGTCATCAACTAACGACTAATCAATCAATTGGCCCCCATCGCTCAGACCATACTACTGCCCAGGCCGCGCGTCTTCAGGCTCAACAGCCTCGTGTGGATCATATATTAACCTTATCTGGCTTGATCCTAAACTAGCCTAATGATGCTAGTGACTTAGATGTCGTTTGGCCCCCACACCATTGTTCCTTCAGACTTTGGTTACGAAGATTCCATTTCGCCCGATAGTCGGCATGCAGAAGGGATACGAGAAAGGAAGCTACTGGTAATACGCGATATTTCTCTTGATCTATGCGTGCTGACATCCGTTTACAGTGCTAGAAACAGGCTTTCGGAATTTGTACATCGCGCCTCCTTCATAGCCTTCTGAGCGAGTAATAACAGAACTCCTCAAAGGAAATGAATTCCCCGAATCCGCCAACTCACCCCACAACTACTACAGTCGAAGAGCTGATACCCAGCCTTGGTGCTGTCAAGCACACGCTCAACCCGCAGTTGCACTCCGACTTCCTGGAACGCTTGACCCACTGACCGTCTGCTGTTATCCCCGAACGGGCTGTTCAATATCGCGTCCTCGGATGACCTGGCGGACTGGACGGTGACGGTTTCCAGATTAAGCAAGCTCCCCCGTGAGATCCAGTTGTAGACCAGCGGTAAAGTATACAGGTCGGGAGTGCTCTGTTCGTGGTATTCGAAGAACACCAGATGTTTGATGCTGGAAGGGAGCTGGCATTCTAACTCCCTACTTTTCCACAGGCAGGCTTCGTTGTTGTTCTTAGGGTCAAACTTTCCGTCGCCTCTCAAGGCTCTTGGATCAACAGTAAGTTGTTCCAGGCAGCGGAAAGCACGAAAGTCTAGCGCTGGATTATCCCATACCCCTGGATAAAAGTCCAGGTCAAGGGTAAGAAGTGAATGAGCCTGAACCTTCATGGCGTCAATGCATTTCTGCCTGTCCTCCATAACATTGTATGGTCTATGCGTCCAAGGGGCCCCTTTATAGGTGAAGTGCTTCAAGGCTCGGGGCAGCGACAACAGGTCATGGATCCCTCTAAGCGCCGCATCACAGCCAAACAAACTCAAGTTTTCGAGTGATGTTGATCGAGCTGAAGCCATGAGCGAGTCTGCCAGGCCTGAAACATTGGCCCCCACAAGTGTCAAATCTTTCAGGTACGGATGGATCATCACGGTTCCACGCAAGCGAAAGTCCCAAGGCGGTTCCGAGCGCGAAAGGTCATCCATGATTAGCTGACCTGGAGAACATTAGCCGTGTAACCACTACTGGATGAAAATGCTGGCAGACATTTTGTAAGGGACTGAAGGACTTGTGAGCCTGGCACCGCAGACTGCGCAAAAAGTTCGTTCCATTTCTTGGTCTCTTCAATGACTCTCTCATACCCACCCAGGTATTCATCGTCTTCTTCTCGCTCAGTATCATACTCAAGGCCCTTGATGACAAGCGATCTCAAATTTACGAGGCGGCCGATTGTGGGGGCGAGGCTCTCCGCATAACACGGGTAATACTCCTCTTCATCGGGAACTCCAACAAAGTGGTAGTGGACAAGAAGCTCTTGAACATATTCCGCACGAGCTGGCAGACAGTCCAGGGCATATGCAAATTTTTCCCCATCGTGGTTGCGCAAGTACACCGATTGGTACAAAATGCGCTCGACGACCGGCCGAAGCTGCTGGCAGACCCGCGCGAGGCTGGCAAGAGAGGCACGGGAGGCGACCTGTGCCAAGATCGCCTCTAAAGTCTCAGGGGGTAATACGAAGAGATTCATGTGGAACCAAGGCGTTGCGTGACACCTGAGTGTCATAGAAAGTGATGTTGGGAGGAAAGCCGGAGCGGCGGGATTATAAGAGCTTAGGCTGGGGGCGGTGGCTGATTCTGAGCCTTCCAGCCCTAACTTTCCGCTCCGGTACCTGCGCCTCCGCAGTTTGGCCCCAACAATGAAACATCACGGCCCCCAAAGTATACGCACCGCAGAGCCTCGGGATTAGAGCGGCCTTCTAACCCCGAAGTATACTAACACTCAAGGCAGTATGTGCCCTCGTGAGAGAAGGGATAAATACCCAGTCGTGCTCTGTCGATCCGTTCTAAATCACACAACTGACTCCAAATCAACTCACCATGGCTGGCCCTAAATCTGCCGCTCTCTTGCTCTTGCTGGCCAATATGGCCTCTGCTTCTCTTTGGCCTATGGCTCGGGGGGAAGCATCGTCCGCGACCCTGGCTGCTGCTGCAAGCGCGACCTCGACGTCGACCTGCTGGAAGTACTCCATTCCTGCGAATCTCACCGAAGACGATATTGAACAGAATGACGCAAGTTCATCGACAAGGCGACGGAGCCACGATGGGATCATGCACCTGAACCATTTTGCCCGCAGAGGTCATGACGATATTACTGAATTAGGCAAATGCAAATTGACCGACACAATTTACAAGCCCAAGTATTTTACTTCGAAGAGGATACAAAGTGGCCAGGACAGCACAGATGGCTATAGCTTTCTCGGCTACTTTATCCCGAAACTGGATTCATGCGACGCAGCTGCCACTTATACCACAATTGCCAAGTCAGCGGACGTTCCGAAGGCGACGGCAGCCTATTGGGACACCGTCGAGGCTAACACTCAGAAAACCTACCTCGCTCTGGGGACACAAATCAAAGAAGCCAACGCTCACGATCCTCACATCAACATCGATCATGTTTGTGAGTAGGCCTGAAATCTAAGTGGCTATGTCTGGGCTGACTATTACCAGATGAACTGCAGATTCTAGATTCATTCCTGACGGCTATGATCGAAAAGTACAATTTCTGCGACAGCTTTAACACATGGTTCCTGGAAATCGATACTACTTTCAAGAACCAGAGAGGTGAACTCAAGTCCCGACTCCAGAAGCTCTACAGCTTTGTATGTATATCGTGCCAAGGAACCGTGCTACAGGTGTACTGATATATACCCACAGTTACCTGGCCAAAAATACCCAGATCTGGTGGCCGAGGATAGTCGCTTAAATAGCTACAAAGCGCCTGTTAGTCTACCCCTCTTCCTCTTCGGTTGCTAGATTACTATCGACGGCGGCTAATTCAAGGCATCAGATGTTTGGAAGCGACAGCCTAAGCGGCTTGCCCACGCCGAGTAAAGGAGATGCCCTCCAATCCAATGCCTTGAGCATTATGAACACCATGGCGGTTGTGGTGGCCATGCTCCGCGATAGCAGCATTGCGAATTACTTCAAGAACTCCAACACCCGTATTTACAAAGCATTTCTTGGAATTGATAGCCTCATGGCATCCCAGAAACAGTGCAATGCGGATCTGGACCTCCCCCAGCCGAATGGCGGCTGGGCCAGCGCCTATTCCAGCTGGATGGAAGACTTTGTGCAGACCCAAGCGAACGCGGTCTCGACCCGCATCTCCGCGGTGTCGGCAGTCGTGACTAGCACGGAGGCTGCGGGGGTGAAGAATATCTACGGCAAGGCGTTGGATGCGTTCAATGAGAAATACCCGGCATCGTCTTGGAAATGGGAGAACAGCCAGCTGCTGGACTGGAGTGCAAAGGATGGCACTGCTTTTGCTAAGCGCGAATCTTCAGTGGCCGCCTGCACACCCACTTCGATGGCATCTTCCTCCGCAAAAGCATCCCACTCTGCCTCCAGCAAGGCCACACCGGCGCATACGGGAAGCACGGCAACTGAGACAGGTGAGTTGCTCCTATTGCAGTTATTGCGAGAGGCTAACATGAACTAGGATCGCACTCAGCCAAGGCCACCGTGACGAGCTCGCACAAGGCCACGGTCACGCCGACAACGCACACCTCTTCCACCGCCGCAGCCGAGACCAAGACCAGACACAGCTCCGAATCTGCCGAGGTTGAACACTCGTCGAAGACTACCAGTAGCGCGAAGGTGGTAGACACGGAGACCAGCAAAGCGGCACACAGCCCTTCAACGGAGGCCAAGCACTCCACCACCAGCACAAAGACCACTACCTCGGAGGCCAAGGAGACGACCAGCACCAAGGGATCTACCAGCGCGATGGCCAAAGAGACCACGAGTACGACCTCCACGCACTCGACCACCAGCACAAAAGCCACCACCTCGGAGGCCAAGGAGACCACGAGTACGACATCCACGCACTCCACCACTTCGGAGAAGAAGACCACTACCACGACCGAGGCCAAGGAGACGGAGAAGGCCACCACGACCAAGGAGGAAAAGACCAAGACCACCACTAAGAAGTCCTCGGAGGCGACCAAGGACTCGTCGTCGTCATCTTCATCGTGTAAGAAGAAGAAGTGCAAGAAGGGGTAAGTGGATCCGGATGCTGAGAGAAGTCCCGACTAACATGGATAGGAAATGCACTTGTGTGTCCTGAGGGGGTTGACGACATTGGAGTGTGGCTTGGATGAGTGTACATTATTCTCTTCTCCGAGGCTGTGGATAGCCCGACTTGTCTTAGTGTTAACTTTTGGATTCCCTACCAATAAAGTTGTTTGTGTGGAAATCTGTCTACCGGTGGAATGATCCATTTTATGCAGGACTGTTAGACTAGCGGCCAAGCCTCCATCTCGGAGCCTTGGCATCCATTGAAGGATAAGATTCTAAGCGAGGATCATCGCTATCTCTCCTGCAGGAAAGCTCGGACCGCCCATCTTAATCTCCAAGAAAAGACTATTCGAGACTGCTGGCGAGACAAGTCATCAAGCGTGGCGGGAAAAGCGGCCAGGCCAGCACCGCCGCCGCCAGGAGAGGGCCGCCATGACATCACCCGCGGTCGGCTTTTTCTCGCGTTCGTCGCCAGTCCATCAGTGACGATGCACCATCGATCCTCCCATTCGATGACGATAAACCCGGCTGTTTGTGCCTCAGTGCCCAATGACAAGTGGCAATCGGATTCAGCTGCAATGCGTTCCTGTCCTCGGCTCGATCTGCCTCTCTCGTTTATCTCGGGCTCTGCATGCGCTCGTTTCCACCTCCCCCCTTTCCCCCTTCATTCCTGCGACCCGCTCCACCGTATCCTCACTGCCATCCTTAGCTTCTTTTTTTCTTCCCTGGCAGCTACATAAACCATGCGTCCTGGTCACTCCATCCTTCCCTAGAACATCACCATGCCGCTAAACACCTTCGCCCTGGGCGTGGCCCTCACCCCGGCGGTCCTTCAGACCCTGATCTCTCATGTGGGTCGCTCTGCCGCTGTCACCCCCAGCCGGTTTCACCCGTTTCATTGTTCTTGACCCCGATTCATATCCTGACCTGCTCCTCTCTCTCTCTCTCCAGTATCTCCATCGCAAATCGCTTCGCCATAAGCCCAATGTCCATCTTACCTATGATGAGGCTATTCGCATCCTGCGCGAATTCCTCACCTACGCGGCCAAGCACCCCGTCGAGGATCTCCAGGCCTTTTCCTGCCAGAAGGTGCCCGTGCCCCATTGGGTGAAGCTCCAGACTGTGACGGTCTCAGAAGATCATCTATCATCCGCAGCGAATGCCATCAACAAACAGCTCGGCCCGAAGGGTATCGAACGGGTTGGCGGGAGCGAGTGGTGGCAATGGCGGGGACCAGCGGAGGATCTGAAGGGAGAGTGGATCGAGATGAAGGACGATTACAATGCACGGACGCAGACGAGTCGTGATCACCCTAGTCAGAAGCGGATCATGTTGTATATTCATGGCGGGGCGTATTTCTTCGCCAGTGTGGATACCCATCGGTACCAGATGCAGCGGCACGCGAGGAAGCTCAAGGGACGGGTGTTTGCACGGTAGGTTTCATTCATCCGATGTGATATTGAATGCTAACTGGAGTAGTGAGTTTGGATGCAGTATATGAACTATGGGAGGAGAAAGCTAATTTGTATTGCAGCGAAATATCGTTTGGCTCCGCAGTATCCGTTTCCATGCAGTCTGCAGGACTCTTTGGCCTCTTATTTGTATCTTTTGGAAGCTCATGACCCCAAGGAGATTATCTTGGCTGGAGACTCGGCGGGTGGTGGAATGGTGCTTTCGTAAGTGAACTGCGTCTGCGAGAGGACATGGCTGATGGTGGAAGGATGCTCGTGATCCTGCGCGATCAAGGGATTCCCTTGCCGGCGGGCGCAATCTTGATCTCGCCCTGGGTGGACCTCACGCATTCATTCCCGAGCATTGTCGCGGACAACCCGGGCGATTATATTCCCCCGTATGGCTTTAGACATAAGCCCTCCGCAGCGTGGCCCCCGCCAAACGCAGATGAGCTCCGCGAGCTCAAGAAAGGCCTTGCCAAGAATCCCGCCAGCCAAAGTGAAGCCCTCAAGGCGATCCCGAACGACCATAGCGAGGATGCAGACACGGCTGCGAAGGGGTATTCAGAATACAAGAATGGCACGCCTGAGGTAGACCACGAGAGTATCCGGGTGACGCTTGACGGCGAGACTGTGGAGGTCAAGGATCAAATCCACATGTACACGACCAACGAACTGTTGACACATCCTCTCGTTTCTCCAATCCTGCAGCCGTCTTTGGGCGGTCTGCCCCCGCTGCTGATCCAAAGTGGCGGCGGCGAAATGCTACGCGATGAACAATTTTACATTGCTCACAAAGCCGCCAACCCCGCGGCATACCCGCCCAGCGATCGGTTCATGGAAGAGCACGATCCAACTCGCGAGATCCTCCACAAATATCCGGGAACACACGTGCAGCTGCAGGTCTGGGATGACCTCTGCCACGTTGCTCCCACCCTCAGTTTTACACGCCCAGCCAAGTACATGTACCGGGCCATCGCACAATTCGGAGCTTGGGCCCTGGCATGCGCCCAGAAGGCAGAGGTTGATATCGCCGATCAACATTCGGGGTCGTCCAGCGAGACCGACAGTACGTCTGAAGCGACCAACGGTGCCACTGATGACTCCGTCTCGTCCATTGGAAAAGCCGGCGATCCATTGCCAGCATTCAAGGATCGCATGATCCGTCAGCGAGTGGACAAGCGAGGCAATGTCTACCCGCTTGATCCTCCATCCTCCTGCTCCGTTCTTCAAATCCCTAGCTCTGATGTCGGTGCCTTCAACCCGGATCTGGTCCGCGGGTGGCTCATCGCGAAGCAAGAGTGGGACGACAAGTTCGCCAAGGAGAAGCTCCGCGTTCAACGACAGCGGATCAAGGAACTGGCGTATGGGCTACAAGCCTTCAAGGGTGAGCTGCCTCCCCCTAGTTCTCTGGCAGCTAGACGAACCGCCCCTGGCGTATTGCCATCCAAGACCGGCCGCAAGAGCTACCCCATGACCATGTGGAGCCGGGTGGCTAGCAAGCAAGACGAGAGAATCATCGCGCGGGACCAACAGAAGGGCAACCATGCCAAGCGGACCAGTGTCGACGCCGGACGCGCCGGAGCGTCGATGGACGAGGCCGAGGCACGACGAGCGGACGTCTTGCCCACCGTCGACCCGTCCACTCGCCCAGGCATTGTCATTCAGGAACCGACCAACGTCAGAGACGCTGCAGACACGTCCGAACGGGCGAGCTTAGCCTCTCCCAAGAGCTCAACGGACGCACTCGCCCCGTCGCTCACCAAGTCCACCAGCCGACTGATACTTCTCCCCGAATACGAAGGGAAGAAGCTCCTCGACGAGAACGCCAGCACGAGGACACTCTTCCGCGAAGCCGGGGCCATCCCAACGGGATCTGACGCCGCATGGGCGCGCCTCCGCCAACGTCCATTGTCACATGCCGGCTCCGGCACCATCCGCAGTGAATTCACCTCCGAGCTGCCCGAAGACAGCAGTACCATTGGCGATGAAAAGTCATTAGCAGTGACCACCACCGGTGTAGATGCGGCGAGTACGCGAGCGGTCCTCCACGCGGGGGGTGTCGTGAGCCCACTCAGCGACGATGACTCGGCCTATCGATCTTTCGATGCGACGGACGGAGGGAGTATCGAGCCGTCTGTCAGTGTCGGCGCCGCTGAAGCGACCAGTGCAGCGAGTGTGAATGGCACAGACACTGACAAGCATGCACGTCCGACGATGCCGGATCGAGAGTTTTTCAAAACGGCCGAAGAGTTTGTTGCATATTGATCATTTACAGCGCTGCGATATACGTTCGTTTCTTTCTTTGTTTCTTCACTTGATTACCTGGATAATCACTTGGATCACATCTAGGATATCTTGGATTGTTGTGATGTCTTCTACATTCTTTGTCTGAGCATGCGAGTATATGCTGTCCTTTTGCATGTTAATCTCTTCTGTTTGTGTGAATACCCCATCCCTACTAGATACCATCTACCGCTCTACCCAACCAATACCACGTTACTGTACATAAACCAACATAATACATGACACATGAATTGGGTATAACATATCCTACATACTATACAGCCCAACCTTCACCTGATCCCACTACACAGACAGACAGACAGACAGGTATCACCACTGCACCCCCACCTTCCTCGCCACCTGCTCCGCAATATCCAAAAACGCCTTCCTCCTCACTCCCAACCCCATATCCTCCCCCCCTTCCTCCGCCACAACCGTCGGCACCCCCCGATCCGCATCCTCACAAACCCTGGCATCAAGGGGCACATCCCCCAAAAACTCCACCCCGAGCCTCTGACACTCCGCCTCCACCCCCCACCCCCCATCACCACTACCAGTACACCCCTGCACATGCCCCCCATTCGAAAAAATCCTCGTCTGCAACCCACACCCCGGGCATGCAAAATACGCCATATTCCTAACCATACCTAACACCGGCACCTCCATGCGCTGAAACATGCCAATGCCGCGGACTGCGTCGCGCAGCGCGATATCCTGGGGCGTGGTGACGATGACGGCTCCGTCGACGATGACTTCCTGGTTGATGGTGAGTTGGACGTCGCCGGTTCCCGGGGGGAGATCGAGGAAGAGCACGTCGAGGGGACCCCAGGAGACGCTGTGGAGGAGTTGGTGCATTGCTTTGGTGATCATGAGGCCGCGCCAGGAGATGGGGGTTGGGTCCATGGGTTGGCGGGTGGGGGAGGAGGAGTCAGAGGGGGGTGCAGAGGAGGAGGAGGGGAGGAGGTAGCCCATTGACATGGATTTGAGGCCGTAGTTGGTTAGGGGGAGGAGGCAGTTTTCTAATACCATTCGAGGTTGGTTGGGTTAGATTGCTGGGGAGTATGGTATGGGAGGGATGAGGGGGGTATAAACGCACTATCATCCAGTCTTGGTTCCCCTGATAGATTGAGTAGGGTTGGGATCGAAGGACCGAAGATATCCGTGTCGAGGATGCCGGTGCGGATGCCGCGACGGGCGAAGGCGAGGGCGAGGTTGACTGTCATCATTATTCTTAGTCTCGTTGTGTATATGTTGGGGGCCTCAGGGGAGGATGATTACCAGCTATCGTCGACTTCCCTACGCCGCCCTTGGCAGACGACACCGCAATCACCTTCTTCACATCCCGGATCTTGCGCTTCTCGGGGAGTCCGCGACGACTGCGGAATGAGGGCGGAGTGCCGGAGCGAGGGAGGCCCTGATTATTCCATAAGCTTCATTTTCATAGATCCTGAACTGAAGATTATATGAGAGAGAGGGGAATGTACCAACGGATTCTCATGCTGCAGCACCCTAGCCGTGGAAAACAATCTCTTCCCCAACATGGTGAATGATGAATAGACCGATGGTTGTAAATGGGTTCAATCCATCCGCATAGATACTGCCCGTTAAACCTCACCGCCGGCAAAACCACCCCCAAATATCCCACACCTTCCCCCAAGCAGAAAGTAACCCCGCTACCGCATCCCGAAATCTCGGGCAGAAAAACAAAAAAAAAAAAGTTGTTATCGCGGTAACTGTTAGCTACCTTGTCTGGTTTAATTTCTTGCAGAAGAACAGCGCAGCCATGGCTCCGAAATCTCTGGCGGAACAGATTGCTGAGTTAGAGGATTTGACTCCGAGAGGTATTTCCTATTCTTTCGATTGGGTGGTGAGGATGAGGGTGAATAGAGGCTAATGGCACTTAGATTATGATCCGGAGGATTTGGATCGCGGGAATGGAGATAGTGATGAGGAGGCGGGTGACAAGGATGCCAGTGCGGGGAGGGAACATTATCAGGATGTTGGGTTAGTTTTTTCCTCTTTTCTTTTGTGTGGTGGTTTAGGGAATGGGGTGCTCCTGGTGGATGTGTGATTGCTAACGGTGTATACAGCAAGGCAAAACTGCGCAAGCAGGATCCGGTCGCCCTTGGAAAACAATACGCCGGGTCGAAAGTGAGTCGCGAGGCATTGGAGGCCGACAGCGATGACGATCCGTTTGCGGCGCGGTCGAGTGACGACGACGACGAAGATGAGGACGAAGACGAGGAAGACGAGGATCTGGAGCTCGGCAGCGACGAGGACGAGGGCTCAGACAGTGAGGAAGAAGAGGAGGAGGAGGAGGAGGAGGAGACCCGACCCTCCAAGGCAAAGAAAGGCAAGAAGCAGATCGAGGTCGACGACATGGAAACAGACGAGTCGGACGAGCTAGACAGCGAGGGATCATTCGACGAGATGCTTTCCGACGAGGACGATGAAATCCCCTCCGACGAGATCCCCTCCGACGAAGAATCCGACGAGGATGAGTCCGACCACGCCCGCAAACCCAGCTCCAGCGCCAACAACGACCGCGACGAACTCCGCCGTCTGATGGCAACCGATCAAAAAACCATCGCGGCGACCATCTCCCAAGCCGCCAAAGCCGACGCCATCAAAGGCAAAGCCGTGAAACAACAACGCGCGACCTTCGACGCCCTCCTCAACACGCGGATCAAGCTCCAAAAAGGCCTCTCGGCAATCAACCAGCTCTCCCTTGCTGAATCCACCGACGATCTGGACTCCGAAGCCATCACCTCCGCCGAATCCGCCGCCCTCGCCCTCTGGTCCACCCTCGAAGACCTGCGCGTCGCACTCGCCGACGCCCAACATAATCCCAGCGAGGAGGAAACCAAAAAGCGCAAACGTCCCACCCCCACAACCTCCACCTCCACCGCCACCCTCTGGAGCCGCATGACGGAACTCGAATCCACCGCGCACCCCCACCGCCGAACCATCCTCGACAAATGGTCCGCCAAAGTCCGCAACGCAAACTCCAACACGGCCAACACGCGCGGAAAACTCCTTGCTTCTTCCTCGACCAGCCAACAAACCATCACCGCGGTCCTAGACGCCCAGGTCGCTACCGAGACAGGTGATCGGGCCGCGAAGCGCGCTCGTCAAGATACCTCCTCCTCCTCTACAACTAGCAGCACCGAAGGTCCCATCTACGACGACACCATCTTCTACCAATCCCTGCTCCGCGACCTCGTCGAGCAGCGCATGTCGTCCTCCGACGCGATCACCAACGGCCTCGACACCCTGCACATCCAATTACCGTCGCGCGGGGGAGCCGCCGTGCACCCCGTGACCGGGATGCGGAAGGACAAGGTGAAGCGGGATGTGGATACGCGGGCGTCCAAGGGCCGGAAGATGCGGTTCGATGTGCATGAAAAGTTGCAGAATTTTATGGCGCCGGAGGAGCGGGGCTCGTGGACGAAGCATGCGCGGGAGGAGTTCTTTGCGTCGTTGTTGGGGAGGTCGGCGAGTGGGTTGCTACGGGAGGAGGATGGGGAGGAGGAGGAATTGAGTGGGGGGGAGAGTGAGGAGGATCGCGAGGAGGGGGGGTTGAGGCTTTTTAGGAGCTAAGTTGGTTCATTCCTTTGATGGGATTGATTGATTGATTGGATTGGAATTGCATGTGTGATGGATGTATAGTACAGTGCTACATACTGGAATGGAGGTAAAAGGTGCGTGCGTGCGTGCGTGTATATATGTGGTGATTGATACAGCATCAACAACAAAAGTCGCAGTTTGTTTGATTGTTCGATTGTGTGGTTGATCCTTCACGGGGATAAAATTGTATCCTCTCGATCTGTCATGTGGTGTCGTAAGTCGTTAATCGTGATGCAATTCCAGTTCGGCTCGTGATGGTGCTGCTGTGCTGTCTGCTCATACCCTGATCGATTCTCTTCCACGGTCGAGCAAAGCAACCACGATGAATCCACCGACTCATGCCAAGCAGCAGACAGCCAGACAGCCAGACAGACAATGCCTGGCCCTCAACATCCCATTCATCCAGCCAAAGGCAAATAGCCAAAGCACATCCACTGGAAACAGCTAATCACCGCACCGAAGACCTCCCCCCCACCCTCCCCATTGCCAATCCCTCCGCCTTCCCCTTCACAGGACTATACTTCGGCAACGAAACACTCCTCCCCACTGTCCCTCCCACATCCCCTCCCTGCTCCTGACCCGGCCGCTCCCACTCAAAATCCGTCCGTCTCGGCAACCCCAACATCTTCTCCTTGACCGCGCGCTGGAGCTTCATCTTCCGATCTTCTTCTTCCTGCGGGGAGAGGAAATGCGGAAGTCCGTCCCAGTCGACGACGACGGCGCCGCTGACGTCGTTGTAGCCTGGGAGGGAGGTAATGGGGGTGTCGGGGTTGGTGAGTTGAGCGTGGAGGGCTTGTTTGGTGGTGGTGATCATGGTTTGGAGGTCGGGGGGGAGGTCGGGGGTTTTCTCTGGGGTTTTGGTGGTTTTGGTGGTTGTGGTGGTGGTGGTGGTGGGGTAGATTGGGGGGGTGATGTCGTCGTTTAGGTAGTGAGGGTAGTCGGGGTCTGAGTCTGCAGGGGAGTCGATGTCTTGCCAGAGGAATGCGGTGGGTTGGGTTGGTGGTGGTGGTGTGGTTGGGGTTGGGGGGTCGCGGGGAGACGTGGGGGATGGTTGCGAGGGAGATTCTAGCTCCGGGAGATGATGATGATGATGGTCTGGGATCTTCTCATAGAGGTAGTCCGAGGTGGTGGCAATAGAGGTCGGCCGGCGGTCCTTTTTACTGTGGAAAAAGGACCGCAGGGAGAAACGGCGAGTCGTTGGGTCAGGCATCGGGCAGATTGAAGGAAGGGAAAGTAGAGGCTGCACATGCGGGGGAATGGAGAAGGGACTGACAGCAAGCATTGGGCCGGACCGGCTCTTAAAGTCGGGGTTCCAATGAGGGTCAGGGGTAGTTAGTAACTGCGGAACCGGGATGCGGAACCGAGGATGGGCAGGGATGTTCGCAATTTGCGGAGGCTTCACGTGCACTATTGGATTGAGGATCGTCCAGCTGATCGGTGGAGCTGGCCGTGGCGTTTTAGTCAGGACTAGTGAAGAGTAGTGAGAGTGAAGAAGGAAGGATGGCTCCGGTGACTAGTAGGAGATCCCCCCCGAGTAATGAGGCATCTTCAGAAATGGACGGAACCGGAGCCGGGCTAGGAAAGTAGGGTTACACTGTGGCTACACGTGGATCAGCTCACGTCCCATTGATTTTGTCCCTGACGCTTTCGGTCTCGACAATCACCCCTAGAACTCTGGAATGTGAAATCGTCCTGGCCCATTGTCCAACCTTGTTCAACCAGCGTCCACTTGGACCCTATCGGAACGGCAATCATGTTGCTCAACAGTCGGCTCAATGCAGACCCACGGCCATCGTGATAGGGGCGCACCCTGCAGGGTGCTCCGTGCGGTCCGTTCTAGTTTAAATCTCAAGATTCATCACCACTTCATAGGCGAATGATCTCTACACCGCCAGAATGAGCACCGTGAGGCCCGATAGGCCCCAGTTTAGGATTCAACTGGTCGGCAGACTGCACCGCTCGAGTCAGGGTCTCGTCGCATCATCCTGGGTAGGATGCCCAATTTGATGGACACAGCGCAACCTCTGCACCAGTGAGATCTACGATCATTATCTGCCAATCAGCACGTCACAACGCTCGATCGTACCGTCCTTTAAGCTTCAGCCACTCGATCCATTGCATATGCCGGACAAATGAAACCGAAGCCAGCGCAGGCTGCTGTTGGCGCCTGCATTACGTACCCTAGGGCAGCAGCGTTGGGCCATCAAGTGGCAAGGCAGATACTGAGCCGGAGTGATCTATCCAGCAGACGGCTCGGATAGCACCTGTCGCTTGCTGGAGTGTTTCGGCAGGTCACGACTCGGCATCCGTGTCCTCGTCGGCCCATTGTTCCCGTAAAGACTGGATCGATGCGGCCACGTCCCAGCCTGTCCGAGTCCACATTTCCCTCAGGAGAATCTCGGCCGCCTCTTGATCCGGTCTCTGCCGGATGACCCAGCCCCCTAATGGTGTCAGTAAGGTGACCATACCATGATACCTGGGCTGTCACCTACAGGCTACCAAGCTGTGCCGTGCAGTGAAAAGCGTGTTCTCCGCTTTGGGATTCGACTTGGCCAAGCCGAGCACCATGAAAAGGTGGTGTCGAATGGTTTTCTGCATTGTCAGAACAATTATAGCAATATAGTTCAGCAACCAACCTCGATGTTTCGTGAATTCTTGAAACTCTCGTAAGCAAGAGAAGGACTTGGGCAACACGAAAAGGCCAGGACAATCTTGGCGATGTGGTAGTACTGGACCCCGATCACTGATAAAGTCAGTAGACTCATTGAAAAGTGTACGGCAACTCACCATGCACCGGTAGCAACATCCACACCTCTGGGAATCGACGGGACACATCTCTGTCACGAGGAAGAACTCGAAGAGGATGAAAAGAAGATGGCTTTCTCATGTTCCAGTCTTCGACCTCCTGAGCCATACTCTGTAGGGCGGTATATTCTGGCGAGGACACTTGGCTGAATGCGCATTTCAGCACTTTAGCTAGTAAGAAGACCATCCGCGCGGCCCAAGCAAAGTCGTCCGTTCTGAGAAATATATCTGACTGATGGAAGCTTTGCAGGTTTGTCCGCAGAGGCTGTTGCGAGATCAGCGACACGTGGATATCCTCGCGAAGACAGAGCCAAGCAGCTGCCTCGCCTAGTCCGCCGGAGGATCCAAATGACGATATCGTGTTGAGTATATGTGCTGCGCCAGTCAGATGGAACTGGTTATCGTCATCTAAGTCAGTCAGCTGGTGATACCCTTATGGTCACCGTACATACACTCCATTTCCTCATGCTGGCGTAGGATCGCAACAGCAGCAAGAACGACATCCGTCAAGTCCCCTCCTGAGCCCGACAGCGCCGGAATCAGAAGTTGCAGACAGTGGTTATGATACTGCAGTGCCTCTGCCTCGTTGCCCTTGCTCTGTCGTTCAACATGCCGAGAGGAGAACGCAAAGATGGCAAATCGCAGCACCGGTTCCTGCATTGCCCTCACCGGAACCTCTACCTCGAAATGTCGATGCGGGTCGGTGATATCTGCCTGAAACAATCAGCCTATGCCAACAAGCCAGTGACCCCATACTCACCCACAACGCCATATTCTCGACGTAGTTCCGCATCAGCGTAGCCTCTCTGTCATTGAAAGACAGCTTCTGTTCCTGTACCAAGCAAGCAGTCTGTAAATCCCTAGACTCCAACGCCCGGTTCAAAGACCCCGTCCAACCCCCCACCTCATGCGCCGAGCCATCACGCATTTGCTGTATCGCAGACGTATCCCCCAATCCTTCACTCGAACTCAATGCTTCAAACCCACGACCCTCCCCAACCAACCCCCCAACAACATCCCCAGAGCCGCTCTCTTCTCCCCCATCAACAACTCTATACAACCTCTTAATCCCCACTGTCTCATCCACAAACCGAACTTCAACCAGTCAGTCAGTCAGCACCTTCCCCCTCCCTCCTCCAGCAAAAAAAAAATAAATAAAAATAAAAATAAATAAATACTAACCCGGCCCCATCACCCCCATCCACAATTCTCTCTCCGGAAACAGGACATCATGATCCCCGGCTAAATCCAACCCCCTCCGAAACCGAACATTAACCCCCCTCTTACATGCCACCCCCGCCCGATGACAATGCATACAAGACGGGATGTTAGTATCACCTGCACAACACCCCAAAAGTCAATTAATCGAAAAGTCTAGACCATGGGGCGATGATGGTGTTGGTGTTGGTGGCAACATACATCTCAAATGACGCACTGCATTAGAAGAAATAAGCCAGGATTAGCTAGTCCATTCCCACAACCAGCTATGCTAATCACCGGAGAAAGGTAGTTATAGTTAGTACATACCGCGACATCGTTGACTTAAGTGTTCCAGGGGATTGATTAGCGGGGCATACGGACAACGACCCAAAGGGCATGGAGGGAACATGAACGTACCAGCCCGCAATCAGACGATTCCTCGATTTGTGTGATGGGGTCATGGGTCATGGGTCATGGGTCATGGGGGGATGAGAAATGGGAAAGACGGGAGCGAGCGAGGAGGGTCGGACGGAAAGACTTTGCCGTGTAGATTGAATGGGGGCCGCGGCTAGGCCTCGTTGGGAGCATCCCCCGCATAGTGCTGTTCTGGGCCCATCCCATCCCCGCATTGGCGGGCGGGCTGGATTGGGTAATTTGCCGTCGGGCGGAGGGTCCCCTTCAGGGGTTGGGATTTTGGCATTTATTAGGTTTGAGACATTTGTTGCCAAGTTGGAGGTTAATTGTGTGTGTGTGTGTGTGCTTGTGAAAAAGAGGTCTTTAATCTAACGAGCTGCTCAGAGGTAGATAAGTTACATAGATGCTCCTAGGTGAACGCTTTAGATGACCGTTATGCCCAACCAATCTGCAGATCAATAATACTCCGGTAAATTGCCAAAACTCGGAATCGCGTCCCCGCACTTGAACGCCGGGCTGTACGCCTTCTTCGGCATATACCCATTCTTCCATGCCGTCCGGTAACTCCACTGCGCCGCCGACTCCGTCGCCCACGTCCAGTAGAACCAGCCCATAGCGCTCTCAAAGGCGGACATTTGGGCTTCGGCGTATGTTTGTAGAAATGTCTTGTATCCCTCCGAGTACACGCCCGGAACGGCGTTCGCTTGCGTGCAGCTGCAAGTACCGGCGCTCGCGGTGGGACAGTATTCCGTCGAGTCGGTCAGGGAAAAGGTGCCCTCCCAGCGGGTGCCGCGGCCGACGTCGTTGAGGTACTGCGCGCAGTCGGTGTCGGCTTGGGACCATTCGCCGCAGATCGTTGGACCCCAGCTAGATTAAAGTTCATTAGATGTTGTTTCGGAGGAGGGGGAAGGGAACGTACCCCGTACTGGTGACGTTGATCGCCTGGATCATGCTGTACCAACTCTCGCAGATCAGCTCCACTTTTCTCGTATGGTTGAGGACGATCTCGCCCGTGTTGAAGACGGTGTACTGGTGGGTGTCCAGCATCATGTTATCCGGGCGCGTTTTGAGCATCTTGTCCCATTTGCTCAGATTGAGGAAGCCGTCGTGCACGGTAACCCAGGCTTTGATGCCGTTCTTCTGTACCAATTCGGTGGCTTGAACGGTCCAATTGAGAACGGCTTCCACGGGAAGGGACAGCATGAGAGGTTCATTCACGAGGCCATAGATCGTGACAACGTTCTTGTACCGGTCTTGCGCGAAGAACTGCGAGAGCTGGTCGTGCATCTCGAGAGACCGTTTCCGGTTCAGCTCCCCTTCGGTACCGTTCAGCCAGCGGATCAAGCCCTGTCGACCACTGTGGTTCCAGCCGTTCTGGCTGCCAGGAATGCCGTGTGGATCGAGATTCACGCGCAGTCCGTATTTGCGGCAGTATTCGATGGCCCGGAGGAGGTATCGCCATGCAATCTTGGGGACATACGGGTCCCCGTCGTATGTTCCCAAGGCCCAGTACGAGAATTGCATCCGGACGTGGTCGAGGCCTGCATCTCTGATGTCGGCAAAGTCTTGCTCGGTGATAAAGGTGGCATAGTGCTTTTCAATCACTGACGCGGCTTGGTCGCCGAGTTTCTCGGATAGTGTCCACTCGTCGATAATTCCCTCGTCGGAAGTATAAGAATTGAAGAGCGAGGGGGCAATCCAGGGCTCAATGGACAGCCAGCCTCCAAGATTGACACCGCGAATAGGCTGTGACCCGTACGGAAACTTCTCATTTAAGGGTGGCACGTTCTCGTTCGCTTGGGCTGAGTCGTTCCACGTTGAATTCAGTCCCATGATGTACAAGCCACCGACTGTCGCGTTCGTGAACGTCAAGTTGAACCCACTGGTGTCATACCACGTAAACGGGTCGAGATATGTCCCCCTGGCGTAGGCCTACCATTGTCAGTTTCACCCAGACACACACATATGGTCAACCATACCGGAATGCTATCACGACTGATCCCCAGATCCGAGCTGCCACCTCCATTCCCCTTATCACGCAGCCTCCTCGCCTCAATAATCCCAACCGGAATAGCAATAGCCGCCAGCAGCAACAGCACCCCAAAGAAGATAAACGTCTTCTCCCACCGCTTCCAAAACGACGGCCGTGCAGCAGCAGACCTCTTCCCACTGCCCACCGAACCCTCCTTAGGAATCATAGCCTCCATCGCCGATCCCTCACCACCACCACCACCACCACCACCACCACGATGCCTCATCTCCACATCCGGCCCTCCCTCCTCCAACTGCGCCCCCGAAACCACCCTCCCCTGCATCTGACCCCTCGGCGCCACCGCAGGAAACGGCCTCAACATCAACGGCTCCTCCCTCAAAACTGGCACCTTGCGCTGCCGAGTCCCCTCCCCCGGCGACGCTGCATCCACCCCCAAATGACTCAAACAATCCTCATCCCCATCCTGCGACCCCAACAACTTGGCCAACGCATCCCCACTGACCAACCCCGACGCCTCACCCCCACCCTTATGTCTAAAAAACGCCGCCAACCTCTCCTTCCTCCGCTGTCTGCGCGTCTCCCGATCCGGTCTCTCTTTCGGCTTCCTTCCCCCAGTACCTTCCGCACCACGCAGCGGCGCATCGTCGCCAAGACCCCCACTCATCCGATACTGGTAATCATGCTGGTACTCCCTCGCCTGTGTAACATCCTCTTCCGTAGGAACCGCCATCTCAAATCCCTCCCGCCATGCATCACCCTCGACCTGCGCGCGTAACGGAACCCAAGGTTCCTCGAAATCATTATCGTATTCGTGGACATCGTGTTGGTCGTGGGGCTCGTAATCGTAAGGTCGTGGGTGGGCGTGGTGCTCGTCGTCGTCGTCGTCGTCGTCGTCGTCAGAGTTATTCGCCTCCGTCTCGCCCTGGTAGATGGAGGGAGAGTAGTAGTAGTAGTAGTTTGGGTCGGGATCCCGCTGGGTGTCGCCCAGGTGGTCCCGACTGCGGGACGGGCTCGGCATGCAACCGGGAGGTTAGATAAAGTAAAGGTCCGGAGCGAATGGGGATTGGGGGAGGAGGGGGATAAAGAATGCGGGAGTAAATTAATTGGGTCGATAGGTCCGGGCGAGGGATGGAATGTTGCCCCGCCGGTCAGATCAGTCTAGACTGCTCCGTCCCACGCTGACGGTGGCCCAGTCGTGGGTTGGAGATGGCAGATGGGACGGTGGTACTACCGGCTGGGAATTGGGGGGGAGACGGTCAGATGGTAGATACAATGGGAGGAAGCACTAGTCGGAAGTGTACCACAGCGGGGTCGCCAGGAACCGGGGATTGAGCTGGACGAGGTCAGCTCGAGGCCGGCGCGTCTGGCGATAAACAAAATACGGCCGATTTGAAACACACGCCGGCCGTGTATGGGATTTGCCGTTTGGGGTCTAGTGCGGAGACGGGCTGCATCGGGTTTAGTTCGGGGCATCAGGGACCAGCAGGGGACTGGACCCTGATCTAATACAATGTCAGTCTGACAATCTACCAGTTTATTACTGTATATTTTCTATCGTTACACTAGTGTTGTTACAATCTATCCCCGCTCACTTAGTACTTGGTGTAACGCAGGTACGGCTTCACCTCGCGCACCTCACCAAACTTCTTCTTGGCATCCTCCGTCGACACCGAGGGAGGCACAATCACATCCTCACCGACGTTCCAGTCGATCGGAGTGGCAATGCCCTTGCGGTCCGCCGTCTGCAGGGAGTCAATGACACGCAGGACTTCGGCGGAGTTGCGGCCCGTCGAGGCAGGGTACGACATGGTGAGACGGATCTTCTTCTCAGGGTCGATGATAAAGACGGAGCGGATGGTGAACGGGATGCCCTTCTCGGCGATGTTGTCCAAATCACGCTGGTCGACCATGTCGTAAAGGAAGGCCACCTTGCGGTCGGCATCGGCGATGATGGGGAACTGGACGTTGGTGTTGGCAACCTCGTTGATGTCATCGATCCACTTGTCGTGGGAGCCGAGGTCGTTGGCACTCTACAACCTCAGGGTTAGCGGAGGACGAACACCAGCGCAAGCTACTCACAAGTCCGATCATCTTGACGCCTCTCTTCTCAAACTCATCCTTCATCTTGGCAAAAGCGCCCAGCTCAGTGGTGCAGACGGGGGTGAAGTCGGCGGGGTGGGAGAAGAGGATGGCCCAGCTGTTGCCGATGAATTCGTGGAAGTCAATCTCGCCATGGGTGGTGGTGGCCTTGAAGTTGGGGGCTGTACGAGTCAGCACATTCCAATTAAAAGAGGTAGTTAGACCTACCGGTCGATCCGAGACGCAGACGAGGCTGCTCCTGGGGAATGGTTGCGAGGAACCGGCGAGAGAGGGGCTGCAGGCGGGGCTGAGCGCGAGGAAGCTGGGCGAAAGACACCCGGGAGAGGGGGGTAGCTCTGGGGAGAGCAGTCAGGGCACGGAAGCCGGCACGGGGAAGGATAGAGGCCATTGCGATTGACTTTGGGGCAATTGAGATGGATGAAGAGGAAATGGAAGCTTTGGGGTTCCGAGTCTCAGCAGCTCAAGCTGTTTGCGTGATTGCATCAGCGGGGGGCCGCTAGCCGGTTTGGGCAGCTAACCGTGCCTCAGGCATGTCTGACTCCGCCGGATGAGTCTTTATCCACTACGTACAAGGTAGTAGGATGAAGAGGAGCAATTCCTTTATTGCACTCGTTAAAACGAGGTGGAAGCAGGCTCTACTAATCACGAGCGAGTGTTCATCGTACACATTTTGTGCTCAAGGTACTCTGCTTCCGACCGAATACTCCAGACTAAACGTGAGCTGACTGGCAGACAATACCAAGCTTTCAATGATTTCAGGAATTAGAAGTAGTAACATGAGCCGGGTTTCAGCTGTCTCAGACTCATATCAATGCTCTAAATGTCCGACTTAAGCCACTTAGATAGCTGTTCCTATATGGGAGGAATAATCGGCAGAGTCATATAACTAGTATAGCTCGGTCCAAAATGGATGCTGTTTATCCCCTCAAAAGTGGCCTTGCTCCTATATAGAAGCAGGCTGGTTAGCAAACAGGCCCCACATTATAAGGAAGACTTACCGATCAATAGGATCATTATGCTCCCATACCCCCGATTGAGCCGTATCACCCGAGCTCACCTCCAAAACTAGCTTGCCACCCGGCTGGACCACCACATTGGTCGGCCAGAGCTCGATATCAACGGCATAAACCTCTCCAGGGATCACCGGCTGCACATTGGTCAAGCAATAATCCCGATGAGGGAGCCACTCCCGGTGCTTGGGGTGCGATTCGTTCACTTTTCTCAGGCTGACGCGCAACCAACCTCTCGTCACCGGGATAGGGTCGCCAAATGAACCAGTATAGAAGATTTCCTTTCCAGCGGCGGAGATATGGCGAAGAGTGAGAAACAGGTCAATATCAGATGGCGTGATATTGCTCCTGAGGTTGGCAGTCACCGACACGTTCAGGTGGGCAGTGATGTGGCCGGTCACCTCAGTTTCTGATTCGAAAGCAGAGGTCGTGAACACAATGGACTGCGGTGATTGCTGGGTTCCAAGTGCTTCGTAGCTCAATTTTCGGGGAAAGGGCTCGGCTGGAATGCCCCGCCTTAATCCCATATCATAGGAGAGGTAGAACTTGGTGTACTGGGTCCGAGCAATTGGCCATTCCGTCTCCGTTCGCCGTGAAAATCTCTTTTCGCCCTCGGGGTCACTGGCCTTGACATCGTACCCTTTTCTTAGCATCAAGTCAACTGAAGGCACTGCACCCTTCACGGACCAACCGACTCGGTCCTCACCCTTCAAGAATGCGTCCAGGAAGCTGCGCTGGACTTCCACCTCTTCGGGATAATAAAAGGGTAGGTCATGCCGGCCGACAAAGAAACGGATATACTTGAATTCGGATGCTGCCTGCATGTAGGCACAAACATTGCCCCGAAGATGCAAGCCAACACCGCCCCAATTAGCACCACTAAGTATGGGAACTCGAATGTCCTCCGGATTGAAGTTCACCTGCGTCCAACGCTTATCGTCGCGGTATCGGTATTTATGAGTATCATGGACGAAGTCAACTCGGTTCTCATACAATTCTTCGGGGCTAAGATCGCCATCAACGGTATCTGGCCCGTAATGCCGCGCCGCCCTTCCGGGCAGCCCGTACTGGTTCGAAGAGACCTGTCGATCAAACCAGTTCCCAGTAAATCCGGGCGATTGAGCCAGCTTTGCCGCGAGACGTCGGTCTCGCAAGTTTCCAAAGAACGTGGTGGAAAGGATACCCCCATGTCGGATGGCGTCGGCGTAAATATCCGCAAACCCTTCCCAAGGGACAATAGCCGCTAGGCCTTTGGGATTCATGCTGGCCACCCACCACTGCGTCGTGGCAAAATAGCTGATTCCCAGAAGACCGACTTTTCCTGATGACCACTCCTGCTCCGCCGCCCATTCAATTAGGTCGTAAAAGGCTTCAACGGTATTACCGCGACTCAAGATGTCAAGCTTTCCGGGCGACTGACCGGTTCCCACTTCGTCGGCTCGCACCACGACATAGCCATGTTTTGTCCAGTAGCTCGGGGTGGGAGTCTCCCAGGCCGACTGCCCCGTCTGATGCTCGGAAGGAACACTTTTGAAGCTCCCTGGATGAAATCTATGTCGAATCAGCATTTGCAACAATAGAAGGTGCAAAGGCAAACATACTCGCTGTAGGGAATGTCCTTCCCATATGGTCCGTAGGTCGCTAACACAGGGAACTTCTCCCCTTCGTCGGTGGACTTTGGCCGATAGACGTTGCACCGGATCAAGCCGCCAATTTGGAGAGGGACACTGACGTTGTGTTCAACGATGTATGAATAGGTTGTCTTGTCGACGGTTCTGGCATCCTTGACCTGAAGAGGCATGGCTCGGTTGATTCAATATAGAATATTAAATCAATACAGATTGAAGCGTTGTAGATGCGCGCACGATTGGATGGCGATGTGTTTGCTTTCAACCTCGATGGTTGTCTGCCAGACCTATATATACGCACGGCGGGTGATGTGAGCTGCAAGGAGACAACAGCAATCATTCGGTCCGATATGATGTTCTTACCGAACATTCCGAACCCGGACTCGCACATGTCGCGACTGTCTTCATTCACTTAAAACATAGACCAATTAGATCTGCGCAGCGCAAGTGTCGGACCGTTGAGTATCGACCCGATACTCCGGACATGTCCACCCAAGCGAACATCACAATGCAACTTTGATGAACCGCCCATTTCATAAGTATTCATCAGACATTTACCGATCTTTCCAATACTCCGATTGTTCGCACCGTGCAAGTGCCAGCATAGCCAAGTCCACGTCAGAGTTGAAAAACGACAGCAAGAATTTATCATTGTCAACTGTGGCGAACGGTAAAATGTCATCTGCAGGTGTTGCAACTGCATCCGGTGGGATTCTGTTATGTAGGCCGAGAATGTCCGTATCATTGTTGATATGGTCGCACGGCTTCGCCTCGTGGTATCCCGGTGAGGTACTACATGTATCAGTGGCTGGTCTGGAAGATTCCACTCCGTCCTGTGCTATATATCTATATTGCCATTGGGCATAAATACGACTGCACTTTGAAACCGACTCCAACAGCCAGCCAGAGTGGGGGCCGATCAGTTTCTCGGTCGGGGAGACTAATTCGTCTGGATTGCGCACGCTTCGTTGAATCAACCTCTTGCGATGAATAGTGAGATCTTCAGTGGATACAGTCATCGGTAGAGAGGGCGTCAAACTTTCCCACTGTGACAGTGAGTGGACCGTTGCCGACTATAGGTCGATCAGAATGAGAATTACAAACGTACCGCTTGCTGCAAGGTAGCCCAGTAGGACTTGAGCCCGCTTAAAAGCACCATGCATGAAAGCAGTTTATGTCGCAAAGATGATAGCGTCGGTGAGGTGAAATTTTCCCGTTTGTGGATCAGAATCGCATACACCGAGGCGCTGACGAAGGCACAGTAACCGGCGATAGGAGGGATATACGACAAATCAAAGTTCAATGATAACAAGCCATCAGCCCTGTTAGCAAACTTGTTGGCCTGTTGGACAACAACTTGAGTGCAGGTGTCTACAATCCCCACGTGTAGAGATGCCTTGTCGAGGGACTGGCCGGAAAACAGAGGAACCATGCTCCTGTGAAGGTTAATCGCACACCAAGAGAAAACAGCCTCCACCGTAAATGCTCTACCGATTGAGGTCAAGTCCAATCCCGTGTGTGTGTCGTTGTACTTCGCAGCCGGCGAGATCAATCGGTAGAGATTGGTTGACTTTTGGTGAAGCGCAACTACCTCATTGAACCGAAGGTGCAATGGAATCTCGTGAAACCGGGCCAGCAGTCGTTGGACTTCCAAGCTACTACCAATTAGCAGATGTTCGGGGAGGACTAGTGGCTTCCACTTACTATACTCCCAATGCTTTCACGAACTCTGCTAATATCGATGGCTCTTCATTACCGGCAACATCGGAACATGAGACAGGCATCCAGGCGCTACTCATTTTCTGTATAGGAACGACACATTGCCGTCGAAACGGGGCATCTGCTGCTGGAAGGATGATATCAGTGGCATGCGCTATGTGGCTTACTGCGAAGGAGTCATCGTAAGGAATGAAGCAAGTAATTATCCAGCACGTCCAGAACGCTCGACGCCGAATTTCCCGGTCCATGGCGACAGCTGGATTCTCCGAGGCATCGTTAAACTGCGAATGGAAGCCTAGAATGCGTGCTGAAGTGTATGATAGCCTTGTAACCAAGTCATTGAAAGCCATGGTTAGGTCAGGATGGAGTCATACTGGCATGGATTTTCGCTCGCTCAAGTTCCCCAACCGCAAACCAATATAGACTTAAGATAGAACATGTCTGGACTGTCTCGAGGGCCGGACGATCTACGTGACCTAAGACATGCCGACCAGCGACCTCCGCCCATGAGTCACTCACTTCTCTGTTGGCAGTCCGATCATTTGAGTATTGTTCCTGGGTGCCCAAATATGCAGGCTCTGAGAACCTGGATGCAGATTAGGTGGCCTGATCAAGCTTCAAGTTTTCCGTGACGAACGTACAGGGATGCCAGTGCGAATATAGCCCGTAACATGAAAGGAGGCATCACATCTGACATGTAATCACTAAAAAGCTTGCCATCATGGAACATGAAAGATGACGTAGCCTTGTGTGACACAAAGATCTCGAGAAGCTTGACTCCGAGAGCACGAGGCGGAAGAGCCGCTTCTAGCTGTTCAGCTGATGCCGTCTTTTCGACATGGTACTCGACGCGTTAGTTTGTCTCCAAATATACTGAACGTTGCCAGTCCTTCGTAGTCGAATTACCTCTCCCCAAGAAAAGGAGGATCTACCCACACTAACATCGGCTACTCGGCTTGCTTCATAGCCAAGCCCCGGGCCACTTTGCAGGGGCTGGAGATTGGCTGTGGTGGCGGAGCCATGTCCACCTGGGCCGGTAGAGGATTCCGCCGAAGCGCTCTGAAATGGTCAATAGTGTCAACTTGATGTCTCAACTAGGAGGAACTTCTAACCATCGTCTTCTCTGCATTTTCATCCAACTCCAGGCCCTGCTGCTGCCTTTTTCGAGCCCACCGGTCCAGCGCCAACATCTTGCGATCGGGCGGCGACGGATAGTAGCAGGGGATCTTCGAGCGGAGACAACGTGAGCAGGTTGGGATGCTCCCGAGTACACCGCAGCTAGACTGTTCAGCACTTTCGACTGCGCCAAGTTACTACCATGGCGAGGTACCTTTCGCTCGCGACATCGCTGACAGGCTGTAGTGGAGGGAGTGGAGTGTGTTGAATCGGGCTGATCAAGTGACGATGCCATGATTGCGGGAGTTGATCGGGATTCAGCTTTTATCATCAAATCCTCAGCGGTATAGATAGAACACAATGTTGGGTGAACAAAGGCTAAGATGAACGACAAGCGGAGCAGAGGTGTAGAGAACCAAGATACAAAGGATTCACCGCCGGGAGGTGTAACTGGATGCAGATTGGGATGTACCGGGTATCGCGAATACTATGTTTCTTTCATTGGAGATAGCGCACAATAGCAAGTGCTTACGTCCAAACTGGCGGCCTTTGAAGCTTGGGCATTGACCGGAAGAACTCTCCTGGGGTTCAGGCCGAGAAGTGAAGACCAGTCACCATTCGTGAAATGAACATAGTCGATATTTTAGTGTAGGAGATGGTACTTTTGGATAGTGTTTAGCAACTGACAGCTGTGACAGTTGTACGGAGTACGCGGCGGGCGCTTGATTCAGCTTTCCAATTGGTTCCTTATCTGCCGCCTGTCTCTCGATTAGCTGCAGTCGCCAGTCACTATGGAGTACTCCGTCCCTTGACATCCATACAACCGAACTGCGGAGCAAATGTGGTCTTGACAAGTGATTGCGCCAAAACATGCACCTGGCGGAGTGCTTAGCTCTCAAACTAGGAAGCCTCAGGACTTGTTTTCTGCCTCAGGCAGCAAATAATCAAGGCGGTAACGATCTGCCAGTCATATACCACGCTTCTTCAAGACAGGCAGGCGGAGAGCGCCCCACTGCAATCTTAATCTGGAACAGAGCGATGGCCTCAGCTCATCCAAATTTTGAGATTCAAATTATGCTTGTGCGGAATCGAAGCTTAGCATAGCTGACAGCCTGACACAGGTACCACACACGACCAAGCTCATACCACGTTCCCAACACCAGCCCAGCTCAGCCCATGAAGTTATCAACATCCCCCCGCCGGAACCGGCACCCGGGCCATCCGGCACAGGCAAATGAAAGTCACCTCGTATTCCCCACTCAATCGCCCGAACTGACTCTCAGCCTACGGCAGGGTCGCGGTGGATGCTGCGTCCCGTGGGTGTTCGGATAAAGTTGGGCACACATCCTATTCTTATCCAATGAGATACAGTCAAGTGAAGACGGTCTTAGATGTTTAATTAGTTTCATTCAGATTATGGGTCCAAGTGCAGAAGATGATGTGATCTCAGGGGTTTCGTCTGCATCACCCACTACATTCGAAACAGACGGCAATACTCTGTCGACTCAGTGAGTCGGCACAGGTGATCCCTCTCCAAGGCACATATTCTATCTATATTCACATAACCGCCGCAAGGGAAACATGCATCATTCGGTAGTGTGGTTGACGCTGCTGTCGGTGACAAACAAATTGAACCCAATCCAAACCTAGCTATAAATAGCTCAGAGAGGAATGGTACACTATAGTAAGCTTCAGTCTGGCCTCGCACGGAACTAGACTAAGCTTATTCTTCCAGTGGTCTGGCCCAGACCTTTATCTACTTACGGAGGATGGAGTAATAACTATGTGGTGATATCGATTTTCGACTGCATAATCATATACGTGATCGCTGGTCGATACACAACAGGACCAACAACGTGAGCGGCTGTTGTGTGACATGCAGGGTGAACCACCAGTACCACCTTGGTCACTAAGCAATGGTCAAACGACAAATGACATCTCAGATTCATCCCCTGATAGGGTTCTATCTACCATCCATCCCTACAGTCCACACTCCACAGCGCTTATTCCATCCATCCTTCCACCGCCACAAAGAAAGGACCCAAAAAGTCAAAGCATCCCATCCACTAGCCGCCCCAATTCTCCAAACAGCCCCCATGCATAAGCAGCCATACTTCCATAATCCAGACAGACTCGGAAGCAGGAACAGCAAAAAGAAAAGAAAATCAAGTAATACTGTTCCAGATACCGACGATCCCAACAACCGAGTCCACAGCGCATCTCCACCCACACCCTGGACCCTGAATCCTGATTGACGGTCCGGCTCCAATCGGCTGGAATTGCCCGTCCATTCAGGACATTGATGTTCTACGCGCTGTCTGTCTCTGGCTAGACTTGGATTTAGTGACCTCCTCGCCAGTCATTCCGATCCTTAAGCACTCGTATAAGTCAAACATAAGTGCGCGGGTTGCCTTGCTTGGGTTTTCTTTCTTTTTCTTTGACTTTGCAGCTGCAGACGCAGAACTTAAAAGGGCGTGGACCCTACATACCTATACTTCTACTTTCGTTGATTTCATTCATAGGTGTCGGACATGTACTAATTCCCTTATTTTGTTGATTCACCGGATTCTCTTGACGCTCTTTACTGATACCTTTGCCTTACATTGCCATCACCACCTACCAGACCTAATTGCGATGCATCAATAACCACACCACCACCACAATTCCACTGCAACAATCACCAATACAATCAAACCGCAGAAATGACCACTCTCCCCAACCGCCCCACCCTCACCCTCCTCTTCTTCCTCGTCCTCCTCAACTTCTACCTCTTCCACCGACTCCTCCGCCAACCCGTCCTCGACCTCCCAACCACCATCGCCACCACACCCACCCCATCACCGTCCCCAATACCAACCACCACAACCTCAATTCCACCCACCGAACCCTCCCCCGAACACGAAACCCAACCCAAACCCACAATTCCCCTAAAACTGTGGCAAAAAACCGGCCCTCGAGGCCTCACCCCCCCAAGCGACAGCTACATCAGCACGTGGAAGACCCTCACACCCTCCCTCCGACACGAGATCCTCTCCGACGAGAGCAGTTCCGCGTACGTGGACTCCGCATTCAAAGACACCTGGCCGTCCATCGCGACCCTGTATCATGCGATTCAAGTCCCCATCGTGAAAGCGGACTTACTCCGCTTGCTGATCCTGTACCATGATGGAGGCATATGGGCTGATTTGGACGTTTCATGCGAGGTCTCGTTGCTGGAGTGGGGATTAGGCCTTGGGGTGGTTGATCCACCCGAACAATACCAAAATGAAGCACCAAACGAGAACAGAGAAAGGAAAGAGATAGAAGTGGACACAATCGTGGGCCTCGAATTCGACGGCTGGCAATTCGCCAGCTGGACGGTCCTATCGCGGCCGGGATCCCCACACATGAAAGCCGCGATCGAGTACGTCGCGAACCAACTCGAAACCATCGCGGAGCAGAACAACGCCACCATAGAAGAAATCACCATGGACATGATCCCAGATGTAGTGGACGCGAGTGGTCCGCAGGCGTTAACGATGGCGGTGTTAGGGAGTTTGAGTCGCGGACTGGGGGAGAAGATCGGGCGGGCGAATATCACCGGGTTAAGGGAGCCGCGGTTGTTGGGCGATGTGTTGGTGTTGCCCCAGGCGGCGTTTGCGGCGCGGCAGGGTGGATATCCTTTGGATCAGGGGGCGTATTTGGTGTCGCATCATTATGCGGGGTCGTGGAAGAATGAGAATGGGGGGGAGTGAGAGGGTACCCAGGGGGGTTTTGTATATGTGTGTGTTGGTGGATGTGTATATGTATGGTATATAGGTTTGTATGATTGGATATAATGTTCATGTTGGTATTTAGACACGATGGGATTTTATGTAGACATGTTCTTGACTCATTCCTTCCTGGAATGGCAGCAGTGGAAGCAATGGCATCTAATACACATATACCCCTTCGGTTGAGTCCCAGGAGATACAAAGACTCGAATTACTAAAATGAAGGCAAGCCATATAAATGACAGGCGGAGAGCAGCATACTCAAAGTTGAAAGCGAAAGCGACTAACCTGGCAGACCAGCTTAGTTGGTCCAACACAGTCAGACACGTTGAAAAGAAGAGGACTCACCCTAGGTGAAGATGATCATTCCAATTGTATTCCCTGTTTTATGTAGCGAGATCTATATATCGAGGTAATTTCGGGATGACCGGTGCCGGTTTTTGATGTTGAGACAAGCCCAAGAACAGGAGTGACAGCATAAGATGGACTGACAGGACTCATGTATGCCTTACGCGGATTGACTTGATACGGAGGCTGGCAAGTAATGGTCCATTCAAGGTCTATAGGTATAATGAAGGGAGAAACATCATTAGTTACAATGACAGTCACGGCCGGCCCCGCTCTGCATGCCTGGTACAATCCACGGCAGGGCCTCGACTATCCACCGGGTATGCAAACGCCTCACAAAGATCTCAAACACGCACAACAGAATGGGAAATTAGAGAAGAAAAACGGTACATCTCGACCATCGTTGGTATGTCACAAGGATAGATAAATTAGAAATCGTCATATGCCACTCCCATCTGTACAACTCCGGAGCCAACACCATTCAAGGAAATACAAGTGCAAAGAAAGAAGCTGATCTGCGCCGGTCCAGAGAACCAAGACAAACCAGTCACTCGGACAACGGGAATCCGGGACGGTTATAAAAACGACTGAGAATGATGCTGCCACACCAAGACGCCCTCGAGGTCGCTTCCGCGACTCGTCTCACGGTCGAGGTTGGCGTCGGCAAACAAAAACGAATGCATAATCCACCCGGCACGGGTGGCTTATTATGAAACCTCCCCAAAAGCAAGCTTTCAGTCGGTGCTGCGTGTCCGTCCGAGTCGAATCTCGGCGGCCCAGTTGTATGCGATTCTTATGGCAACGCCCCAGAACGAAAGGCGGCGAGATAGGCAGCATGCTATCTCGTATCGAAAAGCGCGAGCTTCTCAACGGGCAAAAATCTCTATCGAACTGTCCAACAGTGGTCAAGTCATAGCGAAGCGTTCCTCCTCCGGGTATCGAATGCGAGCCCTTCAACTGATAATTTGCCTGGCGCCTTCTTTACCCAGGACACCCGGCTCCTGGGGCTTCGGGCTCCTGTCGCGCCCCTTCTTCCTGCTGAGGAAAGCAAGCATGCCGCTGTTCGAGCCTTTCCCCTTGATGGAACCGGTATCGTAGCCTTCCGCGGGAAGGGTGGAGCTGTGGTCAGCAAGCTCGCTCCAGCTGCCGGCCTCTTCCAGTACCATCTGAACTCCTCCACCCTTGCTTTGCTTGCGTGTTGCGCCTCGCGGGTGAGCGGCAGAAGGTGGTAAAGGGCGGTGGAAAGGTGGCGCCGGCGGGGGTGGCGGAAGAGGTAGAGACGCTTGCGATGTCGGGGTCTCGCTGAGAGGGGACGGAGTGTCAGGTTGAGTCAAGTGACTGGCAGAGCCATCGTTCCGCAGGGGAGGCGAGTTTCTCGAGAGGTCGGGTTGGGAGACCTGTCGCGAATGCGTGGACTGTATCGGGAGGCACTCTTCCGGGTTTCTAAATCACGGTAAGTAAAAATCATAGAAATACAAGCACAGGGACTTACGTCGATGCAGCAATCGCATCCGCGGCGTTTCTACTATCGGTTAGCTCGTGCCCCAACATGCTCGTGGTCTGACGCCCGACATACCCTGCATAAGTCACCCTGGTATAGTCGAAGGGTTCAAACATCGTCTCAATGAGACGGTGTAACTCGTCTTCTCGGATCTCCTTGGCCGTCGCATCCTCCCGCAACTCCGCTCTGGGTTTCTGCCGGCGGGCTCTGGCCTCGAGCGGTGCCTCCTCCAAGAGCAATTCCTCCAGATCGTATGTAGCATCAAAATTGGTTTTGTCGCTAGAGGGTCGGAACACGGGCGGGACTTCCTTCTGCTCGAGCGCCACAAAGTCGAGATCGGCGAAGAACATGTGCGAAGTGAAACTCTCAAAACTGATCGCACCGATTCGCTTGGACCGGTCTCTTTCCATGAATGCCGCCATTGCTCGCAGGCATGGAACAGAAACCGCGGGGTTTGTGACGAAGTATTTCGGTTGCGCCTTTTTGATGTTTTCGCTGAGGACATCCTGACTCCGACCTTCGAATGGGCGCTAAATGATGTCAGTTCTAGCCGATATCAAGCTGTACCTAGGCAACCGACCTTGTTGTAGATGCACTCGTAGAACGTAACTCCCAGTGACCACCAGTCGACTTCGCAGTAGTATCCGCCGCCTTCGTATACCTCCGGGGCAAGGTACGCCAACGTTCCAGATTTACTCGTTAGAGGCTTGCCGGGTCGAAAATCGGAGGCGACGTTCTAAGAATGGTCAGCGTGATAACAACCGAATTGCATCCGAACCGACTTACAAAATCTGCCAAGTGAACGTGTCCCTCAGAATCTAACAAAATATTGTCCGGCTTGACGTCACGGTGGATGATTCCCTGCGAGTGGATATATCTCAGAGCACAACCCAGCTCAGCGATCCAGAAGCGCACTGCTTCCTCCGTGAAACATTTCCGTGAGATATGGAATCGCAGGTCACCACCATTCATCAAATCCACCACAATATATCTTCTCAATTATCAGCGACTAAAGACGTGGGAGGGTCGTGTGGGAGAGCTGTTGCAGGACGCACATATATTCAATATCTTGGAAGCTGTATCTCAAGTTGCAAAGGAACGCATGGTTCAAGTGCTCGAGCATTCGCCGCTCACGGATGATATTCCGTACGCTTTCCGACCGAACCACTATATGAGAAGACCTTGTCAGTGGGAGCACTTTTTCCTATGCAGCAACGTACCTTCTTCTTTTCGAATATACTTCAGCGCAAACGTCAATCCGGTGTCCTTTTTCTCCACGATACGGACCTTGCCGAAAGCACCTTTTCCAACCACCCGCAACAGGCGAAACTGGTTCAAATTCACTGCGCCGCATTGTCAGCATCCCCACGGTCAAATATCCTCTGCCACACGCATGACGGAGCAAGACCAATACGCACACTCATCGGTGGGAGCCACCTGCTTCCCTTGCGAGTTTCCCATTTAGAAAGTTGTGTAACCACAGACGCTGGAAATCTTTTTTCTGAGTCACCTCCAGCAACATCCCATTCGAGCCACGGCTAGATTTCGACAGCGAAGAATTGATGCGAGGGGTGGATAGTCTGCAGGGATCGGAGGAGGCGGTCGGAGAGGATAGGGGAGGGGCGATTGAGGAACGTCGGAGGGTAAGGAAGAGGAACTTTATAGGAGATGCTGAGATCTGGACATCCAGGTCTAGACACGACGAGACAGGTGTTAGCCAGCAGCAGAAGAATTGCGGAAGATGGCGGTGGTCTATTGGCACGGGAGAACGTGGGCGGAGGGGCTCATTTTCCCGATTCGCAGGGGGATAGCCTTTTCCAGGTGAAACCTACCCCAATGAAGAGTGATGACAGCCAAAACCCAGAAGGTTGATTGAAAAGTGACAGAGAAATCCCGACGAGGACAACCCAACGGAGGCCTAGTCGGGGGAGAAGGGGGGCGGAAAAGAGCAGGCGATTATGGGATGGAATTCCGAGCCAGGCGTGAGAGGAACGGGGCAGCCCCTAAGACGGAGTAGTTGATGGTTAGTTCGTTCGTTCTGACCAGCAGGCGGGCCGCAGTAAGTGGCCTGTAAGTCTGTAACTCGGAACTCCCCAGCTGCGTGTCGCGGACAAAAAGGACGGCCGAGGAGGGATGTCGCTCACTGCTGGCGGGTTTGGATTTGGGTTTGATTTTTACTTTTTCTGGTCGCTCACCTTTCGTTGCTTTTGGTTTTGCTTCTTCTTCTTTTCCTTCTTCTTCTTCTTCTTCTTCGTTGCCTTTTTTAACTTTGGTTCTGGAACCCAGCCAGAAGGTGACCGCTAATTTCGATGCGAGGTGAAACAAATGAGAGAAAAGCACCAGGCCCAGAAAGGAGGGGATAGAACGAGCACGATGCGTGAATCACAATAATACGAGGCGAGCCCAGGTGACGGGATTAAGCTATGGGGAAGTGCTGGAGTTTACTTGGGTCGGCCTGGGTAAGCGAAGAGAAAGTCTGGAGAAATCCAAGATGCAGCAATGGATGGGAACTGCAAACCTTCCTGGTAAGACACCGTATTTACCAGTTAAGTTACCAGGCTTCACGGCCAACAGCGGTGAAGATGCAGCGAAACCGGGGGTGAAGACACGGCGTGAATAATATTATTTTTATAATCCTAATAATGATGGAACTGGAAGCTCCTCAGGTCTGGATGGAGACGACAGAAAAGGGGATACTACTACTAAGTTACTAACCCAGGAGAAGTGCCGCTTGGGCCCACGAGGAAAACGCGCCGGCAAGTGGGAGTGCGAAGGCGAAATATGGATCAGACGAAGAACTAGGCCTGCGGTGGACTGGTGGAGAGCCCGACAGAAACCTGAGGCTGTGACATCTGGAACTCTGGAGGGGAATGCCGAGGAAGACGTCTGGAATGAATGGCTGCATCTGCGGCCTACTGCCAGACTACCAGTAGTAGCTCCGTCGATAGCCATGAGATACATAAAATCGACTAGCTGCCACCGCAAGAGAAGTAAAAAAAAAAAAAAAAAAAAAAAAAAAAAAAAAAAAAAAAAAAA